GACCGAGTTGATCTTCTCCGTGATTGTGAAGGGGCCAATCTTACGGTGATCAAGTTTCTGGGAAGGTCGGAGAGTCTTGAGATTCCGTTGTAAGAGCCAGACACTGTCCCCAGGTTTCATGTCTGGGCCAGGTGCCCTCTTAGCATCGGCAAAGCGCTTCATGCGTCCTTGGGCCTCCTCGAGCTCAGTGGCAAGCTGTTCATGGATTTCCTTGAGATGGTTGGCACGAGCTTCGGCTGCAGGATTAAGGGATTCGGTTGTGGTGGCGGAAGCCAGACTGAATCGAGGATGGAACCCATAGTTGGCGTAGAAGGGGGTTGTCTGGGTGGCGGAGTGGATGGTGTTATTGTAAGAGAACTCAGCAGAAGACAAGAGTTCCTTCCAGTTATCTTGTTGATAGTTGCAAAAGCAGCGAAGGTATTGCTCAAGAATCTGATTGGTCCGCTCGGTTTGTCCATCGCTCTGGGGATGGAACGCCGATGAGAGGTTGACCTTGGTTCCCAGGAGAGCGAAGAGACGTTTCCAGAAGTGGGAGTTGAACTGTGGGCCACGGTCAGATACAATATCGTCGGGGAGTCCATGGAGCCGGATGACATGGTGCCAGATCAGATCTGCAGTTGACTCAGCGGTGGCAGTTTTCCTGCACGGTACAAAGTGCGCCATCTTGGTGAACCGGCAGATGACAACAAGCACAGAATCAACCCCATCACTGGCGGGTAGATCCGTGATGAAGTCCATGGAAACTGACCCCCAGGGGCGGTCAGGGACCTGCAGGGGTTGGAGGAGACCGTAGGGCTTGTGTCTGCTGGTCTTGGCTTGAGCACATACGTCGCAGGACCTGATGTAGGACTTGACAAAACGCCATTGGCTAGGCCACCAGTAGTTGCGTGAGATGAGCTCCAGGGTCTTTGACATGCCGTAGTGTCCTGCCAAACGCGTGTCATGCATGTCCCGGCAGATCTCAGCACGGAGCTTGTTGGTGGGGACATAGACAAGGTTGTCGTACAGCAGAACCCCATTTTCCTCGGAGAATCGCTTTATCCGTTCTTGGTCTTCTTGAGATTGCTGGGCAATGGGGGCCCTAAGCTGTCGCCGGATGGTTTGCGCAAACACATCGGATGCCAGGGCAGCTTTGATTTGGTCAAGGAGCGAGGAGTCCAGTGGGGTCAGATAAGTGGCGGCCAGGCGGAGATGGTCAGGGGTGAGGATCGTGGTTTCCTGGGAGCGGAATGCTTCTTCCCCCTCCCTTAGCTCGTATTCAGAGCGACGAGAGAGGGCGTCAGCTTGGTGTTGCTGGGTACCAGGGCGGTATGTGATGACAAAGTCAAAATCAGCAAAGAAGATTGACCAGCGGGATTGGTGGCGGTTGAGGGTACGGGTAGTCATGAAGTACTGGAGGTTCTTGTGGTCACAGTAAACGATGACCTTGTGGCGGGCACCAATGAGGTGGTGTCGCCATTGAGCAAATGAGTCTTGGATAGCCAGGAGTTCCTTGTCGTAGATCTCATAGTTGATTTCCTCAGGAGTAAATTTGGGGGAGTGAAAGGCCACGGGGTGGAGTTGATCTGTGTCATCGGGTTGAAGGAGGACGGCGCCAAGGGCAAAGTCGGAGGCATCGGATTCGACAATGAAGGGCTTGTCAGGGTCGGGGTGAGTCAGGATAGGTGCGGAGGTGAAGGCTTTCTTGAGGGTTTCAAAAGCTAGGTGTGCAGCGTGGGTCCATTTGAATGGCAAGTCTTTGCGAGTGAGCGTGGTCAGGGGTGCAACGATCGCAGAGTACCCTTTGATGAATCGCCGGTAGAAGTTGGCAAAACCAAGGAAGCGCTGGATGCCTTTGACATTCGTCGGGGGTTCCCATTCGGTAATGGCAGCCGTCTTCTTTGGGTCCATGGAAATGCCTTGCTGGGAGATAATAAACCCCAGGAACTCAACAGAGTCCTGGTTGAATTCGCATTTTTCCGGTTTCGCATACAGCCCGTGCTGGCGGAGTCGTGAGAGCACCTCTCGGACGTGGTTGGGGTGGTCTTCTGGGTTTTTTGAGAAGATCAGAATGTCGTCAAGGTAGACCACAACAAAAACGTCGAGAATGTCACGGAATATGTCGTTCATGAGGTGTTGGAATACTCCAGGGGCATTGGTGAGCCCAAACGGCATGACATTATACTCGAATAGGCCGTAGCGACATCGGAACGCTGTCTTCCATTCATCCCCTGGCCGGATCCGAAGAAGGTTGTAGGCTCCCCGGAGGTCAATCTTGGTGAGCCGGCGTGCCCCTCGAAGACGATCCATGATGCTGTTAATCAAGGGCAAGGGATAGCGATTCTTGATGGTGATATTGTTGAGTCCACGATAGTCGACGCACAGACGGAGGGAACCGTCCTTTTTCTTGACAAAGAGGATTGGGGCACCGGCGGGAGACTTGGAGTGCTTTATGAACCCCTTAGCTAGGTTCTCTTCAAGGTAGTCACAGAGTGCCTGCATTTCAGGCTCGCTGAGACTATAGATCGGGCCGAACGGTGGCTGTTTGCCCTCTTCTAAGTCGATGGGACAGTCGTAGGGTCGGTGCTCTGGGAGGGTATCCGCGTTCTTCTTGGCGAAGACGTCCGCAAAATCTTGGTATTCTTCAGGAATGATGGCCTTCGGATCTTTTGGAGGAGTGGTCGCCAGGGCTTGGGAATCTGACTTGGTCGGATTGGCGTAGGCAATGAATGCCTGGTCATGCCTTGCCGCCACACGGAAAGCTGGGGCGCTGATAAACGATACGTGGATCGGTGTGGGTGCTGGGTCCAGTGTGTTGGGTGTCTGGGCTAGGGAGACTGAAATCTCGTCTTGATGGATACGGATCAGAGGTTCAGGGGTTCTTGAGGGCTTCGGGCTAGGTTCTGTTGGCAGGGCATCCCAGGAGGCGTATTGTCCAAAACCGCAATGGCAGCGGACGCAAAGAGTGCGAGTCTTCCAGTGTAGCTCCACATCATGGAGCTCAAACCAGGGAAGCCCCAGGATGATTGGCGCATGCGGGGAACATGTCACATGGAATACCACCTCCTCAAAATGGTCGTTGACCCACATGCCCAAAGGTTGGGTGTGATGGGTAATGGAGCCCGCATGGCTGGGACGTCCGTCAACCAGTTCAAGCGCAATGGGGTCCTCCTTCTTGACAAGTGGGATGCGGTGCTTGCGGGCATAACTTTCGTCGATGAAGCACGACATCGCACCGGTGTCAAGTAGTGCTGAAAGCTGAACTGGAGCTCACTGGGCCGATATCTGCAGGGTAACAGGGTACTCGAATGGTGGGGATGGGCCCAAAATCCGCATGGGTGAGGGTATCTCAGATCAGAGATTGACATTGTTGGTGGTCAGGAGAAGGGTGTTGCTGGAGATGCCAGGATCGGAGCAAGGTTTTGTGGCTTCTCCCTTGGCAGTACTTGCGTGGTGAGAAGGCCCAGGACAGGTGTTGCCCAGCTGCTCGGCCTTTACTGCAGCTGGACTTGGGCAAAATCCTGGATGGGTGCAGGTTCCTTAACCGCGACATTCACCGTGCGTATCTTGTTTGGGCAGAGTTTGGCTATGTGGCCGGGTTTACCACAGTAGAGGCAAAGTTTGTTTGTGATGCGGTGTTGGCGCTCTAGCGGTGTGAGGGGTCCTCGCGGACGAGCAGCGTCAATGATCATAGGGTTGTCTGGGCGGTTGTCGGGGCTCATGAGGGTGGGGCTAGTGGTAACTGGCACATATGGCTGTCGGTTCCTGCTTCGCTCTAGACGGCGCTCAAACAATCGGTTGTCACATTGGATGGCCTGTTCCATCACGGTGTCGATTGAGGCGGTAGGGGGCATCGTGAGCATTAAGTCCTTGACGTCTTCTTTGAGGCCGCGACGGAAGGTGGCAATCAATGCCTGGTCATTCCACGACACATCGCATTGCGGCTGTCGGAATTCAGCTACATACTCTGTTGCTGCACGGGTTTGTCGAAGGTTCTGGAGCTTGTTTTCGGACGTGCGGATCCTGTTGCTGTCTCCAAAGACTGCTTGCATTTGCTGGATGAAATCATCCAGGTTCGTAAGGGAATGATGGTCTTGTTCGACAAGGGGCGCCAGCCAGGCCTGGGCGGTGCCAGTGAGGTAGGTGCCAATAGTTCGTATCTTGGTCTGATCGTTGGGGTAGCGCCTGGGTTGAAGGGCGAACATGAGCCGGATCTGGTTGAGGAACCCACGGAACTTGCTTCGGGTGCCATCAAATTTGTCTGGGAGACTGATTTTGGGTTCGGGGGCGTGGGTGGCAGGGGCAGTGGTCTGGGTTTGCGCTAGTTCGGCTTGTAGGGTGGTATTCTGCGCTCGAAGTTCGTCAATCGCATTGCACATGGCTTGCCAGGCTTCGGCCGTGAGGGGAAGGGCGTCGGACATGGTGATTTGGCGTGGAGGTACAGCGGCTGGGGGTTGTTGAGCAGATCAAACTGTTATGAATGGGCGGAGCCGATGGAAATAGAGGCGACTTGTGGTGCAGGTTGTTGACAGGTAATGGTATTCAGACCGAAACAAGAACTAGAACAAGACTAGGAAGAACTGGTGTTGATCTGCTGGGGGATCAGGAAGTGGGGAGCTCAGGGGAGGCGGCTATTTATGTTTTTCTGGGAAGGCTGGGGAAGCGTGGGGAAGCAGAAGGGTACGGAATGAGAGGGAAGCCAAGAGAAGCGCCAAGGGTGGGGAAGCATAGAAACAGAAGACTGGGGATGGGGTGGCTACGCTGAGGCTGTGGGCGGGTACGTGGGGAAGTATGGAGAAGGGTTTGTGAGCGCCGAGTGTTGGGAGGTGTGGCTACGTGCGGCTGCGTGGAGAAATGAAGGCAGTGGCAGGTGTGGGGTAGCGCGGCTGCGTGCGGCTGCGAGGTTTGGCAGATGTCAGGTTTTGACAGGGAATTGACATTGACTGACTGTTGGGATGCTGTCATGAGGTAAGCGCATGGTATGGACGCGTCGTCCATAACAGCCGCCGCCGCTGTCCGCCATGGTTTCAACTCCACCGCCACCGCCGCTGTCCGCCATGGTTTCAACTCCACCGCCACCGTCGTCGCTGTTTGCCACGATTTTAACGCCGCCGCCGCCGTCGTCAACTCCGCCGAAAGCAAAACCAATGTCGGGGTTTGAGATGGCGCTGGGTGTGGTGGTGTGGGCTGGGCCAGGCGTTGGTGTGGGCTGGTGATCTCCTTCCCGGTTCTGTGCCCATGCAGCCTTGTCAACAAACTGGTGGATCCACGCCCCGGGCCGCATAGTGAGAGGGTCATTTGGGAGAACCGGGGCGAAAATGTCGTATGATACGTAGGTGAGTGTGCTGTGTCAATGCATGCGGGAACACGGTCCGGTCGCCTTACCTAGAGACAGCTTCTGCCCCTTTTTGCGCCACTTGAATTCCAGGTAAGGGGCATACATTCCCCACATGTCTTGCTGACCTTGATCCATTTTTGCTTTGGCCAGCGCGGCAAAGTATGGATGATATGGCGGACACCCGCTTGCATATGGGTATCCCTCATGGAAGGTCGATATCTTGCGAAAACGTGTTCGTTGACACTCCTTCACAAATGCCTGATTGTAGCGTTCTTTGACAAACGCAACGACATCCTCCCTGGAGGTAAAGTACATGCGGCGTTTGGGAGGGCATGAAGCGTTTTCTATAATATCCCTGATTAGTGGCCGAGGACAGACACACGGAGCATGAGGACAATGGCATGTAGCTTACGTGCAAGTGTGCGAAAATGGGTCTCAATTCGCTGACAAACATTATCAGCTTTAGCCGACCCGTCACCAAGCATTGCACACAGCATCGGAGATGTCCCTGTTGCTGTTGCACACTCCGTAGTGTGATCAAAGGTAAACAATCCGGATTCAATACTGGAATCGGCGTAAGTGAGGAGATGTTTCGCGGCGCTCAGTAATGCGTCGAGGGCATGGGCTGGTGTTGGAGTTGGAGTTGGTGACAACGGAATCCCTTCGATCGCCTCCTTCTCTCCGCTCCGAGCTGGTCATATAGATGTTTTTTTTGGGCGTTTACCCACCGCATACGGCTTGTGTCGGGGTGCGCAATTGTTGTGGCATATTCCTCCGCAGATTCGACATTGAGATTGAAGCGTGAGATGATTCCGACTGCATCTTGCTTCAGAAGTGTATTAAAACGACTGAATCCGTGTGCCGCTGTGGCCCGCTTTGTCTGTTTCCCCTCCCCTTCAGAATCGTTTCGTCGCTTAGTCTGCAAACGAATGCGCAAGTGGGAATGTTCTGCAAGTGCGGGAGTCCTGGAGTCCCGGCACAACCTGCCAGCTACCTCTCCTCTCCTCCACCATCACTCCTCTCCTCCCCTTTCCGTCCAAACAGTTCCATATCCGGTTTGTCGCTTTGTCGCAAAGCCTCCTCCTCAGTGATCACCCACCATATCTCATCTCCAGCTCGAACACGAATACTGCACATGTCCGTCTATTGGTATCTGCATAAGCGGAAGAGGAGAGCTGAGTGCCCTATGTTGCAGGACTCAAGCCATGGTTCGTTTTTTGGATGATGAGTATTTGTGGGAAATGAATTCTGGGGTAGTAGTGCCTACCCCCTACGTACCAGCCGTTCCAAATGGCAAACCACGGCACTGAGAGCGTGAAGGCTGTAAGGCCGAGCGTGGGTAAGGCCGAGCGTGAAGGCAGCCCGACCGCAAGGCCTAAACACATCTCCTAACAGTGTTTTCTAACCGTTCACAAGGATACACTTTGCACTGGAGGCGTGAACCGGACTTTTTCTTCAGGGTCCAGTGCCGACATTCCCCTCGCAGGCATTACCTACAGTACTACCGACCGCCTCAACTTCAAGGTAACAGGATCCACATTCTCACTCCCAATCCCTACCCGATCCATGCCATGCCCGCTCACTCACACGCTCTCTCTCCCTCTCTCTTGCGCTCAGGTAACCTTGGGGATACGTCCACACCGTGCATCCACACCTGGAAGGAAGGAACAGACCGTAAAACTATAGGTGAGAATTAGAAGCCGCACACATTACCAAAACCGATTGCTTGAGGTGTAGCCTGGATTTGGGCACTCGCGGTACGCTCTCCCAACTTCCGCAATTGCTTGAGGTGCAGCCTGGATTTGGGCACTGGCGGTATGCTCTCGTTGCTTTTTGGGAACCGCTTGAGGTGCAGCCTGGATTTGGGCACTCGCGTTGCCACCATTCTACCAAACCCACTCCCACTCCCATGCCCACGCTACCTGCCTATCTACTTCACACCAACTAACTCACGTACTCCTCTCCCCAGACACCACCTTCTTTCTCAAGTACTACCTTGGTGAGTTTTTGAGGTGCGCTAAACTGTATATTTCCCATGAAACAATGCCCTGACTACTACGTCGGCCCACCACAGCTGATCATCCTCTACACGATTTGGACATCACTGACCAGCACATCAGTGTGATGTTTGAGCTGCTCAACAATCCAGGCTACAACAGCAGTCCGGACATCACGCAAGAGTTGGGTCCATGGGTTCAAGACTACTGTGATGTTCACGGATTCGCCCCCATCCGCATGCAAAATTGCCAACAGACCGCAGCGTACACGGGTACGAGCATCCTCACAAACCTCAAAGTTAACGTACAAGAGCATTTCATGCAAATGTTTCTGCGCTACGCCGATGAAAGGCTTGGTTTGAAGCAAGTCATACTGCATCTCCGTAGAGCCGGAGTCAGCCGAGCGCAGCGCCAACGGTATTATCGGCGTGTCCGTCAATTTACAAAGTATGCGATGTTTGAAGAGTTTCCAACCGAAGAGGAGTTTGCGCGCCTCACACAACTTGAGCGGACCATCCTCGAAGAGCTATGGGCTCTGTTTCCTCCCCAGGATGAGCCGCTTGCGTACAGCCTTGCGGTGCACGCAATGCCATATTTAGGTGAGTTGGTATATTTCCGGCTCCCCCCTCCCCGCGCGTTCCTCTTTTGTCTAATCATGGTCCGCACCTGCCTCGCCTCATCACAGGCGCCTATTGTGAGCTCACACCTCTATGAGCGCCGTGGAATGCGCCTGTTTTCCGCTATCTCGCTGCGCAAATCTCGAATCCAGTCATCTGTTCGGATCGACACGCTGATCCTAGGCACTCATATCCTGGGCTTGGGCCAAAGTCGCATGGGGAAATTCACCAATGCACGCAAGCGGGAGCTGTGGGGGCAGTTTATCAACGCGAATGTAAGTCCCTATCCCTCTGCGCTTATTTCACTCACCTCACCTGGCTGAATGACGGATTGCAGGACAAGGTCTTCAAGGATCGAAAGAAGCTTGGTCTCAAATTTGATGGGTCAATCAGCACAAACGGGTATTCCGCTACCATCCACTTCAAGATGCCAGGGCTCAAGTATGGGCATCGGGCCCGGAAGCGCAGCAAGGCCCAAATGCAGGAAGAAGTCAAGCAGCTGTATTTTGAGCACCACATCGCGGAACTAAGGGAGGCTCCAAACATCGTCTGCATTGATCCGGGCAAGCGTGACCTCCTGTTCTGTCGAGACAACGAGAAGGAGCGGCAATTTCGGTACGTTTCAGTTGATTACTACTGCCCTGCTGTCCCCGTTGTCCCCGCTGTCCCCGCTGTCGCCGCTGTCACCGCTGTCCCCGCTGTCCCCGCTGTCCCCGCTGTCCCCGCTGTCGCCGCTATCCCCACCAACGCCCTCCTCAACCCTGTCCCCGCCCCCATCCCCACCATCCCCCCCGTCACCATCCCCCCCATCACCATCCCCACCATCCCCGTTGCGGCGACATTCCGCTGCAGCGTTCTCACAATGCACCACCCCATACCAGATACACATCCAATCAACGGGCGGTCGAGATAAAGTCTCGGTACTTTCAACGAGACATGACGGAGCGAAAGATCAATGCCAGCATCGCAGAGATGGAATCACATATTCCGTCACACAAGAGCATGAACATCGAGGCGTTCTCAGCGTTCATCGTGGATTACGAACATGCAGGTATGATATATCATGCGTTGTCTTCAAATTTGGTAATACATAGGCTGACATCCATATCCCAGATCCCGCCCTGGATGAGTTTTACCAGGATGAGATTCACGTAGCTTGCGGATTCAAGGCGTTCTCACTGCGGCAAAAGTCTGAGAGCAAGCTCATCAAGAACATGCGACGCCTGTATGGAAAGCATTTTTTGGTCATCTTGGGTGATTGGAGCGACGCTGGAAAAACCATGCGCTTTCAGGAGTCATCAAAGACCAAAGGGTGAGTGACCATCATTGTTTTTTATGTATTATAATACGCTCACTCATGGGGAGAAATCAGATTCCGCACACTCTTTGCAAGAAACAGCATTCCATGCTACTTGCTAGATGAGTATCGAACGTCCTCCCTGTGCCCAGACTGCCACGGGCGTGTGAAGAAAAACATCCGACGCCCGCTGTCACCTCGGCCGTGGCAAGCTCGAAAGGGAAGAATGGAATTCGTCCATGGATTGGTGGGTTGCCCCAACCCCGAATGTATCAACCAAGACTGGACGCCATTTGAGATTCCTGGAAGACGACCACTACGACTATGGATGAGAGTGCACAATCGGGACGTCCTAAGCACCAAGAATTTCCTCTCGATTGTGCGTTCGGTGGTGTTTGGCAATGGCCGCAGACCAGACGCATTCTCCCGTAACCGTAGGTAGTCTAGATTTCACCCCATCCCATTTTCCGTGGTGGTTATCTGCCATCCACATCATTGTACCTCTGCCTGAGGCGTCGCCGATGATGGCAACTTGTACTGTAGGACTGGGGAATGGGCGCACTTTCCCACGCCTATATAAAGAAGCTTGAAGCTGCAAGAGCCCCCAGCTTTATCCCCCGTGTCCGCAAGCTGTGCATCGGTGCTTTATTGACGCTCCGTCGTGTTCATTGGCACAGCATTTACGCGCTGCCATCGGGAACACATCGTACGTCCGCTGAAGTGATTCGACAGTTGCTCGACTACGCATTTGTGAAGGTATAGCTCTATTGTGGTGACACGTGAAACAAACCTGAAAGGCAGGGAGCAGGATGGGAGACCAAGAGGGTTCGAAAGGAAAAGGAAAGCAGGCACTGCAGTTGTCTCCAGCCTCTCCAGCCTCTCGGACTCGACGAGCAAAGACATGGGCTCCCTCGACTTCGAGATCGGAACTGATTGTGCCTCACAAGACGTTCCGCGTGGAGAGTGGAGGGGAGAGCGAGGGAAGGCGGGATGAAAATCGAGGCAGATTCTCGGATCTGTTCGGAGGAACGGAGGCCGGGAACCTGCAAAACGCAGTGGTACACCTCCGTCGCGGGTCCCAGTTCCAAGCAAGCGATCCAGGAAGCTCCAGCAACCCACCAACCGGAAGCGACGGGCTCGGGTTTTCCAACCTCTCTTCCTCCAACCGGCCCCTTCTAGCGCTCATGTCCGGCGCAGAAGGCTCCGCACTCGTCCCCGCCAAACCGTGGACCGTGGTCCTTTACCAAGCCAGCTCCCAACGCGCGGTGCTGTTCAACCTCGCTGAACGCAAGCTGGTCGTCCGGCGCACATCGGGCCCTGTGCTGTCGGAAGACTCGCAGCTGCAGATGGGGAGTAGGAGGTGTCCGCTTTGTCAGCGGCCGTGGGTGAAGAGTACCGGGAGGCGCAGAGCCCCGTCGTTGGGTCCGCCGGGGGCGCAGGGGAATGTTGGACAGGCGGATGATGGCGAGGAATCGACCGAAAACAGCTCGTTCATTGATAGAGAGTATTTCGAGGTTCTGTCCGCCATCACGTGAGTACCCGAATTCCACGGAACAATTGTTGAGTTTGGGAGACCAACTGTTGACATGTACGCAACCCAGCCCGGAAGCCATAGAAGGAAACGATGACGGTGTCTCCGTCGCATCATCCTCCCCACTGCCGCCAAACGTCGATGATGACGCCAATACGGGCTCGAAAGCATCAGGGAAACCCGAACCCGTCACCGAGGCCGGTTCTTCCGGCAAGTCCTCCAACGGCAAATGCGCCACATCGGGGTTGAGCGAAGGCAGTTTCAACCAAGGCTACTACGATCGATTCTTTGTTGAGGAGCGCAAATTGGGCCGAGGATTACGTGGAAGTGTTTTCTTGTGCCAGCATGTATGGAAGCCGTCATTCTTGCCGGTTTTGTGAGGTGTCATTCGCCTTGTTCTGCAAGTCTAATGAAATGTATGCAGGTACTGGATCAAGTTCCCCTCGGTCAATTTGCCGTCAAAGCTATACCCGTTGGAACGTCGCATGCCTGGCTCGTCCGCATGCTGAAGGAAGTACATCTGTTGGAGCGCCTGAAACATCCGAACATCATTGAGTACAAACATGCCTGGCTGGAACACCGACAGTTAACCATCTTTGGTAACACCGCCAATCGCCGCTCATCATTCTTCGCGTACATACTCAAATCATCCGCGCACAGGCCCAGAAGTCCCCTGCCTCTTCATCCTCATGGAGCTCGCCAATGGCGGCAACCTCGAAGAATACATCTACGTCCAATGGCAACCCGAAACAACCGCCGCCTCTGACCCCACTCAAGCCTCCGACTCAGACAACGGCACCGACGAAGACGACTCCAAACTCTCCAAACTCACCGCAAGACAACGCGCCATCCATCTCCGCGATCGTAAACGCCGTCTCCAAGAGAAACAACGCCGAGAAAGCGAAAACCCCGGCCCGGCGGGGAAGAAACCCATGCACACCCTCTCGGCCGTGCACAGCACGTCGTTGCTCCAATCGACGCAGGGCCCGTCGAAGGCGCAGCTGTATGGAGGGATTGGACGCGCGCCGTCGGGGAAGAAAGTGCGGTATTTGAAGGACTATGAGATTTGGTGCTTGTTTTTGGATATTTGTAGCGGGTTGGCGCATTTGCATACGCATGGTATTATTCATCGGGATTTGGTGGGTTGAACATTCGTGTGGGATGTGTTGGTATGTGTCGCGCGATGGCGTTTTACTGAAGACTACTTTGAACAGAAACCGCCAAACTTGCTCCTTCGGTATGCGGATCCGGATGAGCGGAATGAGATGTAAGGGTTCTGCTGATACTCCGATCCTAATTTACCCATTATCCTTTGAGATCTGATTATGTTCTTCCACACAGCCCTCGAATCCTCATCTCCGACTTTGGCGAATGCGAAGTGCTATCGGACGAGAGTCAGCGCGAGCGAACGGGTGCAACAGGTAAAACCTTCCCCAACTGAACATCTCTTACACTCTCCCCACAGATCTCACATCCATCTTCCCAATCCATCAGGAACATTGGAATTCATGCCGCCAGAGCTCTTGGTCAAAGACAGCGCGGGGCATTACATGAACGACCATTCTCCGAAAGCGGATATGTGGTCGTTGGGCGTCGTGCTATACTTCCTGTGTTACTCGATGGTGCCGTATTCGCAGACGGATGATGTGGATCTTTTGAGGGATGAGATTGTGGGGTTTGAGAGGTATGGCTGCTTTAGTATATCAGGCAATTATGGCATCCCGGTGACCCTTTTGTTATTATCAGAGTCACGTTCCCGGACCACGGCACCCGCATCTCCGTAGAACTCCAAGGCCTCATCATCGCCCTCCTCTCCAAAAACTGCCGCGACCGCCCCTCCGTCGAAGACATCCTCCGCACATACTCTCACATGCGCCCCACCCACTTCCACCCCATGTCCCCCGACTGCTCCACACCCACCACGCACCTCTACGAAAATGCATCCCACATCTGCGACCCATCCACCGCCTCGCCCAACCGCAATAACAAACGCCCGCGAACAGCACCCGTCAACTCACCTCCGCACCCAGATGACCCCACCAATGAGGACACGTACTCCGGCACGCCCGAGATGCGACCGCCGCCGCCGAAACAGGTCAAGACGCTGACGTTTCCGGTTACGATGTCGGCTCCTGATACCACGGAGGAGGACAATGCGTATGCGATTGCCCGCAGACATAGTGAGCCGGAATTGAAGGGGAGGGCCAGGGTGGTCGAGGAGGTTGGGGATCATGTAAGTAGACTTTTTGAGATTTCGTAAAATGAGCCGCGATTGCCAAAAAACACAGAATAGTGTGGGAGAGCGTGTGATTGTACGAAATATGTTCCGTACGGGGCATGAAACAGACCGGGGATACGATCGAACTGGGGAGCGCGGGCACACTTGAGCTCACACACTCAAACGCGCAAAGTGAACCTGGCTTTTCTGCTGGCTTCTCACTTTCTGCATAGGACCTATCCGCAAGGTTATTCACCATCGCCAAACCCATCGCGATCGCCGATGACTCGAAAGACCGTGACGCATTATCGCTCGTCCCCCTACTTCCCTCGCCGCCGCTTTCGATTGGCCGTGGACGCTCGAAGGGTGTGGAGGGATTGCAACTCCACGGTGATCAAGAACCGAAGCGCGAAGATGGAAAGCAGATGGTCCCACGTAGGCCGTCTGCGGACTCCGCGGGACCTGATATGCTCACAATGGGGGAGGAAACGAGCATCATGTCACAGCAGCACCCACACAGCGTGCAACCCCCGCCGCATATGCGCGACATGGGATCGAAGATCCTCGTTTTCGCCGCTACCGTATGTTTACATTCATCACATGGCACATGTCGGCCGTTTACGGGCTAAAAACAACCCCGCTTCCCAGGTCCTCCCCACAAGAACCCTCTGTCCAACCTCCCCAACCCTCCATCTCATCCTCCTGGTCGCCTGCATCGAATGCATACTGTAAGTTCCCCCACGAATCCTTCGCAAAAAAAGCTCAATCACAAACCACACTCACCTGTCTACATGGATTCTAGACCACGGACACGGTTGACGGCAGCAGTGTTTACAACCCTCCACGCCCTCCTCACGGCCCTCATGATGTATATCGGGGCCGTCGAGGGGTGTCTACCGTTCGACATCGATACGACTGACGATGATGAGAGGGGGTGGGCAGTGTGGCCTGTCGGTGTGGTGAGGGGGCCGCACTCGGTGGCGGTGGTGGTGTGGTTCGCGTGGGTGGTGGGTGTCGGGGGGAGGATGTGGGGAGTGAACGGCGCGAGGGGGTGAGGTTTTCCGTGTGCCTATTTTTCGTAAACCTTTTCGTGACCCATCTTGTTATGTGTCGGGGGAGGAAGATGTGCGCCATGTGTCCTTGCAACGAATGCAAGGAATGTGTTACCTTCAATGGTACTGTATCTGTATCTGACCTGACCCAACGCAAATGCAATGCGATCACATATGAACACACGGACATCCACAGTCCCAGCATTTTTCGCACGGTGGAAACGGTCGGACTTTTGGCCCTTTTTCATTCAGTTTCATTTGAGACCCCCCCAAAAAATTTACAGAGCAAGCAGAGCCAGGAGTCGAGTGAGCTGACGGGGGGATGTGTATGCAACTATGCAAGGGGGATGCGATGGGTGCGCAACGCCGCAATGGTGGGCCGGAACCTCCTTCTGCAAAACCACCCCGAAAAGAAAAGGGTCTCCCCAAGGATCCTCAAATCCACACCTGCCCAACACAATCCATCGGAGATCTTTCCTACCGCTTAGAATGCCCCGTCCCCGAATGCATCGCCCCAAACCGTTCCTGAAACTTGATCAACGACAGATTCAGCCGATCGAGCATTTGGACGCTCGTTTCCTGTTTCATCGCATCCGGTAACGGTGCCGATGGGTCCGTTTTCGGGTCGTCGGCCGGTGATGATGATTTTGCAGGGCTGATGGGTGATATTGGGCCGTCGACGGCGGCGGCGGCGGCGGGTTTGGTGTCCGCGCGGTTTTGGCCATTCACATCCGCAGAAGAAGTAGAATGGGACGTGGGCGTTATGGGTGTAGGGGTATCGTTGTTGTTCACCACCTTGGGTTTCGTAGGTACGAGCAGGGAATCGACCTTTGTTTCCGAGGCCATGACCATCTGCAGCCGGGTGATGTAGTCCGACAAATGCTTGACGCGTTTGTTCATCTCGCCGAGGGAGGATTTGGCGTGTGGGATGCGTGGCTTGACGGGTCGATCTGGGTGTTGGTCGCCGTGGTGGGTGGAGGAGTGGGTGGCAGAGGAGTGGTGGTGGTGGTGGTGGGTGCGGGTGGTATCGGGGTCTTGTGAGGCGGCGGATTGGCCGTTTTGGGCTTGTTGGCGGCGTGAGGACGTACCTGCCGACCCCCCGTTCTGTGCGTTTCGTGGTAAGCGGGTGCTCTTGCTGCCTCCGTTGACTTTTGTGTGCGATGATTGTAGTGGTGCGGTGGTTGCACTGTTGGCACTTGCACGACTCCTCGCCGAGTCTCCCTTTGCGCGTTTGCCGCCTTTCGGTGGAACGGCGTCAGCCTCGTCGTGGGCGTCTCGCCGTTTTCGGGAGGAAGTGGTTTCTGCCGTGTCTTGTCTCCCAGAACCGCTCTCGGGCCGGGCGGGGTATACGAATTCGTCGGAGGTATCGTTTCGGCGCTTATGGCTGGTCGTGTCTTGCAGAGCGACGTTGCCGCTGCTTTTTCGTTTCCGCTTGCCGTTCTTGCTGGACGACTTTTCTTCCACGCTGTAGAGACTTGTTGGGGACTGGGATTTGGGTGCCATATCTGGAGGAACATCGGGAGCCATGCATCAGCACACATCGATAATTCACTTTCAATTCCGCGACTTATCGCCACTACTTACCAATCTCCTTGCCCTCAGGTTTAGCAAGACTACTCGATGGCCGTCTTAGCATTCGCGATCCACTGTAGTTCACAACATCAGCCGAACTCCGTCGGCGAGGTCGTTCAGGTCCAGAAAACAGGGTGCCCGCGTGTTGTTGTTGTTCCGCCGGCACAGTGCTTCCCGGTTTCAGTAACAAGAGCTCGCTGTACGGTTGTGCTGCTTCTCGGCTGTTCATGGTGCTTCGTCGTTTGCCGGAGACGTTGACGACTGGCTCTGGTGGTGACTCGCGGGCTGCTTGGTGGGCGGCTTTTATGGCACTATTAACCATCAAACATGGAACGTCAACCATCAACCCAATCATCATCGACCATGAACCATCCATCATCAACCCATTGATCATTGACCATCAACCATCAACCCATCCACCTTCAGCAGCCCATCAACCCATCATCAACCTTCATCAAGCCATCAACCATCAAACAACCAGCAACAAACACGTAGGTGAGGAGAGTCTTGCGCCTTTGGCGCAATGTGGTGCTCGCTTCGGACGCAAAAGATCTGACGCTCGCTGCTGCTCGCTAGGTGTCGTGGTTAGGGGAGTATTGCGCCTTTGACGCAATGTGGCTCTTCGTGCGGTCGCTCTCCCTCACTCCACGACTCTCCTCCATGCTCAAAATACTCACTCAAAGTTAGGATGATTCCCAGGCTTGCATTCCTCACAAAAGTAGTGTTTCGGCAGCCGTTTCGGGTTGACATGCATGCACTCACAGTGCTGCCATACAAGACAGTCCTCGCACTGCACCATGACACCAAATGAGTCTAAAGCGTTGGAGTCGTATTGAGAGTCAGAATGGAAGAGACAAGGGAAGAGTGCATGACCTGCGAAGTGGGAGTGTATGGGTTAACATACCGACACGCTCGCAGACACAGCGAGTGACCTCATCCTCGTCTTCGGTGTCGACTATGGGCGGGTCCTGCTCGTCTGAGGAGTCAAAGACGGGTAGTTGGAACGCTTGGGCGTTGCGGTCGCCGTGTTTGGTGTCTGTAGTTGAGAGGGTGGGTTGAGGTGAATTGAGTGGGCGTTTAGCAACAAGCGTCATACACAGGTGGTGAAGGGAACGTGGGCCATATGCATACCTGCTTCAACCAGCATTGTTGCGGACAGGTGAGTGGGATCCCACGCTTGCTTTCGTCGCTGGGGAGTTGCGACGTCCCCAATTTTCGAGAACGGAGACGGGAGTGCAAGGACGGTTTGCGGCTGCTATGTATGTGGCAGCAGCGTGCGAGAGGGGTTCCAGCGGGCCGAACAACAACGTTGGGGAAGGAGGTAGGTATATATGGTCTCTGAGTGCCCGGTGACTTGCGAGTGCGGTGCGACACCGAGGAATGCACTAGCTGGAGAGGACGGGAGAGGACGGGCCGGGCAGGAGGAAGCGGGCGGCGGGTATGGGTTCTGGCAGCGAGTGAGGGCAGCGAGTGGGTAGCGTGCGACGAATGAATAGATAGACAGAGAGAAGCGGCTGAGACGGCGGGAAGTGCTTGTGGGGGGGGATGCTTGGGTGGGCCCAAAAGAGTTTTCCGGAGGGAGGGGGTGAGAACTTACAGGAGGAGGGCGACAGGGCTCCCGTCATCAAACGAACACTCGCGAACTGTTGCGACCCGTTCGAACACCGTGTTTAACCTCCCAAATTAATTCGCATGGTGCTCCGCCCGCTTATTGCCGTCGTAAGTCGCTGCTTACGTACACGCCGCGCTTTCAACCTGATGACATAACCAGACGGCAACTGGACTTCCACCTGGCGCGTTTGAAAAGGGCGCTCATTTCCTTCTCCCAACCCTCCCTTTTGTCGGCTACACATAAAGATCCCACATCGTCATCCTACTAGATGGCAGCTACATATATAGCGTCCTCCACAACAATGCTACATTAGTGTAGAAGTCAAGGAGTTCCATCGCTATCACTTTCCGGCATCCCACGTTGGCGAACTGCAAAGCCCCCGCACAAATTGAGTTTCCGCTCAGATACAACCACTCGTCAAAACGCGCGCCAGATCTGAGGCGACATGCAACCGGCTTCCATTGGTAATCGGATTAAAGGCGCACAGTTGAAAGAGGATGTCAACACGTTTTTTTAGCGAATTTCATGGCAGGCTCGCGAGGTACATAGGAGACCCCGCGGTTGCGTTGATTGCATAAGCCATGCGGGAAATGAAACGAAATGCTTTCGAGATGGAAGATGGAACCACGACCATATCCGGTGGAAAATGCATTGAGGAGCGACGCACGCGGCGGGACAATGTGAGAGGAGTAGGTCGACTCGTGTCACACACCAAAGAGATAGGTATAATCATTAACTCAGAGTGCGCCGTACGCGACATGCGAACCGCCGACTACGGCAAACGACCGTCTTCTAATCCTTTTACCAAGCATCGACAATCCGGAAGCCGGAAGGCAAAAGGAGTTGAAGTTCAAAAAGTTGCAAACCTATCGAATATCAGGCTTGCAAAACAATAAAAACAGCTTTCGGGCAGAGCTACATTCAATGACTCTGAGAATCTGAGACACAATCAGCGAGATCGAAGAAGGAAAATGGCCATCCCCTAGCAAAAAGAAGTCCGTTCGGGGCCAATGTGGGTGTGTTAGTCACGGAAGCATCTTGGCAGTACATGGAGCTTGGCAACATTGCCCCACTCGTTGAGACGAGGATACAGCGAACGCTGACTGCGGAAAGGTTCCAAGAGGACAAACCCCGAGACAGATGTAGGGATGAACGTAGACGAGCGTTTGCCAGAAACAATTGCCAGCGTGAATTCCCAACGAGGCAGCGGTATGTCGTCGACAGATGCGGATGTGTGACCCAAGAAGGACATAATAATCGAGGAAGAAGTAGGGATGGAAAAGGTGGGGCTACCAAAAAGCTTTCGCAGGTGCGATATCGCGAGCGATGACCGGAACAGACGTGGATGCGCGAAGGGTCGTGAAATGGGCGAAATATGTGAACGTAAATTTTAAAGATAGGACAACGCCCGTGGCAGCGCATGGACGAAGCACAGCAACTGCGAACTGCTACATTTGTGCCATGCCAGGAATCAACGACGACGGCAATAAGGTATCTCGCAAAGGATGATGATTCAGGCCCAGGTAGGAAAGTGAATGCCGTCAAAGTCCGCCGGCCTGTCAATGTCGGAAGAAGCCGGGGCGGGAGTCTGCGGGAGGGGCAAGCGCACGAGAGACGCGTCCGCGTGACTCACCGCTGCGAGCATCATCGATTCACGCAGGAAAGGAGACATCGATCATTACTAGGGCTTGGGACGCTCTCATAAAACAAGCCTTCCTTCCTGCTCGCTCGCTGAGAACAACCCCCCTCCATCTATCCCACTACCCACAACACACTCAACCCCCCCTTCTCAAAACACTCATAGCCAAAACATGGCCGGTCTTCTCTCCGTCGTTCCCGCTGGTGTCGTCACTGGCGACAACCTCAGGTAGGAGAAGGATCTCTCACCCCAACCTCCCGATCTCACACTGTTCAAAACGCATCCCATCTAACTCTCCCACTCCCTTTCTTTTTTTAGGAAACTCTTGAACTACGCCCGCGACCACGGTTTCGCCATCCCCGCCTTCAACTGCACCTCCACCTCCACCGTTAACGCTGCGCTTGAGGCTGCAAGGGATGCGAAATCGCCTGTCATTATTCAGTTCTCGAACGGTGGTGGCGCTTTCTTTGCTGGGAAGGGATTGGAGAACAAGAACCAGGAAGCCAGTATTCTGGGATCTGTGGCTGGAGCCCATTATATCAGGACTGTTGCGAAGTCCTACGGCATTCCCGTTGTTAGTGAGTATCTGAACCAGCGAGCGATAGCGAGCAGCGTTGATTCGCGCAAGGGAGTCAGACCGCGACGAGCGAAGCGAGGCGCAGGGTTGCTTGAGGCTGGCGAGACCTAGGCGAGCCATGGTTTGCGATGGGAACACGAGCGTTAGCGAGGTCGACCAGGGCGAACGCCTTCGCGTGCGGAGCGAGCAGCGTATCCTTCCATCCCAACGTCCATTTCATGGACATCCCAACGATCGTCATCTCATCGCCTACTTGTTTACTTACAATTTCAATCTCGTAATAATTAGTCCACAGCGACCACTGCGCGCACAAGCTTCTGCCTTGGTTCGACGGCATGCTCGAGGCTGACGAGGCTTACTTCAAAACTCACGGCGAGCCACTGTTCTCTTCGCACATGTTGGACCTGAGCGAGGAGTCCAAGGAGGAAAACATCCAGACCTGCAAAAAGTACCTCAAGCGCATGCACGCCATCAACTGCCTCTTGGAGATGGAGATTGGAATCACCGGTGGCGAGGAAGACGGTGTCAACAACGAGGACGTGGACAACAACTCCCTCTACACCCAACCCGAGGACATCTGGGACATCTACCGCGAGTTCACCGAGATCACCGACTTCTTCACCATCGCCGCCGCTTTCGGAAACGTCCACGGTGTCTACAAGCCCGGAAACGTCAAGCTTCACCCTGAGTTGTTGGGCAAGCACCAGGCTCACGTCAAGGAGCAGCTCAAGGCGAAGAGCGACAAGCCCGTGTGGTTCGTCTTCCACGGTGGATCTGGATCTACCGCTCAGGAAATCAAGACTGCCGTCGGATTCGGTGTCATCAAGGTATGTCCTTGCTCTCCATGAAACTCCATCACATCTTGGTCATACTAAATTATCCTTTCTCTCGCAATTTACGCAGATGAACATCGACACAGACACCCAATGGGCCTACTGGGACGGTCTGCGCAAGTTCTACGAGTCCAAGAAGGCCTACCTCCAGACCCAGATCGGTAACCCCGAAGGCGAGGACAAGCCCAACAAGAAGTACTACGACCCGCGTGTGTTTATTAGGGAGGCCGAGAAGGGGATGATTGCTCGTTGCACGCAAGGGTTCAAGGAGCTGGGCAGTGCTGGTGTGCTTTGAATGTAGAGGCGATCTGTATAAGCTTTTGATGGTCGTTCGATGAGGCACTTGTGGTATCATTCTGGTATCTCTCCAACCCTCTCTCTGTCGCCATCCTCATTTTCTGTGTAAATCATACAACCAAAAACCAAACACTATAAGCAAACCAAACACTTTACGGCGACAAGTGCGTAGAACACTGAGGTGCCTGTGGTGGTATTCCCGAGGCCGAAGCCTCCTCCATAACGACTTCTCTCAGCTCTCTGTGTGGGATATCAAAGGAGGAGGCCGCGTAAGAAAGGCCGCGGGCTCGTGCGGGGTCACGCTGTCACCACCTCCCAACTTTTCTCTGCCCGTTGCGCCCGTGGCAAAAGCCTCGTGCGCTGCGTATATAAACCCTCGTGCCGCCATCCCCGGACGCAGACACAGGCAGTAAGCACCTAGACAATATATAGTCAATACCAGTCCAGGGCAGAAAGACTCGGACATGCCCGCCTCAAACGAGGTTAGTTTCTGTCACTTTCTGTCGGCACGTAAATTGACGGCACTTCTTCTCATCTTGGGACGATTTTTTTTCCGTTATAGATCACACCCGAGGGAGGCGGCTATTTCATCCATTCGTTCAAAAGTCGTAAGTCTCGAAGGGAGAGGAATGATTCTCTTTTGCCGGGGCCCAGGCAGGGCTCCCCAACCCTCAAAGAACGGCAGCCTAACCTATCCCTCCCAACCCCCGCAGCCTCAGTCTCAGGCCTCCCCCTCCGCCTCCTAACCCACCTGATCGAATACCTCGGCTCCTTCGGCATCGCCCGCAAAATCGCGCGCGACAGTAACCTCTTCTACCTGCGCGACAAGCACCTGTTGGACGCGCCGACTTATTATCCGTTGGTTGAGTATGAGGGGGAGGAGGAGGACGAGATTGGGGAGAAGGGGTTGAGGGACGTTGCCGCCCCTGCGGGGGGTGTGAGGGTGGGGGGGAGGGTGTTTAGGTCTGTGGGGGATTTTGTGAGGGCTTATGAGAGGGGGGTGTCGGTTATTGAGGTGGGTTTGGCTGGTTGATGCTGTTGAAGTTATCATGTGTGACGGGTGGATGAGGAAGCCTCTTGTGGGAAGTGTGCCTGATGCGAGCAAACGTTTGACCGAATGCGCCAGGTCGCCGAAGCGGTCCTCAAAGCCATCGAGGCGAGCAATGACGACGCAAACGGGTTGCCGCTGCTGGCCATCATCAAGTCGCAGCGGGAAGATGTTTTGGAGCAAGCTCGTGGTAACGTCTCGTGTTGTGCTACTCACCGGCTGGGGCGGCGGAGCGGACTTTTTGGGCTGACTCGAAATTGTACATGCAGCTTCTCAAGAGCGACATGCCGCGGGCAAAACGTTGTCAGTTCTGGATGGTGTCCCTGTCGGTATGTGGATCCAGGACTCCCGTTCAAACTCAGAATAGTGGTCGAGAGTGCGAAGCGGGAAGATATCCTGACTGTGCATCATAACCTCCGCAGCGGTGAAAGATGAACTCGACACCCTTCCCTACGAAACCAGTACGTACCAAGCCCAACCCACAAAGCACGCATTCATTCCATCACCAAAACATCAACGCCTCTAACCACCTCACATTCACAGACGTGGGAACGTCCATAATATCCATCAACCCAACCCGCGACGCCTTCTGCATCTCAAAACTCCGACAAGCCGGCGCGCTAATCATCGGCAAGGCCAACATGCATGAAATCGGACTGGACGTGACGAACTGTAATCCGACGACGGGCACCGCGCGGAACCCGTATAATGTGCACCATTTCCCGGGGGGGTCGTCGGGTGGGTCCGCGGCGGCTGTCGCTGCGGGGTTGTGTCCCATTGCTGTTGGGTGCGGTGAGTGACGGGGGTGTGGAAACGTGTGCAAGATAAAATGTAGGCCGGGGGTTGAACTCACGACGATCGAATACAGATGGAGGAGGCTCGATCCGGATCCCTGCCGCGTACTGTGGCCTGTTCGGTCTCAAACCCACTACGGGTCGGATCAGCGAGACGGGCGCGTTCCCGCTAGCTCCGACCGTTGCCGTTGCTGGGCCTATCGCGGCGACTGCCGCTGATCTTGCTATTGGGGTGAGTTCCCGACGCGCATCAATGTCAAGATCTGGAAAACTTACGGCCAGAGATCTCACAAACGAGTCCATCTTGCATCTAGTACGCCCTCATGGCCGGACCCGATTCTGAGGTGAGCTTTCAAAAGGTCCCTCCACGTTCGCGCCACTGCCAGCATAGTTCGCTGACATAAGGAACGCACATAGGACGTCAACACGATTCGGCAACCTGTCGCACATCTGAAAGGTTTCGCTGAAGTTTCGTCGCTGAAGGGCCTGAAGATTGGCGTCTACACGCCGTACTTTGAGGATGCCGACCCGGCGATTGTCAAGGCGTGCCGAGAGATGCTTGCTGAGCTTGTGTAAGTTGTCCAAATGCGAGAATGCCTTTGATGTACCCCTGACGCATTCAACATCTCTACTTGGCGTGCAATCACAGAACACGAGGAGCCGAGATCATCGAGGTGCCCATCCCGGACCTAGAACTCCTCCGAGTCGCACACAGCGATACGATCGCGTGCGAGATGCTTGCTTCGACGAGCGGATTCCCTCGTAGTGGGTTCTCGTATCCTACACGAACGGGGTTGGCGGTGTTTGAGTCGCAGCTGACTTCGACTGTAAGCTACTACAGTTGAATCGCGCCGTTGTGGTATCATTGTGCTATGGGTGCTCGAAAACACTTAACGCACCCGCCCCCTCATAGGACTACATCCAAGCCGCGCGCGCCAAAACGCGCGGCATCGCCTCCCTCCGCGAGATCTTTGCGAAAGTGGACGTGATCGCAACGCCGTCGACGGGGATCACCGCGCCGTACATCCCGCCCGCCGTCGTCAAAGCCGCTGCTGGGTTCAGCGATTATACGACGAGTGGGAAGGCTATGCGGTTTATTTGTAAGTGGGATGACAGTGCAAACTTCTGTGATGGTTTGAGAAAACTGGGTGGCTTTTGTGGACTGAACGGTTACTCTCGCTCGACCCCTTAAAGTCATTGCAAACCTGCTCGGCATCCCCGCCGTCACCGTCCCCGTTGGATACGGCCCGGCCGATCCGCGAGGCGACTCCAGCGCCGAATTGCCTATTGGGTTGCAGTTCCAGGCTAAATGGTACGCGTTTTTGCCGTTGATATCAGCGGCAGGTTCCGGTGACTAACCAATGTCCCTTCTGTCGTTCCACCCCCCGTGTGCCTTCATCCCAACGCAATTCACCTATTATCCCGACGTCTCAACTCTTTCCCTCTACAAAACACACTAGGTGGGACGAAGCAACCCTCCTCCGCCTCGCGCACGCCTGCGAGGACGCGCTCGGCGCCAAACGCCGCGCCCCGAAGGTTTTGTATGATCTGCTGGCGGGTACGGAGAAGGGAAAGTTGGCGGTGGCGGGTGCTGAGGCCGTTGTTGCTTGAGATGGGTTTACATAGGTCTTAGATAGCATTTGGCTGCAGAGGGAAGCGTGTTCTTTAGCTGTACATCACACGAAAAACTTGCATTGTAGAGTGGTAGTGAATGATGTAGGGAGTTCATTCTTTGCTACGTGCTAGAACAGTGTCTCGTCCAATCCATTCGTCCACGCATCATCGCTGATTGAATTCGATGTTTTGGGTCAGACTTGATTTTCGATGCTAGAAAGAACCATGGTATATTGCAAGTCGCCTATTCTAAAGTCTATGTGCTAACCTAAGAAGCGACGGTGGGAGCCAGTATTGTTTGCATGTGTTCGGACAGTGCAGCATCCTCGTCTTCGAGTATGGATAGGACCCATTCGTCCCTTGTCCAAAGCTGCCAGACGTCGTTCAACACCGCCAACGACTCGATCAAGAGCTTGGGTTTCAACCACGGGGCACTATCAGTATCACTCGCGTGCTCATCCAGCTCTCCATCGCCAGTCCCCCGTCCAATCAAACCCAGCAAGCGCCGAGCATGGAACCTCCAAAACCGCCCGAGCATCCGATACCCAAACCCCGCATTATTCGCCTTCAACATCAACTGACAATGCTCACCCCACTCCCTCTCGCCCATCTGCTCCCTATGCTCCGCGATAGCTTCCCGAATGTACGCCAAATCCGATGCCAGGTTCTCAAAGATGTTTGGCAAGTTGGTCGCATTGCACCAATTATGGTTGATCGACATCGTCTCCCCGATGTTCTCAACCTGGTGCCACCAGCTGGAGGGGACGAAGATCAATTCCCCTGCATGCTGATGGATCACAACCGGTGTCGCGTTTTCAAAGTACTGTGGATGCTCGTCGGGTGTCACATCCCGCAGATCCGTGATGGTCTCCCCCCTCGCGTTGGTGAGGTACCGAGTCTGCTCCGGCGGGAAAAACGTCCATTTCTTCGTCCCGCAGATGTTGGCTGACCATGAGTAGCTGTTGAAGACATCGACGTGTAACAAAGTGGATGTGCCTGAGGCGCCCATGTAGACGAAGCGGTAGTCGTCGCTACGCGAAGCTGGGTCCGTGTTCTCGCTGTCGAGGAATGCGTTGAGCCAGTCGTCTTTGAACCAGAGGGGTGTTGTGTACGGTTTTTGATGGTTTCCGGTGGAGCGGAGATGGGAGACGAGATGCCAGTCGCGGAGGTAGATTTGCTCGCCGTTTTGCATACCATGGAGGAAGTGGCGGAATGTTGATGGGGTGGTGCCGGCTGGCTGAACCTCTATGTCCCCGTACCGCCGTGCTAAGAGATCATAGTTCGGTCGCCGCGTTCCTCGCCGCCCTGCTACCGCATCCTGCACGCCCTCGGACTCGGCGTCCTCAAGCGTCCACTCGGTAAACGCGGGTTCAAGCGGATATGAGAAGACGCAAAGACGGTTCTTGGCCATGTAGTTGGTGTGAAAGTCTTCGTAGGAGGGGAGTGGCGGCTCACCCGGTCCTCCGAACCTCACGAGGAAATGTTCCACATCGAGGGAGGATCCGGTCGCCTGGGGCGAGAGCGGCATCGGCCTGCGATGAGATGGAAGTTGGTTGCCTTCACGATGTCATGTCAATCGCGATCGCAAATCAGCTTTTACGGAAAGTGCGAGTCGCAGACCGAGTGAAAAGCTCAACAACTGGGCGTGTTCTCCTGTTGAGAGACGCGCTGTCGAAACCCGTCAAAGAGACGGGCTTGAAACATTCTGCGGGGGCCGGGCCGACTGGCATTTCGGCAACTTCGAATTCCCATCTACTCGCTAAAGAGCCAAAACCGCAGGCAACGGACGAAAAGGACTAAAAGAGGGTCGAAGCGTGCGCCGCGAGCCCTCGTGTGCTCCAGCACTCATATCCAAACAATTATCAATTGCAAGGGACGACAGCGGGTCGAAGCCTGCGATGTGAACCCTTCTTTTGCGCCAGCACTCATAAACATACAAAATATCAGTTGCGAGGAACGATCGCCTTACAGTCAGCTCGAACTCGGTTTTTGCCTGAGCCCGAACGCCCAAGCAGTCACCCTTGGGAAAGGACAAGTGCTTTCCGGTCACTTTTCCAACACCACAGCATCCCTACGTCCACTAGAACAAAATATGTCCGTGGAACCACAACTTGCGAGAGACGAGCGCCTGCTAGTCACGCTTCGGAGTGGCGGAACCGCCAATCCGACTATTATTGACGTCGTGTCGGTTTGCGCGCTGTTCATAGCCGACCACCTCGACGCAGCCTCTGTTCGTCGTCTGAGCCTTGCTTCCCGCGCGCTCCACCACTTGCTCAAGGACGACGACTTGCTCTGGCGAAGAGTTTTCGATAGCTCTTCGACGGTCCCGCCGGCTGGTCCCTCGCCTGATGCGGGTACCCTTGGATACCTCACTCCTAGCGTCGGCGCACCGCGCATCCCGGCAGCGCAGGTCGACCGCCTAGAAAAGCAGTACGAGCTGCCGTTCTTCGACCCCCCGTGCAACTGGTATCGACATGCCGTTGGGGCCGAGCTTTTTCTGGGCAGGTGGTCGGAAAAGTCGCCGGTACAAGTACGAAGCCGGCTGGTGGACGTCTGGCCGGACGTTGATGAATACGCGACTCGATACGTCGTAGTGTTTCAAGATCGCGATCGAGTCATCACCTATGTTCCAGGCGGTCCTGTCAACTTGATGGAGCGGAGGCTGGCGGCGCAGAAAACGCAACTCCTTGACAATATGGGGTTGTACGCAAGCAGTCTTTCTTTCGCCGCCAGCGACACGTATATTGTCATGGTTATCGAGGGCCAGGATCCTGCTCCCGCGGACTTGGATGCAGCGTTGTTCACAGGCCCACGCTTTCATGATCAGACAAAGACATCGGAATGCAGTGATCGGACTCGCACTCCCTCTCTCTCACTCGCACTGACAATCGTACTTCCTTCTTTCTATATCGTTTGGAGTGCCCAAGCTCCTTACAAGCACCTGTGGACAATCAAGGTGATGCGGGAGTTCGAATGGGACTTGCCCATTATGGCGGCAAAGGGGGTGATATCGGGGCACCATTTCATTGCGCCGGGCAGAAATGACGAGTTGCGGTTGTTCAACCTTCGCACTGGGTACTGGATCAAAGATCTTGATCTGCACTCCCATGGCATTCTTATTTTCCCTTTGGCGGATAGGGGTCACTTCGGCGTCGTAAGGAATGGTGACAAGATACTCAATGATGCCGAACAAGAAGAATCCGGGCCCATCGCCACGGCCGACCGGCGATCCCTCGACTTCGTTGACGGCACAATAGAGATGGTAGTTCAAACCGAGGAGCGCCTTCTCATCTATGGACCGCATGGAACGGCCGACTATCACACGGACGACTATGACTATCCCGACGAATTCTCATCCTTCGTATCTTGCATCAGCAAACACACTCGTCAGAAGCAATGGTTTGCGAAAAACCCCCCCTGGAACGTACCCCCGCCAGAGCAGTAACGTCCCTTCCATCATGTGACAAACTCGTGGTCCTCAGAAAATCCTCCCTCCTGCAGCAGCGGAAATCTCGCCTTCTTCTCGGGCGTAGACTCGGACCTAGGCCTCGTGCAAGTGATGGACGTTAGCGACGGGTCCGTCTCGCAGTTATTGCGTTTCCCCGTTCGTTCAAGCCGCAGCAGCTGGATCGAAGGTGCAGAAGCTGCGTGCGATCCATACTATCGCTTCGCGATGGCGATCGTCGCGGATGCGTACTTGGTCATCTGCACCCATACCGCAGTGCGAATCTATCTCATCTGCGAGAAGCAGTTATGCTTCCTATGCCAAGTGGATTATGCAAAGGATCCTGTCGGAGCGTCCGAATTGCGTGGGTTCGTCGCCACCCATGATCGAATCAAGTCTGGCTGAACACGCAGCTGTACCGTGGGGATTATATACTGATTGAAATCACGAATCCGCTATCTCGCCAAACGTAAGGGAAGTTGATTTGGGGGAGGTTATCTCGTTGTGCGGGATTGCGGTGTTGCGAGAATTACCCGCACTGGTAGCGAAAATTAGCGCCTTCACAGCGCCGGGGAAGCGAAGAGTATCTCAAGTTCGATTTGTTGCATTCAAGATAGCGGTGTGCATATGTACCCTCACCCGCCTGTGCTATGGAAAGAAAAACGAAAGAAACGGCGTAGCTCTTGATAGTTTTGGTAGCCATACATGCTGTACATAGTAGCAAAGAAGTTTGGTGATTTCCGGACAAGAGCGCTTCTTTGTGCATTCACAGGCGTCCGCCAAAAATCAGCTCTGATGTCGAAAATTCTTCTCGCTGTCGCAGCTCAAGCCTCATGTGCAAAGTCCGATTCGCATCAAGTCCGATTCGCAGTCCGATTTTCCTGGGGCCGTGGGAACAGGGCTCGACTTTCCCAATGCTTGCTACGGACGTGAAGGATGGCGCACCGAGAGAAGCGACCAGCTGTGGCGGTCGAACCAGTCGTCGTCCGGCCTGAATCATACCGCAGCGACGTTAGCCGATGACCGATGTCCGAGTAACAAGGAGTAGACGCATCCAGCGAAGCGTGCGAACCTACTGGCAGACGCAGTCATGCGCACCTCAGAGAGCAAATGCAGTGACTTGCCGACACAGTGAATCTCAGGGCACTGAGATCGAAATCCTGGAAGCGGACATCGCCACCATGAAGGCCGAAACGGAAGGTCGAGCAGATCGCGCACCGGAGGTCAGCGATCCGCCGGATCAGATAAATCGGCAGGCCGTGAACACCGTCCAAGGAGTAGAGCCGCGAAAGATGCTCTACTCTCCGCACACTATCCCAATGCAATCAGGGACACGATCGAATATGCGGCGTCGAGGCTCGCTCTAAATGAGTTGAAAAGCGCCATGAGAACGATGGAGAATCAATATCGGTTAAGCGGAATCGATCCCTGCGTGTATTGCTGGGCCGGTGTCCTGATCTGCGGATAAGTCCACAGCTGGATGGTCGCTTCACGAACCTCGAAGTGTGGTGCATATTGTCACAGTTCGTTCCCGCCATGATTGACGGTGGGTCTTTAGTGTCCGTTTACGAGGCTACCTTGGCAAGGGCGTTCCGCAAGCCAGAGCAGAGGAGGACCCCTTTCGTGAGAAAATGGCTTGCGGCGCTTTGCTTTCAGCAGGAACCGCCGGAAAGTTTCCGGTCTATAACAAACAAGTGCATGGTAAGACACTGAAGGAATTGGAGTGAGCGGCGGTGTCCGGTTACATTGACATCGACCTGCAAGTTTGGGCAGGCGACTATCCGGACGAGATCGAATCGAAATGGAGTGGTCCTTTCCTCCAAATCGATTAGGAGGCCACTGCACTGCAAGACGTGATTAAGGTTCTGCCACCGATTTACGCACATATGGAGTGGCTTCATCGCAACTGAGGAGCCTACGCTACTGGCACCTTTTCGGAAACACTGGCGCATGATTGAACGACTAACACATCCTAAGACCTTCCCTCAGGGCCGGCCCTTCAGGCCCCCGTCGTGGCTCTTCACGTCACCCTGTTTACTGGGACCGTAACGAGGATCCGGCGTATCATTGCAGTTCGTTCTCGTTTAGTGCATAGAAGACTCCCACTGAGGACTTGCGCGTACTGTCCCTATCACAGTCAGCCCCTGTAGAAAGGACTTCAACAGCTTTTAACTAGTAATCCGTTTCCTCCTCGTGGCCGTGTCACTGACGAAATCCTGTCTTGAGTCTTGATGCGATAAGTTCAGTAGCGCCTGACGCCCCAATCTGGCCAAAGAAGCTGATAGAGATGGCAAAGAAAGGTCCTTGATGCTTTGAGCTGCATATGCTAATATGTTACCCGCCAATCAATGCATCGTCAAAGTGATATGTAAATGTCAGCATATATCTAATGTGTTCCCATCTGCACAAGCTATGTACGCAAGGCATGCAATCCGCTAATAAATACACCGGCATTGGGGAGTCACAGGCAGCAAGATGAAACCTCCCACACGATACCAACGAAATCTAATCTTACGCACTGACACCATCTACCTTCACCGCACCGGCCCTAACCGCCTTCACCCTCTCCATCCCCTCACTCAACAGTCTCACAATCTCCTTCCCCTCCTCGCCCGCCTCGCGCGCCTCCTCGAGCGGCGTGGCGCCCCAATCATCCACCGGGTCCAGGAGTACCTCCACCCACGACGGCGGCACGTCGCGTGTAGGGGGGAGAGCGTTGGCGGGTGTTGTTGCCCCGTTGGAGTTGTTGCGGGTGGGGTGAGCGGAGAGTGGGGATGCGGGACGGTGCCAGGTTGGGGTGATTGGGGTTGGTGGGCGTTTGAGTTTGGGGGAGGGTGGTGATTGTGTGGCTATGGGTGCTGTTGGGGAGTCGGTGGTGATGGGTGGGGTGGCGCGGTCGTCGGAGAAGGCGAGGGTGTTTTTCTGGGCGACTTCGACGGCGTGGTCGATGATGTAGTTTAGGATGGGGGTTCGTTTTGCGCGACAGACCTGTGAATGGGGCGCGGATGTGTTTCAGCCGATGTCGATGGTTGACCTACGCGGCTACGGTCAAAAAGGATCTTGTTCGACGTACCATATGCAGCGACGTTCTTCCGTCATGAACAGGTTTGTTGAGGTCCGCTCCAGCGCCGACAAAGAATTTGAATAGCTCTAGATCATCCTTCAGCACCGCACTGCAGAGATGAACGAATCCAATGAGCCAAACCGGAAAGGGACCGCAGCAGCAATCGGAAATCTACCCCGGTTCCCAACCACATATCCAACCATCGAGACAAAACGACACCCACCTGAACAACTTCGCAGCAGCCTCCTCCAACTCCTCTTCCGAGAAATGCGCACCCGCCTCCCTCAACAGTTTCGCGATCGCCGGGCGGCGTGATCTCACGGCGTCCCAGAGCGCAGAATGCCCGAAGCGATCGCGGAGATGCACGTTGGCACCGTGGAGGAGCAGAAATTCTACACTGGCTTTTTGGTTCTCACTGCAGGCGATGTGTAGTGGTGTCTATGTACATACGGTGTTAGCGGTAGGCACTCAACCCCCGGCACGTCACAAAGGAGGTCCAGCGATGCCAGACGACTCACCCGCCCATCATAATCCCCATGATTAATCAACGGATAATAATCCTCAATCAACGACTGCAACCCCTCAATATCCCCAATCTTCGCCGCCTGGCACATCAGAATCGGCACGAGCGTTTTCTCAACCGCCGGCAGATTCGCGTCCGGTTCCTTCGCCTTGTCATTGGCATCCTCGTTCTTCACCACCGAGGGAGGCACGACGCCCAGCAGGGACATGACGGAATGGACGAGCCCTTGCGCGCCTTGTTGGTAGGTGAAGCGTTGTCTGCGGGAGAGGACTGTCAGTTCGCCGCGGAGGTTGCGGCGGATGAGGTTGCGGCATTCGTGGGGGGTGTAGTGTTTGCCGAGGAGGTAACTGAGTTTGGTTAGTGCGCACTGGAAGTTGATGAATTGTCAGAACGCGGGACTGTAAGGAATGGAATTTTCTGATAATGTACCTCTGGCGTCATGTCCGCTCCTGCGAATACAACAGTGCATCAGTCGTGAACCGCTTTCATATGCAAAAGACAAACGACCAACCTACCCGGAACTACCCCAACTTGTAGAAGCGCTTTTCCCGTGGCGTACAGATCTGTTACCAGTCCTCGCTTGCACTGCATGCGACCCATTTAGACTCAATGACCCCATCCGCAGCAAAAAGTATCCATTTGACGACCAACCTGCGTGCTAATGACTGACATCAGACAATCAACCGAACGTCCCCGGTACTCGAAGGATTCGGAAGAGCAAGGCACTCACCAGTTGACTATGACTACTCCTCGATCACTTGCTTCCCTGAACGCTGTCAGAATATCCTGTCGGTTGTTTGGTGCGTTGCCAGATCCGTAGCTGGGAGCAGATCCATGAGTCCACGGACATTTGATCGCGACGTCGCAAATGCATCAAACATACGTCTCCAAGACAACACCCTTGATGGGCGGCGACAGGAAAGCCCTGACAGTGGCTTCCGTGATGCCGGGAAACAACCGGAGGGTGGCTACGGACGGTTCCATTACTTTGTGCGCTTGGAATCTGGCGATGGCTGTAGGCCTTAGGACATCCTCCCATGACACATCTGCGACGCAGCCGGTCAGATCAGATCACGCCAACTTTATTGAAGGTCCGTGGCTAGCGGAGGACAGCCTTACCGATGTTGATCCCCACATTCACTAACGGCCGTAGATTTGGAGAATCGAACGCGTTGAAGTCTACCGCATCAACTTTCGAGGATCGGTTGCCTCTGTAGAACTTGTTATTGAAGAAGAGCCCGACTTCCGGAATCACAAAGTGCCCTGCACGAAAGTGACGCAGCTGGGTCAGTAAGGCCATATAAAGGGCAAGCCGAAGGAGGGGATGGCACGTTACCAGCAATCGTCAGAGCCCCAAGTACGTTGTCGACGGCGTCGTTACGAAGTTCGGATAGCGGCACCTATTTTCACGCATTAGTCCAGTTCCTACAATAGGGCTGCAAAGCCGGTGGTGGTACCTGAGACCCGCTCAGGATCACCGTCTTTCCAAGATTCTCGAGCATGAAGCTCAACGCGCTAGCCGTGAAAGCCATGGTGTCGGTCCCATGGAGCACTATGAATGCGTCAAACAATGTGTAGTTGACCTCGATGTCGGTGGCGATCTTCACCCAGTCGTTCATGACCATGTTTGAACTGAAGGGGCACAGTTGTGAGCTCTCCTTTCGTGACGCCCCGCCAGTCAGGGCGCACCCCCCAAACGCATTCGACGGACCTATCGAGAAGCGGCTCATACTCCAGAATGGAATATCTGATCCGTTTCCCATAAAGCGAAGGCGGCGTAATTAAAGCCGGTTTCCTCACTCTCACCACCGGCGTCCCATTAATGATTGGATGGTTGGCATGATCCCCGCTTGCCGAGACTTTGCCATCCGCCCGCGGCAGTCGTAGGGGCACATTAACCGCATTCGTCAAAGGATATTGGGACGCCTCGCTATCCAAGTTCCCGCCCCGCCCCGAGGTTTGCGCTGCGAACCCAATTGGGTCGTGGAAGCGCACCATTTGCGCCAGTGTCTTCGAGAGATAGCCGGGTTCGGGTCGGTAGCCGTGCTCAGGTGTGTTCTTCATTCCGATAGTGCCTCCAGTGTAGATGATAAGGACGCGGGAGACGTCCTGCCCCACCATGTCCTCCAAAACGTCGGCGGCGACGACCGAGTTGACCGCATCGTTGATATAGATCGGCTGCTGCGTTGGAGTAGCGGCGGTCATGGTTGGACTGCTCAAAGGGCCGGTAGCTTACTGCGGGCAATAGTATATCTTGCTGGCCTTATATTTAGAGATGCGTTAAGTGCAACCGCAAGGGCCACTTCGGCAAGGGCTGCATAAAAAAGGGAAAAGCGGAAAACGCAACGCGTCTGCGTCACGCCGCGCATCTCACGCGGGGCTTCACATACTGCATGCACCATGGGCCATGGCACGGTCAACGATGGAATAGAGGGTTGCATACAGTAGAATACAGTACATGCACACTTGTTCATTGACGCTTCATCATTGGCGCTTCACGGAGACCGTCGCGAAGATGGTACGGTGTCTCGTGGGTACACTTAGACTTTCCATTCGGCGTCCCCGTGCTCAAACCCGACTTGCCACCCATCCGGCGAGCCTCTTTTGCCTTCCATCCAGGGAGATGTGTCTGCATCATCTGTCGAGGAGTTATCAACAGTATTAGAGATGACGAACATACCGAAAAAGAAAATCACACCAAGGCAAGGCGTCCTGGAATCCAGTTTTGCTCGTACGCAAAGGGCATAGAAGTTGGATGGAAAGAAAAAGTCAGAGCGAGGCGTCCGCTCTGCGCAACAATGCATCACAGAGATAATCGGTGCCAATCTCGTTACAACCAAGCACGGCCCGCTAGCAGTTCCGCGACCTTCGCATAATGCGAAGGCGGTCTGGCCAGGAGGTGAGTCTCCAGATCGGACAAGTGCACATGGGATTGTCGAACTGCGTCCACGCGCGCTAGAGAACATCTTCCGTCCAATCTCAGGAGCATTCAGTCAAGATGCGTGTACTGAAAGGCCACTCACCTCCGATGCAGCTTTCTGACGCAGCAGTGGACTCGAAGGTATGTCTAGTCGGGTCTGAACGGTGATGAGGTGTCCGTTCAGTCGAACTCAGGCGTTGGTTCGTATATAAACCGCGAGTGCACGTGACCGTAATTCAATGTGGACAAGAATCGCTGGATGGACATACCGCAGAAAAACTGGGCAACGCTGAATATCCCATTACCCTCGTTTCCTCACAGCAACGGCGGTGAAACAGGCAGCCATGTCATACCAGGAACCTTACGACGAGGTATGTCGCTGTACACCCTACCGGACCAGCCGCCGCTCAGTAAACTGATCTACTCATTTTCGCAATTCAGGACGAAGTCCGCGCCGAGGAAGTCGAGCTTCCGACGGTCTACACCGGCGACGAGTTTGCCGACGAAGAGCTCGACTACAGCCCCGACAGTCAGAACGCCAACTTCACTCAGCAGGAGGTCCAGATCCCCGATGTTGTTCGCAACTTCATTATCCACTTCCACCGGAATGTGACTGAGAGGAACACGTGGGATCTGCACGCTATCTATGAGAATGGCTGGAACAAACTGACGGAGAAGTTCTTCCCGAAGAGCCACTGGCCTGAGCCGGATGCGGTCGCTACTCTTGTTGATGAGGGTTAGTTGGTGAAGAGAGGGTTGCAGCCTCCTTGGAGGGCTTGGAAAATTGGGGCGAACAAAAGGCTAAACCGAGTGTCACCGATTGTAGATCCTGTTTTCCTGATTCTCTACCGCGAGCTGTACTACAGGCACATCTACTCGAAGCTGACTCCCACCATCGAAGACCGCATCGGATCCTACAGCAACTACTGCGATCTCTTCAACTACATCCTCAACTCGTCCGCGGAACCCAGCGACCTCGAGCTCCCCAACCAGTGGTTGTGGGACATCATAGACGAGTTCATCTACCAGTTCCAGGCCTTCTGCATCTACCGCAGCAAAGTCCAATCGAAGAGCGAGGTCGAAATTGAGCTGTTGAAGGAACGCCCGGACGTGTGGAACGTGCACAACGTCTTGAACGTCCTGTACTCCCTGATCCAAAAGTCGCGCATCAACGAGCAGCTGCTTGTCAGCAAGAACGGCGGCGACATGATGGAGGCCGCCGGCGAGTTTGGATCCCGCCCGCTGTACCGGTTACTGGGCTACTTCTCCATCATCGGTCTCCTCCGCGTTCACTGCCTGTTGGGCGACTACGTGCTGGCCCTGAAGACGATGGAGAACGTCGAGTTGAACAAGAAGGGTCTCTTTGCGCGCGTCACGGCGTGCCACGTCACGACTTACTACTACGTCGGGTTCGCCTACATGATGATGCGCCGGTACTCGGACGCCATCAAAGCCTTCGCGCACATCCTGCTCTTTGTCTCCCGGACAAAGCAGTACCACACCCGCTCGTACCAATTCGACGCCATCTCCAAAAAATCCGAGCAGATGTACGCCCTCCTCGCCATGTCCGTCGCCCTGTCCCCGCAACGCGTCGACGAGAACGTTCACACCGCCATGAGGGAAAAGTACGGCGAGCAGTCTATCAAGATGCAGAAGGGCGAAGAGGGTCTCCCCATCTTCGAGGAGCTGTTCAACTTTGCCTGCCCCAAGTTCATTTCCCCAGTGCCCCCGGACTACGACGTTGCCACCAACTCTAATGCCGAGCCCCAGCGTCACCAGTTGCGCGTTTTCATTGCGGAGGTGCGCACCCAGCTGATGGTGCCTACCATTCGATCGTTCTTGAAGCTGTACACCACGCTTGGAGTGGAGAAGCTGGCGGCGTTCTTGGACTTGCCTGTGGATGATGTGCGCACTCAGTTGTTGGTGTTTAAGCATAAGACGAGGCAACGGCGGTACGAGTCTGGGAGCGTGCTGGAGGGAGAGTTTGGACCTACTACGGATTTGGACTTTTACTTGAAGCAGGTGCGTGATTGCTGGTTTCGAGCGATTGACTGGCGTGATCTCCCTTTGCTGACGATGACCGTGTGATTCAGGACTTGATCTACATTGCGGAGAGCAAGCCCGGACGCCGTGTCGGAGACTGGTTCATCAGGAACATCAACAAGTATGAAGGTAAGGACAATGGATCTTGATACTCTGCAAAACGGGTTTGGAATATCGATATTAATCTCTCCTATCCCATATTAGACATCGCCTCCAACATGGAAAGGCGTTAAACTCGGACCACACTCTCAACCCTTCCCATCCCAACACCCCACCCACAGTTTATATGAATCTAGTCCCAGCCTAGTGACACACCACTTCTCTAGCGCAGCGACCCATGAAACCTCCTTGTGCATAGATAAAATAACACCACCCTTCATTTATATACGCCCTCGTTTGTCTGTCACACATTTAGCCCTTTCTATATACATGTAGGATGACGGACCCTCCGACCTGCAGAGAGTACAGTACAAAGATTGAGTGCGTTTGTTGTTGTGTGAGATGGACCGAGGGTGTGGTTTACCTTCCGATGGAAGGCATCCCTGGATCTCAAACCGTAATCCCCATTCCAACCAAGACCGCGAACGACCCCGCATCCGCGCCCCACCTATCTATCTACCCTGCGCATACACCGCGGCCATTTGCTCGAACCGCTCAACTGATCCAGCTGTTTCGTCGTCAGGCTATCGAAAAATCGGAGTAACGGCGTAAGAAAACACATGGGTTCCATGCATGGTTCCCCTTACCGAGTAAAAATTACCTCGACCTGTGCACCAAAAGAAAGCTGGTCCAACAGTGCTTTGTTTTCGGTTATTTTGAGGAGGGCTTCTGCTGCGAATGCCTGTAGGAATAAATTGAATATAACATGTTCGTATGTTGACTCTTAAGGGTAGGGACTTACAGCTTTGGCCTGGGCGACCTCGGCGGCTTCTACACGTAGTTTCTTCACGGCTTTTTCTAACCTGAAGGGAGAAAGAGGGGAGAGGGGATCCGGCATACATTAGTGGGCTTTCCTCAGCCTCCTCGCGAACCACGTCAAACGAATGCGTCGCTAGCGTCCGCTTGCAAAGAAAAAGGACCGATGCTCGCTTCGGGCCTACAGGATCCCACCCAAGATCATCCCACAACCCTCTCATCCCACCCCGGAACGTACGCGTCCAATCTCCTCAGCAACACAGGCGGAGTAGCAACCTTCCTCCCCTTTTCGTTCCCAGTCGTCTTTGATCGCCTTCGTCCCGGCTGCTGCTGTTGGATGACAGTAGCAGCAGTGAAGTCCGCGTCTAGGTTTGCGGATAGAAAGTCGAGGTCTTTTGAGGCTTTTTCGAGGGCTGTGCGGAGGGAGCGGAGGGATGATTCCATTTTTGAGGGTTGGTGGAGTGGGGCTGGCGATCGAGCTTGTTCAGTGCGGTGGTGGATATAAAAGGGAGAAAGGGGGTGAGAAACAGGCTTGTCTGTTAAGTCGGATAAGTGCAGCGAACCAGCGGTTTCTTATGCAGCCTGCTGTGCCTCTTGTTGGAGGAAGGCATGAACGCGTGCGAGTCAGCGAGCCCCTGTCCCTCCACGCGTTAGTTCCCACGCTCTTGACTATTGTTCTGTGGCTGGTGGAGACAGGCAGAGATCTCTCGCTCGCACTCTCTCGCTCGCAGCCCGTCGTAGTTATCCACCGCACATACTCGCCCCGCTCTGTCGCCTGAAAGCATCCGCTCTCGGAAAGGACAACTCCCGGCTTTGAAATCAACTTCTCGCGCGAAAAGTTCGAAGCGCTCGTGCAGCATTCCAGTGAACAAGAAGAATAAAGCAGACGCCACAACACTTCGAAGCCCTTCTGCCGGCTGTTGAGAGAGTGCTGTCCGAGAACCTGTCTGGGAACGAAACGTGGGGAGGGGAGAAGCGCTGTCCCTGTTCTAGGAGAAACACCAGTCGCCAAATCCGACAGCGGTGCGATCAGTTCCCTCTCACTCCGAGAGTGAACGACGGCGCCCCTTGCGCCGAGAGACTATTTAGCAGAGACAGTGCTCATTGCTGATCGTTGTGCGGATTGGACCGTACTTCACCGTGCCGCCCACTCTGTGGGCATGTTTCTCGAGAGAGGTTAAGCAGCTGAACTCGCAGTTGGGTGGAGCCATTTTGCCTTGTCAAGGCAGATTAGACGCATCGGGCGATATTTGCACCATTGAGCACTTGCTGGGCTAGCTGGCAGAAGAGAAAGAGAAGGAGCGCTGCGGGTCTGCGTCTTCAGTCTATCGAGCATAACAAATAAGCAAACAAAACCTACATCAGCCCAACATGGATTCTCACGCCACCGAGCAAGCCTCTGGCCGCACAACCCCACCACCCACCATCCCGATGCCCACGCAAGGAGAGCAGGTCTATTCCTCCCACGCTTCCTTATCATCCAGCTTTCACGCCGCCGCACGATCACCAATGCCCACTACCCCGAGGAAACGGACCATAGATTATATGGTCAGCCCGAGCAGGACCACCATGACGTCGCCAAATAAGCATGCCTCGGCATATGCGATGCGGTCACCGATGAGGAACAGGCAGATGCCGAGTGCTTTTGTCCATGATGACGATGGTATGTAAATAAGATTCTAGAGAACCGCATTCGGTCCCAACAACATTGACACACGATATTAACCAGACGAACCAGAAGACACATTCTCCAACGTCCTCTCCAACGAAATCCTCGACGCCTCGCCCACAAAACGCGGCCGGCTCCTCGCAACGCCCGCCATCCTCCCCCGCCACCAGAACACCGCGCCCAGCCCGAACGACTCGAAATTCACGCGATCGCTCCTGTCGGCGGCAAGTCGCTCGGCGCTGGTCTCGACGCAGAAGGGGACGTGGGAAATTCCGCAGAGTCCTTATAAGATCTTGGATGCGCCGGATTTGCAGGTTGGTCTGTTTGTGGTGGATTTTGGTTTGTTAGCTCGGATGGTTGGGTTCTGATGCCGTCTTCATGTTTGATTCGATAGGATGACTACTATTTGAACCTCATCGACTGGTCGTTTACCGACATACTGGGCGTTGGCCTCGGTTCGTGCGTCTATCTATGGAGTGCCGCGAGCAGCAAGGTAAGGCAACGAAAATCCCAGAACAAGGGAGTCAGCAATATTTGCCACTGACTCGCATATCGATCTATTTCAGGTAACAAAACTGTGCGACCTCGGTGCCAACGACACCATCACGTCCGTCGCATGGATGCAAAAGGTAAGACTTCGTCTGCATATTCAGCACGTAGTTGCTCATGTTCACTGGAAGGCTAACCCCCCCATTCATTGCAGGGAACGCATCTGGCCATTGGAACCGATACGGGATTGGTGCAGCTGTGGGATATCGAGAAGGAGAAGAAGGTCCGGGAGTTTGAGGGGCACACGAAGCGAGTTGGTGAGCCGCTACTTTGTACGTATGTGTTTACCACCACTCTGTTCTGATCCATCCATCAGGCACCCTCTCCTGGAACGGCGAAACCCTCTCCTCCGGCTCCCGCGACAAATCCATCCACCACCGGGACGCGCGCATCAAGCGCGGCGGCCACGTAAGCAAATCTGAGCGACATGCAGCAGAAGTATGCGGACTGAAATGGGACTACGAGGGCGGGCAATTGGCGTCGGGCGGGAATGATAACGCGCTGTTGATCTGGGATAAGCGGGATTTAACAACGCCCGTGTGGGCGCCGGAGCATCCGCATTCGGCGGCTGTTAAGGCTTTGACTTGGTCGCCTCATAAGGTATGAATTGAAACCTCACTTACAATCGCAACGCTGGATGACAGGATCACAAAACTCACCCCTCTGCCGCCACCCCCAACAGCCCAACGTAATAGCCTCCGGCGGGGGCACCGCGGACCGCAAGATTAAAATCTGGAACATCCAATCCCAAACCCTCACCCACCAACACGACACCAACTCCCAAGTCTGCAACCTCGCCTGGGGCAAGCAAACCGAGCACCTCATCTCCACCCACGGCTACTCCCGCAACCATATCACGGTTTGGAAAACACAGTCGCACACATTAAAGGAAGCGGCGACGTTGACGGGACATGTGAGCCGGGTGGTGTATTTGGCGATGAGTCCTGATGGGCAGAGTATTGTGACTGGCGCCGGGGATGAGACGTTGCGGTTTTGGAAGATTTGTAATTCGAGGAGGGGGAGGGTGGGGGGGTTGGATACGAGGACTTGTATCATCTGAATCCGAGGAGGCTCACAGCATCAACACGGGCCGATGGGAGGGGAAAGGAAACACCATCATCGAGTTTCGGCAAAAAATTCAGGAGGAGGAGTCGAGTGGCATCCATCGTACGTGTTTGCTGGCATCAACCCGTTGTCAGGAAAGAGAGGGGAAAAAGAGTGTCTTGTGGGGAGCGAAAAGAGCTCCCGAGGCATTGCGGTAAACATTTCCGACCGCAGAAGTTTTTGGATATCTTTATCACATAGAATGCCACCTCAGAGGGCATGCAGAGTTTTTAGTTTTGGAAGTGCGTAAATGATATGATCTCTGTTGTTCATTATTCGGTCCCCAGTGGCTCGAGATCGACCGAATCACATCAATCCATCATCTCACATCAAAATCAAAGTCATGCAAATCACACCAAAATCACATGTCCGGGTGAATGGAGGCGCCGAGGTCAAAGCGTAATTTGCGAACCACCGACGTACTATGATACCCATGATGATTCAATCTAGCAACGCTCCATGTTCCTCTCGCCAAGGACGAAAAGATATCACAGAAAGAGGGTGTCCGGAAAACAGCCACCCCCTTAGGACCAACAAGTACAAAGCACACGGTAACTCTGGCAGAACGCCGTCGTCGGGCCGTTGATCGACTAGGACCCCTGGAATGGGGCGGTGAGAAACGGCCACGGACTCGCAGGGGTTTTAGGCCTGCGTGAGAGTGGGGGGTTTTTCGGTGGGTCGAACACTTTGGTTGGTCCTGCTTTTGCGTGGGTAAGGATGTATTGCACGCAGTACCACGGTGCGGGATGGAGAGCAGACGGTCGCAAAGATGGTAAGGAGGTCCATGGTCTTTGCGACGGGCTGCTGCCTCCGCTAACATGCTGGATCTGCTGCAGACGGGATCTCGTGGGGATCTCGTGGGGATCTCTCTGATGCAATCAGGATGGCAATCCTCCGCCGCTGGGAAAAGCGCCGTTCTGAGCCCTGCGCCACCGCACAAGCCACACAATTGGTCATACGTGTTCCTAATGCTGCTGAACAAGGCTGAACAACGACGACTCCCATTCATCCCAACGCAAACCCCCACAGCGTAACCAACAATGTCGTTCTTCTGGAGGGAAGCTGGTATGACGTACGTATCCTAAGCTTCCCAGAACACATCCCATCTTCATTCCCCTTCCCGACCTGAGCTTCAGTCGACGCCCAAATTCCAACTTTGATGTGCGTCTGACTTTCTCTCCTAACCTTCTTTAGATACCTGCAATACGCCAACGTCTCGGCCAAGGCGCTTCGCAACGTTTTGAAGGAAAACGCCAAGGTTCTTGCCCTCCGACGTGAGGAGCAGTACGCCAAGGTGCAGGTGTGGAAGGATGGAAAGCAGGGTGACTCGGTACGGGAGCTTTCGAATTGACTTTTTGTCGGCTGGCTGGGGTTCTCTGTAGATGGGGGTCTATGGAAGAAGCCATGTGCGCTTCTAGCAGATTCGCTGACTCTTCTTCTGATTTTTATTTTGCAGAAAGTCATCGACGCCTCGGGCAACAAGACCGGACACTAGTGTATTTTCCCCGCAACGATACCCACCTTCTCTGCCCATGCCGCTGGAAACGTAAATGAATAGAAAGCGATCTAGAGCATCGAAGATCTGGGGAATTGCTTAAACGACACCCTTTTTGGACTAAAACGACGCCCACTTGCTGACGTCCAGACCATTCGCAGCAAAAATCAGCTACAGTCACAGCTCGCGGAAGTGCGTCGCAAGATCCGTTTTGCAATTGCCAAGCTTTTTGCAAGGAATCTGCAACTTGCCATCACTCGCTTGGGGCTGACTGCATTGGGGCGGCCTCGCAGTGGTTTGACTGCATTGAAAACTCGACACTCGGCATCGCTCAGCCTACCACCCAACCATGGAAGCCCTTATGGAGTACTCCAGCTCGGAGGAAGAAGGAGAGGACAACAGGCGGGAGCACCAGGATGGGAGCACTGGGACTATGCAGGAGAATGATGGGGACAGCAACAACGGCGAGAATGGAATGCTCCCACCCCCTGTTGACGGCGTTGCCTATGCCACAGCCGACGCTCTGACTCCGGCAATTCAGGCTTTCGGAGCGACACAAGGGTATGCTGTTGTCAGGCGGCGCTCCAAAAAGCGTGGGAACACTATTTCCACTATCTACTATCTCTGTTAAACCCGCCAAGGCCATATCCTTATGGAGAGTAGTACGCTGCAGTGTGAACATAATTGTATGCGGGTGTAACTTGTTCGCAATTGCAAAAGAGGTCTCGGGCTAAGAGGTGTCGTTTTAGCTGCTCAGAGGGGTGTCGTTTTAAACTGGCTACACCCGGTGTCGTTTTAGCATTTCCCAAGATCTGACTGGAAGTGTATAGTGGGAGCGTTCTGACACCGAGCGGATTTGCGGTTTCGAATGGAATTCGTGAACAACAACAACACTGAGGGGACGAATGGGGGGTTGCGCCTTGGAGCGTACTCGGAAGATGTCAGAGGGGGTTACGGTCCACTTTCTATGTAGTGGGCTGAAGGGAATCATTCGTTAGGCCACTTTCAGCGGCGGTCTACGTCACCGTTTCAAAGGTTTCAACCTTCAGCCTCTACATCTTGTGCCATGTGGACAGCGCTCAGCATCTTCGGCCCTGCTCGACTCCCCAACTCCGACCTACAGTAGTTTACACGACATATACAGAACGGCACCGGCACCACATAGGCTAACGCTTGAGCAGTTCGCTAATATAGCGTCGCAAAGCGCATTCATCCAGACGCGCTGGTTTGGTTTGGACACCCATAACAGGGACCAGGCTTCGATAAACACCTCCGGCTCAGTAAATCTGGAGCCCGAGCACAGCTCACGCGATCACAACCACCCCGTGCGGAACCTCACTCAACATGGTTGCACCCCTGAGCCTCGCCCTAGCGGCCGTGCAATCCCTTGCGGCCGTCGCGTTCCTCGTCCTCGCAGGATGGGTCTACTCGCGCTCGGGACACTTTCCTCTATCCATGCAACGCGACCTCGCACGTTTGGTTGTTCAGCTGCTTGCGCCGTGTCTGTTGTTTGTGTCGATTGCACATACGATTAGTTTGGAGGAGTTTATTCTTTGGTGGCCGATACCGGGTGAGTGCCGCGAGCGTTAGCGAGGTTGGTTTGGTCCGGCAGTCCGATGGTCATCGAGGAAGCGAAGGCGGACTGCGGCGAGCGGAGCGAGTTCTTTGCGCCAAAGGCGCAATGCTCGTGATTACGGCTCTTAGCGAGCGAAGCGAGCATCGCTTTACACCGAAGGCCCAGTACTCCCCTCATCCACCCAGCCGAACCTTCTTGTCGAGCGGCATCCGCCCATCCAATCACTCACCCAATTAGCCACTCACTCTTTGCTCCCCATCCATCGCTCCGGTTAACCATCTAACCAACCATCCGTCGCTTCGTTCTAGCTCTGTTTATCGCAAATACGTCGATCGGAGCCGGGCTGTCGTTTGTTATCAGCAAATATTTGGGGATACCGAGAGGGCGGATGCGATTCATCATGTCGGCTGTGATGATGTCGAATACAAACAGCTTGCCGGTATGGCACACTGGTCAGAGTCTTGAAAGCTTACTATAAGATCTAACGCATATCCCGTCTGCAGGTCGGCATCATGCATTCCCTCGCACGAGATCCAGGGTCACGGTCCGTTCTGGATCCCCATTCAAAGCACTCCTCGGAACATGTCGCCCGGCGCGGCATTGCATTCGTGTTGTTTTACAGTCTCTTCAGCAATATCTTAAGATGGACTGTCTGCTATCAGCTGCTCGCCAAAAGCCCGCAGGATGCTGCCACTCCGGTGCTTACTGCCAACGACAGCCGGGATACACCGTCCATCGTGGAAACGGCAAGCGAAGACACGGCCGTGGACCAGGAAACCCTGTTCCCTGGCGACGCGATTGTAGCCGGTGTACCCGACAGTGATAGAAACACCTTTGCAGCGAGATGTCGCCGGCGTTCTCAAGTCTTCACCTCCTCAGAAGACCTGCAGGACTTCTTCAAGCAACGAACACCCATTGGACCGGACTCGGACGAACGGAGCCCGTTGCTCCCTCCGCCTGTCTCCAGCGGTGACTTCGTAAACAGCATCTCCCCACCCAGCCCGCGCGAAATCCAAGACAACATCTCCAAAACCCGCTGGGCAAACTTCAAAGAAACCATAAAGGACATCATGAACCCGCCCCTCTACGCCGCCCTCTTCGCCATCGTCGTCGGAATCATCCCACCCCTCAAAGCCCTCTTCTTCGGCCCCGACACGACTATCGACGCGCCACTAGAGGAAATGATCACCGACCCGCTGTATTCGCTCGGCGAGGCGTCCGTACCCATCATTATACTGACCCTGGGAGGGCAGTTGGGGAGCATGCAGGCGGTTGCGGAGGGGCCGAGCGAGGAAGGAGTTGTGAAGGATGCGGTGGTTGTGATGGTGATTCGGATGATGCTTATGCCGTTGGCGGTGGGGGGTTTTCTGTGGACGGCGGGTGATTTCATTCCGTTGGGGCATGATCGGACGTTTTTGATAGGTATGTTTGGCTGTCTTTTTCAATCTTTTTGAAACCGGGGACACTAGCTCCTAACGTATGAATCATTTCCCACAGCAATGATGCTCCTCAGCGCCTGCCCCACAGCCCTCAACATCATGAATATGTCGCAGGCGCAACGAAACCACGAGAACCGCACGGCGCGGCTGCTGTCCTACAGCTATTTAGTGTGCATACCGGTACTGACTGCTTGGGTTGTTTTGTTTTTGTTGATGGTGGAGAGGTTGTAGACGCGGGTGTTTACAGGGCAGAACTATCGTTTTTGGATAGGGAGGTGGGGATAGGATTTTGTAGGAAGGCAGGGGTGTGAAGCGGAGCACTCGTTTAAAGGCACTGTATTTGGCACATGAATGGAGTTCACAGTGGGCTTGACAGGAAGACTCTTTATCGGTAATCTGAAGAAGGCAGAGAGCAATGCGATAGGACCGGACAGCCAACACTTGTAAATTTTGTGGCGGGACGCCATGTAGTGAGAGCCATCATTAGCCAGATTCTATAACGCGTCCGCCGTGTTGTACAGTACATAAGCTGTCCCTGCCATTATGTGAGCGCAATACGCGTGAGGCCACGTGACATGTGGTGATGAGTAAACGCGGACTGCGCATTTGCGTCCTTTGGGATCGCCGGATAGCGGAGCTTCCTCGTAAAATATGTAACGTCGGAGGTGGAGCTTTGCATTTAGTAACCGCCGCAGGCCTCCACCAACTTCCAGTATAGTATTCTACGGCTGGATATCCTCCAAATGAGCAAGTTACTGCCTCCGGTCGGCGGAGCTGCCTCGCCGCCTCTCGCCTCCCGAATACTATATAAGGGGACGAGACGCTGCTTGCCATCCCCAGTTCGTCCAGCTCCAAGAAACCCTCTCTGCTACCCGACCAGCCGAACTTCACTTACTCACGTACCTTTTCAACACAACTCCTATCTGCTCATACCATGGCTCCTATCGCAAAGCAAGAACATTACCGGGTGGTCATTGTCGGGTCAGGCCCTGCTGGCCACACCGCCGCCATCTACTTGGCTCGTGCCAACGTCAACCCTGTCATGTTTGAAGGTATGGACGAATACACACTTTCCGCCGTTTTTTTCTCACGCACTTCTTTGCTCACCATGTTGCGCAAACTCTAGGTTTCATGGCAGCTGGAGTCGCAGCTGGTGGACAGCTCACAACGACAACCGAGATCGAGAACTTCCCCGGTTTTCCTGACGGTCTTTCCGGCCCCGAACTTATGGACCAGATGCGCAAGCAGTCGGAGAAATTCGGCACGAAGATCTTCACAGAAACTATATCTAAGGTTGACTTGAGCGTGAGGCCCTTCAAGCTATGGAGGGAAGGAAGCGATGTGGAGGATAACGACGCCATTTTGGCTGATGCCGTCGTTATTGCCACGGGTGCCACTGCTAAGAGGGTAGGTCTCATGACAGTTCATGCGGAATAGGGAACGAGCCGTGCGCTGACCATTGCACTTCTTCACACCTTTCCAGCTTCACATTGCCGGCGAGGAAACGTTCTGGCAAGCCGGCATCTCCGCCTGCGCAGTCTGCGACGGCGCCGTGCCCATCTTTCGCAACAAGCCTCTCGTCGTCGTCGGCGGCGGCGACTCTGCATCCGAAGAGGCAACGTTCCTCACAAAATACGCTTCAAAAGTCTACGTCCTCGTCCGCTCCAACAAACTCCGCGCGTCGAAGGTCATGGCCGATCGCCTGCTCGCCCACCCGAAGGTGGAGGTGCTCTGGAACAAGGTACCCGTAGAAGCCAAAGGTGACCGTCTCCTCAAACAACTCGTCATCGAGGACACAGTGACAAAGAAGCAAACCACCATGGACGTCAACGGTCTCTTCTACGCCATCGGCCATACACCCAACACCGCCGTCTTCGGAAAGCAATTAGACCTCGATGACGTCGGTTACATCAAGGTCAAGCCCAATGCGGGCGTGCCATCCACATACACAAACATCGAAGGCGTGTTTGCTTGTGGTGATGTGCAGGACAGGACGTACAGGCAGGCAATCACGGCCGCTGGAAGCGGATGCATGGCTGCCCTTGATTGTGAGAGGTGGTTGGAGGGGCAGGAAACGCACACCAAGATCTCAACGCTCACGATCTCAGAATAATACCCCCGGAAACTCTAGCTAGACTGATTTCATCTCAACCCGCCTCATCGCCTCATGACCTGTATATATAGATAGATTAAGTATTTTCCACTCCGGTTTCATGATTTTGCATTGCTTTTCTGTTTTCCGCAACACACTATTCCTTTAATATATGGCCGATTCTTGGAACTCCGTCGAAAATCCATGAAAACGCTAGCAACGCGCATTTAAATCCGGGAGCGGAACTCCATGGATTTGCAATGTGCATGCGTTGGAGGCACTTTTGTCCTGGCCGTTATAATTGTCGGAAGGAGCGTAAACGCATACTGAGGCGGGTCACACTTGGCCTACGGACATGACGAAAAAAGCATATTCTTGCTTACGCTACGCGTTTTCCTCTCACGGCAATAACGCGTTCTTCCTTTCCACAGACCATTCAATCCAGACCAAGGCCCCACATTATCATCAAACTCATATATTAAATGGAAAAAAACATACATGAGAAATCATACAATACAGTATCAGGTTTCAACGCAAAGGAAGGGGTGTATTTGGATAGCGGGAGCACTGCCTGAAAGGACACGGTGTGTATGCGTATGGGTATGCATAAGAATGCATGGGGATTGAGTGGGTGTATGTATCCCGGTGTCGATCGAATCTGCCGACTCCCATGGGATCGGTTCCCCAAGTGTTTCGTGGTCGCAGCAGAGACATATGCAGGGAGAGCGACGCATGAACATGGTGCGGCTGAGAACCGCCCGAAATGGGCTGAGGGAATAGGGTAGGTCGTGGGGTCTTCTCTACATCTTAGGAGCCGGTGGAGGCGTCCCAACATCCTTCCCATCAACATTCAGATCCTTGCCCTCGCGCTGCTTCTTGAGCTCTTCCTCGATCGGGGACGCGTTGGGGTCTTGGAATGGCGGCTCGCCAAAGTATTCGACAAAGTTGTTGCCATCGGACCATTGTCTGTGGGGAGGATGAATGTTAGAAAATCGAATTCTGCAGACGCTAGATCACCGGGTAGCAGAGATCTGAAAGCTTTACCTGGGACCCAACAGCCTCATCATATCCTCCCGTCCAATAACCTCCTTCTCCAGCAACAACTTTGCAACCTTATCCACGGCATCTTTCCTCTCCGTCAACAGCTTCACAGTGCGCTCGTACGCCTTAGCAATGATACTCCTCACTTCCTCATCAATCAGGCGGGCCGTCTCCTCAGAATACGGCTTCTGGAACGACTCCTGCTGTCCGTTGGGGTTTCCGTAGGAGATGTTGCCGAGACGCTCAGTCATGCCGTAGGTCATCACCTGGGCGTAGGCCATCTTGGTCACACGCTGCAGGTCGTCCGAGGCGCCGGTGGTGATGTCAGGGAAGAAGATGGATTCGGAGGCGCGACCGCCGAGGGTCATGCACATCATGTCGAGCATTTGGGCGGTGGAGTGGAGGTAATCTTCTTTGGGGAGGTACTGGGCGTAACCGAGGGCGCCGACGCCGCGGGGGATGATGGAAACTTTGAGGAGGGGGTGGGCATGTTGGAGGAACCAACCGGCGACGGCGTGGCCGGCTTCGTGGTGGGCGACGATGTTCTTTTCTTCGGGGGATAGGACGCGGGTCTTCTTCTCCAGACCTGCGACTACTCGCTCGATGGCGGCTTCGAAGTGCTTTTCGGTCACCGAGTCAGCAAGGTTACGAGCGGCGATGAGGGCAGCTTCATTGCAGACGTTGTGCACGTCGGCTCCGGAGAAGCCGGGTGTCAGCGCCGCGAGCTTCTTGGCGAGCCGCTCAATATCCTCGTTGGTCTTGATGGGGCGAAGATGGACTTTGAATATCTCGACTCGTCCCTTAATGTCGGGACGGTCGATGTTGATGTGCCTGTCGAAACGACCAGGACGCAACAGAGCCGGGTCCAGGACGTCTGGCCTGTTCGTACCGGCGAGAACAACCACGTTCTCGTTGGATCCGAAACCGTCCATCTCGACCAAAAGCTGGTTGAGAGTCGATTCACGTTCGTCATGACCACCGCTGGCGAATCCTCCCTTGCCACGGGCCTTTCCGATGGCGTCAATCTCATCAATGAAGATAATGCATGGAGCATGCTTCTTGGCGTTGGTAAACAGGTCACGAACACGGGAAGATCCGACACCGACAAACATCTCAACGAACTCGGATCCCGATACACTGAGGAAAGGAGTTTCGGCCTCTCCAGCGGTCGCTTTGGCAAGCAGGGTCTTTCCGGTTCCAGGTGGGCCAGACAAGATGGCACCTCTGGGAATCTTTGCTCCGAGACGTTCGTAGCGCTTGGGATCCTTCAGGAACTTGACGAACTCCATAATCTCCTCCTTCGCCTCGTCCATTCCAGCCACATCCTTGAACTTGACCTTCACGTCAGTCTCCTGGTTGAACAACTTTGCGCGAGACTTTCCGACGCCGAATATACCCTGACCGGCGTTCGAACCGCCCATCGCCCGCCTCGAGAGCCACAACAACAGACCTAGCGTAAGGACCGTGGGTGCGAGGTTGATCAACAGCGAAGTAGCCGAGACCTCATTGGCGTAAGTAACGGGAATACGTTCGCGAGGTGGGATGCCAAGCTCGCGCTGTGCGGCCTCAAGCTGGTTCTCAAAGGACTCGGTGGATCCGATCGTGAAGTAGTAGTGAGCCACGTGGGCGGGCATTGCGCCCTTCGGGGACGAGCGCAGCTGAGGTGCGTCAGGACGCAGATATACCCGAACGGTGTTGTGATTCACGACTTCCAGATGGTCCACGTAACCCTTCTCGAGCATGTTTGCACGGAAATCCTGGAAGGTGATCTGCTGCTCCTGCGCCATGCCAGAGTACATGTTGTAGGCCAGGAACGCTGCGGGGATCCCATAGAACAAGATCATCTGTGGGTTGATTTTGAACGTATATATCTCGATTGGCGTGTCGGGCTTGTTTTTGCCTGTGAGACGTCAGACGAGAATAACTATGAGCGTTGTAAACGATTATTCGAGTGCTTGCTGCACACGATGTTGTCTTTTTTGCGAAGTGCCCAGCTCCAAAGTACATACCATCACCGCTTTGCTTCCTCTTCCTTCTCCTTTGAGTCTCCTTTTCCTCGGCCTCCTCATCCTCTTCCTCGTCCCTCTTATTTTGCTCCGACTCCTTCTCCTTCTTTCCGTCCTTCTCCTTTGCCGATGTCGCCGAGGCTGATTTCTTCGATCCCTTTGGGTTTACAAAGTGTTCAAACCCTGGCGGGAGCTTAATCTCGATTTTCCCATCGTCCTCCTCGTCCTCTTCCTTCTTCTTATCGCCCCGACGGGGTGAGTTACCCGTAGCCATGCCCCTGCTTTGCCATATCGACTGTCGCTGTGACGGCTGTGCTCCGAGAAGACGCGCTGCTAATTGAGGTTGTAGCGAGGACAGTGGGGAAGCAGGCAGTGGAACTGCTGACCGGTAAAACAGATTCCGCAGGGAGGAAGCTTGAGTGGAAATGGGGGAGGTGCTAAGGAGCCAGCACTTGGGGGTGGGAGCTATGCTTGATGCTCTTCTCCGCACTGCGGTAGCGGCGGAAGATCCCACCGCGGTGGCGAGGGAAGCGGACATTTAACGACGATCTGAAGTCCGACTTGTCACCTTGTGCGTATACGGGATCTATCCAAAAAGTGTAACGGAGCTAGAGGCTTTCGTGGGGGTGTTGATGAGGAAGAAAGGACCAAGGGCTCAGGTCTCCTCAGATATGAAGCAGAAAGCGAGGAAAGCGAGTTCTCGACGGAAAGCGTCGTCAAGGCGGATGGCCCTCAGAAAGCCACGCGGAACTTCTTGACTGGCCCGCGGTTCTCAGGTTTCTCCACCGCAAAACAACCCCTCCGGTGGACACCTTGACCTGACAAACCCGCTCCATCACGCAGCCAGCAGCCACAGCAGCACCACGTCCAGATCCCTCAAGCACAGTTCATCCACCTTCGGAGGCGTTACGGCATGTTTTGCACCTCAACTTCACGTATCTCGTCGTATTCGAGATCTATCAAGCAGCTCTGTGCAGGATCTTGATGCGTTTCACCCACGGGTCATCTTGTTGATGAAACGCTTCAAGGTTCTCCATCGGGGCCTCTGGGAAAGACGCGGACTATGCCAATTCGGCTTTTGATATTCAAGAGGAGGAACAAGAGCGCAGAAAGCGAGAAGCTTGGACGCTGGTATGGAAGTTTTGTGATTCCGTACCTCGTCTGCAACCATACAGTACATACTATAAGCTACACGGGGCACCTTTTTGCGCAGATGGAAATGGATGTATGATACACGATCATTTACAATGCCCCTTTAGTCCGGCACGACGGTCGAACACACGCCGGAACGAGAGTGTTTTCGAAAGGGAAGCAGCTATACTTCTGCGGGATCTCACCAGGGCGCTGAACATTATTCGAGCTTAGGAGCATGGGCTCGTAGAAAACCACGTGCGTTGGGCAAGAGGGTTTCCGCCTGTAAAAAATCCGGGAACATCAACTTGGGGAAATAGCTCAAATGGCAGAGCGCACTGGAATCAGCAGGGAATTACGACCACCTTGGGCACTCTTCGGGCAGGGATAAGGCGGGACGATAAAGCGGGATACAGTGTATAGCTTTGCGGTGGAGAGAGTGAAACTGGAGACCAAGCCGCTGGAAGAGATCGGTCGACTCACTTCCGCCGATGTTGGGTTTGCCGCAAAAGTGGAGAATGAGGCAATCTTTCTTGCCGAAAACCGCATGCGCATGGAAGTCCGTCTGATGGTTCCCCTCAAGCGGCCATCCCGGTTCTCGACTTTTGCGGATCGTTTGGCGCAGACTCTCTATCACGGCACCGCCCAGCGGGTATCATCGACATGCGGTGGTGCGACCGGTGGATATGGAGGGTGCGGCGGCGGCGGCGGCAGTGGCGGTTACGGAGGTGGCGGTTACGGCGGTTACGACATGCGCCCAACATAACAGCGGCCCAAACCTACTACCCCCCACCCCACCCCACCCCTGTACAACACTCCCCCCCACACCCCCCGCACACTGCGCCGCCTCCCGCCCGGTTGGCAAGCAGGAGACTGGTTCTGTTCTAGGGCGGACTGCGGCCACCACAATTGGGGGAAATGTGTGGAGTGTAACATGTGTGGAACTCGGCGTACCTATTGATCGCCAACCTCCCTACCACCCAAAAGCGCATCCCTCGCCTCCCCAAGCGCAAACAAGATCACCGCCCAACACAAATCAGGCGACTCTAGCGGGTTTAGCAACCGGCACCATCTCAACAGCACAGTTGCAAGCTTATTTAGCACAACAACAGCAGCAGCAGCCGCACAGATATGATACATGCTCGTACGGGATGAAGAGAACCTTTTGCGATGGAAGTCATTGGAAAAGAGTGGAGGATGGACAACATGAAAAATACAAATGACATCAGCAGAATGAGGTAACGCACACCGTGTTCACATAACGACACTTAGGGCCACAATCGAGCCACAACACGAGACAACGCGGTCCATCTGCGTTCCATACAGCGCCAAAACCTCACACAGTTTGCGCGTTGCGGGATCGTCAAGCATTAGAACGACAGTCCGGCATCCAAAAATACGAACGGACGAGAACAAAAAATATTGGAGAATGGGGGTATCGATCCCCCTGCCTCTCGCATGCTAAGCGAGCGCTCTGCCATTTGAGCTAATTCCCCGTTGTTATTTCCGACGTTTCGAATACAAACATATATTTTGTAAACGTCGAATGTAAACGTCGAATCACTTGAGAAAGTCCACCCAAACGGCCCAACGGGCCATGGGAAAATTCGTCCGAGGTATATCCATTACCAATATGCGTAGTGATATGCCAGTAACTACATTGATGCTGGCAAAAGGCGGCCAAAATCGTTGAGTTATGTACAAGAACAGACACCGAAATTTGTACAGAGGAAGAAATGAAAATCGGCTCGCTACGCCGTGTTTGTCTCTCACGCTTTATCATCGGCCCTCGCCCCTCGCACACCCTCTCCCGCCTCATCCATCTTGAATCCCGCATCATCCAACCTCGGCGTCGCCTGCGCCATAGCAATGAGCGTCGTAACCGGCGTCGTAAGCGCACCCAAAAAGAAAGTGTAAACCGCTTTCCAAATCAACGGGCCCCACCCCATCACATCCTCATTATGCCGCATCGCAGGCCAGAAAGCACACCCGAGCCCAATCCCGAGGCCCCATGCGAGCGGCAAGCACAGCAGCGAGAACACAAACCCGCGAATAAAGGCGTTCACGATCCGTTGGACACGGGCACGACCGCTGATCCCCGGCCCGAACAAGTCCAACGACGGGCGTGTCAACCATGCCCCTAAGCCCGACTGCGGTAATCTCCACCCCTCCACCCCCGCCTCGACAATCGGCCTGACCGTCCCCGCCCGCACATCCTTCCACGTCAACGCGCCATCGAGCACCCACGTCAGCGTGCCCTGGACCAGCACGGTCACCGCGGCGTCGCCCGCGAGAGTGTTTGGGAAATTCCAGAGGAAGGAAGGGCTGTTTTTATACATTGCGTAGGCTATGGCGAAGTTGATGCCGGCGTCGAGGAAGCCGGAGCCGATGGAGTGCATTAGCAGGACGTAGAGGGTTTGGCGGGTTGTTAGCGGAGGGAAGAAGGGGCGGCGGGTGGGTGGTGTTGATGGTGAGCTTGGGGAGGTTATTAACGTCATGGTGAGCTTAATGTACTATCGACTGTATTTGCAAGGTAAGTTCTCGGCAGCCTTGTTGGACGGAAGACTAGAATGTATAGGAATGGCTGTTGTTGTCTCCTGCGCTGAAGTTTTAAAGTCGTTTCCGCCAGGGTATTCAGGTCGTGTATCGGGACAAGAACTTCGCTTCGACAGGCACAAGAACTCTCTATATATGTACGGTCTTTCCGTATTATTTATGTACAAGGGATCGGCGGCGGAGACTGTGCCGACAAAGCAATGGGTGGCAATGGGTGAAAGTCTGGGTGAAAGGGGACGAGCAAGCCGTATCGAAAGACTCGAAACACGCAGGCGTCACCGCGGCAGATCCCAATGGCGATCCTCGCACGTGAATTTGAACTTTACTACGTAGATTTATCGACTCGCGCGATTTCCAAGCTTCTGCTCCGGCACCTTGCGAGAAGAGCAGCGCGCGCATCAACAGTGATCAGGAGAGACTGGTACGAAAGGGAAGACCGTTTTCATGGCAGTAAGATGTAGTCTGGGATGAATATTGATACAAAAATCATGCAACAGAGTAAGTACTATGCAACTCAAAATTGAGTGAACTTGTGAGGTTCTATCTAAATGTGTATATATACGCCGCTTACGAAGCGAGGAGACCGGAAAGAGATCGAGGTAAGAAGTATAAGTTCGCAGACAAATACGCCCAACACCGTGCAGATGTTCTGTAAACAATACCCGTCCTCAACGTCCTCATAAGGAGGCATGGGAATCGATCAAGACGCCGTTGTCCACCAAAATCGGCTCCAAAGGATGTCCGACCTCCAACTCATCCAAGAAGCGATTGATCCTGGCCATCGCACTGGTGCTTTCCTTCAACCACCCCATCATGATCCACACATGCACCATATCGGTGAACATTTCATGCCGAACCCAGCCGTGGGCACCCTCCCGGCCGACGTTGTCGCGGTCGTATTTGTAAGCGAGGGCGAGGGAGTCGTCGCGAAGGACTTCGGCCTCGCCGGCTTGTACGAGGATTGGGGGCAGGCCAGCGAGTGATTCGGCAAAGATGGGTGAGACGAGCGGGTGGCGGGTGAATTGCTCGACTTTGTCGCGGATGAACGATTTGGCGGCTTCTGCATCGGAGGAGGCGGAGGGGGAATCGCTGTGGAGATGTTTTGCGGATGGATAGAAGTTGACGAGCTCGGTGGCGGATTTGATCGAGTCTTCGCCGTAGAGGTACATGTACACTGGGTGGGGAAGGCCCGGGACAATATGGTCGTGAATCTGGCGGGCATTCGAGGGTAACCAATCGAAGCTTGCGTTCGTCAACCAGGACTCTGATGTAAATGCCAAGTCGACCCAAGGGCTCATCAGCGTAGCTCCAGATGGTAGGGGAACGAGATGCTCGCCGCTCGGGGAGCGAAGGTATAGGTTGAGGTAGTTAAGTAGGCACATCACGAGGCCACCGCCTGCCGAATCACCCATGAGGACAATGTCGGCCGGGTTGACGGGTTCGTGGGTCGGGTTGAGGTGCTTGAATGCGGCGTGGTGCGGGTTGATGAGATAGAGGTAGCCGGCAAATGCGTCGTGCAGGGAGGCGGGGAACGGATTCTCCGGAGCTAACCGGTACTCAACAGCAAAGAGCTTGCAGTTGGCTTCCTTGGCGAGACGCCCAGTAAGAATGCGATAAAGCTGGTTGGTGCCTCCGATGTACGCGCCGCCATGGAGATAGTAGATGACCTTGTTCCGAAGCTTGGGCAACTCTGGCTGCGGTTGATAGTCCGCATTCTCGTCGGAAAACCAGGAGCCCAACCAACCACTGATGCCACCAGAGAATTCCTCTGGTTTCTCGTTTTCGACGGCCAGCCACTCTCCCTTCAGTTCGTATTGTCTTGCCGCCTCGTTCCACTTCGTTTCGTTCTCCGGAAGCACAGTCGGGTAAGCTCCTGCTTGCTTGCCCTCTCTCCATTCCGCTCCGTTGTCCTCGAACGTCAAGAGCTCGTCCCTGTTGACGATAAACGACACCTCCTTCAACGCAACACCGGATGGCAGCCCTCGCGTCGTTCCAGCAGCACCCATCCGTCCAGACCAAAGACGCAGACGCGGGATGGAGATACCATGGAACGCAAAGTTGGATCGCAACAGGTAGACACCCAGATGCAGCGCTGTGTTCCAGGACGGCTTGGCGGCGCCAGTCTTGGCAACTTCCAGTATCCCACCAGCGAGTGTTTTGACCTGATGTGAGCCGAATGCTGTTAACACGGCTAACTCGTTCCATGTCGTATGCAGGACGGCTTTTGGGAAGTCGAGGGATGGAAAAGATGGGAGGGAGGGTATCAAGGAAGTGCTGGACGAGGAGGTGAGGGAGGCTGATGCCGATGATGATCCTCCGACAAGAGAGCGTAGGCTCAGTCTTGATGAGTTGCGTGGGAGGCCAGGTCTCGTCTTAGCGTCCTCTGTTGAATCCTCGTCGGATGACGAGTTATAGCCGTCGCTCTCCGACCAGTTCGGGTTCGCTTCTGGGCATTCTAGACACCATGCAGTTGCGAGTCCGTGCAATAGCATAGGATTGGGATCAAAGAAAGCGTCCATGGCTTTGAGGTCACTGACCAGCGTGCGTACGGGGAGCGGAGTTGAGTTCTCTGGTAAACGATTGCTTTGTTTGTGTGAGGTACGAATGTGATACTCGGTTCAGAAGTTTTTTCGCACGTTGGGTAGGTTTTCGGAGATGAAACGGGGTGAGTTTGCGTGCGGTTTGTGTGCGTGGTATATGGCGGTGTTTGAATTGTGGTGCTCGGAGTGCAGTTCCCAAGGAGGGGGAAAGCGGCGAGATGCTCTGCGGGGTTTAGTTGCGTATGTCTGAGAATAGCAGGTTGGGTGAGCCCTGGGACGACAAGGATTGCCTGTTGGGTTAAGTATTGCGTGGGAAAGTGGGCTATTCCAGGTCACAGCACAGCAGGACGGGAAGAAGGAGAAGGAAGGCAGGCGGCCGAGGCATGGATGGATCTGGCTGGGATCTGGGATGACTTGGGAAACACACGCGTCCCGTCCCATCCTCCATTGTTCCTGCGTCAGACTTAATCATCGGCGCGTGCATTCGAAGCCTTATGATTGGGCTCGCTGATGTCACTGAGACGGCTTGAACGCCAAAGCCCCACAGTTTGAACCCCCGCATTGACCTCCGAAACTTGGCAAAAACGCGTCGAGGATTCCGATCGCATTTGATGAACGTGACAAGGCAAAACTGGATCCGCCATCTGCCGTTCGCGTGCCAGTACGGTCACAGATGCAGGTCATATGCCCACAAAGTCGGCGATCCTTCCTCATGTCCCCCGTGCCACGGGTGACGGAAGCATGGAAAAATTGCGGTCCGCGACCGGGGACACGGTAAATATTGACAGGATGTAGCCGTCAAACCTTCGTTGCAGCGGCCGACGCCAATTTTCACGACAGCAAATTTGTCCTTGGGATGCCAGCGGCCAACCTGCCAGGGTCCAGACTCCAGACTCCTGCAGCGATGGAAGAAGAGGTCAACTCACCAACGGGATTAATTCAGCTTCAATGTCGATGGCAGGGAATATGCAAATAGGCGATCCCGCCACGGCATGTTTTGAGGACTCTGGATGGACCGGCGGTTTGTATGCGACCGCAGGGATACGCTGATCTTGGGTCACATCTCCAGGCACGAGAGGAACGGCGGCATCAGGCGTATTTCTCTTTTGAGAAGGGGACCAAGGATTGTGGGGGATACGACATGGGTTCGTTGGCAAACGAGGGGTATGCAGACCAGCAGACGTCCGGCACCCGACGCCTAGATGTGGAAGACGCCAGGGTGCGACGGCCCCTTAACAAAACGTACGTCGGAGACACTCGCCTATTGCACTCGGAGATCATCTTTCAGTTTTACGCGCAAGAAGAGGCTGCTGCTCCGCGCCAGTCATGGGAGATAACCGACGAATCAGGCGGATCCGCCCCAGCTCCGCGTTGGATTCTCGCGCGCTGCCGTTACCACTAGCTTTATAAAACGCCGAGGCTGCCGAATAACTGCCCAACATGCGAAATCAACACATGAAAGAACCCGCAAGGATGAGAGTAGAGTCGGGCCCCTTCTTGAAGACGGCGAACGTCCGAAGCCAGGACTGCGACTAGCAGTAGATTTTGACGATACTGGACATGCGTGCGACAGCTCGGGGGCGTCTGGGTCTATGTATATAGAAGGCACAACAAGTCGTGGCGCTGGGTGTGTATCAGATACGCAGACGATTTACCTTGGACTATATCATTGGCGTCGGCCTGCACGTCCTCACATATGCCATCGCTCACTTGCATGCCGTCGATAACAGATGGCTACATATTGAACAGAACTTCCGCGTAGCCGCGTTTGGGACAGCGCGTCGTCATCCTCTCAGAAGCCTGCAATCGGACACGTTTTCCCATAGGCGTTCCCTCATGCCGTCAACTTTTGACATTCCTGAACATGTCATGGCTTGTCTTGACATGCACTTTTTCTCAGCGTCCCCGAAACATGACTCTATTGAGTTCCTCGACGACATTCCTCTGATACATGCTCAATAACAGGACGGCGGTCTGTGTGGTATCCTGTTGTAATCACTATTCTCGACCTGGGACCTTGTGGGGTACCCACTAGATCGACGACGCGAATTCCCAATCCACCAGCGTTTCCACCACTGGCATGAAGGTGACCTTCCCCTTTGCGTACGGCTGGCAAAGAGCCGAAGCTCACGCTAACAGTGTACAACTCTAGTTCGGTAAATACATCCAGTCCCAGCAGGCAGAATGGGCGGGCCCAGACTACCTAAACTACAAGGGCCTGAAGAAGATCATCAACAGTTTGCAGAAGGATAGAGACTGGTTGGCTGCTACTGGCGCGGGACTGTCGGCGGAGGAGAAGCAGGCTGCGAAGCTGCAGGCTTTGAAGACGGCGTTCTTTTTCCAGTTGGAGCGGGAATTGGAGAAGGTAGTTGGCAATTCTCAGTGACATCTTGCCAGACCACGTTTATACAGAGGCTGCGAACTTTGGACTGAAACTCCGGATTTCCTAGGTCAATACCTTCTATCTGCAAAAGGAGGCCGATCTACAGGCTAGGTTGAAGATTGTGCTGGAGAAGAAGAGGATTGCACAAGGGCGGCAAAAGCGGCTGTCACATGCGTCTTTGATCACTTTGCGGGAGGGCACATTGCAGTTTCGGCATGACTTGACTAAGTTGCAGGTAAGGGCTTTATCCTACTGCCAGATGTAACTTTGCCTTTCTGGAACTAAATAGCGGTGGATTCTGCAGAGATTTGTGGAAGTGAACGCCGAAGGATTTCGCAAAATCCTAAAGAAATGGGATAAACGCTCAAAATCATCCACGAAAGAGCTGTACCTCTCCCGACAGGTTGAAATACAACCATGTTTCAACAGGGACGTGCTCGCAGAACTCACAGATCAGGCAACGACCGTACTGGCCGAAATAGAGCACCTGTTGTCAGAAGAAGATCCCGAAACTGTGACGGCGCTGGAGGCTCATAGTGTTGACCACTCGGCGATTGGCGAATCGATTCTGATCAATGCGTTGAAGTGCAGGAATGCGCTCGCGGTTCGGGAATTCCTGGCGTCCTTGAGAAAACCTAGCCGTGAGGAGGTCTCTGGCGGTGATCGGGAAGCCTTATCGAAGATCTTACTTCGATTCTGCACGAGTAAGGAACCGGAGTGTATCGACCTGTTACTGGAGAGCAACTTGGTGAGCTTGAACATTGCTGACGATATCAGCGGCCGGACATGCCTCCACGAGCTGGCCATTGCAAACCGGGAAGAAACGCTGGAAAAGTTCATCCGGAAGGGCTCCAAAGTGGAGGTCACAGATGCATATGGCCGAACGCCGCTACACTATGCAACAATGAATGGACAAGCCTCCATAACACGGTACCTCATATCAGTAGCTGCAAACATCAACGCAGTCGACGACGATGGATGTACACCGCTGGTGTACGCAATAAGAGCAGGACACGCGGACTGTGTGGAGATTCTGATAGAAAATGGGGCAACGGTGGAACCCATATCATCAACAGCCCCAATTCCGCTTTCCATAGCTTGCGAACACGGCCACAGTCAGATTGTCATGTTACTACTGAGCAAAGGCGCCCAGCTCACCGCGGACCTCAATGGACTGTTCCCTTTACATCTAGCAAGCAGAGAAGGGCATCAGGACGTTTCGCGCCTGTTGCTCTCGCATGGCGCAGATGTGGACGCTGCGGACGGGCTGAATGGGTGGACGCCCATCTTTTACGCTGCGTCCGAGGGCCATCTCGAGTGCGTGCAGGTCTTGTTGGAGGTCGGGGCTCGGATTGACATGGTGGACGAGTACGGATGGACACCGGTCACATATGCGTTGTATCGGGGACATATCAAGATCGCGGAACTGTTGGAGTTGAAAATGGACCCGGGGTTCTCCTCGAAACAGGGCCAGTCGCCTCCGAAAGTGGACAATATTAAGCCCATGGCGCCTAGCGAGCTGTTTTCCGCCGCTCCTGACCGGTCGAATTCGCCTACGCCGATGGATTTGGATCTGGATGAGTTGCCTGATTTGTCGTTACCACCGCCGATCATTCCGTTCAGAATATAGTAAGTTATTCATACGGTGGCGCGAGCATCTACGCGTTCATGAACTAATTCAATTTCCGAATCCTTAGTGGACACGCCTTCTTGGACAAGAAAGCACACATCCGCGTAACGCTGAAAGGACAGTCCGCATCCCATCCTGGCCCAGTGTCACTGAAGGAATCTCAACAAATGACATCGCTCAAGCTGGTCATCAGCGGCAAACCCGAGGTTGGCGTGCCATACCACGTCATCCTCCCACTACAAGACGACCTCGAAGTCCACACCTTCCTCGTGGAAGACACGGCGTCCTTTTCGCTGCAGTTTGACGTTTTCCCTACGTTTGGAACTAAGCCGATCGGACGGGCCGTCGTGCTTCCCTCGCAGATTGCGGCTCTGACGAGGAGGAGATGGGTGGGGCCGGGCGAACAGGAGTCTGCTGTTCTGCCATTGTTTGACCCGCATCTGAGGGTTGTTGGGGAGGTGCAATGTAATCTGGAGATTGTGACGCCTTTTGCGCACCCGAGCTTGCAAATTGGTGGGAAGGTTGAGACATATTGGAAGTCTACCAAGGTATAACATGTCCCTCTTGAGCTTCCTTGAGGCTGGAGTTTAACCCGAGTCTTTTATGTCTGCAGCTCGTTGCGGCCGACAAAGCAGACGGCACCCACTCCTTCATCACCGCCTCATCCCTCGCCGAAGAATACATCCAAGTCGTCGTCCAACTAACCAACGACGGCATACCCGTCATCTACCCACACTGGCGCATCGCGAACCCGGAGAACAGCGTCAAACTCAGCGTCGGCAACTTTTCCTTCGAGCTGGCACGCAAGTCGTTTGAACTTGCCAAGAAACGGAAATCGGAGGCGGCGTCACCTTCTGCTGCACCAATAATACCACCGGTAGGGGCGCCACAGCCGCATCGGTCCCCGTCGTCGGGACTGTTCCCGAGGTCACCGTTGGGGCAGGCGCAGAATGGAAGCCCGACGGAGATATCGAGACATATTTACGATTCCTTCTTGAGCCTTCATGAGCTTCTCCAGGTAATGTCGTGCCGTCCGCACAGAACTTACTGGCGTACCACCCACCTGCATCACGTTACAAACGCGGACGACTAACCACCTCTTTTTACATTCTATCTAGACCCTTCCCCACTCAATCGGCGTGAGCATCCTCCTCAAATACCCCACCACCTCGGAACGCCTCACCCACAACCTCACCCAATTCGTCGACATCAACACCTTCGTCGACACCATCCTTCAAGTCGTCTACGACCAAGCCGCCGCCCAGCCCCGCTCCATCATCTTCATGTCCTTCAACGCTTCCGTATGCACCGCGATGAACTGGAAACAACCCAACTATGGCGTCTTCTTTGCGACGCATTGTGGGTACCCCAACGATGAGGACAGTGAGGAAGGGACGTACTCAGCGAATCGATGGCCGAGGGAGGAGCCTTTACCCCCACCCGAGACGTTTGTGGAGTATTCAAAGTGTCGGTCGTTGAAGGGGGCTATCAGGTTTGCGAAATCGAACAATCTGCTGGGGATCGTCTGTGAAGCTTCGCCTTTGGTGAGTTACCACCTATTTCGTCCACTGGCGCGTCAGACTTGCCGGCCCACTGACCACCATTACATCATCGGGCGAACAGGTGAAAGCGCCAACACTCATTAAAACTGTCAAAGAGTCTGGGCTCATCCTCGGAACCTGCGGCTCCGCGAATGCCGACCCGGACAATGTGCGCATACAGGAACGCCATGGCGTCGATGCCATCGTCGTCGACAATGTGTTTAGATATAACGTCAATCTTACATGAGGCAGCGATGAGAGCACTCATGCGTTGCCTTTTGCATGGTTGCAACGTTCTGTTATTGTAGTCCTCATCTCCCTTACAAAGCCTCGCTTCTCCTGGAGAGTCTGCTTTCCCCGATTCATTCACTGTAAATACGTACGTAAAAACCAGATTTTTAACGTTAATTCCCATTCCTCATCCCTTCTGTACACCCCAATGCTACCGACGAAACCATGTGTACATCTTGGGACGGCAGAATTGTGCAAAGTACCTCGAAAAGATGTCAAGGATAACGTGGGAATGCATATTAAAAGCGAAGAGATAAATCCGGGCCGTGACAATTTACGTGCCGAACCGGAGTTCATAAAAATATGGTAAACGGGTTTGTAGGGGGAATAATGATGGCTCGGGTGGCGGAGAGAACGCTTGAGGACAGGTCACGATGCTGATGAGGGGATTGGGAACAACTCATCTATGCGAAACAGTTCTGTAGTTGTGCCGAGGCTGGGATGCTTCGCCCGGGATAGAGTGTGGAGGGGTTGGTTTGACGTGTGGTAGTGGAGGTGCTTACAAGTTGGCACTGCGAAAAATCGGACGTAGATGCGTTAGGCGTCAAATTCTCATGAATACAGAATTCTATTCAGGTCGCTCAGGCCCGATGACTTACATGACGGCCTTGGTGAAATCCGTGGTTGTGTTCTTACCGCCCAAGTCGGGGGTCAGGACCTTGCTCTCCGTGATCACCTTGTTGAGCGCCGCCGAGATCCTGTCAGCGTGCTGATGGAGGTGCAAGTGACGCAACATATGGATGGCACTCAGCAACAGAGCGGTAGGGTTTGCCTGGTTACGTCCTTGGATGTCCTTTCCGACGTGACGGCATCCAGGCTCGAAGACGGCGTAGTGTGTGCCGAAGTTGGCACCGGGAACGAGACCGGGTCCACCGACGATGGCAGCGCCGACGTTGGAAAGAATGTTACCATACAAGTTACCGCAGACAATAACATCGAATTGCGATGGCTTGGACACCAGCTGCATAGACGCATTGTCTGAAAGACCAAACAGTAGCGTCAGATAGGTGGACAAACGTACAGGATAAAACGATCCTCATGCCAGATCCATACCAACGATCATGTCCTTGAACTCAATTCCGTAGCTCTCGTATTGCTTTGCGACTTCCCGGCAGGTGTTCAAGAAAAGACCGTCTCCGAGCTTCATAATGTTGGCCTTGTGAATAGCGGTAACCTTCTTCCGCCCATTCTTCAACGCAAAGTCGAAAGCGTACTTTGCGATACGCTCGGTCTTCGCGCGGGTGACAACCTTCAACGACTCAACAACACCGGGAACGGGCTATCCACGCAGAAGATTCGATCAGAACTCCACCATCTGCAAATACTAGGGAGTATAGGCCACGCATGAACATACCGTGTGTTCCAGACCGGAGTATTCTCCTTCGGTGTTCTCACGGATGATGGTGAAGTTGACGTTCTTGTGGCGTGTTGGCCAGCTTCCGGGGAGGTTTTGGATGATGGATGTAGAGGCGAAGATGTCCAAGTCCTTGCGCAGGAAGACGTTGAGGGAGCTGTGTCCCAGCCTGGACACAGGTGTGTACAGGATACCTATCGAGATTTGCATGATGAACTCTCTCTATCATGCATCTAGAGTCCTTAATCCGCATTGTTCCGTCTGCTCACCCTTCAGGGCAACCTTGTTTCTCCTGATGGAGTCCATAGCCTGCTTCAGCAGAACCTCGTCCTTCTTGGTGTATCCACTCAGGTCGAACTGCTCCCACTCAATTGGGACCTCCGCCGCTCCAAAGATAGTCTTAACGGCGGTAGCCATCTCCATACCAATACCGTCACCAGGAATGAGGGTGATGGTATGCTGTCCGCCGTAAACGGTTCCAGGCTTGAATTGCTGTGGGAAATCCAAGGCTGAGGCGTGAGCACTTATGGGACGGGATTGAACTACGATAGCCTCGATCGTCACTTACGCCTCCGGGAGCAGGAATGAACTGCTTCTCTTCGGTAGTTCCGAACGCACGGACAGGAACCGCCTGTTTTCAAGAAAGTCCATATTAGCATAGTGAGGATGTGCGGATTTCGTTCGAAGCCGTTCCCTCCTCACAAATATCGCCATATCCAGTGTAACCTATCCAACCGCCCGACCTGGGTCGGTCCCCTCGCTGTTTTCCAACGTTCCTAAGCTGAACCTATCCACGTTTCCCACGATGTCAACCCATCCAGAGAGAATAACTCACCGTCGAGCGAAGGGCAGTTGCCCGCAGGCATGAGGAGGACAAGGGCCTGACGGCCGTCGACAAGTTACGGAACATTTGTGCGAAGACTGTGTTGGGTAGTGTCGGAGAGGAGCGATTGCCAGACGATGTGCAAACGATGAGCTCTGCGAAGGCTGGCAACTTGTTTCTTGCAGGCTGTTTGGGGTAAGCCTTTTTTGCGTAGCTATGGCGGCCGCGTAGTCGCGATGGTCATTCCCGCCTCGATTCTTCTATGAGGTTACGGACCCCTTTATAGGAACGATGATACGGGAGACGCCCATTTTGCCATCAACGTCCTTATCCTCAATGGGCTCGTCAGCGTGGCATTCGCGTTTGCTTTGCCTCGGAACTGCGCGTTGGTCGAGTTGAAGGCGAGAGTCACGTGACGTGACTAGATTTATATCAACTTTGGACGCGTGAACCCTGGGCGCTGCAAACCCATCGCAACCATCTCCGAACAGAAAAGGCTGGCAAGCATCCACACTCTCCAGGTATGTATGTGATGTTACGAGAGAACGTCACGGCGTCTCAGGTTGCCGAAGTGAATTTGAGGTACGTGAAGGCACGGGCACCTTGAGAGCTCAGAGGGAGCAAGGCGGAGCGCCTGGTTTTCGCGTGTTCCTGCAAACTGTAACAGCTCAAGGGTAATCGGCAGGAGGGTTTGGAAGAAGTATTCAGGCTTCATCCTACCCATACGCTTAGAAGTATCTGCCTCAATCTGCAGTACTGACATTGAATGCATCATAGGAAACGGACGCCCACTCCATATCATAAAGCAATGAAAAATAATCCCATCAAATTTACAAATATCGACACAACGACACTATCAACAACGATGACACATACAGGGTTCCCGCATCCTAACCACATCTCCTCACGGAATTATACTACATCCTCCAACGTTGGTCACTAATCCCATCTATTTGCCCAGTCTCATCCTTCGCAATAGTAAGTGGTAAGCCTTTCCTCTGACCCCTTATATCTCGCGCTCACGGTGATGTAGTCGCCCTCGTCCCCGCAACTGGCTCCATCGCCTTCAGCCAGCTGCAAAAACTCGCAGTAGGTAGATCCGTCCAATTTGACGCTCGTCCAAAGCTCCAATGTCTCCACATGGCGCACCTGCAGCTCGACGGGCCCTTGTGACTGGTGTGGGGTGCCGCACACGTAAAGCGCGGTTTTCCCGGCTAGGATTTTGGCGTCTGCAAATGGGATCGTGACGTTTGCAACGACGCTTTTGAGCGAGGCTTTCGAGCGGAGGAGGAGTCCATCGCCGTCCGAAGGCGATGAGAGGGCGACGATGGGTTCACGCGTCGCGATCGGAACAGCCAGTGATGAGATGAAGGGGTAGGATGCGGGCTCGTCGATCTTCCGCGGGGGGCTGATTTGAGCGAGCGTGCGCGGCTTGTAGGCGGCGACGAAGGGGACTCCGGCCTTCCTGCCCTTATGGTTCCTATAGCCAGCGACGTAGATCACGACCTGTGTCTTACTGCCCGACTTAGTCGCAGCTTCGCCTTTGCCATCGAAGCCCCCAATAGAGATAAACGATTGTGCGGCTTGGACGTTTTTCACGCGTCGGCGTTTGCCGAACTTGCCCTTTTTGTCGATGATCTGGACGAAGAGGAAGTTGCCATCGTCGTCGGAGGCTGTTTCCGACGTTGGTTGGCAGACGCCGAGAAGATAAAAGTCACCGGTCAGGGGATCGGCGGCGCCGGTGGCATACACTGGGGATGGGCAGGCACTGCCCTTGACATGGTGTGTGTAGAGCAACGTGCCATCGGTGGCGTCGAAGCGACGAGTGGCAATGAAGTCTGGAGCTGTCAGACCGGGATACGATGTTAGCCTTGTGGCATGCGGCGTAGGTGGTGATCACACCAGTAACTTACCGATTCCAACTTCATACACATCGGAATTGGCTTCGCCTGTAATCAGTTGAGTGGTGTATGACGAGGCTTCCTCCGTATAACTGCAAGGGGTCGAAAGTCGTGTTTAAGACTTGGAAGCACGTCTTGCTTCTCAAGACATGTACTTGCACTTACTGGGACTCCCATTTTGTTACATTGTTGGAATCGGTGGCAGTCAGCTTCGAGTAGACGGTATACGCGTAGTCCTTGCCCTTGATGTCCTCTGCAATCTCGTAGTATACACCGCCTGAGGTGCGAGCAAACATGTGAGACGTTGTCGGAGGGTTTGAAACTGATTTGTTGCGCACAATGCACCAAGGCTGACCTACTCACCATTGATATCGGCTGCCGCAAACCTCGTAGCCTCCAGCGACGTGCCGCGGTCAGCTTCCCGAGAGAGTTGCACCGCGCATACCAACGCCATGGATCCAGTCCATATCGCCGCACGGAATAGAGATTGTCGAGATATCTTGCCGAAGAACATGGTGTTGTACAGTAGGTGTTTATCGAATGGCTCTCAGTTTCTTTTCGAGAAGAAAGAACCTCGCCGGCCTCTCTTTATATACAGGCCGAAGCACATTCGGGGCTTCGCATTCTCTTTCATGACGCCTGTCGCGGACGATGCTGACGCAGGGCAGGCGGACGTTATGCCGGAGCTCGGCCACACGTGGGGTCCCGATGTTCTTTCACCCCATCTCGTTTAGAAGACATTGCTTATACATCATGTGGATAGCGTCCCGCCGCGTAAGTTCGCAGAGGGTGGGAAAGGTTCTGATGATTCTGAGACGCGGTTTGTCCGCGCGTTGGCTTATGTAAATCCTTCTTGAGAGTTGAACGCGAAGCAAGACCTGGCACTTGCACCTGTGAAGTAGAGAACGAAGCTGCATAACGTCAGCCAGAGTTGCTCCCCATCCCTACGCTACGCTTGTCGCTATCCTGCTTCTCTCGCATGCTTCAATAGTTCCGGGAGTACGAGAAGAACAGGTTGGTCTAGAGGTCGAAGAGGGAACACGGAAATTTATACAGAAACGCCTGTGGCGCAGGGACGCGAAATGGCCTCAGGCATTGGATATTTTGGAACTTCCAGTCAGACTGCGTTTAGAAAGATCTGACAGCGGAGAGCCATGAAGTCCTACATTCAGATCCTCGGTAGGTCTACGGCCTGTGACCTTCTCTACACTTCTGCCTGCTGTTCTATTTCAAGCGGTCGCCTCGCTTCCTCGAACCTTTCTTACAATACCAACATTTTTCAAACGCCCATTAGGAACGCAGACGGGCGACACGTTGCCTTCAGTCTTAGTTTTCTTCGACTCACAGCGATACCTCTTCAATGCCGGAGAAGGGACACAGCGATTTTGTCTTGAGCAGAGGGTCAGGCTCGGGAAACTGACCAACCTGTTCTTGTCGAGGGTGCAATGGGACGCGTGTGGTGGTATCCCTGGTACGTTCCGGCTTCCGCGTACGCCCTGAGAAGCTATATTGCCTGAAGGAAGAATGACTCGAAGGGGGGGCCTCTGGGAGGATGGTGGATGCGGATGGACAGAGAGCTGCGGATGGGCACTTATGCTCATGGAATGGTAGGGTCAGCGTGGGACAGTTCAGCTCTATGCTCAAACACTCTTGCTGTAGGTATGCTGTTGAGTTTGGCTGATGCCGGCAACAAAAAAATCACGGTGCATGGCGGAAAGAATTTGACGCACTTCATGGCTGCAACGCGTCATTTTGTCTTCCGGTAAGCTTTTCGTTCGATGGCAGTGGGTCTCAGGGCTTTGCTGAGACTGACCTGGCGGTCTCTGTGCAGTATGGCATCATCTGTGCAGGCATGTGAGATCCCAGATGGCTCCAAACCCTTCGTCGATGAGAATATGAGCGTCCGGCCCGTCACTATATACCCTGTCGGCCATCGTCCGTCTGACTCGACGGCGGAAACGGACGGTGAGCCAGCCAGCAAAAAGGCAGCGCTAGCTGGCGACGGCCCAATGCCGGTTGCTATGCCCAGCTCCCATGCAAACAACCCGTCCGCAGTCTCCAACGGCGTCGAGAATGGGGAAGCGGATCCGGTGACCGGGCAGAAGCGGAAGGTCCAGGAAGATTCCTTAGCCTCTCCGTCCTTGAGCCACGAAGATGCGTTGGCATACAAGCAGGAGATTATTCGACAAATGTTCAACAGCGGGGAGCTGCCCTCCGTGCCCCTCCAGAACGGATCGAAGAGAGGCTTTGATAACTCTTACTCCGCTCAGTTCGACCTCACGAGAAGTCGGTTGAACGTCCCCGATATGCTGCTTGGCAAGAGGGATCACACCAAGGTCGTTAGATTGCCAAAGTCACGTCCTTGCCTGGGCGTTATCACATACATTTGCGAGGGCCACACTCAGCGTGGAAAGTTTCGACCAGAAAAGGCCACCGCGCTTGGAGTCCCTGCAGGATATGCTTTCGGACGCCTAGCAAATGGCCACCCTTTCGAGACCGAAGACGGTGTGACGGTCTTGCCAGAGCAAGTCATGGATCCTGACAGGCCAGGTGCCGCGTTTATCATCTTGGACTGTCCTTCGCAGGAGTACATTCCGGATTTGACATCCAACGCGGCTTTCGCACCGCATTTTGCTGAAACAACCACCAATCCAGTCTCTCTCATAGTGCATAACATCGGTGATGGCGTCCTCGATTCCGCGGAGTACAGAGCGTGGATGAAGAAGTTCGGAGACACAACCGAGGTTTGCATACTGAGCTGGTGGCCTTTTGATTGGATTGTAGCATATTAAAGTTTTCCCGTCAGCACATCATCATTACCCGCAAGCATTGCCCAAAGCCCATCATTTACAAGGGAACCACGAACAACCTATTCCGCCTGAACCACATGGACCCCGACGTTTTCAAAATCCCCTTTTACAAACCGGAAACGGAACCTCTGGAGAACCGTAAGTCCATTTCTATGCTATATCGAAGGACCCATGTGGCGGGGTTCTGATGATGTTAAGCACAGGCGAAGAATTGCCAACAAATGTCACGATCGGAAAGAATCTCATGATTTACCACACGGAACCCTCACGCAAGATTGACACCAGCGAACAAAAGTCTATTTGGAGTCATACGGATCCGCAGGGCAAGGTACTAATACGCCATCAACACGAGAGATGGACGGAGTTCAAAGAATCTGCTGCCAGTCTCCGGAAGCAGATCATTGAAACAGCTGAGGTGGAGGAGAGCCCGGATGTTGCAGGGGGCGATGTGTTAGTTTGCACACTTGGGACTGGGGCCTCCCTCCCTTCTCCTTTCCGGAACGTGAGCTCCAACTTCATTGATATTCCCAACTACGGATCGGTGCTTCTGGACGCTGGAGAGGGGACATACGGGCAATTGTATCGACGCTTCAATGCGGACGAGGAAGTCCCACTGGAAGACGTCTTGGCGAACTTGCGACTGCTTTTCATTTCCCACATGCATGCCGATCACCACTTGGGCGCGATTCGTGTCCTTTTGGAGAGAAAGAATGTTCTCGCTCAGCGCAGCGGTCCGGCACCAACCCTGTACATCGCAGCGCCTCCGCACTACGTAACCTGGCTCAATGAATATGCAGAATGTGAAGAACTTGGGATTGGGGAAGAAGGCGGCATCGAGTTTTTGAAGAACAACGAATTGGCCTCGCCGTTTCTCACCGCGGGCGGTGGTACCCTGGATGGCCTCAAGCAGGCTCTAGGTCTGCAAGAACTCAAAACAATCCAGGTCGATCACTCTCCATACGCGTACGCAGTCTCCCTGGTTCACATCAATGGGTTCAAGGCGGTCTACTCAGGCGACTGCCGACCCAACATGGGTCTTATGAAGCTCGGCGGAGACGCGACGGTGCTGATTCACGAAGCGACGTTCGAAAACGACGATAAAGGTTGCCGCGAAGCCCTTGCCAAACGGCATTCTACCGCACGGGAAGCAGTCATCGTTGGAGGACGGATGAAAGCCAAATGGACGATCCTCACTCATTTCTCGCAGAGGTATCCTATCGCTCCTCCGTTAGGATTGGATGCCTTGCCCGCGGAAGACAGGAAGAAACTCACAGCCACTGTTGGGGTTGCTTTCGACCTTATGTCCGTGAAAGTGAAGCATATGCGGCGAATGGGGATGTACGGAGAGACGCTGCAGAAACTGTACTCGCATGTTCCTCCCGAAGAGACCGCTGCTATGGAGATTGTGGACGCGGGGGCGGACGAAGGGACTGGGAATCAAAGCCGCGGTGCGGATCACGCACGAGGGCGTGGTAGCCGGGGTGGCCGCGGGGGAGGACGTGGTAGGGGCGGGCGTACGAATGACAGATGAGGAAATCGCGGAGGCCATAGGTAGTCTCGATTATCTACCAGTCGTAGTTGTAGAAGAGACGTAGCACAGCGGAGAAGGTGAACTCTCTGGAATGGACCAGTTGGTTCATGCCTCATCACCCTACCGGCATCTCTAGGAGGTACCCGATTATTTATACTGCGTATGTAGAGATTTCATGCTTCAATGACATCGTTCCAGGAACACGCGTGAACTGGAAGAAGGCAGCTTCGTCAATATCGAATTCTCTATTGCATGAAGAAGTCCGCCAACGACAGGAAAGAAAGAAATAATGTCTAAATCCAAAAGTACTGCTATAATACAAAAAAACTGATGATCGCTCCACACACTCGACCACCGAACAAGTAATACACAATGATCCCCTGGAGCCTAAGGGATGACGCTTTGGATGATCAGATTCCTGGCCTGCGGAAAGTCCGTTCGTTCGTTGAGTTTCATTCAGACCTATTTGTAGGTGGATGGAATGCCCATTGGGTCCCGCTTCGGAATGTTTGTTTCCAACAGAGAAGCGGCCGCTATCGGTCAACTCTCATATTCAGTGCAGCAGCCGTATCATCTAAAAGTCTCTCAACCACCGGCGGTGGACTTCCATTCCCTAGCGGCGACGGTATATGACATTGGGCCGTCTGGCCCCCGGTCGGCGAATGCGGCGCGGAGGATGATTCGGCCGCCGCCGGATGTGCAGGTCTCATATTTGGTATCCGTAAAAGAGGATCATCTGCGCTTGACATTGCTCGCCGGAAGGCCATGGGTGGATGGGTATTCGCGGGAATGGGTGATGATGCCGCGAGCTTGTCTGTCGTGTTACATGTGCCGGTGTCTGAGCGGGACAACATGCCGGAGGATTTGGATATTTGGCTGCTGAATGAACTATTGGTCATTACTGCTTTACTGAGGTCCATGTCGCCACTGAGCGGATCGTGTGTTGCTTGAGAGTCGACGAAGTCGGGGCAAGACCAGTCAAAATACTGCACCGTAAGTTAGAGTATGATTAACGTCTGGGCAGATTGCCGCTTACAATGGGCACAGGTAACATACCAGGAACTGCCTCTCAATCAGCATCATTTCTGGGCTCATCGACCACTTCTCCATCTTCTGTTTCGCTTTGGATGGCTTCGTACCCAAAGGGTTATCGTTCAGTAGCAGCTCTTCGAGGTCATGTTGAGCGTCGAAGTTGGACTTGTTTTTAGGTGGCAGAAAGACTGGCGCGACCTCCTTTCTCATAAGCTTATCCCATACTATCCCTGAGAAGAACTCGTGATTACGCAGAGGACACGGCGCCTCCTCACCGAAGCCGAGCCGCTTCTTTACGTCCATGGTCATCAGCCCTGAGATGAAGCTTCTCGACTTGTCGGAGATCACGGGGTATCGTCGACGGGTATCCTTTATTTTCTTTTTGCTATCCTTGCTAGCGGTCCCCGTACCGGTGCCTTTCGCCCCTTCGGCACTGGTCAATGCGTCTACTTCTGGAGTAGGTGGTTTTGGGAACTTCCATTCCCCTCGTTTGATGATTTCTCGTTTGTTCTTTCCGCGGAACGGGCGCTCCCCGAGGAGCATCTCGTATGCCATCACGCCTAGTGACCACCAATCGACCGAAGCGCCATACCCGCCACCCAGGAGAAGTTCTGGCGCCATATATGGCTCGGTCCCGGCGACGGACTTGAGCGGTTTTTCGGGCCGCAGCTTGACAGCTATATTGAAATCCGTGAGACATGCGTGTCCGTCGCTGTCCAATAGGATGTTCTGAGATCAAGGCAACGAACGTTCATTAGCATTGCATGTCCCTCAATGGTGAGGAGTTTTGAACACCAATGCTCACGGTCCCTACATCTGGTTTTATATCTCTATGCACAATTTGTAACGAGTGCAAGTACTCGAGTGCTGCAGACACCTCGGCCAGAATAAATCTCGCTGCAGGTTCTTTGAACGCTTTCGTCATATGGAATCGGAGATCCCCTCCAGTCATCAGATCTAGCGCCATGTACATGTTCTCGGTATCCTGAAATGAGTATCGAAGACTGCATATAAACGGATGCTTGAGATCTTCGAGAATGTTGCGTTCCTGCACAACATGATGTATTGCTTTTTCAGCAATGCATTTTTCTTTGTTGATGTACTTGAGCGCATACAGCTCGCCGCCTTTTCGCTTTTGGACCACCGATACCTTTGAGAAGTTGGGAAAACCGTTTGAGCTTTCATAGAATTCCCACTCCCAAGCTCTGGTAAACACAAGACTATTTCTGCTCAAGGCTGCCGAGGTTTCACGACGCACCTTTCCAAAGGCACCTTTGCCGATAGCCCTTTGTATCTGAAAGTCGTCGAGGGTGATCTTTCGGTATTCCGACGGGCCGACATCCCGACGTCGACATAAGCAGTTACCCATTACTGCAAGACGATGTTATTCGTAGCAAAATAGCTGCCGCTCCGTGCTTCTAGCGCGAGGATGGACGGTGTAGAAGTGACTCGAGACACTCTGCCTAAAAAGTCTGCAAAGCCTATGTGTTATATCGATACGTAGAATTTTCGATCCCGCCAACAAACGAGAGAGTGACGCTGTGGGGCGGAAACGCATATAATTTCCAAAACGTCCAGAACCAACATCGGCTATGGACGCGTTAAGAGGGCGATAATTGGTCTGGAATTGACGAGAGGTGCGATGAATATGGCGACCTTTTACGGTTCTTGGTAACTGCGCGACATGCTAACATTAAAAGCTTAGAGAACTTCCCGTGATGCAATGGTGTGTCTAGGTTCTTACACATCGCCGGCATAGCGCAAAGCATCGAAGCTCCTAAAAATACCGCCACGGAGGGGCTATTCATCCGTCAGCGGAGTATGCTGACGTAAATTCATAAACGCGCCTCTGGATCCTGTCGATAGCTCTCTGCAAGATCCCGACACCGGTATGACATGCCAAATTGACAAGCCCCTCGGCGGGAATGAGTACAACCAGTCATGAATGGGCGGCCATTCCTTCTCCTTGAAGTTCTTCTGTCTGCAGTGCTGGGTGGGCACCCTCATCATCCTCGTCCTACGATTTAACTGCTGCACCTAAGTTTCACGCGCTGTGATGGACCTGCGAAATGAACTCGGAGCGCGTCAAATTGGGCCCCCCTGTCGTTCATGTCTCTTCTTTTCACGCGCATGCGGGTTTTCTCGTCTCGGGTCAAACCGCAAATGGAACTGTCCATGAAAGCCGGCTTTCGGCTTCAGCACCGAGCCATATTGATAAGAACCTAAGTTTCCACCCTGGAAACCTTTCTGCCCCTGGGATTCTTGACCAATGAGGAGATGTCCGAATCGCTCCACCAGCGTGCAGATGCGCACTGCAGCATGCACCTACGGCTGTACCTACGCAACGAAGGACGTGTTTGGCGTTTTTCGGCTACTATCACGGACCAGTCTACCCGCTTCACTGTCGATGGTGCTCGTGCTCCAATGTGCTGATTCTGTCTTCACTGTTCTTACTTGCATCTGGTTTCTCTCATACCATTCCTGAGCGCCCACTTTGGATTCTACTGCTTCGGGACACATGCTTGGGTGCGTTGTAGAAATGGTGGCCGCGGTCATTTTGGAATGGTGTGGACTGCTAATACCCGGAGGGCTGACTGTTGTGCATATGTCTCGTAGTGAATACGTAGGAGAAGCGAGAATGACTACCTCAGAAGAACCCGCACGGACATCGACGCCAAACAACAAGGTACGGTTTGCAATGTGTTTGTGATGGCAAGATGGCACATTCATAGTAAGCGCGTCTGACCGTGATGGCTTGCACTTCCTTCACCCGGCCAGACCAACTACGGAGAGTGTCGCACGCCCCAGGGGAGCAAGCGTAAGTGCGTAGTCGAAAGCCCCGAAGAGCGGCCCTCCAAACGATCTCGCCGTCATGGCCACTACGGTGAGTTCAATCCTTCACCCAGATACGCGTCCTACTGTTGAGTTCGTCGGTTTGCTGCCATTTGCTGCATCGTTTCCGGAATTCCCAAGCTGCAAAGCGCTCATTTCGTTTCCTTCCTCCGTCAGCCGTGGAACGAGAGCGCGAGTATGAGAACGCCACGTTCGATAGTCCGACAGCAAAAGCCCCTGTATCGCCAGCGTCGAAAAAGTGCCCGGCATCACCATGCGCCCCGTTCGGGTTCTCTGGCGCCCCGCCCGTTTTCCAAGTGCCCACGACTACGGCCAACCTCGGGAAGTTTGAGGCAGCGACGTTCGTCTTTGGTGCAAGTACTACCCCTTTCTCAAGTACTGGGTTCGGCCAAACCGCATTTGCCTCGAGGCCCCTCCAGTCCTTTAGCGCACCATCCCCTTTGCGTTTTCCGTTCCAACACGACGCGCAAGTGCCTACCTCTTTCTCCTTCCAAGCGGCTTCCAATGCGCTGTCCTTCAACTCTTCGTTCGATGGGGAGAGAACGTGCTCGTCGGCGTTCTCTTCGCCTTGGCAAGTCGAAGCTCCCATTGCTCCTTATGCCACGGAGGAGAGTTTGTCCGATCTGGGCCTGGAGTCCGACGTCCAAGACACGCTCATCGACAGTGATGACAGCCGAGACATATCATTCTCCGTTACCAGCGACGGGGACGACGTGAGTGTCGCCGCCACCTCGACCTTCTCCAGTCCACTTGGCAACTTCAACTGGGGTCACTCTTCACCCCTGGACATGGCGGAAATACCCCAGGCAGTTGCTTGCTATGACCGCCCGGTCCTCGCCGAGTCCAGGACAAATCCACGGCTTCCTGCGACCTTGACTCGGGGCGATTCCTTCACGGCTGAGAACCTCAGGTGCCAACCTTTCAAGCATGGACTACAGCGGTTTGTTCCTAGATGTCCCTCAGCCAAGGAGCTTCGATTGCATGTGATCGGCGACAATCAGGTCAGTGGTATTCTGCAGCGTGCATTTGCCCCAGTCAACTGCTCATACCTCTTTTCATTGATCCTCTCCAGGACGACCTCGCACTCCTTCACGCCAACTACCAGACTGACGTCGAGCGTGAAAAGATCTTTGTATCACAGCGCGAAGACTGGCTCGGTCGTTATGCCAACCTGAATGGCGTTCACCGTGCAGTCGTGGTGGACTGGCTGGCTGAGGTAAGCCGCTCTCGGTCTCTTGATGTCGCGTTGATGAAGTGCTGACCGCTCGCCTCAGCTGGCTGAGGACAACTGGATTCATGACAGCACATATCACCTGGCTGTCAACTACTTCGACCTGTATATGAGTAAAAGTAATATGGATCACGTTCTGTACGACTTGCAAGCAATCGCCATATCCATGATCTTTTTTTCCGCCAAGAAAGAGGTGAGGCAACGCTTCATCACTCCTTCTCAAGTCCAAACATTCAGCTAACATACCTCGCAGGAATTCGACAACTTGCCTCTGTGCAAGATTCTCGAATATGAAACTGAGGGTCTTCCGGACGCCGAAAAGGACGATGCCTTACAAGATTCAATTTCAAGGATCCTGGCCTTTGAACGAGAGTTCTTCACTGTAAGTCACCCATTTCGATGGCATGTCACGGCCATCGCTCTGACCACATCGTTTTATCCGCGCCGCTTAGATCACGGAGTGCGATTTGAACGTGCCCACGGCGTACGACTTCATGATGCGGGCATTCCGCATCGCGCAACTCTGGCACATCAAAGCCAAGAGATCCGCAACACCAGGTGGCATAGCCAGTGGCGTCCCACACGAATTCCACGTCGAGGACTTGAAGATGTACGACCAATATGAAGATCCGTTCTTCACGGAAGCGGGCATTCCGATTGCCGTCAAGATCTTGTCTGCATGCGTGTGCATTTACGAGTCGCTGATGTTTCGAAACAGCCTTTTGGCTGCCGCTGTGTTTCATTTGACATACCCTCAGGCTTCTGGTATGACTGCTCGTGACCAGTTCCACTCGCATGACGATCCCATGACCAATCTACTCACATCGATTGTTCTCTCTCGACAGGATGCGAACAGCAGAATGACGCATTGACAAGGATTGCAACTGGATACACCGTGGCTCAGCTTGAAGAGTCCAAGTGCTTGGACTTTGTGTCCACCATCATGGATGTAGCCTTGCGCAACCTAGAGGACAGGGAATTTGCCGATCTGACCGATTTCCAAACCAAAAACGACTTCAAAGTGCATGAGCTCGTGAGTACTCACCCGTTGCAAGCTTCGTGCTGGTGAATTCAGAACTGACGCATCACCTCCTTCCCATACGCGCAGTGCATCGCCTGGGATCCTAACCAAGCTGACAACGTTGCATAGACTACATCCATGTCTGCGATGTGATGTGCAAGGTTCACACAAGTTCTATGCGTTTTATACAATTTCAATCAGTACATAATACATGAGGGAAGGACCAGCTTTGCAGGAGAATTATCTAATGCGTCCGTATCTAATATGTATGTACACATCATCTGTGCAAAAAAAGCACAAAGCGGTGGCAAACTCAATTTGAGACACTTTCTCGATCTCGCCTTTAGCCTCCGCCCATGCCTTGATAGCTTTCTGATAGAAGTTCCGCTGCGCAACAGCGTACCCCAGCAGGATATTCGGCAAATCCTTCAACTTTCCTCGCTGAAATTCTATCCAAGTCCTGTTGATTCTCCCATTCGCACTGTCTAGCTCCTTCCTACACAGCCAGCTGCTTCTCCAGAACTGCTATTTGCTCCTTGTGCCGCGTCAAGGCTGGGTCATTGTCAATGAATGAGTTCAGCGTTGCCATCAGCCCGCCGCCTGTGGCGCTGCTGTTGCTTTGCGTGCGGATGTGGTGAGCGGTCGTGGCACCTTCTGCGCGCAGGACACCAGACAGGCGTTGGGCTTCGGCTTCCGAGGCTTCGAGCTTGGTGAGGCTGGCCGGCTTGTAGATGAGCTGATCAGCGAGGGTCTCGTACTCGACATGCTTCTTGTGGCGCCATTTGAGCAATTTGTCGACGGTTTTCGAATACTGCACGTATTCCTGCAGAGATGCGCCGAAGTTTGCGTTAGACCGCGTCAGCTTGGTAGTGGCGCCGGCCGTTGAGTCGACCGCCTGGCCGACCTGCTCGATATCGTGCGCAAGGGGGTTTTGGAGAGTGACCAGCCGTTGTACGTCGCTCCTAGATCAGCGTAGGTGGCTGCATCATGCTGCGTTTTGAGCATGCTCTGCAGGATGTTGTGCGTGTGTGATCTGCGAGGCGAACCTCATTCCTTCCATAATCCCCTCTAAATGTGCCTGCTTCTCCATGATTTCCGGAATCTTATCGGTTTGTTTTTTGATATCCGTCAAGGTTCTGCCGAAGAGGAGAGACTGAACACCGATATCGACTCCTACCGCCAATGATACCACAGTGAGGACAAGGCGGGTGGTGATGCGGTCGCCAATTCTGTCAGCGTGTTTGGATAACTCGGAGAGGACGTGGCGGATGAATTCGGGACCGGACAAATTGGGGGGAAGAGGGTCGGTGTTCAAGGTACGGACTTGTCCGCGCGTGTGACGGAGGTGGAATGGACGCAACATGATAGAGCGAGAAGTACGGATGAGGCTTTGCGCTTGCATTTTCCTAAATGAGCATGTATTATGAGAAATGGCACAAAAAGTTCAACGGCAAATGCGAGAGTGGTATTGACTACATACCGGAGACGGTGACAGTGGGTATCGTGGATGTAAAGGGAGAGGATGCTGTAGGTCTATGCTCGCAACTAGCCGAAGAATTTTCTGATAGGATTCAAACTGCAAACCGGCGTCGGACGGTAAAGCGAACGTTGCTGGTTACAGGCAAGGTGCTGTTGGGCTCTGAATGTGTGTTGATCGAATGCTGTTGATATTTCGCGTTCTACGGCTTATGCGGGCGAGGGAAAGCGGTGGAAAAGACAGACTGCTCGCTCGCTTTGCTAATAACACTTTCCCGAACTAAATAAACCCATCACGTGTTCGCCCGCATGATTCCATCCACTCCCCGCACCCTCTCTGCACCTTCGATGAAGGGTGTGCGTGGACCGTCGCAAAACGACAGTCTGGCCGCCTCAACGCCCCTAAGGGTTCTCACTCACTGCGACAACATTTGGCGTACTACTTACTACATATGCACTACCGCCCAAATAAATGGAGATAACTCGCCATAATGTATATGTAAAGGCGAAGGTGCGCGAGTTGGTCCTCACTGACGACTTGCGGTTTATCAGGTTTATCCTGACGCGTGACACTCACAACTTCCTCCAAAGGTTTCCAAAGGATGTTTCGACTTCGCACATTGCCAACGCACTTCATCTTCCTCCCACACCCCACCCTAGCCCGGTCTCCATACCGACTACACTCATCCGTCATGAGCTCGCAAGGGAAGACCGCCTTGGTCCTACTGTCCGAAGGCAACGAGGAAATGGAGACTGGTAACGCATCAGGCTTCCGCCGCAACTGATCAACGATGATCTGACAACAGCTTTGACATCTGTCATCGCAGTTATCCCAATGGATATCCTCCGAAGGGCCGGAGTGAAGGTCACTCTTGCAGGGTTGAACGGGGCTGGAACTGTCACCTGCAGTAGAAATGTCAAGATCGTGCCGGACACCGCGTTGTCCGCACTTCAAGACAAGGTCGGTCACATACGTACCTGAACGGGTTTGCCGGTCAGTTGAACGCTGATCCCACGACAGAATGCATTTGATGCCATTATACTACCCGGAGGTTTGGGTGGAGCTGAGGCTTTTGCCAAGGTATCTATATGAAGGACATCAGTCTCCCGCAAGAATCTGCTTTGGGGACTCTTTCCATTGATCCACTTTCCGTGTTCACAGTCGAAAGAAGTTCACAACCTCTTGGAGAGCTATCACTCTGACCCAAATAAGACGGTTGCGATCATATGCGCATGTGAGTTGAGCTGCTAGTCGAGCAGAAAGAAGAGGAACGGTCGTGCACATAGGAGTGACCAGCGCCGATCGATACAGCGCCTATTGCCTTGCAAGCATCTGGAGTGGCCAAAGGAAAGACCGTAACCTCTCATCCCAGCGTCAAAGAGAAGCTGACCGGTATGCCATAATCGTGATGTACCCCCTTCTCACCCACCTAATCGCGTGTGGTCTCCAGACTATGGCTACAAGGAAGATCGAGTGGTCGTTGATGGGAATCTAATCACCAGGTAGCATCTCCAAAGCGGACCGTTGGACAAGCACTGGAAACGTCATCCTTCTTACTCTCGCTGTCACCGTGCATACAGTCGCGGCCCTGGAACAGCATTTGAGTTCGCCTTGGCCATCGTCAAACGTCTGCAGGGCGTCGAGAAAGCCAGGGAGATCATTGGCCCAATGGTTTGCCACGACTCCATCGCATCTTCCCTCTGATCAATTCTTCTAGTCGAGGACGAAGAATGTGCATGCTAGCACCCCCGCAATACATTCATTTCTGCGGAGTCTACATATGATCCAAAATCGTGTTTCTAATCAATCCTTAGCCTGATACACCCCTCCGACCTTTGCCGTTGTCCAGTAAGCTAGGTGTATCTCCCTCCCTACAATCTCGACATGCAGCCGGACGCCAATTTCGAGCGTTTGGGAGGCCCGAGCGCTCCCAACCTATTCGCCTCAGCCGCCTCAATCCTGTTTCCCGGGGGTCTTTCACCGCTCAAACTTGCTCGCAACATAATCCTTGAAATAGCTGACGCTGCTTTTGTCTGCCAATTCTTGCTGGGCCGCTTGATCAAGCAGCGTGTACATCTTTTTCGCGGGCAGGAAGTCCAGCATTGTTGAAGACGGTGATAACGGGAACTAGGCAGAAGAACAAAGAACGTTAGCAGCCATGGCAATAGCGATCGACCATTTGGGATGTTCCCCGAACTTCGACCGCTTCACCCTAACCTTTGTTTGCCGAAACTTACTTCCTTGTCGATCTCCCCCTTCAATAACCTTCTCAGACTTCTCAGCTCTTGTTCCCCATGCGCGTACCGCACCCGTAGCCCCTCACCCTCCACCACCGGCTCCCTGAACTCGATGCGCACACGTTCCAGTAGGTGCTTCCTCAGACTGGCCGGGCGTGCGTCCTGTCGTGGCCAGCTGTGTTGAACTCGGATAAAGGAACGATATAAGGAGACGATTTCGGCGGTGGTGGGTTGCGCCATGTCGGAAAAGGAGACAGTGGTGAGGTGAGGCGGAGTCGATATGAGAAGACTTCTCTGAACTGAAAGGTCCTGCTGTTTCCGTTTCCGCCTTTGGAGTTTGGCTGGTCGAATTGCGCCTTTGAATCCCGATCGAATTCCGCCTTGAATTTGGCTGGAAGAACAAGTCGTGGGCACGAGGGGAGAAATGCCAGAAGCGAAAATCCGTGGAGCAAATGGAGTTGCACAGCCACCCACTTGTCACCGGCGCGTTTCGCGTCTCCGCTCTCCCTCGCGGTAACTTTTTTCCTGTGGCCCTCCGGTTTGAGATTGACGGCTTTGAGAATTGTGACTTTTCCGGACAGATTCCACTCCCCACATGATCAGCACCTTCCATAGTTCTCTGTATAATTGCCATGATCTCCAAAGACTACAGGCACGAGACTCGCAACCTGTCCAATGTCTCACTGACCGAGCAAAGACGCCAAAATGGCAAATCCACCGGTACGGTTGGGGTGCAAATACATTACAGCTGCAGGCACTTGGGGCTGACCGTGCCTTCTTGACCTACTCATCTGTCAATGCCATGATCTTAGTTTTGAAATACGAGGTTCGGCTGAAAGAACTCTTCCAACAACATCCAAAAGTTCCTAGTGAGCGGAGGACGGCGGAATGTTTTGCCATTTTCGATGAGATCATACAAGGGCTAGGGCCGTATGGGACCATTCTTAGAACCATAAAAGAGGAGCTCGTCGAGGCGATATACTCGAATGACTTTACTTCGGCAGAGCAATTACCGGCTTTACAGAGACTGCCTTACTTCTGTGCGATCAACCGAGTCGTGCGAGACAGGTACCGAGCCGGATGCACTTGATATATGTCGCGGAGCATAAGCCCCTCACCCTCGTGTCAACAGAACTGACGATGAGTCCAAGACAAACGAAGCTGCTACAGACCTATTGCAGAAGCTGAAATTCAAGGAGTATGATTCACAGATGTTGCAACGAAAGAACCTGGCGCTGAAGTGAGTTGCATGATATCCTTCCCAGTATCTTTACCGCTTCAGAAAGACCTCACTCATACAGTTCAGGCAAGAGATTGGCCAAGGGGAGCTCGCTCGCCGGAAGCTGCTGGACGAGATCGACCGCCTCAACAAGGAGATCAAGAAGCATCAGGATGACAAAGTTGACCTGCGGGCGTCTCACATCAATGCAGAGGATAATCTGAAGCGGCGAATCGAGGGGCTTGAGGTATGGGCGTCCGCATGTGAGAATGGAACTCATTTCTGTGGCTAACATTACAGATTGTTCTACACCGAAGGATAGGCGTCGTTGGGAAATGCCAACGGGATCATCGAAAAGTTGACCGTTTTCAAATCGTCGTACGACAAACCAGTGGAAGGTAAAACTCCCCTTCGGTCGAAAGCTTCGCCTGAGACTTGAGCTCAAGACTAGGACTTACAGAGGACAAGCTTGAAGAGCATATCAATTCCACGACGCAACAGCTCGTCATCGACCCACTGGTTAGTCCCGATGCTACTGTGCAGCGGCTTGTCAAAGCACTGACACATCTTCAACAGGGAATGGTCGAATACGATATATGGCAGGCTCGACGTCTTCAGGAACAGTTCGCGGACATTCTCAATTGGCAACTGGACGATTACGAGCTTGCCTTGACGCAGCTGCGCAAAAAGCAAGAGATTCTGGCAGGGATCACAACCGGCGTTGAGGAGAGGGATCAGTCTTATAGGCTTGAGGTGCTCTGATGTGTATGCGTCACACCACTCGCGAAGGAAGGTGTTGACTGCAAGTCTCAATTTGGCAGCTGAACGAGATTGTCGCCGGGTTTCGCAAGCGAGTGGCCGATCTTCTGGAGGAGCAGCACGTCCTTGGGAAGCATATACAGGGACTTCGGACCATGCTGCAATCATACGGCGGGGATAATGATATGAACCTGGTGCAGCGGACAGCGGATGATGCATTGCGGAAATTTGCTTTTGCGGTAAGGCAGATGGTACAGTGAACGAGATGGGACTGGAACAGCTGAAACGGTTGGTGTTTTATAGTTGCAGTTCTCGGAAGACAAAGGAAACACATTCACGCCATGCAAGACTATGCAGTATTGCAGCAAATGTTCGGATCGGGTATGCTACGTCTACGCTGCATCCCGATCTCGATTGCGGCCACGGATCCAATGCTTACCTTCAACCACTTAACCCCATCGTAGACGATAGTTTGTCCGCACAAAACATTACACAGCAAGGATATCAAGTTACCACCACATGTGACCCACATCCGTTTCACCCACCCGCAATTCCGTCTGCGAACAACGTTTTCTCGTGAAGCGTTCGAGGCCGATCTATCATCTGCGCTTTGGGAAGAGGCTGTTGTTTTGACCGAGGATGAGTTGGAGGAGGTACGGGTCCTTCACCCTCAATCCTCCCAAACCTCAGGAAAGCTGATCAACACCTTTACGTTCATAGACATCAGCCATTTTCAAGAAGATCTGGAAGCAGTTCTACGAGCGCTTCCCCGGCCCAAGGCCCGCAGCTACAAGAGTTATGACAGAGCCTAAACTTCAAGGGCTGATGCTTGACCTGTCGGAGCTGAAATGGAACGCCGAGGAAGAGTTCGATGAGAGCGGTGCACTGAGCGAGCAGAGGCTGGCTAAGTTCTCGGTGAGACTCTTCGTCATCTGCGATGGTGAAAGCTCTCAAACTGATCGTGAGTTGACCATAGGACTTCGTTTTTGATGTGATGAGCGATCGGTACCAGATCAAGGACATTGCACGGAAAGCCATCCACGACTTCTTGACTTCGCTGCAGAACTTGGAGACTTCATCATCTGTAAGCCTCGCCGTATGGTCCCCATCCGGGAGACTGGAATCACTTCATTGACTTGCTCATCCTTTAGGCTGTCGCGATATTTGTTCGTCATTTAGCCGGTGAAGAGGATGTGATGTGGAAGTACATACATATTGCGAGAAAGTTCTTCGCCACGTTTGAGCTGATGGACGCGCCAACATATAGAAGGGTGGTCCAAGTCCTTTATCCTAGCAGGCCGGTAAGGGCTTTGATTGAACCCGACCATCCGCGGACGAGGCAAGCGCTAACAAAACCTGTCGGTGCAGAAAGAGATATACGATCAGATGGAGCTTGAGCTGGTCGCATTCAGCAAAAACAAATTCACATTTGAGACAATATGGGAGCATCTGCTGCATATGCTAAGAGCAGGAATTGAGCCAAATCAGAAGTTTGTACGTATCTCGCATGCCATCCTTAGCTCAATGAAAAGCCACGGACAAATCTCTCTCATCCATGTACAGTATCGACTTGTGTTCAAACAAAGCGACCATCAAAATCAAGGCACTCTCAGCTACGACAGCTTTGACGAAGCTCTGGGGCAAGTTCTTCCCGGAGCCCCTGGGAAGCTCAAAAAGGAGCGCTACATGTTCGCGGAGCGAGACTGCGGCAAGGACGCAGTCACACTCGACCGTCTCGCCATGATTGCATCCTTCATCTCCTTGTACGCATGCTACCAGAACGGCTGGACCCCGCAAGCGATCATGTCCGAGGACCTGATCAACTTGGCATACCACGCCACTCCAGGTGATGGAGATCGTGCGAACACCGCCGACACGGGCGTCAATGAGCCTGCGGAGACGACGGAGCAGATGCAGGGCGAGATTGACGATGTGCTGAACAACACAGTCGCACATCAGGAGGTAGATCTGCGGGCTGTCGAAGAAGAGGTACGCTTGTCCGTTAGTCTCATATGAGTATAAGGGTGTTGTTGCTCACTTTGTCTTGTTTTTAGGCGGCACGAATGGCCAAGCGTATAGGTTTTATGCAGAAACTGGACAGGGACCAAGACGATGATGACGATGATGAGGATTTCACTCAATTACAGATTATGAGATCGACGTATAGATAGGGGTGGCGTCTGTGATGTGGCATCCTCATTATACAAGCACAGAGTAACCTTCGCGTCTGCGCGTTTGTTCTGATGAAGATCAGATACCGCTTTGGCGAGAATAAATGTCAATCGGTGGTGTCGAGCGTTCGAGGCGCGCGGAGCTGACTACCTCAACGATTTGTTATCACGTAGAACGCAGTGCTTATTTGCGGTTATTGAGATCATGACTCCGCTACTCCTCCCTTTCTCTCGCTACAGCCCTTTCCCGCGCCGTCCCACTGCCGTCATCTACCAGCGAGAAAAAGTCGTCCTCCGTCTGCTTGAAGATCTCGTCCAGAGCCTCTCCCAGTGGTCTGACCGCCGCCGAGTTGGGTCGCTTTTGTGCTGCCTTGAGACGCTTCTCACGCGCCGCAGCCTCCAAAGTTTTTTCTCGTTTGGCTTCTCGCTCCAACATCTGTTAGTATGTGGGTGGATCGGTGATGGATGTATCAGTAAAGATAGTTGAGCGAGAGCGAAAATCCTTCATGACGTACCTGTGAGAATATCGTCTTCTCGTTGTTCTGCAAACGGGATAGTCCGTCCGATAATTCCAGGATCGTTGTAGATCCATCCCTAGCCGTCGTTGCGATGTGCCTGCCATGCTCTTGTGCTTTGATGGAGTGAATCGGCGAAGTCCCAACCTATATGCAACGAACGGACACGATTTCCAGATATTAGTCAATATCGGAACTCCCACATGGGACAACAGGCAAGAATCGCACCTGCACAGTTAGCGTTGGGTCACTCTGCTTGAATAGGAAGTCCCACACATCGACAGTGCCGTCCAATTTGGACGTGAAGAATACGGACGGCCGCGTTGGACTCCAGCACGCGTCGGTAAGATACGATGATGCATAGCGGGTGGACATAATTGGCGACCTGATATCTTCCGCCCATATCTGCGCTTTCCAATCGCCAGCCGTGAGGAAGTTTTTGAGGAAAAATGGGTTTCGCTATTGTACAGATGCCATAGTTGATAAGCATAAATCAATACTCAAAGTAAGACCAACCAGAGCTTCGTCGATTTCACGCATACCTGGAGTGCCATGACGGGACCGTGATGTCCGGGGTATATGTGAGTGATCTTCTCGGACGGATTTTTCGCCTTCTTGTTACACATGAACACGGCGCCGTTTTCTCCTCCGATCATGTATTTTGTGGGCTATTTCTGGTTGGTCAGCTTCCAGTACTCGCAGCAAGTTCCTTCCGTGGTCGGCGCCGTCACTCACCATTGTTGTTTCGTAGTCAATGACAGTTCCTCCGACCACCTGTCCGTTCTTTTCCGGGTCCAACAGCATGCTTTCTGTTGGCTCCGCCATTTTCCGGATATCCCACCACAATACTTGTCCATCGGATGATACAGAGAACAGCTCCGATCCTGCATGCAAGTTCCAGTGTAAGGGTCTCACTCCGTATCCCCGGAACTCTTGGTGATTAGGAACGCACCTGACTTGGATTGCACCCACGACAGATTGTAAACAGGGTCTCGATGACTCTTGTCTACCGCGGATGTGTCGACCGGGAACGCTCCTTTCCTCGTGTCCCAATACGCTAAAGTCGATACTTGTGTCAGTTCCCTTCTCGTCACAGATGTCCACCGAATGCCTCAATATGAGGATACTGACAGATCAACCCATTGTAAGACCCGCCAACAAGCACGTGTGGGTCCTTCGGGTTATATTTTAAACTGACGAGTGGTGATGGAGGCGTGAGGGTTTGCTCAGGTGTATTTGGGTTCTCGACGTCCCAGATGTAGGAATCGTATGACATGTTGGCGGGCATGGATTGAAACTGTAGCATTGAATACGCAACGGCGATTTTGTGGCCCTCGTCGGGATACCACGAGACATATGTCGCCGCTCGTTTTATCCGGTTGGGGTCCCTAAGAGAGCATCAAAGTGTGAGGCGAGTCTCTCCGAGAGTTGCTCTCACATGCACGCTTACCGGTAAACATTCAAAGATTTGGCGGATGGTGTGTCAACGGATATCGTGTCTGGCTCGTCAGCAAAGTACTCTTCGTAGATGTCGATGGCGTTATTTTGTTTAATGCAATGCTCCATTGCCTAGAGATTTGGCAAGCACCTAAAGATCAGCACATTCGGCTCATCACGGCGGCTTCCAATGTTCATCAAGAGTTTCTGTCTCGTCTCCTTACATTGCCTAGATTTTGCACCGATCGGATGTACTCGTCGTCCTTTTCAACCTTCTTTCTATAACGTATTGTATGCTCCACATCCGTCGCATCTACATCCTTGGGCCATCCTCCTTGCACGTGCAAAATACCCCGATTCGACAACACAAAGCTCTCGGTATTCACCTGTCATGGTACGCCCCAAAGAAGAAATTAGGAAAGCCCAACTGTGTTTTTACTTTGATGTCATGCCACACCTCATGCTCTGATTTCTCTGGCACACTCTGTATCTCCGCTTGACATAAGTTCCGCTCTACATAGTTTCGCATATACGTCGGGTCCGGCTGTATATCCGTTCCGAGGTTTGCCAGCCGATCGCTGAAGGTCGGCTGGCGACCGAAGTCCTTCCGCTTCTTTTGATACACGTAGACTACCTCCATTTTTCATGCGCCTGTTCCAGAAAGTTCGAATTCGATTCGGCGGATGCTGTCGTGCCGAGCTTTGCTCTTGCAGAGACGTAAGTTTGCCTGCGGCCACCGACGATCCCGTTAGGAGGGCAAAAACAAGAAGTAGTGAAAAGGCAGCGGACGACGTTTCCGATTCGCTGACGTAAGCACGAAAGACGCGTTCTGGGTCTCACTCGCCCGGTTTCCCTTTGTCACTTGGGTTCCGACGCGTGAGAACGGCAAAGGGACACTGCTGGACAAGCGCCATACCCGAACGAATACTTCGTTTCATCAGCCTTTTCACTTTATATTAAGGAATATAGATAACGATATGGCAGATGCGGAGCCCGCCGCGCCGCCGGCCGAGCTAGCAGCGGAAGCCGCAGCCCCACCGATCGAAGCTGCGCCGGCGCCTACACCAGCACCTCCAACCAGCAAACCGGCGACTTCACCCAGCAAAGCGTCATCCCGAACAGCCTCGCGGGCAGCGCTCTCAAAATCTTCATCATCCCGTGCAGCCTCGAAAGCTTCATTGAAAAGTACAACATCCATCGCCAAGCTTTCCGGAAGCGCGAAAGCTAAAAGCAGGGGATCTGTTAAGGGAAGCACGACCATAGCACCTCCCGCCACCGAAACCCCTACGCCAGCAGCCCCAGGGCAGCAGGATGAGCTTCATGCGACGGTGGAGGAGACTGCGGAAGGCGAGATGCCGGCCGGAATCATGCCGCTGTTTCTGACAGGCAACACGCAGGATCTTTTCAAAGTGAAGCCCGGGGAGGATGTGACGCCGGCCAGGCCTTTCAAGCTGGTTCCGAAAGCGGACATCATGAGCGATTTGCAAGCACGTGCTGCTATTTCCGATTTCTTTCCGGCGAAGCAGGCGATCCTGGTGTGTGTACAGATGCTGCGAAGATCTGACTCGATCACATGCCCTGTTGCTGATTTTGACGAAAGGACTTTCCAGGCGAGGCAATCTTGGTGCATCATGATGCCAACTTTAAATGGGGACAGAACTACTACATTTGCATTACCCCGGCGGCGATGGATCTTATCATCAACGTGAGGCTGGCGCTTTAACGTTACTGACACTGGACCCTCACTCATCATTTGTGTGTTCGCAGCCACCAGTAGTGGAATCAGCAGCAGCAGTGGAGGTCGTTTCGAATGCACCAACGGTGAAAAAGGTCGTGTCCAAGAAGTGGGAGTCATATGGAAGCGAGAAGGAGATTGACGCGGAGAGGGTCGTCAACAACAGAGATCTGGTATGCGCCCCTTGAGCAACATCTCGTCCGGTCGAATGCACAGCTCACCGTAGTTGCTCACTTGCTTGGTATTACTGCCTAGCTGCAAATCAAAGTATCACGTCGGCGTCGACTCTTTGGAGCGCCTTGCAAATTTAGAGATCGGGATGCACAGGATGGATTCTCGGAATGTAAACCTTTCAAAGACCCAACGTACGATATTTCACGGATGGAGCTATCAACGGCTGTGCAGGTGGGCTAGGTGGTTATAACTACCACGAGACGACTCTATGCTAATAACCATCTCAATTGCTTTATGAAGGCAGTCCCGCAATTGATTGAAAATGCGGTCCAGACGCCATGGTCCCGCCCACAGAACTTTGCAGTGCAGTACCAGCCTGCTGTGATGTCGCGCGAACAGCAAGAGCAGCTCATGTCTTCGACCGATGTCGAGGAGTTCTTGAATCATGTCACTCTTAGGTATTAAGTTCTGCAATTCTCGCGTCACCGCGGGATTCCGGGCTGATCATCTCTCGCCAGATTCGAAAAAGCCCTGCAGCAGAACAGCACCTTGGACATCTTCGAAGATGACTACCAGAACCTCGGCGAAGCGGACGTCGCGTTGGAGCAAGGGGCTCATTCGTCATTACAAGAATATCAATCGTTTACAGATTTGCAGCATAGCAAAGACAAATGCATCTCTGGTGTTGATTGGCATCCGCATATTAAGGGTGAGAGCATGGATTGGCTTGGGACCGCCTTTGGAGGTCGGGCAGCTAACATCAAAACACTTCGTTTTATGAAGGCGTGGTTGCCGTGTCTTGCGCGGAGAGACTTGCGTTCGCTGAGCGTGTTGAGCGGGGCTTGTTCCAGCGGTCAAGAAAAGCTCTCATTCTGGTGTGGAGCTTCAACGACCCAATCCATCCGCAGGTATGACAGGTCGTGCTTTGTGCATTTTTAAACATTGACGCCTGACGCACTCCAAATCCAGCTCATCCTCGAAGCCCCGGACGACATCCAGTGTTTCCAATTTAACCCACATGACAGCAATCTCATTGTAGGCGGTTGCATCAATGGACAGGTCATCCTCTGGGATATTACCGAGTATCAAGACAAGCTCAAGAACACTCGCAAGTCGTCCCGCGAAGATGTGGCTCAGGGGCAAACGTCTACTTCCGGAACAGATCCGTTGTTCGATGGAGTCGGTGGGGAGGATAAGGATAAGGCGACGGGTCCGCCCGTCGTGCAATGTGTGGCGGTATCGAGTATTGAGTTTAGCCATCGAGGGATAGTGACGGACATTCAGTGGCTACCAAAGAATGTGGAGGTGAGAGTTGTCCGGATGTTGGAAACGCATCAAGTGAGGGACTAATGTTGAACACTCCGTCTCGGTCGAACAGCTCGGGCATACTGGCGAAATGGTGGAAAAGGGCGAGAATGGGCATCGAGAGTTGGTGACGAGCTCCACCGATGGGCAGGTAGCCTTCTGGGACACACGATTCAAGAAGGACCTCAAATCATTGGATCTGGTTTGGAGGCCTTTCTTGCGGGTAAGTCGTTTAACGTACGCCATGAATGCCAGAGGCTCTCCGACAAAGCATACTCTATTCCAATCACAGGTGCCACTGAGTGCCATGGACAATACATTTGACTACAGTCTGACGAAAATCAGTATCAAGAAGCCTCCTACGGACAAAATGTCCTCAAGTAAGCTGCCCATAAGCACTGGCGACAGAGACCATTTCATTTCCTCGCCATGTGCCGAGCAATCGATCTAATCGTATTTGCTCATCAGATACGGACACAGCGAAACCCGACGATGGCAGCAACAAGGAAAACAAAGACGGCAAGGACGCCAAAGATGCCAAAGAGACGCTGTTCAGCTCCAAATTTTTCTCTGCGACCGAGGAAGGGGACTTGATATATGCGGACTGGAATGCGGAGAAATCTACGGAGGACAAAGGTGAGGACGCTGAGAACCTCCTTACAGCGTGAAGGTGTTCCGCCTCTGATATGGCGAGGCTCACACCGAACGAATTGGCATCCATAGCGTCAAGAGTCGAACATGCCGCCAACTACCACTTCGCAGCGGTGACCGACTTACATCGCTCCCCATTCTTCCCGGATATCCTGCTGAGCGTCGGCGGTTGGTCGTTCCACATATGGAAGGAAGGCGTCACTGTGAGTAGCGCTACCCATATGTACCCTCCAACCTCTGGTGCTAAGCGATTCTCGTCTCTAGACTGGACCTCTCCTCTCCTCTGCACCGTCTCTGTCCTACCTCGTTGGTGGTCGGTGGAGCCCTACGCGCCCAGGCGTGTTCTACATTTCCAAAACAGACGGCTCGGTGGAGGTTTGGGATCTGCTGGACAGGTCTCATTCGCCGTCGTTTGTGCAGAATGTAACAGGATCCGCCATCTCGTATATGTCCATCCGACAATATCCGAGTGAGTGGCTCCCAACGCGAAGAGCTCGAATCACGTAGTGATACTTACTGTTTGTTGTCGCCAACAGGCAAATCACTGACATCCAATCAGTTCGTCGCGGCGGGAGATGATGAAGGCACATTGCACATTCTTGAAGTTCCACGCAACCTCATCAAGCCGACTAAGAATGAGGTACTTTCCCTTGCTTCTCGTCTATTTGACTTTCTGCGCGTGGGGTTCATCTGGTCTCACCATTTGTCTCCTGCTTGACGCCTCAGACTACTTTTGTGCGAAGTTTCCTGGATCGCGAAGTCCGGCGGCTCGGGTACATCCGCGGCCGAAAAGAGTTCCGAGCGCGTGAACGTGCTGCCTACGAGCAATCTGCTTTGGAAGCTCCAGGGGTGAGTTCATTGCGCAGACTACTCCTGCCTTTCATCGCTTACCGATGCTCTCCGCTGCGTTCCTCTCGCAGCAAAAGGGGACAAAAACGGACGGCGACGTCCCATCCTCCGCACCCGCCCCATCGTCCACCGCCCCCGCCCCTCCAGCCTCGGCAGGACGACCGGCGTCGGGTGCATCAAGAGCGTTAACGGCAGCGAGCGGTGGGGAGGAAAATGATGAGAAGCGCGAGCAGGAGTATCTGAAAATGGAAAGAGCGTAAGTAACCGGCCCGGATGGCGGACGTACAGATGGAAATGTGTCCATGATTACTCACTATTCCTGTCCCATCGGCGTCCCCTCAATGCAGGTTTTTGGAATTGGAGGGGCTCCTGCCTCCAGCGGAAGATGTCTGAAGGACAAAACGTTCATTTGTACATATGGGTTTGAATCATGTTCATGACAATGTCTCATTACTATCGGTTCCGGTTTTGCGCACCAACGATTCTCCCGACCTTCGTCTGAATGAAGGTCGAGAGGAAAGCAGGGGACCGAAGGATTCAACAGAGGTGGAACTGAGAGGCGATACTATCGAACTCCAGTCTGTTTGACAAATGTGTTCCACCCAGACAAAAGCCGGTCGGCACATCCGACAATTATTATGTTCTCCTATCTCCTATACAACGGCACCGCTATATACAAGCCCAGTTTGCCGAGCAAAACTCCATTTCATTCTAGTGTTGAATCGGCTCCAACATTCCTCTGACTACTTTGCGAATGCCGACTCATACGCCCAAAAAGGTCCCCAGAAGCGGCCAGGGCGGGTGGCGATCGCGGTCCTGCGAATGATGCCGGCACGGCCTAAGAACAGCAGGCAGTAGGCGCTATTCGACAGAGCCGCGAGCCAGGTTGTTGTCTCGGTCTCAGCCGGTGATCAAGCTTATCGGGCGGCCGCTGTTGATCCTCCGAGGCTGCTGTACAGCGCTCGCGGAGCCCATTGATCCTGTGTACTCAACGAGGTGAGCTTCTAGCTATGCCATATAGAGCTGCGAGTCTGAGGATCTCACCTTGAAAAGCTTATCCTTCGCAGCGGCAAACACCAGCAGCCCGATTAACATCACCATGAAGGAGTATATTATAATTTCATCTGTGTGGTGCAGATATCAGCGACCTTAATGAGTAACGAGATCATATACGTTTCGACGGTAGGGTAGGGACCCTCCATCGCCTAGTCAGACGTGCCTTTCCAGCTTCCCAATTGGAAGCACTCCGAAGTCCAGTTCTCCTCCGTATGCGTCTGCTCCGGCGCTGCCGATGAAGTCGTTGTGCCCGTAGCCGTGGCCGTCGTTGTCGGCGTGGGTTCTGGCGGTGGTCGGTAACAAGCACCTTGTTCAACGCAGAAATTTTTGGAGCAGAAGTTACATGCCGAGACGGTCAATATGGTGACTTTTCCATCGCAAACGCATTTGCACCGTTGTGTGGTGTCCGCTGCATGCGCTGCCTGAGAGTAAACTTGACGTTAGCATCCGGTTTTCAATATGACTGTAAAGCAACTGTTCGAGTGCGCCAGCGGCTCTGGTACCTGCAAACTACCAAGTAGACATACGCAAAGGATGAAAAGCAATAGCACTCTCCTAGTCCAATTGGAATGCCGCTGTTGCATCTTGGCTGGCGGCTACTTCCGTAATGTTTTGTGAACGCGACTAAGACAAAAATCGGAAGTCGGAGGGGAAGGTGCTGTCGACAGAAAGCAGAATGAACCATGGGGAGGGGAGGGTACACGTTCACCATGGCCTCCCCAATCGTACATCATTTGCGAAACCCGCGTATTCACAGGAGCACTATTTACAAGGGCTTGTGGTAGTGTGTGGTCCGTCATTGTAGCCTGCCACCTCCCGTCGCCACAACTCCGCCACCATGTCTCTCCTCCTCCGCACCCTCCTCGCAACCCACTCCTTCCTCACCTCCCTCGCAACATTCTTCACACTCACATTCACCTCCGCCAACAGCCGCCGTTTACTACCTCCGCCACCACCGCCAATAGAGCTAACGAACAAGAATGCGCGGACGAGGGAGCATGTTGCTGTTCTTTTTAGGAGGGGGAGAAATGGGGAAAATGGAGGGGAAAGTGTGAATTGTAATGGGCGGACAGACGGGGATGGCAAGGAAGGGGAAGGGTTGGTTGAGGAAGTGGAGAGGATTGTTGGGTGGTGTTTGGAGGCTGGGGTTAGGGTGTTGACGGTCTTTGATGAAGAGGGTAGGTTTCCGAGTTTGTTGTGGTGTTGGTTGTTTGTTTGGGAAGGTGTGCGGTGGTGTGTCGGAGTGTGTAAATGGGGGCGCTGAGATTTTTTGACCGGAAGGAAGTGTGTTTCCGTCCATCATTGAACATGCCGTACATGACCTACATCTTTTTCTCACGCTCCTTCCCAACCCCCAGGCCTCCTAAAAACCAAAGCCGCCCACCTGCACCGCGCCCTCAAATCCACCCTCAGCCCCTCCATAAAGCAGCCATACACCATTGGATCATCCACCCCACCACCACGGCCAGAGGAATCTGACCCTATACTCGTCCAAGTATACGCCAGCGGCCGCCGTATCCCCAAAACGACAGCTGAACAACGCAGAGACGAAGCGGTCGACGTCGACAGCGCGCATAATTCAGATGACGAGGGGGAAACTATCGGTTCGTTCATCAATCTCATCCACTCATATTCCCCGCATGCACTGATGTGTTGTGTATGTGAATACTCAGACCTGCACATCAACATCGTCTCCCCAACCGACGGCCGACAACCCCTCGTCGATGCTGCAAGGGCGCTTGCTCGCAAGGCAATCACCAACACATCTCCCACCATTGTTGATGTCGATGTCATGGACCGGACACTCCATAAAGGTACGTCTGTCTCCCATACTTTATTACCACATATAGGGGGATGAGCTGATGCTGCGGATATTGGTAGGACGAGACGCATCCCTCCCAATAAACAGGAGCGAACCGCAACTCGTCTTCCTGACACATACAGATCCGGAGTTTATCACGATTGGGAATTTTATGCCATGGGAGATCCGGTTGTCGGAGTTTTGGTAGGGCTTATGAAATCTTCTTCCCATTCCATATTGAGGACTGCACACTGACGTTTATGCATAGGCCTGTACCAAGTGAGCTGACACAGGCGGAGTTTGTGGAAGGGTTGCGGCATATGGCGTCGTGTCAGCAGCGGTTCGGGAAATGAAGTGAAACGGATAGCCGAACACCTCAAGACCATTGACCCACCCGATAGACATACCATTCACGACATCTAGAATATTCTCATTCATTTTTTTGGGGTTGCGGTTGGTCAAAGTACATCCAGCACCCGAGACCAGAAAGAATATAAGGTAGAACTGCTTTCCGACCTCCAATCAGACAGATGTGTCAATCATACATCTGGTTGAGGTGTTGCAGTAGCTGTGTTCTGTTCTTCTCCCTTACTTTGTCGTCCACAGTCTTTCGGACCTGCAATCAAAACGCGTGAGACCTGATGCCTTATGACCGAATCGGACACTCAGAACTAACCTTCAGCTTTAGCTTTTTTCCCGTGATGGCACTTCTTCTGATATCCTGCTCCGTCTTACTTTCGTCACTGCTAGATTTTCCGCGCCGTCTCTTCTATATGGTGAGGTTGTGTATGTATAGACCGGGGTGCTGCTAGCGTAAGATAGATGCATGACAAGAGGGTTCTGATACGACAGATGGACACTTACATCTTTCTTCACCCTGTCTGCGTCTTTGCTGTGCCTTCGTTCCTCATGGCGATATCTGCGGCCATCCTCCTTGTGTTTCGCGGATGGGCTTCTACTTCTACTTCGCCGAGTATCATCGCTACTAGAGCTACGCCCTCTGTCTTTGTGGCTGTGTCCTGACGAACGCCTACGACCGCTAGATTCGCCTCGATCTACACGAACGAGACCCACATTGAAGGAGTGGCCCGTCGATTGAAGAGTGGCGATATCGGTTGCAAGAAAGAACGGTAGCGAGAATGATCGAGGGGGTGTAAATAAGCGGTGAGGAAGCGTGTGTATGTTCCATCAGTATACATAGAAGAAGAGACTGTTATTGAACCGATCAACCATAAGACGCTAAGGGTAGAGGAACACTTACCATGGCGAGAATACCCAGGACTCCTTGACCGCCTCCTGTCCTTCTTCGACGACCTCTTCTCATCCCGGGAAGTTGACCTCAAGGAACCGTCTTCGGGAGTACAAACGAAGGAAAACAGGTTTAAGAGCGTGCGGCGAAGAGGAACATGTGGTCAATCAGGAGAAGGGACAAGGGAAAAGTTTCAGCGACAAGTACAAAGCGACCAAACACCTTCTCATATAAAATACCTTTCGCCTTGTGCGATCTCTCGCGCGAAGAGTCTCTGGACTTTGAACGATGACGATGGCGTGAACGACTGTGCTCATGACTCAAGGAGCTGTCCCGACGTCTGTCCTTATCGTGGCTGCCCATAGCGGCTGCTGAGCTGACCGGCCGTGGAAAAAATGGAAGGAGTTTGAGAGGAGAGGTCCTGGGAAAATGTACTTCAATGGCGAGCTTCAACTGCCTTGAGCCCTCTTTGATCTATGGTGCCTCTGTCCATCACTGTATAGCCCACTGGCAACCCCAACCTTCTCAGTCCTTCCTTTCTCGTGGTCACCCTCCCGAAGTGACAATCATATGGACCGGACCACTCGCAGAACGGTGCTTTACGATCGACGGAAGGCCAAAAACAGAAACCCACGGGCACCGTCTCCATATACAGTCTGAGCTTACCTTGGCTCTCTACGAGACCTTCTTTTGGCAGCTTAGTGCTCCAAGATGGGCTGATGCTCTGCTGGGATAATGTGGCCGTCGTGCAATTGAGACTGCAATCCTTTCCCAGATCGTCTCCCAGTCGTTTCCGCCTGTTTCCGCGACACGCCAGAAGTGAGTGTTCGACCATTTGACATTTTGGAACTTCCTTCCTCAACTGCTTCCTCAAGTGCACAATGGACCAGAAAAAGAAGCCACGCGGGCTCAAGAGGTCGCTCGCCAAGGATAAGCCCGTGGCTCCGAACAGCGAGGGAGGTGAAGTCGCCGTTGCCGCAAAGAAAGCCAAGCTCGACAAGCCAGACCTTGAGGAACCCAGCCGGACGGTAGCGCTCAATGTGGACGAGGAGGACCAAGTTGCGGTGTTGAGGTCGTTGTACGATACAGCTGTGGAGAAGCTTGGTGAGTGCGCCTGTCATGAGGAACTCCCAGCGGCTCTGTTGCTGCACTTCCGAGCTTTTCCGCTCAAAGCAACTTTGCAACTAATGCCTTCTGGACTGTCCACAGACGCAGACGATATCGAAGCTGCCAGAGATTTCTTCCGAGGCTGCATCCACGAATGTGATAAGATCCTCCAGATCCACAATGGCGTGATCCCGAAGGCAGAAGTGGAAAACGCTGAGGCCTCTAACCAGATGGCGACACCCACTGAACCATTAGCGCCAGAGTTCCACCTGTTGTATGGCAGCGCTCTATATCAGCTCGGTCTGTTGAGTGCTTCAGATGATGAGGCGGAAAGCGGAAGCAAAGAATCGGACTCTCTGGAGTCTTTTCTGGATACCGCGCTCGAACGGTTGACCACGGGATTGGACGCAGTTGAAGAGGGGAAGGTCGGAGAAAACGGTCCGGATGTCTTCCGCCGGTTACTGGTGGCCAAAGCGAAAGCCCAGCTGCATAGGGTGAGTTTGTCATTACATCTCGATTTCACTGTACGGATTCCACTAATGACAACCTCAGGCGGCTTTATGGCTCCCTGAAAACGCCCAGACGGCCTCTCAGAAAAGCGAGGATGCGTGGAAGCTACTGAATGATGCCTACTCTTTCATTGCGGAGCCAAACGCATCAATCGACGGGGCTGCGGATGACACCGCCAAGGCAATGCTGGACGTTGCGCAAATATTCCTTCGCCATGCAGAGTTGTACACTTCCGATCAGGGTGGTTGTAAGTTATGGGCGCAGCGAGCCGTTGTGCTGTTTGAAGCAATTATCTCCGCCGACCCGCCGCACTTTGATGCACACGTTGGTGTTGGAGCGTCCTTACTGGCTGAGGCCAATAGTCTGCTTGAGGAAGATGAAGAGAACTGCGACGATGCAGTCCCGCTTTTGGACAAATGTGAGCTGGTAGCGCCCTACCCTTTGTGTGACTTGATCAGGTTGGCCGATATATATTGACTGCCTCTCGTCGCCATTCAATCAGCTTTGAAGGCACTGGAAACCGGGGAAAAGCTTGCGAAAACAGATACTGGGGACGATGATGAGAAGATCGTCACTCTCCTATGCTTGGTAGGATGAGAAAGATACACATCATGGCTTCCACAGCTAATGATATCCATTGCTTCTCGTCAACGCAGATGGGCGAGTGCCTAATCAACAAAGGAAACCTCACCGACGAAGACGGCAGCGAAGACGACGAATACTACACCCGCGCCATTGCCTGTTTCCGGCGCGTGATGAAGATAGAGGATGCGTTGAACGCATCGGAAGCGGGTGCCGTGGATGACCGCCCCAAAGAGGTCGCAAGTTACCGACTTCTTCCGCCGCAGTTTGCCGAGTTTGTGGATGAGTGGGAGAAAGATATGCTGGGGGGCGATGAGGAGAAGGACGCCTAGTTGCGGTAGCGTAGCTCAGAGTAGAGCACACTGATCTAGATTTAGAGATAGGGCGATTGACCAAAGAATGTTCCGCCCTGTTTCGTCGCACAGAAAGCCGGCGGGCATATTTATACATGTACGATGTGCCTGAAGAGCATAGAAAGAATACACCATGAGAGAAGCAGACCAAATTATCCAAAATGACAGGGTGTGTTGCATGTATGCAGAGAATATTGTTCCCCTGTTGCTTTCGCAGTTCACGCTCAAGCAGTGAAAATGGACGTTTCGGGGATGGTGAACTGGGACGGCGGCAAAAGGGCTCCGAGTTCTTTGATGATACGTTGCCGGTTGTGGAGGAGCTGCATGACGTTCTCGGTCATGGGGCGGTAGTCGCCTTTGCTCACTTTTTTCTTGCCCTTCGTCTTTGCCGGGGTCTACCGCGTGGTGTCGCAAAAGAGCATGGAACATGTAAGCGAAAAGAACAACATGAGAGCGGGTCATCACCACCATCAAGACAATACTCACAAAACGCTTGATGTATGCCTGCTCGATACTCTTGTTGATATCGTCCAAAACGCCGTTGTATTCCTGCCATGCCATGAATCTCGTCGCAATTGCCTTCATCTGCCGGCGCCGAGATCGATTCCGGTGCACCTGCTCGCGTAGTTCCCGTTGACGATGCCGCAGTTCGGTGGTGATTTCATCGTGCTCGTCCGGTGTGGCGTTGTCCTGTTCGTGCGCCACATGAGCAATGCGTTAAGTCCGGATCGATTTTACCACTGATGGCAAATGCGCTTACAAACCTCTTCGTCCTCAATCAAACCCAAAAACCGCAACTCTTTCCGCATCCGATCCTCCAAATCGATCGCATCGCCCATACTCTCCGGCGTCAAAGGTTCATCCACCGTCTCCTCAGCCACCGGCGCAAAGACTCCTCCGATGATCCTGTTTTCCATGAGGGACGATATGATGCGTTCGGAGATTGGCTTGTAGCAGATTTCGCCATCCTGTGTCTGTCCGTTAGCGGCCATCAAGATGCCGTTTGATTGTGAGCCGCCTTTGCTGTCCTCTTCTGCCCATTGCTCCTTGTACGGGCGACCTAATGGTGGGATGCTGTATGGTGCTACCTCATCGCCCTATTAATGCGACTTCAGCGTCACAGTCAATGTGTGATAACCGCAGAACGGAGGGGAGCCAACCTCATTATCCAAAAATGCCAGATCCGCTTCGTTTACTGGCCTGAAGAACTGATCCACAAAGCCCCAAAATTGCTGAATCGGGATCTGATTCTGCACAGTCTTTGTCTTGGTATAGTCCCCTTCCACGGCTGGTTCTGTTGACCGATCTTCGGGCTCAGGCGTGGGAGTGGCTGTTTCGCCACCAACCGTACTGTGACGCTTCTTCAGCTTATTGTTTTTATGTGCAGCGCTCTTTTTGCTCGGTTTCTGGGGACACCAGCTCTCTTGTCAGAACATTGTCAACGTTTGGCTACTACGTCCATGATGGGTACTCACTGGCTTCGCTTTCGGTGCTATTCCGCGTTGTGACACAGGCTTACTTTTAGATTGTATATTCTGCAACATCGACAGCGTTAGCATGCCCAACCCCTGCGCAGGTCCAAGTTCATTGACGGACGGCCACCCCCGTCACCATAGACGTACGCTAGTCCGTCGTTGCTTCTCATCATGATCGCTGCCGTCGTCGTCGTCCTTTTCCCGCTTCCGCTTTTTGAAATCACTGAGCCCCGCATCAGATTGTAGTTGCGAAGGAGGCGGGGATTTTTCTGCTCTCTCGGCGCTATCCATTACGGGTACTTTCAGCTTTATCTTTCGCAGCTTTGCTTCGTTCCGTTCAGCCATTTGCTCTTCAGTGGCCGAAGACCCTTTCCGTTCTGTCGCTTTGGCCTTATCTAATGCTGATTTGACGCCCGAGTCTTTCGAGCGTGCATGAGGAGCCGCCGATGAAGATCCCGCTTCACTCTCGGTTTGCTCACCCGACCCGTCGGCCGGCAGCCATTTCTTCAGCACATCGATATTATGGTTCAGTCGTCTCTGTCTCTGTATCAATATCGACTTTGCAGAGTTGAGGTTCTCGTGCAGTTGTTGCAATTCATCGTTGCTGGGTATAGGTGGATAGTTTATCAAGTCCACGGGTGCTGTTACGGAAGCGTCTTCGGCGTGGGCTTCTGCGGTGATTGAGTCGAGGTATCGCTTCAGAAGCGCGTGGGTTTCCCAGTTCAGCTCAGGCAGGGGTGAACAATCGAGGTCCGGCTTGTTAGGGTACACAGGTCCAGCCATGATGCAAAAGAGGACGTCCGAGGTGCAGCTACCTCGTCACGTCGTTACCTCATCTGCAAGAGAACTGGAACTGGTTTACTGAAAACGGACAAGCTCTGAAGTCTTTCAAGAAGCAGAATGTGGTGAGCCGTAGTCAGGATGCAGGAAAAAAAGTGCCTGTTTCCACTGAGGAACTTCTGCAGGCACTATTTTTCGAGAACGAGGAAGTAGGTACCCAGTCGTTCAGTCGTGGGATTGCTGTGTATGTATTGTAGTAGTAGTTGAAGGACTGGTTGATATGTATTCCAGGTGAGATGCACCAGTTGGAAAATACGTTTGGGAAAGATAGGGCTGGCCGCCCTGTGACGGCAACTTGGTGCTCAATGGCCGAATTGACAGCATGACTCATTATTTAATGACTCACGTGCTGTGTGTTCGGAATAAAATTCGATACGTGTTCCTGCGGGTGTCCCCGCTTTGGTGCCCGCTGCCCGCTGCCGCTCCCTCGGCCACGGCGGGTTGGGGTCGCACGCGTGATGAGACTCATGAGAGTCGCCATTGCATATCGACGGAGGGCTCCATTACGCGTCTGAACTCTCCGTCAACTTTCGTTCCGTGGGCATCTCTCGCGCCCGCCGCCGCTGCACACTGGAGCCTTCTCTGCAACAGATCGAGCACGTACAAAAGGAGTCGCTGATTCAGAGTCCGCCACCAGGAAAGCCCAGAGTCACAAAACTCATACACACCTCAATTTTCAGATCCTCCAGAAGCACCGCAATGCACGTTCCAAAGACCATGCACGCATGGACACATGACCGCATGGGTCTTCCCGCGGCTGTCCTGCTTTACAAGGAGATCCCAACCCCTCAACTCGCCAACAAGTCTTCGGTCGTTGTCCGAGTCACCCACGCTGCACTGAACCCCGTAGGAACGCTTTTCGTCCAACTTACGCCCACCTTGTTCCGCAAGACGCCATGTGTTCCCGAGCTCGACTTTTCTGGTGAGATAGTCGAAGTCGGCTCGGGCGTGCCAGCTTCTCGAGGCCTGCAGCCAGGCACCAAAGTGTTTGGTTCCATCTGGGTACCGACACACGTTCGCTACGGTCTGGGAGCGCTTTCCGAGTACATTTCTGTCCACGCGGAGTCTGTGGTGCCAGTACCGAAGAATGTCACCTTGGAAGAAGCAGGTGGAATGGGGATCACCGGCGCAACCGCCATCTTGCTGTTGGAAAAGGCGAACTTGAGGCCCGGAGACTCTGTACTAGTCAACGGAGCCAGCGGAGGTGTGGGCATCTTGACCGTTCAACTGGCAAAGGCCGCTGTCGGACCTACCGGGAAAGTGGTTGGGATCTGCTCGGGCAAAAACGCCGATTTCGTCAAGCAGTATGGTGTCGATGAAGTCGTCGATTACACCAAGCATTCACCCGTCACAGACTACCTCGCCAAAGCTTACTCTGCCAAGCCATTTGACGCGGTCATTGATGCGATCGGAAAGCAAGAGATATACGACCACGCCGCATCGTACTTGGCACCGAAGAAGCCAGTCGTTACCGTCGGCCTTGGTTTCAAATACACCTACCCGCAAATGGTGACGACCATTGCGAAAACGGTCGACAACACGGCCAGGCCCTGCATCTTGGGAGGTGTCCCACGTCCTTACATCACCATTAACGCGTTGGTCAATCTGAAGTTGTTGGAGAAGATAAGCGCCCTTCTGCAGGAAGGAACGATGAGGCCGGTCGTAGATCAGACGTTTGACTTCAGGGATACGTTGCAGGTACGTCTTATTTGTTTGGGTCGAGCCACTTTCTTCACAGTCACTGACTGATTGCGTTTTCAGGCATACGAGAAGATAGCCAGCAAGCGCGCCCGCGGCAAGGTTACTGTCAAGGTACAGGAACCATCGGCATAGTGATTCTCGGTTTTAGCTACCGAGTAGGGCCATATCCACCATATACACCTTTCTCACATGCGAGGATGCATTAGCAGCGTATTCTGTACTTATTTGTCGCAAGTCATAGTCTAGTTCTTTCTGTAGCTGTAGCATCGGATGAGGCACCCTTTTCCACTTTAATCAAAGCCTTTTCAATAGATGTCCTGTTGTCCAATTCAAGTATGTACCGTCGCTGCTCGTTCACGGCTGTTCGTGAATCTGGAAGTCTGATCTGATCGGACAAAACGCGCGTGGAACGTTGCAACGTTCTCGGAGACCACAGCTGTGTGCGCATCCCAGCGTCGCTTCGTCAAACACAACCAGCATTGAAGACCCAGATAGCGAAAGGCCCTCTTACAACGAAGAAGCAAAAAAACTCGATTACGTCGGCAGTCGGTGGGCAACTCACGGAGAGAGATATTACTCGTACTTGAAGGGAGACGGTCGCGGAAATGGGACCCTCATCCCCGCGCAAGGTTTGCCCCAATCGAGGTCTTGACGGTCAAATATGAGGCTAACACTTTGTTTCGCTGCCATCTTTTCTGTCCTCGCCTGAACTCTTAGAAAAAACGGAGTGGTGGGTTTACTATTTGGCGCGTTACCCTGAAATACATTGCGAATGCCCTGGGAATTAACGCCAAAAGTTTCTTCCCCCTAGATCTTCGCAATGACCGCGGGTTCGTGTTCAGGCCGCTCAAACCAGCTGTAACGAAAAAGAAGGCCTCGAAGGATAATCAGGAAAACGAGAACATTGTAGCAGAGAAGGTGGCGGAGAATCCTTTTGTTGGAAAATCGACGATATCGCAGGACGATTTCGAGACGGAATCCCTCACCACCGCGTCGAAACCGAAAGGAAAGGGAGAGATAGAGAGGCCGGCAAAGACCGAAATCGCTCCTCAACCCAGGCCGAGCAAGAGCGGCAATGATGATGTGCCGACTTCTCAAGCAACTATAACAACAACGACTACCAAAACCACCACGACTCGTACACGCCGGCGCCAGAGCGCTTTCCCGCAATCCCAATCAGGAAGGACCGACACCGCCCAATCATCATCATCTCTCACCTCCACCTCCTCCAAATCGGACTTGCGATTGCAGCTGCTTCGATCACGCCGCTCGTACATGCCGCCGAGATCGTCCACCAGCCGAAATGACTACACGGTTGAGATCCCGCTCGCTGGCGATACGCCGATAATCGAGAAGAACAGGACGATGAGGTTGGGCGGCGCGAGCTTGGGTGGGGCCGCTGGACATGGGGATGGGGCTGGGAAGCGGAGGAGGAGTAGCCTGGGATTGAGGGGGAAGAGGGTTTCGAGGAATGGGCTTTGTCGTGAGTACCGATCGAGTCGTTACCGCCCTTTCATTGCGCTTGATGTAACGGTGATTCTCTCAGCACCACCGCACGAAACAATCGAGCCAGAAAACTTCTACCGCCATATTGACGCTGAACAGTCTGATCCAAACCGTATGCGCCAACTGCTCGTATGGTGCACGGAAAGGAGCATGAACATGCCCCTCGCCGAATCCATAAAGATCGTCAAATCGCATGAGGAAGGAAAAGCCGAGGAACTGCCCGAGCTAGACGGTCATCTTAAAGCAATATGTAAGATAAAGTGTGCCAGTATGCGTGCCACGGCAGTCTCGGCTCACTATGCTTTCCACAATAATGATGACGCAATAGTGCGAGATGTACAAAAGGAAGTGATCGAGGCATTGTCGGCGCGACAGATCAATACGTCGTGGTATCACAGGCCTGTAAGATGAGTTGGTTCGACCTACATGTGCAAATGGGAAGAAGCATTCTCATAGATTCTTCCTCATCTCTGCTTACGGTTCAACAGGCTGCTCCTTCCGAGCTTGTCCAATCGCCCCTGAAGAAACAACCACACCCAATGAATGAGGCCAACGCAAGCGAGCTAGCTGCTTTTCAAGCCGAGTTGGAGAGGTAGAATTTGTATAAGGTCCCGTCTTTGTGACCGCTAATCAACTCACCAAACGCCCTGCCTCTAGATTACAAGCAGAAGAAAGCCAATGGCACCAGCTCTTGGAAGACTACACGGCCGCCCACCCCACCCCAGCGCCGAAACCTTCCCCACAGGCTGACGACCCGGCTACATCGTCACCTGCGGAGAAGACGCCGCCGACAGACATCCAACCCGCTCACCGAGCCATTCTCGCTCAAGCGTGCGAGCGCGATCATGAGAAGGAACTGGACGAATGGATCACACAACTTGTCGAGGATGCGACTATCGACGTAAGGGAAAGGTTCTTCGTCCCCAGATGGCAGGCTATTTGCTTACTGCATTGTCCTCCCATAATCCACCTATAGCTCGACGCGACTTACGACGCGCTCGCGAAAACGGCCTCCTTTGCGCACCGCACCAAGAAATTGGCAGATGGGGTGTTTGATAAGGTGCTCAAGGCGTACGAGGAGAAGGAGAAACGGGTGAAGCCGGTGGATACTATGGGGGTTTTGAGTCTGTTGTCGAGGTGTTGATTCGGGGTTGAGGGTGAAGGGGTTGAGGGGGTGAATTCGGGTTTCATAGGGCCTTGTGGCCATGTCGGCACACGATATGAGACTAAGTGTACGGAACGCCTGGTCAGCTTTGTGTTGGTTTGGGAAAAGGGAGGTATATATGAATGCATGACACTCGCGTATGATGCACATTTAGCGTTGTCATTTTCCAAAGGCGACCAAAAATAAGTGTATTCATACCAGCGTTCGGCAATAGATATGTACTATGTACATTGCGGGCTTTGGTAGGTGATGAGCGGCGCGGGTAGGAGACGACATCAATCTCTCAAGAGACCCCTGAGCTATCAGTGGTGGCAGCCGCGGCCGTCTTCTCCATCGCGGCCCTTCTCATCTTCTCCAACGTCAACGATTCATACTCGTCGTCAAAGTCGGCTGTTCGAAACGATGCGGATGCTGATGGCGGGATGGGGCTCTCGTGGGCCGCTCGCCTTGATGGTGTGGATGATGAATATTGGTTTAGGTGTGATGAGGATGCGTATGAGGAACGTTTCCAGGACGTTAGGGATGGGGGTTCGGAGCCGGATGCCCAGGAGAGCTTGAAATTGATGAAGTGTGGGTTTGCTTGATCTTCGATTGCTGAGTTCTGTGAAGATGGAGATGTACAAAATGAGAACGCGCCTTCGGTCTAGAGATTTCGAACGCTCAAGAAAACGTACCGCATCAAAGATCGAGGAAAACACCACCATAGCATTTGATTTGCCCTTTGACGACAGAACGACATCCTCGACTGGTCCATACCGCTCAAAGATCGCCTGTAACGCTTCAGCCGTGCCAGCCCCAGGCTCCACCCGCTTGCTCTTCCACTTCACTTTGACTGTACGATCTAACGCATTCGCACCGTCCTCCGCCTTTCGCCTTGCTTCCCTCACAGCCACCTCCTCCGCCTCCCGCCTCGCACCATCCACCTTTGCCGCAAACATCTGTCTCCGGACCTCCTCGGCGGCCTGCGCTTTCTTCATCCCCTCCTCCCGTAACCTATCAATTTCGTTCCGCCGATGCACGGCGGCCATGAACGTCGGATCTGATTTGGAGCGTTTTGATGCCTCCTGCTCACGGCGTTCGAGAGACTCCTTTGCGGCGCGGAGACCTGCGTCCATTGCTTCTAGTTTGCGCTTTTGTGCTATCCGGGACTTGTATTGAGCGTCGTAGGCGCTTTTTTTGGCGGGATCGGAAAGCGTTTGGACCGCGATGTCGAGGAGCTCCCACATGCGAGCTAGAGAAAGAAAGTGACATGGTGGTGAGAACAATTGCGCTATATTTGACCTGGAGATCAGTAGCACACTTACCAGCTTGTTTGTTGTCGGCGCCGACCTTGTCGGGGTGGTACTTCAGAGCACTTTTCCTGTATGCCCTCTGGATATCCGCCTCCGAAGCCCCATATGCCAGACCAAGGAGGCCATAGTAATCCTCGTCCGAAGACGCCATGGCTAGCAGGCTATCTGGCAAAGGAAGCGTGGTGTGAACTAAATAGCTTTCCCTATGCTGGCCGTCAAGTCTTGATAAAGATGGGGCCGGGTATTGCCGGTGCTTGCTTGCCAAATATCGAGTATCCCGCTTCTGCCGTTCTTGTGTTCAGCTATGTACAGTACAATACGAGCAAAGTCCTCGAAATTCAAAAGTGGGGAAGATGAGGGAAAGCCGGCTGGACACGGGGAGCTCCTTCCGTTCGTGAGCCGTCAGTAACAGTGGGATAACAGCACTGGCTGACGTAAGAATGAGTCCGAACAGGATGCAACCATCAGCGCTCCGCTCTCGGTTCTCCTCTTCCAAACGTCCTATCCTTTTCCCAGCAAAAGCGTCAACCAGGAACACAGGAACCCGGCACACACACCGCACACACAGCGTCTTTTTCGACTAGCGACTACCACGGAGAGTTCGCCGCCGCTTACCACTTTCAATCGAGCGTCCGACGGAGAAAATCCGGCTTGCGGAACTGACACTTTAGGTCCAAGACGAAGTCTGAATCGACGATTTCCCGGTCGCGCTCAGCGGAAATACTACAGCGCTGGAAAACTCTCTGAACCGAGCGTTCAGGGTTCTCCAAGTTTACCAGGCCATATCCTGTGGTTTCTCTAGCTTAGTCACTTTGGGACTTGACCCTTGGAGACCGAGTCAAACAACACACAACTCGATTACACCTCGGACCCCGTTGCGCTGGATGGAAGAAGTAAGGTCACGGCTTCACAGCGAAGGCGAGCGCAAAGTCCACTGTCGCGCTCGCAGCGAAGGGCCCAGAAGCCCCCCGCAGCGGACTGTTTACTATCCCATTCGCGAGAAACGACGGAGGTCTACCTCTCCGAACAAGAGGCCGAAACCCGCGTCGGAGAGGAAGAAAGAGTCGCGGGATTTTGGGACGGAGGGCAGGAAGCGGCGCGACGAAGTCAGTAGTGACCTGCAGGAGTTCCGAGTGAAAATTGAACAGTCACCGCCTTCTACCGTAGTAACGCCAACGCCTCGAATCACCGCCATGACGTTATTACGAGACCAGACACCAGATTCGTTGCTTGGTGTGCCAGTATCTGGAAGCGGAGGCGCAGGCGGTACGAAGCCGTCAAGGCATTCGCTGGGTTCTAGCAGAAGCTCCACACCACCATCGATCAGCGCTCGATGGAGTAAGCTGCTATCCCCTGCTCTATCCGGTGGAGAGTCCCCAGAAGCGAAGAAGAGGAGAGTCGTAGTGGATGATCCGCCAGATATGGATATGGATGACACGAACAGCACTTCCATGCAGATAGATAGCCCCGTGGTTCGACCAGCCGCCACATCAAACGGAGTCGAGTCCAAATCTCGTGCCGAGCTCAAACTGTTGGAGAATCAGAGCGATACAGGAGAGGCAGCGAAGGTAGAACGTCCACGCGGCGTCGGCGTCGCAAAGCGGAAACGACCGCCCGTCACGGCGACTGCGTGCGAAGCCAAAACAGAGTCCCGCGAGAATCATACCTCCGCAGTGGCAGCAGTACAACAGTCCAAACCGGTAGAAAACGGAAGCTCCGCGACCAAAATGCCTGGCGCGGATAGTGCTACGCAGAAGGCCAACAAAGCAACGAAAGCACTGAACGCCAAGGGCGACTACCGTCATTTTCCGAAGAAAGCCATGGAACCTTGCATAACAGCGTTAGAGCTTGTGAAATCGAATCTGGGTTTCTATGCACCACTTTCCCGAGATGCGAAGCGGGCAAGCCCCGAATCGTCGCTATCCCTCGAAATCACGCCACTAGAGTACCCAGGGGAACGCGCCTGCGAAAAGTACGCCCTCGTGTCCTGCACCAAAGCCCTCGAATTCGATCCCATCGCCGACATTTACGCCACCACCCAAATGATTGTCGAGCACTCCATCCCATCAAAGTACAAAGCCTCCTTCGGCGACGCGCGAAACGGCATCCTACGGAGTATACAACGCGCCATTCACAAGAAGAGCCTGGACGATCTGAAGGTGGCGCTGGCGGCTTGGAATGAGAATATGGTGGAGTTGAAGGCGAAGAAGGTGTTTGCGCCGTGCGAGTTTTCGGGACCGGCTGCGTCGTATCACATGGTTTCGCATGTCTTGGAGCAGGCTTATTCAAGATCGGTGGCGCCTGAATCCAATCTCTTAAACGTTTACGAAGGTATGGAGGATAGAGTCTTCATATTTCCGCAATTGTTTCCGATAATCCGTGCTAAACCGTGTTCCTGACTTTTCAGGCTTCTCAAATAACGTCTACGGAGAGGTCAAACACAATTTTGTCAACACTATCATCCAGGAAGCTCGCATCAAACCCAACCACGTTTTCGTTGACATGGTATGTTAGAAGTGCTCCGTTTCGTTCCGGAATCACAGCGGTCTCATGCTACCGTTCTCCAGGGAAGCGGAATCGGCAATGTCGTCCTTCAGGTCGCCGCACAATGTCTATGCGACACATACGGCATTGAGGTGTCTGATAACCCGGCGAAGCTGGCTGCCAAGCAAAAGAAGGAGTTCATTTCGCGGATGAGGTGCGTTTTGTCCGGATTTGCGCAAGTACACTCAGGTTGCGGATGTTAATAGCTGTGAGCAGATACTATGCGAAGCCATGCGGAAGGATAACGCTGAAGCACAGCGACTTTCTGGAAGATGCCGAAATGCATGAAGTCATCAAGACCGCGGATGTGATCTTTGTCAACAAGTAAGGATTTGCCAATCACACATTGTCCGAAAAATTTTGCAACTCAGATCTGACTTCGGATCTTGCATTTCCCGACCAGCTACGCTTTCAATGCAGAACTCAACCAAAACATTCTCGCCAAGTTTTTGGATCTGAAGGAAGGGGCTGTGGTGCGTATCCAACTATCAAGGAATCAATTTGACCACCCCTTTGACGCTGATGTTTTTCCATGATATCAGGTCATATCCCTCCGCAGTTTCCTCCCTGTCGACCGCCCCACCGCGCGTAGCTCTCGCCGAAGCAACGCCATTGAGTCCATCTTCACCGTCAAGGAGGTATGTCCCCGGCAGTATGGTCCCTTCCATGATTTCAGTTCTCTCACACATGGGATGTTTTCTCCATACAGCACTACTTTGGCCGTGACTGCGTCTCATGGATGAACGAGGGCGGCCAGTACTTCATCCACACCGTCGATCGAAAGCAGCTTGCCAAGCGTTACAAGTGAGCTCCCAGGCCACCATTACGCCCGGAGACGCTCAAAAACGCATATCTCGCCGCATTGTCCCACCACGCCATCCACCAACTCATAATCATCGTCTCAACACCCCAACCCAAACACCTGATACAGACTCTGAAACACCGGATTTTATTTAGATTTTGTCTGATTTTTTCTTTTACCTTATTCCCTTTAATCTGGTGCTCGAGCGCAGGAGCTCTTCAGCGCTTCTTCGAACTTCGAGGTGGTGGCTTGGATTTTTTTTTCCGCATGGTGTTGTTTTGTACATAGTGCTGTTGTTTCGTGGTTTTGTTGGGGTGGTACTGTGTCCGTTGTAGTTGTGTATTTGTTCTCCAACAAAGTTGTTAAAGTGGAGTGGTGTTTGATTCGACGATGATGCTTGATGTACAGAGGGGGACGGACTATGTGTCGCAAGTAGACGGCTTAGCGTCCGGAGCACCCGGCGAACAGCTGGCGCTGACTTCGTGGGGCTACGCTGCCTTGCGAGCATGGCCCGAGACGTCGTGGCACTCCTCCGTACGCTTCGTCCCTCCCTTGGGGCACCAAGCAAAGCTCGAGCATCAGTACGGGCCTTGTGTGATTGCATTCCATATCGGGCCCGTTCCGCACACTAAGGATCATGGCCGATGTACAGCACCGGAGAGATGATTACGGGTTTCGTGACTTCCACAACGACGACGTCGATGGAGTTGCCACTCGGTTACTATTCTCCTTCTCACTGCCGACCGCGCATCGTTTCACCAGCTCTGTTGGTGCCCAGTGATTCCTGAGCAAGGTAGCACCGCCTGCACCGATGAAGGACATCGTCCATCCTTAATCTACCCCGTCTGCGCCAGCGCCGATTTCTGCCTCTTCCCTACCCGCCTCGGTTTGCCGTTTTTCCCTTGAGCACCAGGCTCACCGCCGTTTTTTTCGCCCGGACTTGATTCCTTGGTATTTACCGCAATATCTTCTGACCCAGCATCCTCAGCGTCATCACTACTAGCGCCCCACGCGTCCGGATCTCCCCAATCGTCGTTCTCATCCTCGTTATCCCTCCGTGTGTCGTGTTGTTTGAATTTGGCCTTCGAGTCAGTCGAGGAGGCAGAGTGAACCTCCTCGTACCACTTCAGCATCGTGGACTTTTGCTTGGTGGTGAAGAAAGGGACTTTGAGTGCGTCCTCTATAAGGGGTAGTGAGGACGGTTTTTGCTCTCCGGGCACATCTCCTGCCACGTTCTGTGATCTACCGCGAGAATTTGATAAGCATATCGTTACTTGCACAGACTTCACAAATTCTCCAGCATTCCGACATACCTATCCCAGTACGTAAAATAAGCTTGAACGGCGCCAAACAGCCTGGCCTTGTCCTTGTCGGTGAAGCGGAAATCTTGGTTCTTATGTATGAATTTCCTGTATGCGTTCATGGCGCGCAGGACTTTTACGGGGTTGTAAGGTGTGGTGGTGGAGGGCTCCCCTGAAGGGCCGGCAGGGAGGAAGCCGGACGCTTCTGCGTGGTATTGGCGTACTCGTTCTTCCATATTGTGTCCTGTCGTATGGGTCGGGTGGGTCGGGAAAAAAGAACTCGCAGTTGAACTCGATACGCTTGAGGTTGAAGTCAGGGTTGCAGTTGAAACCTCCAGGCCCGTATGAAGTTCACAGCCACCATGTAGTTCACAGCCACCCGGGCTTCCTTGCCCATATAAATCTCAGAGATTTCGGCAAGCACCCGAAAACTCGTCATCTCGAATAGCAATCGGCGACCATGACGAATAGCCTAACCAGCCCTCTCGACATCTTCCGTGCTCATCCCGACGAGACAAGACTGGACGAGCTAGGCAAGCGCCTGCTGGACTCGGTGCCTGACCGACAACCCGCCACGTTAGCTCGTGCCGTACAGAACATTATCCTTCACCAACAGCACATTGAACTCTGCGGAGCAAAAGCTGCTTTCACGGAAGCTGACACTGAGCGTGACCTCAGCCTTCGCTCCGCCCAACGTATCATCGACCACTGGGTCGCCCGCAACCCTCGCAACAGTAGCAGCGGCAGCGACACACAAACGACACCCTCCCTTGTGGTCCCACGAGAAGCGTCGGCACGTGTGGTAGGCACGTGCCGCGAGTTCGCTCTGCTGTTTACATCCTTCCTACGCGAGTCGGGTGTCCCTGCCCGACCCCGTGTCGGCTTTGCAGACTATTTCTCCGGAGAGGGGTGCGATTTCTTTGTTGACCACTGGGTGACCGAGTTCTGGCATGCCGATGCTGGACGATGGGTTCTTGCTGACGCAGAGCTTGACGATATGGTCTGCAAGCGGAACAACATCTTGTTCGATCCCCTGGATGTGCCGCGTGACCGCTTTTTGGTAGGCGGCGATGCTTGGTTGGCTGTTGAGGTCGAGAAGCGCTTGCAAGGTGACGAGTTTGGAATGCCTTGGCTCAAAGGCGTTGGGATGGTCGCTGGCGCCGTCGAGCGCGACCTCGCAGCCTTGAATGGCACCTCCCCGCTGTGCTGGGAGGCTTGGCCGGAATGTCTTATGCTGCGTGTGCCCATCAAGGGCCCCGTCCCGGATGAAGTTAAGGAGGACTACGGCGTACTGGCTGAAGCGAGCTCGAAGGCGGGCAAAAAGGGAGACATCACGGAGGAAATACGTATGCTGGAAAAGGCGATCACACATGGGGCTTTTGCAAAGTGCCAGCCCAACCAGATGATCGACCTGCGTCAGGAATAGGCAAACATATGTGTGTCGGTGCAGAGTAATTTGTAACTTGTACATTTGCTCAATAGTATTCTTGCTGTTGCTGGATGCATTTCATCCCTCGGAAACCCATACGTTGTACCATTGTAAATTCAAAAGGTGTCTGCGGTTTCACTCAGTACCGGACCTCGCCATTGGACCAGAAGCCATCTTGCTTGAATGTATGAATTAGCGTCTAATGCTCCTAGGACTCTCTGCTCTACGAAATCTTCTGTCTTCTACAATCTCCCCTCTATTGAACTGGAACGACCAAAATGGCTGCGGGAAGGCCTCAATAGACTTGCCGCACGTTCACGTTGATCCTCGCGTCCTTCAAGTAATTGTAAAAAGCTCTCCACTGCGCATCGTTAACGCTCTCTGGCGTGAGATAGTCCGGACACGTTCCTCCTAGAATCCTAGGCAGTGCTGTAGGCGGAGGGTGGGCTTAGCATGAATGGTTGGCAAAGATGGAATGTCAGCATTACGTGCGTATGCCCATACCATGATATGCTCGACGAGAATTCCCGTGCATCACTAGCACGTCGCCGCTGCGGAGGAGGATCGGAATTGGCGTGTCATCCCTGTTCTCGGATCCAATCAGAAAAACGCTGGAGTTCCCAAAACTGGAGAGGTGCGGGTGTCAGAGTGGGCCGATTGATCGCACAACGGCGGATATAGACTGCTCATGCTTGCCGGAAACACACCTAAAGCTGATGAGAGGGGCTTCGGTATTAATTTCGCTCCGATCCTAGTGACCGCAAACTAGGTTAGCAACCGAGCCGTCTCCTAGACTGGACCTGCTCACGCGTTTGTATACCTGGTGTGCCATCAGCGCGTCCCTCTCCTGGTAAAAGTTGATAATCCCCGCCTCCGATATCCACCTTTCGGCATTGTAGCCAGTGATATTCTCCACAGATTTCACAACTTGCGTGGCTAGCTCGTCAATCAAGGGGGGGAATGGTGGTCGTCGATCCAGATGGTACTCTTTTGTGCTCCAGTTGTACTGGAATCCCAGGGAAGTCCACCGAAGGCGCTTCAGGGCTTCAGAGGCGGTGATTGCTTTGAGATTCTGGGTATCTGTTGTCGGTAGATCGATGATAATCTGCGTGCTAGTTGTGTCGGGGACCTCAATCCCAGACGTAGAGGTCGTCTTAGACTTGAGGGCATTTTCGCCATCTTTGTCCGAGGACCCGTTCGCTACCTTGCCCACCCGGAACGCAGCTGCAGCACTCTTGGCGCCCTCGACTGTCCCATCATGTCGCATTGGTATAAGCGCCTCGTCCTTCTGCCTTTCTTCGCTATGTAGACTTTGCTCGTACATATGCCATAGTCCTCTGGATGGGATATCCCAGTGCGTGTCCAGATTTGTGACATTTGGAAGAGCTGTGTAGTCCTTCAGGCTCGCCTTCACCACCTGAACTTGCCCTTCCGGCGTTATCAAGCCCGGTATGAGGATAAGGCCTGGTATTTCAGGAGCACTGTACGCTGTTGCCCGTCCATTCGAGTCCGTTTCCGGCGAAGGACCAAAGAGGTTGGAAAGCGTGGGAGGGTTATATGCTAATGTAATCGGTACGAGTCGATTGGCTTGCACGGCCGGTGACGGATTACCGCCGGGATCTATGATGCTCGCCAATAGCTCTGGCGGTAAGTCTCGGCGCTTCCATGTCCGTTCGGCTACCCGGAATGCCGTTTGGTTCGGCCTTTGGGACGACCACAAGAATTGAGTACGAAAGTAACCTAAGCGCTCAGAAACACACAGAGACTGCGAGTCTTGCGAGTGCTTACCAGGCAGGAGAGTCCGGTGGGGGTGTGAAAGGTTTCTTCTTGCCCATGGTTTCCAAAAGCGGTGGAGGGAAACGCTGGGAATCGATAACCGGGGAGGTTCTCCAACTTCTCCTGAACCTTTGGAGACTTTCTGACTTTTCCTCGCTTCTTCGGCGACGTCAATTTCAACCCAGATTTCAACCCCAGAGCTTCAAAGTTCAGCGCATTCAGCACTCAGGCATACCGCATTCAAGCCAGCATTTAAGCACTACGCACAACAGTTCCGACAAGTCCCCAAAGCCGCCATCCTAACCGGCAGTTGAAGCACTATCTACACTCTCACACCTTCGTCCCCCATCCGCTCCGCAAGTGATATCATCAAAAATGAGTCGTCTTCCATCCCTGCCCTCTGCACTGTCAGCACGTACATACGCAAGCACTCACGTCGCAACAGCCGCTCTACTCGGTCTAGTCCTCGGTTGGGCTGTCCAACACTGGGCAGTTCCACAATACATCTGCCGGTTAGCAAGAAGCGGACGAGAAGTTTCTGGAGGAGCTGGGGCAGGGTTGAAAAATAGCGGGGTAGTAGGCGAAAAGAGAGACGGTTCTTCAAAGGCGGCGGAGAAGGGTGAAGACATCCTGATGGAGGATGTGGACGGCGATGACGCAACCACCGACGAAACCGACACGGATTCCGAGTCCGAGTCCGAGGCCGGAGGCACACGCGAGCACAAGATGATCCTAGTAGTTCGCACGGACCTGGGGATGGGGAAAGGCAAGATGGCGGCTCAGTGCTGCCATGCTGCTGTGGCAGCAGTCGACACCGCTCGGAGGACACAGCCTGCCACTCTCAGGCGGTATGAGCGGTATGGAGCCGCCAAGGTGGCGGTAAAGTGCCAGTCGGAGGAGGAGCTGATGGAGTTGTTTGTGAAGGCGAGGAAGGCAGGTCTGATCGCGGAATACATTGAGGATGCTGGGAGAACGCAGATCCCGGAGGGAAGTCGGACTGTACTTGCTGTTGGACCAGGTATGAGTTGCATCCGCACATCCGTGGCTCAATCTGTCCGTTGCAGGTATGAATACTCATGCCCGTTCTTGCGATTCTCACAGGCCCAATAGAAGCTGTGAATGCCATTACCGGTCATCTGAAGCTACTGTAGAAAGGATTCAGACGAAAGATATGGGGCAATGAAAGGCTTTTACCTGAATACGACGACTTTCGTATGGATGCTGTTGCTCAGCAAGTCGACAGATGAGGAACTAATTTAGCGCATGGCGTATGAATATCGGCGTATGATTATCCCTGGATCGCACTAGATAAAGTAGAGATCAACTAATATCACCGTTGTCTTCGAAACACCTTTTTACAAAACGTTGGGTCGACTGGAAGGAGAAAGAGTGGGAAGCGATCGCTCTGAGGCCGTTCAGTTTTTTGTACATACTGTACATATATCACACCGGCCCCCCCCCCCCCCCCTTTCATATTCACGCCCTTTCACACAAGGCCCCTGGCGGATGGGAAACAGTCCAAGTGGAAGTGGGCTGGTATAAAAAGTCACGTGAGCTGATGAGGGTTTATATACGGGCTTTTGCCATTCCCCGTCATTTTCCCCAAGGCACAGGCGTAACTAACCAGGGAAAACCCTGCTTGCATCGGCGTATTCAACGTTGATCGTCGTTCGTCGTCGCCGGCCGCCCCCGAAATATCATACACCAAAACACCCACCTCGTCGGTTGTCGCTGCTTCAAAATACACGAAAGCGCGACAAGCTTGTTAACTCCGAATAGGACCCTGATGTCCTGCTTGGGGTCTCGACGGCCCGAACGGGACTAGGCCTTTTGTATGTACAGTATGTATTTTCACTACGGCCGTCCGACCATCCGGCGATACCGCCTCCGTGACTTTTGGTGGGAGGCGTGATTATGCTTACATCGGGTGGGTGGGCGGCCAATCACTTGATATGGGGGATGGTTTTCTTCCAATGGGAGATTCCCACAAACGAGATGGTAATTATCCTTACTCGGTGCCTTCCCTTTTCCGCCACACACCACACCACACAGAGAGGAGGGAGGGTCCGTGTGCGCGTACCGCCGATCTGGCGTGTGTGTCCGAGTGCGTGGGAAGTGGGAAGTGGCGCGGGTGGCTGTTGTGGCTCCAACCTCGCGTTTCCTCATATCACAGTGCTATGTATGACTCAGTGGACTGCGCTCTCTGTCTTTCCATCAGTGGGTGATTGTTCCTTGTTCTTGTTCTTGTTCTGTCGCGCGCGCGTTGCCCCCCTCTCGCCCCCCCTCTCGCAGCACAAAGGGAAAGGGGGCGCGCTTCGCTTATTCCACTTACACTCCCTCCCTCTTGCTACCCACGCCTGCGCAGACGCCTCGACTATAAGACACACCCACCTCCCACCTCTTTCCCACGCTCATCGTCGCAACATACCCCCCCCCACCGCATTCCCACCCCCAACAACAACGACCATGTTTCCTTCAACCCACTCCCTCTCGTCGCGCCCCAGTACGCGCGGCCCGCGCCCGTCCTCCTTCTTCTCCCTGCTGATCCTCCTGCTCTCCCTCAGCGCCATCGTGACCGTGAACGCAGGTGGGGCTGCAAAACCCACCACCACAAAGACTACTCCTACTAGTACTAAGGCGGCTACGACTACTGCGACGCCGACGACGACTGCGAAGCCGCCCACTGCTACGGGTGGGTCACGCGAGCGAGGCAAGCTCCCCAGTGCAAAAGGGTGCCGCAGAGCCCGGCGGAGGAGCGAGGCGAGGAGAAATGGGAGCGGCAGGGAGCGCGCGATGATGAGCGTAATGGCGATGGCGAGCGATGGCGAGGAGAAGGGATGCTCGAGGCAGGCGAGCCACATTGCGCCAAAGGCGCAATGCTTCCTATAATTACTGGTTCTTCGCGAGCCTCAGCGACCGTCAGATCTTTCAGCGACCGAAGGGACCTATGCTCTGCCCGCTGCAGCCTCGTCCTATGTCACAACGTTTTGCTTCGAATTCGGGGCTTCGAATCTCGATGGGACCACACTCCTTTTTTTTTTTCATTCGAACTTCATTTTTTATTGACGAATTCCGCCGCCCCCTTTCTCGTCCCATCCCAGATGCCAGCACCTTCACCGCCCGCCAAGTCATCCTCATCCTCACCACCACCGGCGGCGACGTCGACTACCAAACAAAAGGCCTCGACGGCTACGGGATCCCTTACGAGGTCGCTGTGGTTCCGCCCACGGGATACCCTAATGCGAGTGCGCTGCCAATTGCGTTTGAGGATGCTGCCGGGAATGCGAGATATTCGGTGGTGATGATCAGTCCGGGCCAGTTGCCGATTCAGGTTGGGGGGGTTTGGCAGAGTGCGTTGACGACGGTGCAGTGGGGGTTGATTGAGGCGTAAGTAAGAGGCGCCACACTTTCCCCGAGTATCGCCCACGTCGCTCACCCTTCATCTCTATTTCATCATTCCAATAGCTACGAAGCAAAACACAAGATCCGCCGCGTAACCTTCGACGACAGTCCCAGCCCCTCGCACGGCACCGCGGCCGCCAACCCCGCCGCAATGGGCTGTTGCAACACGGGCGTCACCCAACCCATCCAACTCGCCCTCAACGCAGAGCTCCTCAAATCCGGCGTCGTGAACGGCGCGCAGGTTCCCAGCACGGGATTGTGGCATTACCCGTCGGTGATTACGAATGCGACCAGCACGACGGCGTTTGCGAATTTGGGGCCGAGTAGTGATGGCGCGTTCAAGACGACGACCGGTGTGGGGTTCATTGTGAAGTATCCGAATGGACGGGAGGCGATGGTGCATTACATGGGTTGCGGTATGTACGGACTTTCCTGCGGGTGGTCCTGTTGATTTCCTACTTTTGCTTTTTGAGTTCATGTATCTCCCCCCCCCCCTCGCAAACAGGCTGGTGGTCCCCCACCTGCAACCTCCTAACCCACGTCTGGGTCTCCTGGGCCACGCGCCAGCTCTACGACGGCTTCCGCCGCATCCAGATCTCGCTCCAAATCGATGACGTCTTCCTCCCCACCGACACCAACGCCACCTACGCCTACCGCCTCAACCCAACCGACCTCGCCAACATCCTCACCTGGCAAACCGCGTTCAACAAACGCATGCCCCCCGGATCAAACATCACCCTCTCCCTCGCGTACAACGGGTGGGGAGTCGTCACAAAGGCCGACCCCAACCTCGACCCGCTTGTGACGGATATCGAGCGCATTGATAATTTCATCAAACCGCCCGGGACAGGGACGAACATGTGGCCGCCCGCGAGCAAGCTGCCGGCGTTGAGGGCGTTCACGAAGGCGACGCTGAAGAAGGACACGTTGTTCAATTATGTGGATATCACGCCCGCGGTGCAGACCGGGTTTTATTGGTTGAGTCATACTTATACGCATTTACAGCTGGATAACGCTACGTATGTATATATACCTAGGAGGTTTGCCAGGCGTTTCGTTTTCTCCACGCAATGCTCACCTTTCTTTGTTTCGACCCGGGGGATTTTTCTGATTCTAGACGGTACGACATCGACAATGAACTCCAATTCAACATCCACTTTGCCACCATCGCCGGCATCGCCTCCTACCCGACCTACACCTCCCGCTCCCTGATCCCCCCCGCCATCACGGGCCTCCACAACGCCGACGTCCTCGCCTCCTTCAAAGCCAACGGCATCGACTTTGTCACCGGCGACGACACCCGCGACGACGTCACCAACCGCACCCACCCACTCCACCCGTGGATCTCCTCCCTCGCGTCCTCCAACTACGCCGGATACACCGTCATACCCCGCCAGGCCACCGTGATCTACTACAACTGCTCACAGCCGGGCGAGAACATGATATTGTACAATAATATGTATGCGGCTGTCCAGGGCACGAAGGATTTTGCCTACCTGATGAACTACGAGATCGATCGGGTTACGCAGATTTTGTTGAATTTGAGGCAGGATGGGTTCATGTTTCATCAGGTAATGTAATCTTACTCGTAGGAGATATGGCGGGCGAGGGTGTTATGTGTTCGGGGCTAAGGGCTAACCCTGTTTGGTGTGGGCGGGATTGTTTTGTAGGCGAATCTGAGGAACGCCGACCAGCCCCTGGTGACGATCGCCGCGACGGGCGTGCAGGGCAAATTCGGCCTGTTGCAGATCTGGTCCGAGAACGTGCTTGGCCGTCTCGCGCAACTCGTTAGATGGCCTCTCGTCACGAAGGATATCACATGTACGTTTAAACTCGATCACAATCTCCCCCCAATTTCCTCTCCCACCACTTCAGTAAATCCCCCTAACACCCCCGGTTGGTATCCCCCCCCACCACAGCCCACTCCCAAACCTTCCTGGACCGCATGGAACGCGACTACTGCGGGCGCTCAGTCCTCCTCACCCGCAACGCCACCCACTGGCTCAGCCTCAGCGCCACCTCGGCATCCAAATGCAACGTGCCCATCACCGTCCCCGGCCCCGTCCTCCGCGCCGACTGTCCCGCCGGTGTCTGCACGTACGAGCAGATTGGAGTCGATCCCCTGACGGTTTGGGTGGCCTTGAAGGGCGGGGAGAGTAGGACGTTGAGGTTCAGCCCCGCTATTGCGGTTTGATGATGCCCCCGGTCGGTGGGGAAAGCGAAGGAGGGGACGAGCGGTTTGGAGATCTGAACGAGCCGCTTTCGCTTTTTGGAAGCCGCCCGAGTCGGAGAGACAGACCCGGACTCTACATCCCCACCCCTCCCCCGGACTTCTCCCCCCCCCCCCCCCCCCCCCCCATTTTTTGTTTTTGTCCCTTTGATTTCTAGTTTTGTGTTTTCTTTTTTGGCCCCCTTGTCGAATGACACTTTCTTTTTTTTTTTGCTTTCTACGTTTTTTCTCGACACTGGGTTCTGAAACAGGCCGAGAAAACTGGCAACGTACAGTAACCACGCAGCGTTCGGATCCACCCACCGTCCATCCGAAAACAACCCAACATACTAAAAAGAGGGATGTCTCTGTAATATCCACCCCCAATAACGGTATATACAAACTCGGAGGGGTCATAGATGGAGAGTACGGGGGTATGCCGGGGATTCAAAAGGAAGTCATTGTAACATAGAAAGTGTCTGTCTTGGGAAGGGATGAGGTGCGCGGGAATGGGATGTGATGCGGGGTTGGGCTTGAGGGCGGTTTTGGGCGGTGGTGAGGTGGGGTGGGCCGTGGCGAAGGGTAGGGGACGGATGTGAAGCGGCGGAGGCGGTGAGGGCGTGATGAACGTTGGGATGGGGGTGCCGAGGACGTTCCTTGTCGAGGGTGTGGCGTGTGACCAGGGGGACGGGCGTTGTGACTTTGGTAAGGGTCCACCAGGGACACTCCAAAGCCCGTCCCTTCCAGGTCCCTCACCCACCCCCAACGACCCTCCTTAACCCCTCCCACCTCCTCTCCAACTCCGCCCTCTCATTCTCACACTCGGCCCACCCCTCCTTCGCCTCCCTCACCCCCCCCATCAACCCATCCACCTGCTCCTCCAGCTCCACGTTCCGGCTCGTCAGCTCCAGATTCTTCTGCGCCAGCCGCTGCATCTCCCCATGCACCCGCTCCTCCGCCAACGCCGCCACGTCCGCCTCCCGCGTCTCGAGCACCGCGACACGCGCCTGGAGGGTCGTCGCGAGCGTCTGGAGGTTGTCCGCGCGCACGGTCTGGTCCAATAGCCGATTGGCCAGCGTGACATGCTCGCGGTTCAGAATCTCGTACTCCATCTCCATCCTCCGGATCGTCTCGTTCATCCGCCTCGCCTCCGCGCGCAACGCCTCAAGCTCCATGTGCTCGGGCCCCGCCAACCGCACCGCCTCCGCGTGGTCCGCCGCGAGTTTGTCCAGCCGCGTCTTGGAGATCTTGATCGCCACCGCGTCCGCGACGAACTGGTCGATGTTGTCCGCGTACGCGTCAAACAGCCCGTTCTTGAGAAACTCGAGGAGTTGCTCGAATTCGGTCAGCGCGAGGATCTTGTCCGAGTTCTTCTTCACCAGCGCCAACGCAAACTTCAGCATCGCGTCCACACCCTCTGCAAACATCACGTCCATGATCCGAAACACGCACGCGAGCGGGAACCGGTACGCAAACATCGTCATGAACCATTGCGAGGCGTACATGTTGGATTTCACTTCGTGCGTCTCGAGGTGCCGGAACACGGGCGGGAGGTGCTCGATGAGGAGCTCGTCGAATTGGTACAGGCGGAGCTGGAGCCCGATCATTTTGGGCGTGTACAGGTCGCGCAGGTTGTAGGTGCGCATGAGGCGGACGAGGACGCAGAAGGATTCTTCGTCGGGCATCTGCATAAATTCAAGAGAGAGATACTGAGTGTTGACCGCGAAGGAACAAGAGTGCAATTCGGGCTCGAGAGCGGGAGAGAATCACCTACATTCAACAAAATAGCCCCAACGACAAACGCAATCCCCTGACAATACCCAATCTCCGTATCAAAAAGACTATACGCCTTGATGATATTGAACAAACTCTCCTGCCCTGGCCCCCCGACTTCCACAAACCGCTCGTGTTTCGGGAAGGTGCGGGCCAGGTCGCGCTGGATGACTTTTTCGTGGATCGAGGTGCGGGTGAGGAGGGTAGCGTATTGGTTTTCGAGGTCGGGGTCTTTTCCTTTGCAGATGAGTTGCCAGACCATGCCGCGGAGGGAGTCGGGGATGCCGAGGTGGAGTTTACGGGTGAATGTTCGGGGGTCTGTTTTGGGAAAGATAGAGAGGGGAGTTGGTTGGGGGTGGGGAAGATTGAATCAGAGGTGTGAAGGGTGTACGTACGTCTCCGCACGGTGTTTTCGTAATCGTTCATCAGCTTTCCCCAGAATTCTGTACAAGATCAGAGTGTTAGAGGTCGCTAGGTTCCCCATTCACGACATCCATGAAGTAAGTGAGTGTAACGCACCCCAATCAGTCTCAACAGCCGCCGCCACCGCCGCCGCCTCCTCCGTCTTCGGCCCCTGCGTCACCGCCCCACCCGCACCCTGCCCTTGTCCTTGTCCTTGTCCCGCCCCATCCCCCAACATCGACTCCCTAACCGCCTGAAAGCTGGCCTGCAAATACGACGCAGGACTAAATCCCCATCCCTTCTTCGTCTCCTCCTTCACCTCAGTGCTGCCGACGGGGCTATTTGCGTTCGAGACCCCAGAGGTGACGGCCTCAGCTTCTTTATCCTCTTCCAGTTTGTCGAGAACAAAGAAGGATTCGTCGTCGTGGCCTTCCCCGCCAAGCGTCGGTGTCGAGGGGGTTGAGTCAAAGGATTGCAACGAGGGGCGGCGGATTCGGCCTGTTCCTGTACCTGAAACGGGCGCGAAATCACCAGACCCGTCCGCGCCGTTATCAGCATACACATTCACGGATTGTTTTCGTAACATCTGCGGTGACCGGCCCCCACTGGCAGGTGCAGACCCCGGGCCCGGGGCTCCGACCAACTCTGAGAAACTCCGATGGTGCACTGAACTCCCACTACCACCCATCCCACCTGTCCCCGAAGACGACGGCCGTCTCGGTTTGGCGGTCGAGAATGCCGGCCGTGACGGAGTGACCGTCGAAAACCCCGTCGGGACCGTTTTGTTCCGTGTCGGCAGGCTCGGGCGGAAGATCTGTGCGTCGGAGTAGGATTTGGCGTGGGAGGAGCGGCGGTTGAACATGTCGTGGGCGGTGGCGGCGGAGGAGGGGGAGGAGGCGTGGGAGAAGGTGGGGGAGCCGGGGGCGTTGGAGGTGGCGGAGGTTGTCCGGGAATCGGGTTGGGATGTGTCTGGGCTGCTTTGTTGTTGGGGGCGGGATTGGGATGTGTCGATGGCGATGGGGGATGTTTTTGTTTTGCGTTGCGGTAGGAGGCCTGCGAAGTGTATGAAATCCAAGTACGTGTGTGAGTTCAATGATCTCGCGACAAGGGATGTTGAGTGATGGATGGCTGAATGAACTACCGATCCATCATCAACCCATCAGCCATCAGCCATCAACCATCAACCATCCTCAAGCACGATGCATGCGTGTGTGAAAGAACAACCGTTCGGTGTCCTTCATCACCCCACAAACGATGTGAGGGGAAATTGCGCCCTTGGCGCAAGGTGGTGCTCGCTTCGCTCGCAAAAGATCTGACGCTCGCCGAGGCTTGCTAAGTGCCGTCGTGAGGGGAGTATTGCGCCTTTGGCGCATTGTAGCTCTCTCCCCTCGCTCGCGGTCGGTCTCCCAGACACCGAACGAACCCCGCTCCCTTCACTCGTTGCAGTACAACCACCCTCGCTTGCATGGCTCGTCGCGGCGCCGTTCGCTTCGCTCACGAAGCTCAGGAATTCTTGAGCCCTTCCTTCGATGCAATTCCCTCGCTAACGCTGGGGCTCCGCTACTCACCAGACAAATCCCCCAAACCATCCACACCCCCACCCCCAACTCCAACCCCAGCGCCGTTCACAACGTTCCTGGGCGCGTTGTTGTCCAGCTCAGCAGTCCCGTTCCCACTCCCGTTTGGCGGCGCATGTTCGAGCTGGCTTAAGCTCTCCATGGAGATATGGCGGTGGTGGTTAGCTTCCGTCTCTGCCATCTTCCGTTTCTGCGTGCCGTCTCCGGCTGCTCCTCCAGGCCTCGCCGTGCGGGTTATGGGCGGCTTTAGTTGTCGTCTGGCGGCGTTGTCCGTTTGTTTGGCTCACGCGTGTGTTTGCCGTTGGGCCGCTTTTCTAGAAGGCCGTTCAGGCGGCGGCAGGTCTGGGCGGCAGGTGCTGGCGGCAAGGCTGGACGGACAAGGACAAAGGAAGAGCCGTGTATGAGGTGTATGGGAGGGTAGGATGCTATGCTCTGTTATGTTATGTGGTTGAGGGTGGTGAGCGATGAGGTCTGATAGAGGGAAAACAAAGCGAGCAACCTGAGCAACCCTACCCGCCGCTCTACGACATCCCCCCAGGAACCGCACCCTCTCTCACTACCATCACAAGGCGCAGGCGGTAAGATATCCCAGCACTCCTGGACCCACGACCGCCGTCAGCAAAGACAGAACTGATAGTGACCGATACGGTAGGATGGCCAACAGGCCTCGACCAGGGGTCGGGAGGAGGCAGTCTGTCCGCCATATATCTGGTCTGAACGCCTCAATCGGTACAGGCCTGCACGTTCTACAGTACTACGGGGTCTGAGACGTTCACTACCGACATGCAGAGAGTTGTGATGCACTTACTTGTCCACGTATTCACACGCACAATGCATAGTTGGGTTGGGATCCACCTTCGATTTGGTCAACGCTCTGCGGAGAAAGAAGAGGATCGAGTCTTCAAGGAACACTTTATGGCGGTTTTCGAGACGGTCAAACTTGTAGTAATGGCTGCCGAGGCTGCCGAGAGGCTTGGATAACCGCAACACCGTAGTCTTATTTGATTCTCTGGATGACGAAAAGCCTGACACAAGGCGGCGGGACGCCAACAAGTTGGAATGCTACGGAAGAAAACCACCCAAACGGAGGGAAACCTCGCCGTCACTTGTGATTCCAGCGGCAGTTTTATTGGTCTAGCAACGACGTCGTCTGATGGGGCATATGTACCCTACGGGCTCGGACATGCAGGGGGCGGTAATGGAGTTCCTGTGGAAATATAACCATGACTCCGACATCGTCGATATCGGTAGGGCTAGCAAAGTCTGCGGCCCATGAGAATATCGATTTGCGGATTTCGATGATGTCGGATCTCGATGTAGTACTCGGAGGCTTCTTGACAATCCTAGCTTGTCGCCAATCCCGTTGCGATGGACGGCCAGCTGGGATTGTCATAAAGGCGTGAAAGAGGGCCAGCCTTGTGGGTTATAACTCCACATGCCTGGGAATGATCGGTGGGGCTTGATTCCTGGCATTTGAATGGATCAGGAAATCCTCGAGGAGCCTGCCATATCGGTCGTCTCTTCCAAGGTGGCCTCCGTACCGCACAAATGTTGGCGAAATCTCAGACAATGTGTCCCACTAGAGATTGAGTTAGGAGTAGGAATTTCTGGAGGTGCACACATGCAGCGTCTCGACAACGCCGATGGTGACCACGGAGGATGATCTCCGTTCGCCACGGGAAACCATGCGGCTTCCGACAACCAAAGATCAAATCATGGGCAAACTGGCATTGGGCTGAAACAGAAGGTGATCAAAAGCACACTACGACACTGGGTGCTCCTCGATCCGACGGTAACCCTAAGTGCCGGCGACAGCTTACGTGCACCCCCCTCTCAATCAAAGCCAAAACAAGTTGGACCGCCCGCCACTCGGACCACGACCTCCTCCTCGCCACCGGCAGCCGCGCCATTACCGCCGCCGAACCTCTTCCTGTCCAATCAAGCCCTGTTCGAAGCTATGAGCAAGTATCCCGACATGAGTGTTCGTCAGAGAGGAGAGGAGCGCCTCCAAGATGAGCCTGTAGGGGAAGTCCCAAGAGAATTACGATGCTTCGCCAGAAAAATACGCTCAGTTTGTTCTTGGACAGCTGCAGGCCTACGTACCGAACGTCTCCTATGCACTTTTCCCTTTTCCGTAGATCATTGATATGCGAAAGATTGGAGCGGCGGGGAACCTTACTCGCGACCACATCTGTCGGTCTAAATCCGGGACCAAACCGGTCGAAAACTGTCGTGATGACTGTGACTGTGCTGTCAAACCCCATCGAAAACGCGCTCTGACGTAAGCCCAGGCAAAGAAACTCCGCTTGCGCGACCTTGCGCCTCATTCTTAAACCAGAACTTCAGTTTTCTGCAGGACGTCGAATTCTTTCGAAAATCTCGGCAGTGAGCGACGGCTGGGTTGACCCCCACGGTAAAGGGACTACACACGACATACAAACCGACCCAATTGACGAACCACTCGCCAGAGTTCTTTCTTACAATGGTTGGGCTTGCTAGTGGCACCCGGACGTACGCTTCGGTGCTCATCAACGCTTGCAAGGAGAAGGCATCACCAATCCGATTCCGGATTTCGAATTCCCCTCGCCAAACGCCACCCCCAGCCAACTCTCCTCCGCCATCATCACCTATTGACTTGCCGTCACCTCTGACAAGGCCCCCATGTCCTTATCAATACATACACGATGAGGCCAGTCATTCTAGGGACTCTTTCCGTCCCACCAGTGACGACCGACAGCACAAACGGTGCATCTAAAGATTTTACAAGTGAACCGCTACGAATTCCAACCTCATGCCAGGACAATCGCACGCTTCGGGTTTTCGATACCGACTCCAAGACATCGGCGTTGCCATGAACGACCACCACCTCGATGATCACCGCGAGGACGCAAGCCCTGGAAGGTCGCACGCCCCCGTCGAGCACCCGGAGGTGCTTTACACAAAGATTGCCAAGCTCGTCGATGGTGACGTAATCCACACGGCCCCCCGTTTCCGCTCTCTCCGCACCGAAAGCAGTGGTGCTTGCGATCTAGAATCTTAACATACCAGGCGAGATAGACCGTCCACTTGAATGCTCGCCGCCGCCAAACAGGGACCATCGCCAGGACTGCCGGCAAGGCAGTTGTATAAACATTTTCAATCGTTGTTGGCGAAGCGGGCTGGGCGCATTTGGTTCGCAACCAGCTGTTCGTCCGGGTCCCCTACAGTAAACTGTCACCAGGGGCACAAACACTTCTTGGGCCGCTTGTTCTGCCGGAGGCCACTCCTGGAAGCCGGCCTGACGTTCGCCCGATACGGAGGATTGCGGTGATACCGACTCAGCATGGAGTGACGCAAAACGTCAAGACCCTCCACAGCGGCGCCACTTCGGGCTTCGAGACCATGCCCATCCATGCCATTGAAGCGGCTATCCCTATCCCAGCCACTACCACCACCAAATGGATGGCTGGATCGGGTGACTGACCTAGCGGGGGCAGAAAGCCAACTGGCAACCCTAACGATGACACGGGACTGCTTCCATCAACGCTTGCAATTCCGAGAAGGCGAGACAGAGGAGGTCCGAGAGCTGCAGGGCGAGTCCGGTCCACCTGTTCGACACCTCGACGAAAGGGCGACCGTCACCTTCGCGTCCTGATGCCAACCGCAAATTGACGACTATCAAACCCTCTGCGTTCACACCTTCTCCCTCGCGAACGGCCTCTGGAATCCTCCGAGCGACACCGTCCCCGCCACCGCTGTCACCGCCAAGGGCAACGCCGTCTTCGCCCGAAAAGGATTTTACATCTACGTCACCCTCAAGGTTGCCTAAGCCGCCATCGCCTTCCAGATGGCCACAGCCCCGGCTTGTGGGCACGGTGGCCCAACCACATCTGCTTCAAAATGACGTATCCCCGGTGCCGTCGTCACCGAAAACTATTCAGAATTCTACCGCTCCTTCGCACGCCTCTCCAAACGGCAAATGTTTGGTGCCGGCATCACCAAAAATCAATTCTATTTCTGCCGGCGTCTCGCACGATCTCACACAAACGGCAATGCCTGGCGCCGCCGTCGCGGTGCCGGTGTTTGGCGTCGCCGGAAAAGAAACCGAGCGGGCTAAGCTACCTTTTTGAACGTGACGCACCCACACCGAGCCGTCTTAAGACGCACCCACGCCTCGTCCAGGCCCGGATCGTTCGCTGAACGTATTGCGACAGTGTCTTCGCCTTTGGCCGTAGCCCTACCCTCCTTCCACGGTCGGTGTCCGCCCGACATTATTCCGGAAAGTTTCCGTCGATAGTCAGCCACCATTTTAATGGGTGTCGTTACACTCAAGCCTGTGCGGCGCATATTCCGATCATCAGCAAATTCCCGGATGCCTCACAGGAATGCGGTGAGCAACAGGACATGTTTGCCGGAGTAATCGTTCGAAAGACCCAAGAGCACGGAGGCATCATCAAGCACCGATCCAGGGGCGACGTTGACCACGCACTTCCGCCTGGCCCGCCTCCCCCGTACTCGGCGGAACGTGCAGCATCGTGGGGTTCATACTTCGCCGAAAGATTGCCCAAGAAAGAGACTGCAGTCGTCGCCACCACTGCTGCAGCTATCGGTTGCTCTCTTGCACTGGAAGGACCCTTGGGGTGGAAAGACATCCTCTCGGCCGGCACTGGCGTGGTTGGGGGTGTCGTTGACAAAGTCTTAACCCGCAAACCCAAAGTGAGCAAGTTCGACGAGAAGGCGGTTCTGGCATCCTACTACGCCTTCATGCACAATCAAGCGATCACTACGACGCATGCCAAACAGATGGCGTTCGAAGCCGAGGAGCGCGCCAAAGAACGGGAGCACGAGGTGATAATGGCGCAGTTGAAGATTAACTCGGACCGCGAGATGGCGGAGTTGAAGATTACCGCGAGATGGCGGAGTTGGAGCGCAAGACGGCGCTGTTGAGGTTGACTGGGAGGTTGCAGCCCATCGTTGCAGCTATCGGTATATTCGCCCGCTGCGACATACATCTCTTCTACCACCACCACCATTACCAGCCGATAAGAAGCGTGGGAACCTGACCGGGGCATCAGCTCAACAGGCCAGACGACAACGTGGCCCCTCCCGAGACTGAAAGCGAAGTCTCCGGCACGCGCAGACTCAGCATTGAGATCAAGAATCAGTGCTCTTTTGCCTGCACATGGCGCTGAACCGAGCATTACAAACTCCGATGTCCTAATCGGGGTCCCAACCGTGGCCTTCTGTGTCCGTGGCACATTCCGATCGCTTCTCTTCAAGGTCAGGAGACTACCGTCGCCGTCCCGAATTGCCTGTGGGGGTCGCGCAAGAAAGGAGCACATTGACCAGAAGGACGCGGGATCGACAAGGGCCGAGGCGAGAGCCAAGGGCGAATCGGTATATATCCAGTTGCTTTGTTGCTGTATTACGGAGGCCCCGGCCCCTAAGCTCACATTCCTTCTATGTTGCACATATGTATAGGCCGCGCGACTTGCCCAGATGGGTCGTTGGTTGTTTGGGATTCTAGCTCTCATCTGGCGACGGGGTGGGCGAGTGCAGGTGGCATTTGCATCCACAAAAGGTGCTTTTGGCCTTGCTGCTGGCCGGGGGTTCTGGTGGGTGGCCATCAACGTGCTCAAGGAGCAAGCCGACATCGCCACGTACAAGGCGGACTTCTTGGATCCACCAGGTCTCCCACAAGCACCACCAGCACCACCAGCACCACTCCAAACATCACCGCCACCGCCACCGCCCCTGCCAGACTGGTAGCTCGCTCCGCCGGCACTGCATCATTCTCTGTATAATGCTCTGCATCAACCTTTTCCGCGCTTCGACAGCCCCCAAGGACTTCTACGAACAGCTTGCCTCTTCAAAATGGAAAGACCGTCTACAGCTCCGACGAAAAGCCTATGTGCCCCTCCGACCTGACGCTTCGTCACTAAACTCAGCCCGCGACAAGTGCCTCATTCTGGACCCGGATGGAATATGGGACATGCTGCCCAGCGACCAGGTGGATCTCGTCGCAGGATGGATGACAACTCGCCACATGGTTGCCGACTCCGGCGTCATGGGCGTTATGAGCGGCGTCGCACCTCCCATGAACGCGCGTATGACAACGCAATCCTTTCAATCCACTTGGGGATCGAATCCACGACAAGTTTCGTTCAAGGATCCCCCGAGGTCGCGCCCCAACCCTAACCCTGTCGGGACAGTCGCAACAGTGTAGGCGGTGGACGCGACCCGCCATCGAGCGTCTACGTGGGTTGGGCGCAAACCGGTTCGAGCTGTACCGCCGCCTCCGCCAACTCCTGCGGCATTGCCGCAGGGAGACAAAGAAGCACCGGCGAAGAAGCTAGTTCCTACTGTAGCTCACCGTCAAACCGGACGACAGGCTTTCATCGACGACGTGCATTCGATTCGCAATACGCGGGGGGAGGAGACCGGTCCCTCATGGCTGCGCTGTGGGCGTTATTCCCAAAGGATCCAAAGGCGCCTTTACTACAGCCAATCTACGAAGCGGTAAAGCCCGCACCAAATGCGAAGCGACCCCCCGGGCTTTCATCTTCGCCGGAACCGAGTGTGCCGATAACCATTATCGCATCACCGACCTCACCGCTCCCCCCCCCTCTGTGACCTTTCGCCGCCGGTCTCGATCGGTGGCTACTCGGCTCGTAGGCTCGCCGACACGTACCAACGTCCCGCATGAGATCCTCTTGCGTTACACACAAGACAACGGGACGATCGCTCCTAACCCACGCAAGTCCCTCAAACTGTCCGTTCCTTTCCTTTGGGACAGTGGCTGCGACGTCTTCTCCGCGGCCGAAGACAGCGTCGACGATGACGCCCTTGTCCAGTCGGCGCAGTGGGTATCCCTGGACTATTCGCAGCAGGCGATCGGAGTACCGTGGGGCAAATGTATACGTTTGCAAACTTGCCACCGACCATGACGACGAATGCCTGCAAAAGATGGGCAGCTCGTACATATCAGACTCCCGTCGTTGCTTTTCGACTGTCTCATTGATACGTGTTCGCTTGCAACGCGACTGCTGTACCAGCACATACCACCATTTGCAAGGGCTACGGCTTTGTGTGTACTGTACACGTTTTGAGCCGGCCCGAGTTCCAAGGATGGATCTCGGCGGATCACGAGGTTTGCCGAGGCGCCTGGAACAAAGCATATGGACGCCATGTCGACTCGGTCCTAGAATCCGTACTTCCTGAGGCGAAGGTCGCCTATAAGGAAAGAAAGGTACGACACATGTTTCCTTCACGCCCTTATCCGCTTTGGAGACTGATACCAACGCATTCTTTAGAACCCACGTACTTCGGGGCAGCCCTGGAGGACATACTGAAGACCTACGGAACGGAAAACGACCTCGTAGAAACCCGCGACAAGATCCCCGGCTTCTTCCGGGACTTGATCGAGGGAATCAAGACCCCGGTTCGAGTGAAGGACGAAACCGACGGTAACACGCCCGTGACATATCGCCTTACTCCCGGTACTTCGTATTGACGCCTTTCAAACCCGCGAGAAGATCCCCGCCTTCTTTCGGGACTCACTCGGCGCAGAAAACGAGGCAAGCCGCGCAGAAAAGGAGGCACCCCGTGCAGGAAACAAGGCACTCGGCGCAGAAAACGAGGCACCCCGCGCAGAAAAGGAGGCACCCCGCGCAGGAAACAAGGCACTCGGCGCAGAAAACGAGGCACCCCGCGCAGAAAAGGAGGCACCCCGCGCAGGAAACAAGTCACTCGGCGCAGAAAACGAGGCACCCCGCGCAGAAAACGAGGCACCCCGCGCAGGAAAGGAGGCACCCCGCGCAGGAAACAAGTCACTCGGCGCAGAAAACGAGGCACCCCGCGCAGAAAAGGAGGCACCCCGCGCAGAAAAGGAGGCACCCCGCGCAGGAAACAAGGTACTCGGCGCAGAAAACGAGGCAAGCCGCGCAAGAGAGGAAGCGCTCTATGCCAGCTGCAACAGATGGTTGCCAAGTGGCAGTTGTCGTCCGTCAGGCTGCAGGGGGAGCCGGACGCCATCCGCCTTGCTGACCCACTTGTCCCTCGCCTCCAAGTTCAAAGACACGGGAAGGGCCGGATGGCTCCAGTCTTCCTGCGAAGTGGCGGCTCGCAAAGGCAGAGAAGCAGACAGGCAGGAAACGCGTAGCCGTCAGGGAGGCTCTTCATTATGGCTCCAGTCTTTCTGCGAAGTGGCGGCTCGCAAATGAATCAGCCGCAGCAAGATGCCCAAGTCTGTCACATCCGACAATGAGGGGCCCCCCGGGGGCCCTAGCAAAACTACTGGAGGCAAATGCTGGGGCAAGAATAAACACGAAAGGACAGCGCACCGCTAGAGCCGCAAAGTCAATTTGGGTTAGAGGACATGTCAGTTGACAGAACAGAGGCACCTACGCCCATTCGAATCCGCGTTGCTGTGGATGTTGGAGTGGTCCCAAGCGCTGTATGTCCTCCACGCCAGGGTCCCACCGATAATCCACCACGACATCAAGGCCCAGAATATCATGATTCACCCTGAGACGAAGCAAATCCTGCTCGTATGACTTTGGTATTGCTCGAGTTTGCTCCGACGGAACGTTGGAAAAGGCAGAGAATGACGAGCAAGCGAGCGGAGCGCCCCGCTTCGTACGCTGATCCTCCTCTTTTGTCAGCTTGACGAGAAGAGGCATCTGGGTTGGAGGGGTGGGGAGACGTTACAATAGTCTTGTAAGCTCCTTGAGCGAAGAAGAGGCAAGGGAATTACCAGGCCAACAAGTGGGACTGGTTTAGCGGAGTGGTTGGATTAGATTTGGCGGGTTGGTGACTTTTGCGGTGGGGTGGGACTTGCTACGAGAGTGTGGATGTTGTAATGGTGTATGGACTGAGACGCTTTGTCGTTTGTGTGCTGTCCGTACGTACATATGATGAAGTCCGTAATACAGTCTAGCAGGGTTGACCTGAACGCGCCACGTACGCGTGCTAACCCCTTTCTGAGCGTGCTTACGTGAAGGGCTTACGTGAAGGGCTTACGTGAGTTCTGAAGGGAGGGCGCGATGACTCCTCTTCCGCTTGTGTGTGCGTCCTGTGCGTCGTGTGCTTGCAACGCCAAGGCAACCAACCCCCTAACGAACTCTCAACCCGCCGCAACTTCCCCTATAAAAAGGAACCCCCCCAACACCCAGTCATTCACGCACCCACCCACCTACTCACTCCCTCCTCGCTCCATCTACCCTACTCCACTCAAGATGACAGACCAAACAGACCGCGGAATCATCTCAGACCTCGCGGGGAAATTCACCGGTCAACCTCCCGTCCCAGGCAACAACAACAACAACAACACCACCGGCGAGAAGCACGACGATAATAAGGGTTTGAAGATTGGGATCGGTGGGGTGTTGGGTGCTGTTGCCGTTGCTGGTGAGTGAAATATTTCGAGCGGGAGCGAGTGAGGTGGGGGACTGGGGCGGAGGAATGCTTGGGGACTGTGCCAACGATCGCGCCGGAGCGGAGCGTGGGAATGCTTGAGGGTTCCGGCGATAGCGAGGAGAATTGCGGATCACACACCATCCCAATGTCCTCGTCGCAAGCGGAATGTCCTCGTCGCAAGCGGAGCGAGCAGGGTATCGTTCCACCATCCGCTCCATCCCAATGCATCCGCGCCAGGAACAGTCATCGTGAACCCTCATTCTCACACTCCCACTCTCCACTTCCCCTCTCACTCCCCTCAGGCGTCGGCTACCTAGCCTACGAACAATGGCTCGCGCACCAGAAAAAGTCTCACAACGAAAGCACCGTTTCCGAATTCCAGAAACTCGCTTCCACCTCGGGTTCCTCGGGTGATAAGCATAAGGAGAAGGGCGAGAAGAACGAGAAGAACGAGAAGAACGAGAAGAAGGACAAGAAGGATAAAGATGGGAAGGAGAAGAAACATAAGGATGGCGAGAAGAAACATAAGAAGGAGAAGAAGGGGAGTGGGAGTGATAGTTCGTCGAGTAGTTCGGACAGTGACTAGAAATCGAGAGGATGGCCAGTGTATAGGTTCTGTGACGTGAGCGCTGTATTACACCTGGGTATACCAAAAAAAGAATTCGAAGAGAAGAAAGCTCACCCAACAGAAATGAAAGCCAACACCATCTCTCCTTCCTAATGAATCTCTAAACAACCCGCCCAATAAAGATGGGATAATACCGCACGGTAGCACCCTCCCGGAACTGAAACGCTACCGGTCGCTGCTTGCCTTCCGAATCTGACACGACTTCCCCGTATAACCGTATGAACCCCCTCCCAACGCCTTTGATGCATGTCGTGGATGTACTTGGTGGTGGCAGGGATGTATCGCCCAGGACGGTAACCATCTCCATCTCCTCCTGCGTCTCCCGAGTGAGAATATGCGAAGGGGAAGCACACCTCGAATCCCCCTCATGCGCGACCCCCGAGGCGTCCATCACCGACACCCACATCGACGTGGCCGAGACGGGTCGAATCACCCTATCATCATACTCCCTATCCTGCATCCCCAGCCGCCCGTCCTCCCTCGTCGCATCCAAAGCACTCTCAGCAGGAACAACAACAACAACATGCCCCGTCGATTTATTCATCCCCTGCCAATCCGGAATCTCCCACGCCACCAAATCCCCCGCCCGCACATCCCACATATCCTCCACCGCCCTCCACCTCCCTCCCTTTCCCTCCCCCCCAGAGTCCGCCAGCAACCCCCTCAGAAACCCCGCAAACTCCCTCGCCCGCGGCATCACCGGCCGCACCCTCGCATCCCCCCGTTCCTTGGGTATATCCTCGAACTGCGAGTCGAGACCGCCGCTGTGCAGGAGGTACGAGAGCAGACAGGAGCAGTCGGTGTGGAATGCGCCGAGGTGCGGGTTGATGCGCGACGTGTGCGTGTAGGTCGTTGTACGCAGCATGGAGAGGAGAGTCAGCCCGGCGGTTGTGAGGCGGTGTGAGGGTGATGTCGACTTGTTGGATGGTAATGCTGGTGAGGGGAGCACAGGGTACTCCGATAGATTACAATAATACCGATACCCCTCTCCCACCTCCGTCGTCGGTTCACCCCCCGTCGGCGCCCACACCGCGTACAAGTCACGCACAACAACCACCATCCGTGCGGCGAGGACCCATGCCGAGACGGTCAATGCGATGAGGGCGAGTGTGCGGGGGCTGCTGGAGCGGGGGTGGATGCGGGTGAGGCGTTTGGTGGTGCGGAGGGGGGTGGGGGGGTGGCGATGGTGAGGAGTGTGGGAGGGGGTGCGGAGGAGGGGGGATGTTTCGGTTTCGGAGGGGGGTTGGTGCATGGTGGGTCGAATTGGGCGAACGGGGAAGTGGAATGTGGCCCACAGGGGGATGGCTAAGGCAGACGGAACGCACGGGCGGACGGACGGACGACGAGGTGTGTGCCACTGAGGGATTGTCTGATTGTGGGTGTGGAGAATGCCTTTGCAAGTGCGAACTCGTCGAACTTTGGCGGTCTGGCCCACCACTCCGGAGACGACTCAACACAACGGCACACTCTCACAAAAATCCACATCAACAACCCCCTCCTTCGCCTCGTAATCCACAAAGACATCGTAGCAGTGTGGGGCGCCCACGTAAGGCGGAAACGGCAGGATACGCCGCAACCCCGTCTTTTTGCACAACCGTCCCATCCCCGTCCTCGTCCTCGTCCTTGTTTTTGCCCGTTGTGGGTATCATCGCCGAGTTTGGGCTTCTCTCCTTCGTCGAATACATAGAACGGCGGGTCAAGAGGATCATGCCGCACTTTGAAGTCCGTGCTAGAAACGAGGTCCGGTAGAACGCGGTTGGTTAGCGGAATAACGCTGGAAAAGATATTGGCAAGTATATCCGTCGTAACCAGCTCGCTGCGGGACGGGATGGATGTTGTTGATGTAGGACTGGATCTCACAGGCCAGACGGTCGTTCGCAGGTAATCGTCGGTTGGCAGCCACTGAACCACATTTTCGCCCGCTGTACGCGAGAAAACGGGTAGAGGTCTTCCGGGAATGGATAAGGCGAAGGGCGGTCGGCAGGTGTGCGGATCTCGTTGCCCTGCTGCAGGCAAAATCTTGGTCTTTCCACCTTCCAAACAGTACACGGAGGGATGTACGAGATCCAGCACTTGATGATCGGTGTCAGGATGCGAGTCCTTCTCGGCGTTCTCCAACTTGGCCGCAAATGCGGCGAGCGCACTTGGATGGAAACACTGGCATTGCGGGTGGGTCCTTGCAGGGGTCATGCTGGTAGATGCCCTGCACCCCGGCTGGGAGGTACGCATCGCCAAAGTACTCTACTAATGGTCTTGGCTTTCTGTATGGCCGGAGAGGCCCACATGGAGCGTTGGACAAGTGATTGTGGATGTGAATTTTCGAAAGTGATACGCAACAAGATGAAATCATGCAACCGTGAGATCGTCTGGGTCATGCACTCCCCTCACATCTTTCGGTGAACGACACAGCCAATCCTAATCTCCTCCACCTGAGCCGGTGCAGTAAAGGGATCATACTTGCCCCACGAAATCAGCGGGCTAACCAAACCTCCCGTCACCGCGCCAACCCCAATCTGAAACCACATCCCAGCTACGGCCGGGCACCACATCCTCACTGCCCCATATAAGAAACGCCACCACCGTCGCGAGCAGCCACAGCACAACCACAATCAATATCGCAAACAGCGTCGCGGGCGCCCATCGACCCATGCGCGCGGGTAAACTCAATCCGCGCGAGCAGATTCTGGGCGTCGCCTGTGAAGAACCCCGACGCAAGGCGCAAAGGTCGGAATCGCAACGACGGCGTGAATTGCCTGAGAACGGGGTTGATCCGCCGCTGCCGCATGTCGAGGGTGGAGGTGCTGACGATCAGCCAGCTCGCGCCGCTGATGGCTACGACCGTCATGAGTGCTGGACATGCCACTGATGCCGCACATCAGCCATGTCCCGCGGGAAGTTCACCCTCGATCCCTGAAACCAACCATTAACCCGCAAGACTGTTCCTCCACAAATAAATCCACCCTCCCCCACATATCGCTCCTTAATCAGCGCGCCTCACGCGATGACACCGTTATAGTTATAGCAGGCCCGATCAGCTGCAGGACGATGAAATAGATCCAGTGCCGAGTGGTGAAGCGGCCGCCGTCTTTTTGGGTGCTGTCGGGCTTTTTGCTCGACTTCTGACCATTGCGATGTGGCTTGTTGGCGGGAAAAGTTTATGGATGAAGCATTGGAGAAAAGTGCCACTCCTCGTTCCTTAAATTTTGGAGGAGTTATGGGGTTACGGATTCGGATTCTTCGAGTTGAGCTTCCGCGAGCTGTTTAAGCCATTTCGACAGGATTACAACAGCGCGTCCCAGCTCGTTCGTCATATTCCCGTCATACTCCCCCATCCAAATTCAAGTTGCCCTCTGAGACTGTGACGGCACGATGAAAACAGGGATTCGGAAGAAACGTTACTACGGCCCACCGGTGAGGTGACGTTAGATGGAGATTGGATATAAAAGCCAAGGCATCCGCTTTCCCGAACGCCTTGCCTTTACGTATTCTGAGCTGGAAGACCTTCGCAACAAACTACACTTCGTCATAACAGCACATCACAATGTCCATGGACCCTCCCCCCATTTCCGCCGCACTCGGCACCGTCCTGCATGGCATGTCCGCTGTCCACTCCGCGCTCCTCATCGTCCTCGCTCCCGTGTACTACGCCATCCACGACGTCCTGTATTTCGTTTTACACCTCGTTGGGCTGGCTCGCGCGTTTCCCATTCAGAAGCCTTCAGGAACATTCCATCCCGTGGTCTTGGTAACCGGCGCCAGCTCTGGCATCGGAAAGGAGATTGCGCTCAACCTCGCTGAGAACGTGGTACACCGTTCTTGCGGGCGTCCGGAGGGAGAAGAACGCGCAGGAAGTGAAGGCTGAAGCTCGATTTCGAGGTGTGAGCGTTAGGTGGGTGTGACACCCACCTGGACTTGGGGAGGTTGGATGTGCGAGATAATGAGGTGCTCACTGCATTCCATTCCTCTCACCGCTCCTCACTTGTTGGTAGACTCGAACCCATTCTCCTGGACGTGATCGACCCCACCGCCATCGCCAACGCGGTCCGAACGCTCGAATCGCACTCCGGCGACCACGGTCTCGCGGCCCTTGTCAACGTTGCCGGAGGGGTTATCTGCGGCCCGCTCGCTTCTCTCCCCCTGGCGATCTTCCAGCATGCATTGGACTCGGAGGTCAACGGCGCTTTTGCCCTCACGCGTGCGCTCTGGCCTCTGTTGCGGAAGGGACACGGAAGGGTGCTGAATGTCAGCAGCGCTGGGTCGGATGCTTTGGGCCCCGGGTTTGGGAGCTATCACGCGGCCAAGGCGGCCCTGACGGCGATGACGTTGGTCTGGAGGGCCAAAGGCGTTGTGGATGGAGTTGCGGTTTCGGCGGTGGAACCAGGTTAGCGATGAGATGCCCCTCAGCTTTGCTAGTTGGACGAAGCTGATTGGGTTGCCCCATCCCCCGCCCTATAGGCGCCATCCGCACACCGGCCTACATCAAAGCCCTCGAGTCCCTCTCCCAAAACTCGCCCACCAACCCATCCGTAGCGTCGTCTCTTCAGGCGTCGCCGTTGACCACCGATCCCGACTCCCCATGCTCCGCCACCCTCCACTCCCGCACCCAACTCCTCGCGAAAAACATCGCCACCGGTTTCTACCATCTAGGCATCCCGCCGTCCCACGTAGCGCGCGACGTCCGGCATGCGTTGACGAGCAGGTTCCCCGCGAGGAGATATAGGACGGGCTTGGATAGTGCGGCGGTGTACATGTGGAGCAAGCTGATTCCCGGGTGGGTTGCGGATGTGGTCATGGCGGCGTGTGTTGGGTTTGGCGCTAGGGCCCCGGCGGGTGTTGTTAATGGTATCAGCGAAAAAGTCAAGGGGCAGTGAGGCGGGGGGTTTGGAAGTTTGCATCATTGCGGAAAGCCCCCGCACAGTGAGAATTCACTTTTCGATCCGTAAACTCACGGGCGGTGGGTAGGTTGGAAAATGCTACTTCTGTACATACACTCTGGAGCCGACCGCCACATGGTATATTATCTCAGATGAGCTTGTTGTGTACTGACTCGGAGGGATGGGGGCTCCAAGTGCTACAGTAAATACCGAATGCAATACATCGTAGAAGCACCTTTTTCGAGGTCCTCACGCACGCCGTCATTCCAATTATGCAGCCGTCAGAGCACTGAATCCCCATTCGGTATTCGCATCAAGAATCCCGCTGCACATCCTCCACTGGCTCTCAAGCTTTCATGGGAACGAGCACCATCCGTTGCGTGACCTGCCCTGGTGTTCCAGGAGTCGACAGAGATGCGGGTGGCGACGTTCATTCATCCGCTTTCCACATCTCTAATCGCGGTGCAAGAGCATGCTGATGAAAGAGAACCGCATTAACCATTCTTCCATTCCGGCCACCCGGTGCACGCCATCCAGCTAGCAATGCGTCATCAGCATCACCCCGGGTTTTCGCACCACCTCCCGCTTCACTCGTGAGCGGAACAAGCCATGATGCCGTTCCAACCCCGCGAGAGAAGAGGTGCCAAAGTTTATCCCGCAACATCGTTGGCATGACGACCCCCGACGGCCCCTACCGCTGCAAGGTACCAGCCGTACAGTACGCTAAGCGCCTGCTGCTATCTTGACGATGGGGAGGCGGTGGTATGGACACCTTGGGGTGTAATTCAATCGCTCCGTTACGTCAGGATAGCAGAAAACTCATCTCACCAAGCTTTCCCCTACTGAGAGCTCCAAACCCAAACATACTTCTACGTAGTGTCTTCCACGGGTGTCTTCCGTTCTGTCGTCGTGAGCGTCGTGAGCGTCAATGCCCCAGACTTTTTCGCCAGGTCGTGGGGAAGCGTGAGCGGCTCCACCTTTGGAAACGATGAAGAACACCTAGATCCAACCGTTCAACCATCGTAAACGCCTTTGGACTCGCTATTGAAGGAGAGTGCGGGTGGACTGAACAGCATCGCCACCTCGCTTTTGCAGGCCACTTCCCCAGGGAAGGTGAACTCGGCATTCCCACAATCAGAGATACCGTTGCTCAACGGAGATGAGGAGAAACGGGGAGACACGACACGGCTCGAGTCTTTGTATTCATCGGGAAAAAGAAACACTATGTGATAGAATAGGATCAACATATATGGTAGTACATTTCATCGACCATGTCCGGACGAAAATCGGCCTGAACTTCGAACAAGTGATACGTAGGAAAGTCGCCAGCGGGATTGGGATGTGCGAAATGAAGGAGATGACGAGAAGGATGAACGCTACGAAAGAACGCTTTGTCATCCGTAAAACATGTGTAGTCGTCGGAGGCTGCAATGTTGGGAATGCAAGAGGGTATGAGGACATGGCGACAACATCGAGATACCGGTTCGGAACGAACCAGCTGGATTCTGAGAAATTACCTCAGAGTACAATACAGTTCGCCGGGCTCCTATATACCGGGCCTGACGGCAATAGTTCACTTATCAAATCGTCACTTTGCCGGAGGTCATCCTCAACGTAGCCAACCAACTTCGTGCGTCGCGTATCCTCTGCGAGCTTATGCGTCGTCGCTAAGGGAGCCCCAACCATCGTGCAGAACATAGTGCCTCTCAGGACGTCGGACGTCGTCAGGACAGGACGGTACTGGCCGTCACAAATGATGGACAAGTACGCATTGGCGAAATGCTGACAATTCCAAAAGACCAAATGGTAGGATCCGAAATAGCTAATGAGCAATTGGCCTATATCTTTAAGATCCTGGACATTGTACTGTGTTTTGCCGACCGAGTCCGACACCATATACTCCACGCCCTCAGCCGTCTCCGCACGAAAATACAGGCCGATCGGCCGCCTGGTAACGCGATCGACCCGAAAGCAGAGATGGTAAATCCAACTGTCAGCCAAAATAGCCCAGTGCGAAAACGGCGCCATCCAACTTTGGGGGCTAAAGTTGACGCTTTGCACCTGAACGGCAGCAACAGGAACGTCCAACCCCGTTGTACGACGAGCCTTGAACCGTTGAGCGACCCCGCTGCAATAAGTCTGTACCTCGTCATCGGATAATTGGAAACGCAATTGCATCGGGTCCGATAGGTTGGAGGGTATGCCGTTGTCCATTATGTGGCGCAAGTATAAGCGTCAAAGGAAACCACGTATGCAGAGCGTGAGGAACGAATATGCACAGTGTATCGCAGAGTCCAAGGAAGAGTTCAAGTGACTGGGGGCGAGGACGTTGGGAGGTTCGGTTGCGGCGACTACGAAGATATGCTCCTGTTGCGGGGCAGTTTCGTCACGTTTCTACACATACTGTATGGTTGGAGGAGCGTTACGACAACCTCTTGCTTGCGCTTGGTCACGTGATCGCGCGACTGGCCAAGAGGCGACAGATAGTACAGTACTTACTGTGCGTGGACACTGACAGACGCAGGACTCCGGGCAGGACTCAGGACAGGACTTCCGAGATCGACTGAGCACCAACCCATCTCGAATCCCATCTTGCCTTGCCTTCCCCTCACAGCCATGTCGACACTGACTCAAAACTCCACCATCGTCCGCGTTGGCGCAGGGGTCGGACTCGCAGCACTCGCCGGCCTAGCAGCCTACGGTCTCCTCACGCACACCCGCCACGGTCGCAGACTTACCCGCGAGTGCTTGATGCGACTCCTCAACTCTATGCCCGAACCCTTCCCCAAATCCCTTCCCTTCGCACAACGCGTTCAACCGCACGGCCCTCTCGAACAACTAGACGATGGCCTTTGGGTGGTGAGGGGCAGCCTGCCGAATATCCCTATACCGCGCTACATGACCATCTACAGACCACCCAACTCAACGTCGCTTCTCGTATTCTCCATGCTGTGCGTGGACGCAAAGACACTCGCTGAAGTGAGGAAGCTGGGCACTGTGACGCATATGGTCATCCCGTGCTCCTGGCACACGCTGGACGCTGCCGTGTACAGAAACGAGTTTCCGAATGCAAAGCTGATCGCCCCACGCGCAGCGCTACACCAATTGAGCAAGAAGGTGGACGTCGAGGTCCTTGCAGCTGAGGATGTCTTTCCTCTCTGGAACGAAAACCCTGAAGCTGCGTCGACCACACAAGGCGCCGGAACGATGGAATGTTCAGTGCAACTGATCTACGGCAAGGGATGTTCAGCGGAATTCGACGAGTGCGAATTGCTACTCGCATTGCCCCCCCGCACATCCACAGCCGCCTCCGTATCCGAAACCACGAACCTCATCCAACGGAAGCCCGCAACGACAGATTCCCGTCACGCGTTGATCATCAACGACATGTTCCACGAGGACCTAAAGTTCACCCGCATCAGCTGGTTCTTGGTAATCGATCACCTCGCCCGCTTCCGCAAGTGGTTGCATGAATTCATGGCAAAAGTGGTCGTGGGCGAGAATGTCGACGTGGTGATAGTTAGTCACGGACAGCCTGTCGTCGGGAAGGAACAGATACGGCGTAAGATGAAGGCAAGCCTTTCAGCTATTTGAGATGACAGAGACCCGGACCCAAATCCGCAATGGGTGGGAGTTCAGACCGAATGCTAGGCGCGCATGCGTAGTGGTAGGAATGTAACGTACTACTTAGCCGGTTGTCGGAACTTTCCTGCCCTCGACACGCGCTCTATGTGCTAAATCTCTCTGATATCAGGAAGATGCTGAACAACTTTTAGCACCTTCTTGGTTGAAATCCCGAGCCTCGTGATCCTTAGGTACTTTGATTTCTTTTCCGAATGACGATACCCCGTGTGTGTAGATACCTCCCCGAGACCTGCAGCACCGGCGTGGAAAGTGTCCGACGCATCCGTTCCAAATGTTGTGGAACTCGTTACTTTTTATTCCCCTTCACACACACCACTCGTTTTATAGACATTCGATCGGACGGTCTGCACACACCAGCTTTCTAACTGCAGAGAGAAAAAGGGGTACGGTACTATAAAAGGAAGCTGTGGCTGAAACAGGTTGTTTTACAACACCAAATTCGTTAGAGACCCTCGCCCGGATGGCGTATAGCCGACAATCATGACCAGAACACTCGCCAAAAAGAACGCAATGCAAAAGATACAGCTACATACAAACGTCTCATATAACCCTATATACACGTCTTTTCTACAGGACCGTGAGCTGCGGCGCGCCAGGCGAAGGCGGGTTGGAGAACCTTGTGGCTACGAACGGTTTGATAATCTTCAGGTCCGAGTCATGGTTGTCAAACTTGTAGTACGCCTTTGCAATGTCGTCAATGTTGATCCGATGAGAAACGAACAGTTGCGTCGGCTTGACCTTGCCAGTGACAATGTACTCGTCCATGACATGCTGCATGTACTTGTGCGTCGGGCACTGCCCGTTTCCGATGAACCGGATTCCGCGCTGCATGAGGCTGCCACTGGAGGAATAGCCGAGATGACTTGCATAAGCAAAACGTGCGAAACTCCATCGGCGCCACATGCACTTGAGCAACTTACATGTTCAGGTGGTTTGTGAACCCTCCGTAAACGCCGGTAAGGGCGACGGTGCCGTAGGAGATGGTGCTTGTGATCATCTCATTCAAATTCTCCGAGCTGTCCGTCTCGAGCCCGAGCGCGATCTCCGCCTTGTGCGCAAACCCCTTTGCGTATTCACCAGCAGCGCACTCGAGCGCAACATCCAGACCGGCAGGACGAGTCGGGTCGCGTCCGTCAACCCCCGGTTTCGTGAGTTCGACAATCCGCGCCTGCACCCCCTTGTGCTCATCGAAGTTGATGGATTCAATGCGAACGGTCGGATAGTCCCGTTTGATCACTTTCACGACGTGATCCAGCCGCCACTGTCAAAAACGCAATAAGCCTTGAACCCGCAATGCGAACAGTTGAATGTAAAGCACCATGCGAACCTGCACGTTGTCAATCACGATGATGTGTTTCGCGCCCCGAATCGCTGACCAGACGGCTCCCATTATGCCACTAACGAACAACCAGAGGAGAGAAAAGCTGTCATTAGCATCCGCCGTGCGCTCGGTTTCTCAAATCCGCGGCTTACATTGCGCCACAGCCCCAGATCCCGACAATGTCATTTTCCTTCACACCCGCGTCTGACACTTGGTGGAATGAGGTGACCAGGATATCGGAGATGTAGAGCGCTTCCTCGTCTGGGACAGAGTCCGGCACTTTGATGCAGTTCGCGTCTCCATGCGGAATGCGCGTGTACTCAGATTGACATCCAGCGAAACCCCCAGTGAAATGCGAGTATCTGTGTTTGAAGAAAGGGCGGAGGCAGTTCATCGATCAGTGTCCCAGCCCATTGACGGATACGATACAACCACGCATACCTACCCCAGCATTCCGCAGGACCTATGCCCGTACATGGAATTCATCAACGCCGAGTCGTTTGTCCTAACGCAAGCCGATGACAGCTTCTGCCGGCACATGAAGCACGTTCCGCACGCCACGTTGAATCCCGCAACCACCCTGTCGCCGACCTTCAGTTTCGTCACTGCCGAGCCGACCGCCTCGACCACGCCCATCCCCTCGTGTCCTAGGATATCGCCCGACTGCATCTCGAGGATGGCGCCGTGCAGAAGGTGCATGTCGGAACCGCAGACGGTCGACCCAGTGATTCGCAAAATAATGTCGTGATCGTCAACTAGTTTGGGCTTGAGAGCCTCACCCACGCGCACGTCGTTTTTGGCATGCCAGATGAGGGCCTAAAGACGGGGATTGAGACACCAGAGTTAGAGACCAGCTTCCTTGGATATGCAGTCGCAGACACAAAAAAGCGCAAGCTATGCCTTCATCTTTTCGCCAGACGGGTCGGCCAGAAGGTCGGGGTTGTTGGACGGGTTTGCACCCGAGGTTGTGTCGAGGCCGCTGGGGGTCTTGAGGGTCTTGTCGATGAGACTTGCTAGTGCGTTCATTTTGAGCTATGCAACGACGGGTTGAGATAGAAGCGGTGGGTTTGCGATAAGGAGCAGTGATGGGGCGGGCGGCAGGGTGGTTGCTCTTGAGTGTTTATGTACCCAAGAGACCTGTGAGATGTGGGTGCGATGTGGTCATGGTCGAGCGGTGGATGTTTAGGGAGCGGAGGCGGCGCGTGGGGAAAAGGCCACAAATGACCCAACAATGACAGCATCGCGTCGCTCTCTCAACTGCGCCTGGCCTGAGAGCTCCTTGCAGATTTTGCCAGCAGCACTCACAAGAACGTCGGATTGGGAGGAAACGCTGCTGTAGATCTAGAGAGATTTGGCGCAAAAGTTGGAGGAAGGCAAGAATGCAAAAGACCAAACCCGCGGTTTTGAGCTGGTGAAATCCAAGTTCCCCATTCGGCGAGCGATTCAAAAGGATTCGCATGGGCATTCACGTCCAGGTTATGTGTGGGTTCAGATCAAGAACCAACTTTTAACCCGATGAATGACATAACAGACTGACACAATTGATTGATCAATTTTTGTCCTAACATTTTTCTCGTGAAGAACACGTCCGATGGCTCCCCGTTCTGATGTTCCCTACTTCTTTCTGATAGTGGCGACCTTTTCTTTTCCGCTTCCCGTCCCAGTGCCTGTGCCTCTCCCAGCGACCAGAGCTTTGTTCTTTTTCAATCCTCCAGCACTAGTAAAGACGTTTAGTCCTTCATCAAAGAGGTGACTTAAGGGAATTCGATCGGATACTTACAAGGCCTTGACCATCTGTATGATAGTAATGAAGAATGAGACGTTCATCTGGCTGAGAAAGCGAATGTGACTTTTCAATCCCTACCGTGGCAAAGACAGTCTGCACACGTCGGATTTCCCAGATGACGCTGCGTTCCTCCAAAGCCTACGAGGGAGAACCCATTCGCTAGTCAGACAAATTTGTTGAGTATATGTTCGGGCTAGCTGCGCCTACATTTGACTCTTCCAATTTTGCAAAGTTCAAAGTCGTAAGACTCTGCATCACTTTAGCGAGCTTGAAAAGCGGCATGACAATGATCACAAACACGATGCTCGATAACACAGCAAAGGCTACTGCGATGCCGATGGAGGTGCGAAGAGCTCTGTTCCGTGCATCCTCGATCGTACCATAGACCTAGGACGCTTCCAGATGAGGATATAGGGAAAGACTGCCCAGAGAAAGACGGGACCTTTACGCACCCTGCGACGTGGGATCGCTACAGCTAGCAGTCCATCCTGGGATATGTAAGAGCTGATGCTGACTCTTTGAGTGACCAGAATCTGGAGGAGCGAAGAGAAAGTAACATCAGTGGGCTACATTTTCACGCTACCCTGCACCGTCTCCCTTCTAGTTCTTCACTACCCAGAGGCCATCATAACCGGGGAGCTGCACATCTTGGTATTGCTGAACTGTTCGAAACGGGGTTGCGGCATTTTCGAACGTAACAAAATCCTCAGTGAGTCTGTTCCGCAGCGAGATGGTTAGTGCATCCGGGTCGGGGAGTGTAAAAGTGTTCTTTGAAGTGACGGTGGTATTCGTCGCCACCATGTTGCTGCTGGCTACAATTTGCAGGTTTTGATTGAAGAAAGCGACCACTGATTGATAGACAGACGAGTACGACAGGCAGGTTAGCGGCCGTCAGAGTGCTGTGTGGGAGCAATGGCATTTGTCCGAAACTGACCACTATCATCCGTGGGCTTGTTGTTGAGCAAAATGCTGTTCCAGGTGGAATCGACGCGGATTCCGGCGCTGCAGTGGTAGTTGGGAAGGTTACTGGAAGCGACAAAGTGAGGCGTGGTCACCCAGGCGACGTAGGTCCCTTTCTCGCTGACGTATGCTGGTGGGATACCCCCAAATCAAAAATGCAAGGAGAGTTAGCATAACGAGGGTGTACGTTGGCGGAAACCGTTATATGAATGTTCGACAACGCACCATTCCAATACGTTGAATTCATCACCTCCAAGTCACCTAGCTGCATTCGATTCGCCAGAGATACTTGATGGAGATAGTCGTGGACCACGGGTGCGCTCGCATTGAATGACAAGGCTATTGCCACCGCGTGAAAAAGTTTGCGTGCAAGGATTATGAATCGACCGCTACGAAATATGAGGGGATGGCGGAAAATCGACTCACTCTTTTTATTGACCATGTACACAGCTACTTTTCCTCCGTCGTCCGATGCTGTTCAATGTACTAAATTAGTGAAAGGCTGATGGCAGAAACATTCTTGAAAAGTGCAAGGAAACGAGAGAGAGTCTTACGTGACCAATCACCCTTGTAGATGATGTTCCCAAGCAATGGATGAGGATAGGTGAACATCTGAAATTCGGAGTTAGTTGAGTCGTTTGGTGCATTACCGTTCTGATAAGCTGGTATAAGGCTGACCTGGGTCCAATGGATAGTTGCATTACTCATGGGACTGCCCGGACTGTAAGAAAAGAGATGTCATCAGGGAATCCGGAATGCCAACCCGTCCCGAACTTCATGATATCAGATACCAACCCATTCGGCGGAATCCAGGAAGTTTGCGTGCATCCAATGGTGTCCAGGTTGTACTTGAAGTACATGCCAATCAGATCGCCAGCCCAAGGCTCGTTCTCCAAACCTTGAATTTCTAGTGCGGCATGGGATAAGATGTTCAAAGGGCCGATGTTCGGGAATAGAACCAAGCATATTTTCAATTTACCACGGCCGGGAGCAAAGGAAGCTGCTACTCTGGGCATTGATGTCAAGTACTCAACTAGCGGAAAGATGTTTTTGACAGACCCCGTGATGTTCATGGACACCTGGAATGTCCCAAGCATTGATATCAAGGGAGACCATTCGTTAAAAACATCTCCGACAAAAATATGGAAGTCCGAGTACCAACCCTCTGCATCAATGCATCTAGATATTCAGTACTGAGTTGGTCGACCGCTGTAGTACTTCCTTGACCGAGCAGAATAAAGGTCTTTTGCGATACGCAGTTTTAGTGCGTCGTGCCGATACAAGAGGACGCACAGATTATGCGAGTAAACACCTACCGGAGCCAGCACCGCAATCAAGGAGGCAATCAGCAGTAGAGGCGCCAAGATCGTCATCGGGAATCCGGGAAAACGGGTCAGTTTCTCCTTTTTGGAAGAAGCGCCGGCGAGGTCGCTGATCATGGCATCGGTTTCGCCTTTCTCAATGTCATCCTCGAGTTCTTTGCCTTGCTGGCTTGTCATCTTGAAGGAATCCGATCCCGGGGACGAGATTCGTTTACCGATGAAACTTTGAGCAAAGGTTTGTCGACAGTTCTGTCAGTGACGGCAATTTCCTATAATGCACCGTCAGTCGGGTGTCTTCATGGCGATAAAAGCGAGCAGTTTTCCGAGTGAGCGCGAATACAATCCCAGTTGCGGGATCTTGTTTCATACGCTCGGCACAAAACGGGAGGCTCAACGAATGTTTGTCTTGGGCACTATAGCGCTTATTATCAACAGCAAGAATTGGGTTAAAGTTGATGGGTTCGTCACATAAAATGGGTGAAGGTTACGGGTACTCGGCCCTATCTCCGATTAACTCCGTAAAAATCGACAGCGCGACTGACAACTGAGTTTGACGGGAGGACAATCTGCACGATCATTTCATTCCGAATCTGACAATCAGTGGGCTAATTAGTAAAAGATCCAAGAAGATCTAGCATAACCCATGAAAGATTCCGCATATGGTGAACAAATGACGACAGGGCAGCCTATAGTACGTTTGGATTCTCGCCGTCCCCGGTGAACAGATTGTTCCAGAAGATGGGTCTGACCAGGGCAAGCGACCAGAGGTCGACGTCCTCCTTTCGATTTGCAATTTGCGGCCGCTTATCCAGCAGTTTGTTCAGCAGTGGAGTATTCGCGTTCAAGAACTGTTTTATCGATGACGACCCCTCAGGATAGCACGAGCTTCACGATCTCCGAATGATCGAATGTTGTGTTAGGAAGAGTTTTGGCCAAGGAGGAGGAGCGCAATTCTCGGTGTTGCGCCCGCCGCTTGGCCTCGTTCCCATTGTTTGAGCTCATCACGTAACATGAGGATATTTGCAGCTTCATATACCCCTTCCAGAATGTTCGTCAGAGAGACAAGCTGCTTCGATTGAAGCCACTCGAGGGCACCGGGGGCCAGGTACGATGAGCACAGAGATTAGCGCGAGATTAGCGCGAGGCAGTTCCGCCGTCTAAGCAATCGACGGATACGGCCAGATGAGGGTATAATGTTGTCTCGAGTGCCGAAACTGGTGCCATCGGGGGAGATTTCCAGGCTCCAAATCTTCGACGGGTGCGTCATTTGCCAAGTCTGGCAACGTCGGTCTGTTACCTACCCACATCGACTGGCAATAAAATGAACGAGTCGCATGAGTCGCTCAGGACGAGTCCGCTGCTACCAGACTGGGCAAACACTACACGTTTGACGTTAGACGGCAGCATAATCGGCTCACCCATGATTGCGCCGGTTTGGCCATTCCAGTAACGCAAGGTTGGACCGTCGATTGCATAGAAGATGTCTGCATTGATGGAAGTCCGGCCATGCGGCTCGCCGAGACTGTCGGGAACGATGATCTGGACGTTTCCCTGATCGATCGAAGCCGTGGTAAGGACAAGTGCGGACGATTCTGCTCTTCCCTGGAGATTTGTCCGATCGGTTACATAAGGGCTTTGTGCGGAAGGTTCTGAAAGGACCTGAGCCTCTTTGATGCGAGCCAAGGAAGGCTTTTGATGTGGCGATGCAGGTTCTGGCATTCCGTTTTGCGGTGTTGATTGTACCCTCAGGATCAGATCCCTACTCAAATGGGAATCCACACATATCGCAATTACAGAATACAGTACAGAGTATTTTCCCGAAAATGACTACATCGCCGGATGGATCCATGGAAGGCACCGCTTTTCCCCTCTCCAGTTCAAGCTCATTCAAACGAACCTGAACCTTGCCACCGAAACAGCCACTGTACGTAGAGCTCAGTACAAATGTCATGAAAATTACGGAAGGGGAATACATCCCACTCTTGCGTGGAAGATGTGGAGATGGAAGATGCCGGGATGGAGGGTGCAGAGATGTCGGCGTAGGAGGAGGTGGGTGAGGAGGCCGGGGACCCGTTAAGTATACTTGACTTGGGAATATCTTGGTTGACCTTCGGAAAAGACTGGTGCTGATAGACCGATCTCTGCATCCACGTTTCTGGTGTTCAGTATCAGGATACCTTGCGTCTCTTGATTTTCCTCGATCATTGGCATCGCGATGCAGGCCGACGGGTCGGCGCTTTTTCGGCGCACGATGTCGGAGACCGACACTTTGTGCTTCGGCGGAACGGAATGTGTTGTGCTCTTCGGGAACATAATCATGAATGCCACTGGGTACGACAGCACAGAGCCCCTGTATGGCAAAAACGACGACCCAAACACGTAAGCTACCGAACCACGCAATGAGGAGGAATCACGATTAATACCCTACCAGTTGAATATTTTCGTCAGTATGTCGGTAGCGAGGACGCTGCCCACCAGCGCCTTCCGACTGACAACGTCCACGTTGATCACAAATAATGCGACCGAATCCAGAAAGAGCGCGGTAACGAACAACCAAGTCATGTCGATATAATACCATAACAGCTGTTTTGAGCCGGGATCAAGCAAATCGCGCCGATGACTTCGAAACCGTCGAATGTTGACGAGGCCCAACGTAATCAGAATGAAGCATTCAGCGTGATAGATGAACTGAGGCGCGACGGTCGCCAGGACTAAATCGTGTGCGAATATCCAAGGAAGTACAATGAACAGGGCACAGCTCAGCATGCTGTGTGCGAGAAGTATGCGTGCTTCCAGGATAGAAATCATGCTTTGATGTAGTACCCCTGCGCTGATTTCGCCGAAGATCGCATACATGACAAAGTACGCGCACGATTTGGTACACCACGCGATGTCGAGAAGAACGTCAGCAACGTGGACAAGCTTGCGGTCTTCCGCATCGTAGGTGGCTAGAGGTTTAACTGCTACCGTGTATGCGCCATCACCATCCACGGAAACTTTGTATCCTTCCTTATATTTGACATAGGATGCCAAGGAGTCGTACGCGAGGATGGCGGCGAGGGATAACAAGAGTAGTGTCGACGCCAAGGTTTTAAGCTCGAACTTTCTGATTCGTTTCCATCTGAGGGACTTGAAACGATCGACCTGCCACATGCGCAATAGCACGAATCCAGTCACGAAGATATTTCCCAGGCCACGATCAATGTAGCTGTACTGTGTGAGATGCATCCTGAACAATGCGCATAGCTGGTTAATCAGGATGCGACAGTCGTGGGCTACCCATATACTGGCGCGTTGTCGGAATCGTACGTAATCGGCAATACACGCGAACGAACTGTGATTCTACTCGCGGCTGGGACCAAGAATGAACGAAAACGGCGCATTTTGTCATATCGGGTCCTGTCAATTATAGCAAAAGAGAGAACCCAGTAGAATCCCACGTCACTGCGACTCTTAAAATAACTCAAGGGTGGTCGGGAGAAGCTGATCTGTTTAACAATCGTTGGGCTCGCAACAGAGATGATCCAAAACTTGAATACAACCGTCAACAAGTGCGGCTTGGCAGGCTTGTCAGAACTCCACCCGCCCGACCCAATGCCACTGGGTGCTGTACAGAAGTAGCCGGCTAAGATTACCATCAATGACTCATCGTTCCGCTATGCTGACCGTTTCTGAAGGAGGTGGCCAATGCTGGGGCAGTTTTTGAGATGCCTCTCGCCAGCAATACAATCCAGGGCCGTGCAATTTGAATCTCGTACAGGGTTCAGGTTCGTGGAAGCGGTCCAGTAACATAGATGCCTGCACTTGTTCTAGTACAGTCACTTCTCGTTTATTTCAATTCCGGTTACTTCAACTTTCGCTTATTTCAACGGTCAGAGGGTCAGGGTTTAGGGTTAGGGTTCGGGTAACATTGACTTTGACAACACTGGGAGCACGAGGCTTGAGCACACTGAAGAGTTCATTGCTCGCCAGATTCTTAGTGAGGAAGGGTTGGAGGTTATGGGGTTAGCCTAGGGAATGCCTGTTCACCGAGCTTAGCGTAGGGTTTAGTTGCGTACCTGTTTGTATACCCTTAGTATGAGGAGGATTTCAGATATTTCAACTTTCGCTTATTTCAAGGGTCAACGGTGTTGAAATAAACGAGAAGTGACTGTAAGTGAAGTTTCACTTCAGCGCCATTAAGCTTCCTTACGAACTGGTTCTGGTGAACCTGACGTTTCTCTTTCGCCATACCCCAGTTTGCACCCAACAGTCCAACACGTCGGGATGGAATATTTTGGCACCTGCGATGCTACACCAGAAAACCTGACCGAACTATCAACGACTGTCTGGGCGCTATGGTATAGCAATTCACGACAGCTTTCAGGTGTGCATGTTTGCAAATTGGCAGAAGCAAGGGCGTGATTCGACCATCGAATTCGACGGGTTCTGCTGTGCTGTAAAACACGGAGTGCTTTAATACTTTCAGCGGTACACTTCGAAAATGTATCCTGGTAGAAATCAGGGAGGTCGACCACGTATGATCTGAGGAAGGGGCTCAGTTCGCTCAAGGGAGTGCCATCAAGCTATGTTTCTCCCCAGCAGGTACGTGGAGCTGCTCATGACGGCCAGCGGGAGGTGTACAAATACAAACGCGGCAAAGCTACAATACTCGGCTTCTTAAGACTTGTCTACAATTCCGAGCACATCCGGTCCATTGATTGCCATAATCACAACGCTCCACAGCAAACATCGTCCACTATTCCAGTTCAATCTTAATGCTGATGATCTTGAACGGTGCATATCCGATCGCAAAGATAGTTGTCTTCTCCGACCCCAGAAGAGGGATCGCGACGTCGGCGGTGTGGACGGATGATCCAGAGTCTTCAAGCACGTTGCAGAAGACTGCGGAGGCCACGGGCAACGATCTGCAGAGAGAGCCAGTGAGCCATGACGATACCAGGTATGAGAAAGGCACACAACCGAATACGTACGTAGTCAATTTGAAGACCCCACGTCCCCCATACGCCTCATAGAACCGCAGAACGAGGGTTTTCAAAGCGGGCTTTGCAGTATCCGACAGCGGTCCTTCGGCGATTTTGATAGTGTCCAGCACAATGTTCGGTTTGTCAATGGAAAAGAACTGACGTGGGGTGAACGATGCCAAGTCTACTGGCGTCGGACTGTGTGGAGCGCGGATCGGGTTAATGATATGGGCAGGGTTTTGCATCATCCGTAGCAGATGGTACGTACGAGATAACCAACGGCACGTTGAACTCATAGCCGGCCTGAACCACATTACTCTCAGCAAAGCTTCCTTTGTGCGGGTACAAGGCGTAGCGGAACGTATGCTCTCCTACGACTCGTACGTGAGCGAATAGCGCATATGTATACTCAATGCAGACGTACGAAAGCTTACCTATGTCGCAATCCGCATCCGGGGCCTGGTGTGGTCCGCCATCAGCACATACATCGTCAAACTGCGAATCATGCTCGAACCCCTTCCATTCCATATCTTACCTTTGGCGCCCGCAACACCGACATACGAATGACATTGCCGTGCACAGCAAACCCGTATTTACTACGTGCGGACCTATATCAGCAGTGCCGCGCGATCTCCCACCGGTGACGGTCAGACTAACCTATCATTCAGCAAAGCCACTCCATAGCCGTGCTCCGAGTAGTCCACGAATTTGTGAGCGCAGACTTCGAATCTCGCTAGGTCCCTGTCATGAAAAATTAGATCAGCTCACGATCCAGAAGCCCTCCAACTATGAGCGGAATGTACGCACCAGCTGTTGTTATAATGCGTTGGGCGCCGAATGAACCCAAACTGTGTCTCATAAGTGGCAAAGTCGTTGTCGATATTGACAGGGAACTCCACTTTCTGCAATACATAGCTGTGTCAGTCCAACACCTTCACATATGTCGCGACCATAACATGAAACTTATCCGTATCTTACCAAGACCCTTCGATTCTCCCTCCAATCAACCCAGGTCTCAAAATCCACTCTCGGGCTCGTCGCCGAAATAATGATCCTCTGCACCACTTTACTAGCCTTCCCCACCTTCAATCCCACCCTCAACACAACCCTCAACGGCCCATCCTCCTCCACAACCAACCCCTCCCCCCCAGCCTGGGCATCCCACCCTTTCTCCAAATGATACACCTCAATATCCCACGCGTCCCAAAACAGCGGTATATCCTCAAACGTCTTGAACGTGTTCGCCAGGTACCCCGGCGCGATCACTTGCCGATTTTCGAGCGTGTCGATGAACGAGCGGATCCGGCCGAGGGGGTCGAATTTGATTTCGATGAATTTGTTCTTTACGATGACTTCGTCTTTGGAGTGGTTGACGATGATGGGTACGAACCAGTCGTCGTGGTCGTCTTTGGTGAAATCGAAGGCCGCGAGGGTGTATGGTGGGATGTCGTTTGCGATATGTAGGCCCTTTGTTTTGTCAGCGGAGAGTTGCTGGAAGGAGGAGTGGGCTTGTGCAGCTGCGCCGGATGAGATGTCGACTTCAACTATCTCGCCGGAGCGGGCCCAAGAGGTCGGGTTGAACACTGCCGATGCGTTGACTGCGGTAGTTCCAATCTGAGCGCCGCCGCTCTTCACGAGATGCTCAAAAGCCCGCTCGCTGAGCTTCGAGCCAGAAGCTTGAATGTCTTTGTAGAACTTTAGCGCATCGATATAGACCATCCCAATCGACGAGCCCGGTAAGACATCATGGAACTGATTGAGCAGCAAAAGCTTCCAAAGCCGATCCAGCTCGGGCTTCTCATACGTGTACCCCGTTCCACTCGTTGTCGAAGCAAGCGCGCCCAAGATCTCAACCTGCCGTAACAGCAGCTCTCCCTTCCGATTGCCCTTCTTGATTAGCGCATGCGTAGTGTATGTCCCGCGATGCAGCTCAAAGTACAGTTCTCCCCGCCAGCTTGTCAGGTCTTTGCTGGTTGCTTCCAGTTTCTCGTAGAAGGAGTTTGGCGTGCCGTGCTCGACTACAGCTGGGAAGCCTTGAAGTTTGCGCACACGCCGCAGTCGTTCGAGCATGGCTCTCAGTGGACCGCCTCCTCCATCGCCGTTGCCATATAGCAGCAAGGACTGATTGGAGTACGCCTTGTCCTTGTTGTTCTGCACCGCGAATATCACGTCCCTCACGCTAGCTTGCGCGGTGTACGTATCGGCCGGCGAAAAGTGGGTCAGCACCGACGTCCCATCCAGACCCGTCCAATTGAAGGTGGTATGCGGAAACTTGTTGATATTGTTCCAGGACAACTTCTGGGTGAAGAAGTACCGCAGGTCCGCCTCGTGGATGATCTGCGGCAGTTGGGCAGAGTAACCAAACGTATCTGGCAACCAGAATACATGGCTTCGCTCGCCAAACTTATGCTCAAAATATCGCTGTCCGTACAGGAATTGCCGGCACATCGCCTCCCCGGAGGGCATGTTGCAGTCCATTTCGACCCAGGTGCCTCCGACGGGGATAAACCGATCCGATTTAGCATGCTTCTTCATACGCTCGAAGAGTTTCGGGTACAGCTGCTCGGTCCATTCGAACTGTTGGGCTTGCGAGGCCGCAAACACATATTCTGGATATTCTTCGATAAGGCCGCATTGGGTGGCCCAGCTTCGTGCCGCTTTTCGTTTCGTCTCGTCATAAGGCCACAGCCATGCCGTGTCGATGTGGCAATTTCCAATAGCGGTGATGACATGTTGTGGAAAGCCCACATCCGCTCTCTTGGCGAAGAATTCAGCGCTGATCTTCTTGGCTTCCACGAGGGAACTGTACGTTCCGAATCAGTATCACTCTCAGAGGAGCTACCAAATCGCACGTTGTTGACGACGCCAATCGCCTACCTTTCGTCATCGTAGGACGCCACGTTCGCAATCGTGTTTGCGGTGGACAATGCATCCCATGATGCTTGGGAATCCTTCGGAAGCTCCTACAAAACGCTTGACGCTTCAGTAGTGGTTGCGACCACGACCATAGCCGTGAGCTCTTCCACACCTTGATCATTGCCACGAGAACCTCCATGTCCCCGAGTAGCTCCCAAGCTACTTTGTTTCGAACGATGATCTCCGCCGTGGCCAGCTTGAAGTACCTATCGTTCTCAGGAGGTTGGATAGACCCATTGCCGCCTGCAGCCGCGATCAACACAGACATAAGCCTTGGTATTGGATCGATTTCGAGCGGCACTATCGCGTCTTACCAACTCCAGCGCCAAACATTCCATTACACGCGCTCTCAATGTACAGCTCAATGTGCTGAGGTTTCTCCTTTCAGACATGTTGCCTCTGACGTCGATACCGTCATCAATCCACCCACCTCCTTTCCGGTGGCATTCTTAGTGAGTCTATACTCGACATGCCTGTCGATATTGTTGTCGCCTGTGATTCCCATCAACGGCTCTCCGTCCGTTGACCAAACCAGCGCTTCACATGTCGGATCAAAGATCAGCTCCACTTCTTCCCCTTTGAATGAAGCCGGGATGTCGATTGTGACGCGAAACCAGTGCGTTGACCACGCTGGAATCAAAGAAGCGCACATCAGGATGACGCCCAAGTGATTTGAAGTCGGCAAACGCCTGGAAAGATCGTTACGCACTCGGTCCAAACTTGTCCCCCACTTTTGCCGGAGAAAAGTCCCCCTTGATAGCTTGGTCGAATGGACTACAAGGAACACAGCAACGTTGAGCTCTCTTTCCGTCACCGCTCTCAAGACCACATGCATGCACCACATACATGCGCTGCAGGTCCGACACTGAGGAAACCTCCAACTTCACAGCCGCCTGGTCCCGGTGCTTTATGAGCGCGGCCTGGAGGTTGACATCGTCGAATTGACACTTGGCGATGAAGTTTTGCAAACGCGAAAGAGTGATGTCTCTGTGCTGCTCATTCCCAATCATGATGAATAAGATAGTGTTTTGGCACGAAGCAAGCTGGTTAGTTTGTTCCCACTGGCTTTCCCGTTCACCTTTTGCAAAGTGTTGAAGGGAGCGGTGAGGAGCTCCTGTCCTTCCTTTCGTGGGCTTTGACCCATCCTCCGTGATGAGCACTACGAGAAGCGCAAGGGGAGGATAGAAGAAGAGCGGCTCTATGTGAGTTTTTCGCCTTGTTCCGGCTGGTGGGAGGGTGATGGTGGAAACGCAAGCAAGCTGATCTCTGGCAGCGTCTTTGGGAAGGGAGGCCTGGGGATTCATCAGACGCGTCCGCCCAGTTGTCCGAGCGGGTCATGACAAACGTGACGGACATGTATCCCCCCCTCGTCAAAACCCCACCCCTCAGGACAGGATTTGCAAGGTTGCGGACCCCCAACTCACTTACCACCGACCGCCTCCTCAAGCCCTAACACCGCTCCAACTTTTGAACCTCATCCCACTACAAAACTACCGCCGCAGAAATGGCCAACCGACCCAAAACACAAGCCAGAACACTCGTCAACTCTGTCGCAGGGACCGTGCTGCCCATCGTGCAGTCCGCCCAGGGGTATGCGCTCGCAGTAGCCCGTACTACGAAGGGCATCTTGGACGCTTATCCGCCCGTTAAGGTGTGTTTCTTTAAACGCTGCAGTGAAGTCTGGTAGTGGTTTTTTTTTTGCGGGTAGCCGAGTGGTAGGGTGCGCGAAGTAGTGCGAAGGCCGAACGCGAGCATAGCGAGAGGGAGGGAAGGGAGATTCTGCGCAAGCTGGGCGAGCGCGAGCGGGGCAAGGGCAAGCGATTGGGATGTTGCTTCGGTCGATAGAACCACGAGGGCTCGCTCTCGCCCTTGCAGAACGAAAGGGTTTGCTTCGCACATCGAAAACCAATGAATTTTCGCTGTCCCTCGCCGAAGGAAGGCGCGCGCAGAATGCATGCACCATCTCGACGAGGATGATAACCTGCGTCTCCGGCATTGAAGTCCCCACACTAACACTCACATGCTGTGTCTCCACTCTCAGGCTTTCGTGTACACTCTCGGCGGCGCGGCAGCGATCCCACTCGCAGTCTTCACTACCTATGGTAATCCCATCACCATGCCTGAGAAAATCCATTCAATTGCCTGCTAACAAGACCCTACTCTCATCTTTTGAAACTATAGGAGCGGCAACGGGCGCAATCGTCGTCGGCGTCGCCGGCACAGGCGTAGCGCTCGTGCAGGGCGGGTTCCTCGCGTTTGGCGGTTTTGTCCTGTTCTGGTTCTTACTGGGGGCACTCATCTTTGCGGCGATCAGTGCGTTTTGGTTCACCGTCGCATACTTTGCATACCAAGTCGCTAAGCGATTAGAAGGCAGTCCCCAACAAACCGCGTAAACTTCGAACACCAACTTCACTTACGAGAACGTTATGCTTACATGACATCAACACGAGAAAAGAGAGAAAACCCTTTCAACAAGCATGCCTCCGTCGAACTGCAAACACAAACGATATAGTTGACATGGGGGCAGATATTATGATTAAGACGAAGGAAGGGGAGGCAAATCGCCAAAGGGAGAGCAAGTTACATTATGAGCATTCTGTATGAGCCCTAAGCATATTCTGTATATTTACATGGTTGGGAATATGAAGAGGAACGAACATTTGTCGCATCAGTTGGGCATCTGCTGGGGATATGATGACGATGCGACGAGTGCGATCAACGAAGCGCTCTCCAAATCCATCACGCCTTCCATCCCATCTCCCATTCCCACCGCTTACCGCAACTCAAACCCCGCCTCCTCATCCAACACCCTCACCAACCTCCCCGCCTCCCTCCCCCCCAACGCCTTCATCGCCCCCCACCCCCCCTTCCCCAAACACTCCACCAACCCCTCCACCCTCGTCCACCTCACAACGCCCATCCCCGCCAACGCCTCCGCCAGTTCCGTCTGATGGTTATCCATCAACGTCTCGTTGACGACCACGAGCAGCGGTTTACGTAACGCGAGGGATTCGAGGATGGAGCCGGCGCCTGCGTGGGAGATTATGAGGGTTGCGGAGGTGAGTGAGGGGAGGAGGGTTGGGTGGTAGGTGTAGGTGTGGATTGCGAGGGGGGTGGGATGTGTTGGGGATGTGTAGGTGAAGTGGTGGTCGGTGGAGGTATCGGGTGGTGATGATGCTGGTGTGACACCCGGGACGGTAGTGAGACAGAGGGGACTAGACCCGTGTTGGATCGTCAGGGATGAGCAGTTGAGGTCGAGGAGGAGGGTGAGGAAGGGGTGGGAGCATACGGTGGTGATGAGGGAGTCGAAACGGGTTGTGCCGACTGTTACGAAGATTCGGGAGGTTACGGTGGGGGAATCTGGTTGGTGGGCGTTGTCGTGCTGTGGAGAGGTCGATGCGGCTTTTGCTGCTGCTGCCCTTGCGGTTGCTCTTGCCGCTGGTTTGCGTGCGTTCATGTCGGTCGGCCTGTGGTGTGTTTGGAGAGGAAGAGATGGCAAGGAATTCTATCTCTCACCCACCTCTCGAAGCGTGACGCGATCTCAGCGCTTTGCAGTGGCTGAAAGCAGAGTAATCAGGTGGGGGACGAAGTTCAGGCACTACGGACGGCTGATGCGTATACGTAGCTGACCGGAGGTGAAGGCAAGTGTGTTGTGCGAAATGCCGCAGCCGAATCTTGCTATGGCGAGGTATCTTTGCGGGGGAAGACGCCCGGACCAACGCGTTCGAGCTGCAAGAACACCAGGAAGAACACATTTCGAAGCCCTCAAATTCTTCCAACACCCGGTTACATTTGACAATGTGCCACTGGCAATTTGAAGCTACCATGCGCTAAGACGTGATACATATGTACAAAGATACGCAGGGTGTTCGCCCTCTTCCAGCCCCGTTCCCTCAACCGATCATCTTGGCGTGATCATCCGGCGGCCATATCGTCTGCGCGAACGTCATCAGCCGTTTTATAGACTGAATCCATTTCCGTTGCGCTTCATCGTTGAGTACATGCGCGACTTGTGACGAGAAAATCTTTTCACGGGCACTACGTTCGTGGATACCTGAACAGAGAAAGAGAGACGGTTAACATGACGATCGGGACCACGTAAAGCAAATGATATCGGAGAGATACTCACCAACCATCGTCACCCCAATAGGCCAGGGTGCATTGCCAATCGACAGTCGTAGGTAAGAGTCATTCGCTTGCAAATACTCCCTCTCCTGCATCAACTTGGCAATCTCGCAAATCCGCATCAAGACGTCAGGCTGCAAAGCTTTCTTCTTCAATTGCTTGAAGAACGGCTTCATGTATTCGGCGGTTTGCCCCTGAGTCGCAGCTTGTAATCGCCCTTGCACCGTACGTTTCTCGTCTTCCGGTCGGGCGTCAAGGTATTTATCCCACTCTCGTAGCACCCGCTTGAAGTAGATGGAGAGTAGGTTGTACACCTTGTCCACATCCTTCTGTATCAGATCGGGCGAGATGATCGTCGTGTCGACTAACTCCCTCTCGGTCTCCTTCGTCCCTTTCTTTTTCCGATATTGATCCTCATCGTCCCCATCTCCAATGGACGCCTTTCGCTTCAAATTCTCGTTGAGAAGACCCTGCTCCGTCGCAGCCATGGCTGCTCTAAAGTCGTTTCTTTGTCCCTCCGTCCGTTCTTCACTCGCTTCTAACTTCCTTAGCCGTCTGATCCGCTGTTGATCTGTTTCGCCAAACAGCTTTATTGGCTGGTCGCGGGCCCTAAATCTCCGCACCAGATCGGTTTCCGCAATATTGTAATCAACATCTTGATCTTCCGTCGAATCTGCACCATCCGCGTTCGCTCCCACTCCGCTGTTTTTCGAAGGACTCCCACCAGCTGACCCAGGTTTGTTCCCCTCCCGCCCGGCGGCGGAATTCCCAGCCAGTCGTGCCTTTTCGGCTGCCTTCTTCGCAGCCTTTTCTTCCCGTTCCCGTTCGAGCTTCGCCTGTTCCGCTAGGTACTCTTGTTCGCGAAGCTTCTCGAGCTCTCCCCTTTTGAAGTATTTTTTTGGACCGGTGTTGAGACTTTTCAATTTGTCCAAGGCGGCCTTCTTCTTCTCCAGTTCTGCCTGGAGCAGGTCCATTGTCGTCAACCAATGAGGGGTATCAAGAGACGGCGTTTCGAGCCTCAAGCAAGAGTGAGTGGAAGCCTTGTATGACTGTCAGCGTGTTGAGAAGTGCAAGTTGCCGCCGAGCCACTGGGCGAAGATCTCCAGCCTGGGACGAGCGAAAGTTGCCGTGTCCGGTGAGTTTGAAGGGGACGCGCGAAGGCCTCAGGTGTGGCGCAGGCTGTGCACTCATGTCGTGGAGTCCTGCGTGGAGTCCGCCGATTATGGGTCGGGTTTCACCTCGCACATAACGGTGGGACAGCTAATCGCTCGGGATTGGAAGCTGCCTGCTGTAAGCACCGGCTTTGCAACGCTAGCTTGCCTCGGGCTTCCTTGACCGCTCACTCTATTGGCAACAAGACGGTCGCTCCGGTGTATAGCTGCTCGCCCGGGATCTACATGTCATAAGGAAGATGGAGGACGTACGGGAAAACGGCACTGACGAGATGGAGGTCGGGGCTGGATCAGAAACCCCTTTGCCTGAGCAAGTGAACCTGCTCGAAAAGGAGTTAATAATACAGCAAGCGAACGCTGGTAAGAATCATCACTGAGCCTTCATCTTGATTGGCCGCTGTTTCGAACCCTGTCCCTCACACACATTCCTGCAAAACCTTAGAACATCAAGCGCACTGGTTTGTCACACAAAACCGGGATCTTACTGCACAGGTGGCGCTTCTACAGCACGAGCTGGCCAATGCCACCGCTATCATTGAGGAGAAAGGTTTGGCGCTGATTCAATGCTATCGGAACGCCGTCGATCTCCATATCTGACCCTGTCCAACCCTCAGACGTTGCGCTGAACGATCTCACAAAGTCAATTCAAGCATCCGAAGAGAACTCGCGAGGAATCAGAGACTCAACCCTGCTATCGAAAGTGGAAACTCTGGAATTGGAAAAGCGGGATGTCGTAAATATTTTGGCGAAAAGAGAACTGGAAATCGACCGCTTGACACGTGCGTTATGGGCGGAGGGTGAAAGTTTCTGGGACAAGCGGACCTCTGAATGTGCTTTACAGGTGAATCCGGGGCATTTCAAGAACAGCTTACGATAGTGAGGGCGGAACTGCGCGCATCGGAGAACAAAGTAACAGAATGGGAAACGAATGCAATGAAGGACAGATTGGTCGTCGCCTCGAAGGACCAGGAAATCTTGCAGCTGCGAAAGCAATCCGAATGGCTGAATTCGGAACTGGCAAAACGGGCTGAGGAAATCCATCAATACCGTGTACATAAGAGTCAGGAACTGTCTGAAACACAATCTCACCTGGACAGCATCATACAAGAAAAGAGCGCTCTAGAAAGTCGCAATCGAGCTCTTCAGCAAAGAGTTCAGACGTTGGAGCAAAATACTCAAGAGCTGATGCAAAAGTTAGAGGAAGTAAGTAGTCCGAAACGCGAGAGTGTGATTCACGTTATAGGAGAATTCCTAAACGACATCCATCCCTAGCGAGAGACGCGACTCGTCAAGAACGAGCATAGCTTCAAGAAGGAAATGGATAGTCAGAAACGGCTCACTCAATTATACGAGAACAATCTGAAGGATGAGCAGAGCCACGTTCAGGAACTGGAAAAGACCCTTCGGGAAGCGTCCGAAACGTGGGATGCTCAGGAAACAGCGCTGAAGGCGGCAGTCGAGCAGGCTCAGTACGAGTGCGACGATTGGAAGGCGAAGTTTGATGCCCTTTACGAGGAAGCAGACAAGCTGAGATATCAGCTCCGAGACACCGCCTCGGAGCAGCCGCTGAACGAGAGTGTTGGACGTTCCTCGCAGGACTCGCGCGTGCAGCTGCGTGGAATGACATATACCTCTCTCTACACGTCGTACGAGGAAGAGAAACAAAGACGCGTGGAGGTGGAACGCGAACTGGAAATCGTTTCCGACCGTTTCAGCGAAGCCTTCGAACGCCTGAACTCTCTCGATCCTTTCGTGAAAGATTTGGAGCGTGAGAACAGGAGACTGCAGGAACGACACGACAAGCTGTTTGGAGATCTCACGAAGGCCCTTGACGAAAAGAAGGCCCTCGTAGCAAACCTAAGTCGATCGGAGCACAGCATCCTGCGAGCGCAGGACGACCGAAAGATTCTGGAGCAAGGTGCGTAGTTTCCGCAATCGCTTATCAGCGTTTTGGAAAGGTCTGACGTTCTACTTCAGATATCAGAGATCTCGTTCGGCAGCTCAATCTCCTTGGTGGCCAGCTGATGAGCGCCCGTCCAGGAGTGCCCATTGAAGTTGACGCATACATCCAGGACCTCATCCGACGTTACGCCCAGCAAAATGCGATCGATGAAGTGAATGCCATTGACGCGTTAATCAGCGAGCGGTTTGTCGACATTGCAAGTCTCGAGGAACTCATTCAACAAAACGTCGACCTTCGGCGAACTACTCGCACCCTAGCTCGAGATGTGGAGGCAGCAAAGACGGCACTGGCGGTGCAAAGCAGTGAGATTGCGTCAGCGGAGTCAACAGAACTGAAAGCGAAGATCGCCGAGTTGGAGGCGAATGTTGAGAAATTGTCTCGTCAACTGCGATACGTAGTGAAGCAGAGGAATGACCTGCGCGCTGTGTTAGAACGCGACGGAGAGGCGCCTCCGGGTTCTCCAGCGCGTCATCGTCTAGCTCCAGAGCAATTAGGTCAATCAACCAGTGGGTCCAATGGGGTTGCGGAGAACTACGAACGATTGTATAAAGAGTTGCAGCAAGACTTCGACAACTACGCTCGAGAGAATGGTACGAGTGCGAAGGCACTGTCTGAGCAGCTTGACCGGCTTCGACAAGAGAAGAGTGATCTCGCTATCCAGGTCTCGAAATACAACCACCAACTGAGCTTCCAACAAGGTAGGGCCCGACTGAGTTTGGCGCGCCTCTGCCCGCGGTTAAGCACTCTGAACATCTTTCTCGTTTGTAGAGCGATACCAGCTACTTGCTTCCAATGCTGACATGCAAATGAAGGAAATAACATCTCTTCGCGAACGCATCGCTGTGATGGCCCACTCAGCTACGGAGCAAGATGCCAAAAAACAAGAGCTCACCAATAATCTGATGGCGGAGAGGCTAAGAGGAGAAGAATTGTCGAGCAAACTTCAGCAATCTCGCATTGAGCGCGAAGTCTGGGAGTCTAGCAAAGCCCGGGCGATGAAAGAATGTCAGGATCTGCTTAGCGAAAGAAATTCCGCTAACGACCGAATCCGTACATTGCAGAGGCAGTTGGAAGAAAGGGAGGATCAATGGAGAAACGAGAAGAAGAGATTCGAGGACAAACTCGACGATGCGGAGAGGGAACTGGCTTTGATCCGCAAGAAGTTGCAGGAGTCGTCGGATGACAACCGCTCACTTCTCGCCAGGAAAGATGCCGAGTCTCAGGCTGCGAGTGTCAAGGTCCAGAAACTTACCCTGGATCTGGAGCGGACGAAGGGAGAACTCAGCTTGATCAAGCAGAAGGAGCAAAACGTTTCGGAGCGGCTTGCAGAATCGAGCGAACGTCTAAGCAACGCTGAAGCGAAGCTGGCTGCGTTCGAGAGGAGGGCGGATGGCACGGACGCCTCCACACCAGAAGACCGCGTCAGGGAACTCGAGCGTGAGGTTGCTCAGCTGACACGCAGTCTTTCCGCCAGAAACGAAGATCTCGAACGTGCAAAGGAACGAGAAGCCAATCTCAAGGAGCTGGCGGAAGGCACTGAAAAGGAGCTTGTCGAGTTCAATCAGACTTACGACGCCTACAAAGCTGACAAGGAGAGGGAGGTCGAGCAGCTCACTCTGCGTATCAGGGATCTGGACCGCGCGCGGACGGAGGTGCTGGAGCAAATGAAGACAACCGATCGGGAATTGATCGAAGCGCGGGAGAAGGCGGAAGCCGACCGACATCAGTTCGAGGAGAAAGTACGTTCCCTCGAAAACCATATCGAGCAAATCGAGGTTTCCGAGGAGATGGCGTTGAAGTCCCAGCAACAAATGCAAGAGGACGTAAAGCGGCATGCGAGCATGGCTCAGCAGGCCAATGACCGTTACGAAAAGGAGGTCATGAACCACTCCACGTCTTTGCAAACCCTGCGCCAGCTCAAAGAGGAAGAGGAGAAGATTCGAAACGAACTGGCACAGGCCAAGCAGCAGGCTTTCGTCGCGCAGAAAGATCTGGAAAATGCTCAAGTCTCTTGGGAAGCCGCGCGGCATCAGTTGGCCGAACAGATCGAAGAAGGGTCCAGACGGGTGGAGGACTTGCAAGCACAAAATGAGCTCCTCCATGCGCAGTTCGAGCGAATGCAGGAGAGTCAGAAGATTTCGGATTCCGTCATGGACCGGACGTCTACTTCCGGCCAGCAAGTGTCGGAGGACACCGAGCGGGTTATCCGCGAGCTCCGCGAGCTGGTCAAGTACGCGCGGAACGAGAGGGATATTCTGCAGACGAAGCTCGACATTGCCTCCTCCGAGAACAATCGCTTCCGACTGGAGTTGTCGCATGTCCAGAGTACCCTTGATGAAGCCCGGGCTCGATTGGATGAAGAGCGCCACAAGAGCCAGGACGCCTTACAGGATGACAGGCGCCACCGGGAGCTCATGGAGAAGATCGAGCAGGCCAACTTGCTTCGTGAATCCAACGTTACACTGCGCGATCAGGTCGAACAGAGCGCGAGGAAGATCAAGGAGTTAGAGGACAAGCTGCGAGCCAACGTCGCCGAGATGGAGCCTCTGCGCGAGAGCGTTATCAACCTGCAAGCGGAAATCGAGGTCAGGAAAGAAGAAAACGCGTCCCTTGCCGAGGACAACACACGTTGGAAAGAGCGTGTCGACCAAATCCTGCGCAAATACGACCGAATCGATCCCGTTGCGTTCGAAAGTCTGAAAGCGACTGTCGAAACGTTATCTAGGGAGAAGCAGGCAGCAGTGGATGAGAAGGTGCTTGCAGAGAAAGCCCGAGATGAGATTCTCGCCAAGTCGCAAGCTCAAGACGATGCGACCAGGAAGATTCGAGACATTGCCCAAAGGCAGAAAGCAGCCCTCGAGTCTCGCGCGAAACAGGTGCTGGAGATGCAAGGAAAACTTGCGGAACTGGCCAAGTGTAATGAGATTGTTACGCAGAAGGACAAGGAGCTGCAAGAGCTGCGGGACCAGATCGAGAATCCGGAGAAGAACGAGAGGCTGAAGGCCGAAATGGACAAGAGGCGACAAGAAGTCATCCAAAAGGCGAACGAAAACCTCGCAAAGTTCAAGGAGCGCAACAAGTCCCTCAGTCAAGAACTGGCGAGCACAAAGCAAGAGAACGCCTTGATGCAGAGCCAGTTGCACCAATTGCAAGCCGAAACCGCCCGACTGACCCAGCTGATTCAAGCGAGCGCTCAAGCCGACGCGTCCGCGGCTGTGGGAGATACCACCCAGAACGATGAACGGATTCGACAACTTGAGAAAGAAATTGCGACGATTCGAGAGGGCAACGACAAACGAGTCAACGATGCACTTGCGGAATGGAAGAAACAGGCTGGAGGAGAGATTGATGCGTTGAAATTGAGGAAACAATTGTTGGAGGGACAACTTCTCCGCGAGAAGAATGTTGTGGAGACCTTGAACGATAAGATTCGGCAGCTGGAAGCCACCCGTGCGGGATCGCCGCAGAAGATGGTATTTACCCCTACCACGGCAGGCCTAGTAGTGGCAACGACTGGAATCCCTCCCGGCCCCCCACCGACGCCGGTCCAGAAACCTATTGTTCCGGCTACCGTTGCTGCTCCGTTGCCTGCAACACTTGCGGTTATTCGGCCGACACCAGTTGTTCAGGCTCCGACAACCGTTGTTCAGACTCCTACAAAAGTCACTCAGAGTGCCCCACTTCCCCCACCGAAGCTCGAGCCCACGCCTCTGGTTGTGGATGTGACGACTACCGCGAATGAAGATACCCAGGATCAACCTTACAGTCCACCCAGTTCGGCAACTCCTATGGTGACTGAGGCTTCGAACGTCATCGAAGAACAAGAGCCCTTCACAACTGGTTCATCGGTTCCTGAAATCGGTGAGAATCCATTGAACGGAGAGGGTTTCGTGCAAAACAATGTCGAAGAGACGTCGAATATTGTGGAAGATGCGTCATCTGAAAACGTTGGGGCAGTCTTCAACCAGACAGAGACCGGCGCGGCCGTAGGCAACCCCGACCCGACCTCAATCCACCCGGCGGCCGTCCCAGCATTCGCGGGCCCGGGGGGGACAAAGCGCCCTCATGAAGAAATGGAGCACGAACCGGATTTGGGCACTGTTGTTTCAACCGGCGCACAGCCGATGGAGGAGGTATTCGAGCAAGTCACAGTGGCGCAGGATGTCCCGGTATCCCAGACGCAACCTCCCAGCAAAAAGCCCAAGTTGGAAGATGTGGAACCAGCCGTACCAGCCCCGATGCAGGAGCTGATTGAGGACGAACCTGAGGAAGGTGCCATCACGGAGCCAGTCCAAACCCCGACCACGGCCGCGCCACCGACTCCAGCTCCTGCTCCTTCGACGCCTGCCGTTACACCGGCGCCTCAGCCAACAGTTCTCAACCCGACGGCGGTCCCGTTTGTTCCATCACCAAACTTAGCGCCGAAAGCCGCATCGCCTGCCAAGAATACACCACCCCCATCCGATAACAATCCGGCTCTGATGGCCATGCTTCTCAAGAAAAAGCTGCAGGAGGCCGCCGCTGCGAAAGCTCAAGCCGCCGCGTCTGCATCAGCATCTACAGCTGCAAACCCTCCGACCAGCGCCCCGGCTTCACCCGCGCCGCAGCCAGCGTCTACCATCGCACCACCGCCGCCAGCCTCACCGACACCAGTGACGCACGGATTGCCCGCGGTGCCTGCCACACCTGCACCTTCAGTACAGACGCCTGGTGCAACACCTCACCAGCGAGGCCGTGGAAGACCCGTCCGTCGTGCAGGTGTGAGGAGGGGAGAAGGGCGAGGCCGTGGTGGAGTTGCAGGCAGCACCAGAGGAGGGCGTGGCAGAGGTGGGCCCGGAGCCGGAGCTGGGCCCGCTGGAGGAACCCCGCAGGGCGCCTGAGTGGGGGCGTATACCAGTGGGACACGAGAAACTGGCTGAATACCCGAATCGGAACCCATGCGCAAAAGAATAAAACTGCTGAGATGGTCGACTCGATCACGTTATATATCATGCTCTGTCCATACAAAATCATGCCTGTGATGTACTGTAAATAATGAGAATACAACATGCTGTAGCAACACCTCTATCATCGTTTGCTTCCGAATCCCAAACCTGCTCCGCACTCGATACGCGATGAAGACGGAATGCAACCGCTGCGCACGTGATTTGAGTGCAGTTATTGCAAATAAATGCTTGTTGTTTTAAGCGCAGTGACGTGAGAGAGTGGTGCAAATCGCAGCCGTCAGCGGACTCCCGGCCGTTTTGAACATCCAACTTCCCTGATTTCTTCCACCAACACAACCATATACTGCGCCTTGGCGGACAGAGGAGCAGCTCAAGCACCTTCGCACAACCACACAGTTTTCGTTTTCTTACAGAGTACCGGTCTGGCAAAATGGCGACCCGGAAGAAGGTGCTTTTGAAGGGTGAGTGAATGTTCACAGTCTGTCATGGCATTGTCCCAGGACTTACCTCTTTGCTTCACCTTTAGTTATTATACTCGGAGACAGTGGGTTCGTACCAGACATACTCGGGACCTTCATCCAAGCAACACCGACGCATTAGGGCTGTAGCTAACTCGCTACCGTGTTTAGTGTCGGAAAGACATCGTTGATGAACCAATATGTGAACAAGAAGTTCAGCAACCAGTACAAAGCTACTATTGGAGCAGACTTTTTGACAAAGGAGGTCATGGTGGACGACCGTCTTGTTACCATGCAGGTCTGTGATCGCTTCCCCTCATTCCAAGCATTTCTTCTAGCTCAGCGAAACTGACCGTAGGCGTATTATAGATTTGGGACACAGCTGGGCAGGAGCGTTTCCAAAGTTTAGGAGTAGCATTTTACCGCGGGGCTGACTGCTGCGTGCTTGTCTACGATGTCAACAACGCGAAGAGTTTTGAGACGCTGGATAGCTGGAGGGATGAGTTCCTGCTGCAGGCCAGCCCAAGAGACCCCGATAACTTTCCGTTCGTGGTGCTCGGCAATAAGATCGATATGGAGGATTCGAAACGGCAGGTGTCACAAAAGCGCGCAATGACATGGTGTGCGCAAAAAGGAGGCATTCCGGTAGGCCGCTGTTTGCGTAGCCTGAAAAGGAGAAAATTGAAACTGATCAGATCGTCTGGTCTCGTAGTACTTCGAGACGAGTGCCAAGGAGGCCATCGATGTCGAAAAGTCTTTCCAAACAATTGCCCGCAATGCACTGCAACAGGAATCCGATGTCGAATTGTACGTTGCCGTGGATCATTGTCTTCACGGATGTCGAAAAACACTAATCGTGCGCCTTCGCACAGATATAGCGACTTTCCCGACCCCATCAAGATCGATGGCGACAGCAGCCGACAAAGCGGCGACGCTGGATGCGCGTGTTAAAGATGGAATCGCCTTCCACTTTACCAATCCTCGCCAGCAACATCATCGCTTCCCCTTCGCCGCGACCTCCCTCACAGCTACTTTTGTTCCACACCCACCGTGCTCGCCTCATCCGTTTGATCAAGCAGCTTTTTCGCTAGAATGCCACCCCATTGTATGTCTCTGTTTCTGATTACATAAATGTATATTTGAAACGCAGCTCTTCGCCATTCGGGTTTCAGTATCTTCATCTTTTTGTAAGATGGGACTTCGATGGAGATGGGCAATGTGATTATCGCAGGCAAGACTTGAGCCCCCATTGCATTATCTCACACCAATCCAATCCCTCCGGAATTACCCCTAGAAACTAACTACTGTCTCCGTACGTATGCAAATGTGTGTCCAACACCTATCTCTATCTCTAAAGGCGTCTATCGACTCTGATCTACCTCTCACAACTATGTCTACCATCCGACCAAAAATCCAATCATCGATCTTCGACCATAACCTCCCTCTGGACCTTCGGCGGCTTGCCCTTCGCCTTCCGATGATGCGCCGCCTTAGCAGCCGCTGCCGCTGCATTGTCCGCGGCGGTGAAGGTCGGCATCACAAACTTCTCACCCTCCAGCTCAGGCGGCACCAGCGTCACGAACGATGATGGCGGGCGGGTGAAGGCGCGCCCATCGCAGATTGGATTCGCTGTGGTGAGCCAGTGAGATGCATTGCGCTGAGATTGCGCTTCCATTGCTGCTTGGCGGTCGCGTTGGCGGAGGATTAGCACCTGTATGCAGGGTCGTGGGTGAAGGCGAACGATGATTAGATTGGTCAGTCAGCGGTGGATTCACCAGCAATACTTACGTCCAGCCAATCCATCTGCGGACCGAGTGCTGCGTTGGGCAACATGTGCAATCTTTGCAGCATATTCCGGAGAGAGGATCTCGTATCTATCTCGAAAACTGCCAAACTCTTCGCCGCGGCCGCTCTAGATAGTCGTGAGGATCAAATCGCATCAGCCGTGACGACCTTCAGCAAACCAATGTGCATTTCCGCAACACACCTAACAGCCTCATGCGGATCCAACAGCCTCGCAATCAACCCATGTATCAGCATGGGATGGCTGACCCCATACTTGACCAAATTCTGGCACAATCTAACCCTCGTCTGCCAATCACGATCATTCAAGCTCTCGATCTGCGGGAGCACGAAATTCATGGTGGGGTCCCGGAACTCGTCGGAAAAGTCGTGGTAGAGCTGGAGGAGGGCGTCGGAGGCTTCGGCTTTTTCGGACCAGTAGCCGGTTTTAAGCACGTGGAAGAGGGTGGCGATTATGTTTTCCAGGGTTAGTTTTTGGCCCTGTGATTTAAGTCCGATGTGTAAGAAGTCGCTGGGCGAGTTGTTGATGGAATGGTGGGGACATTCTCGAACGCCTACCTTCATACCCGGAAACCAAAATGCGTCCATGATCCCCTGCAATTCCGGCACAATATCCTCCACCTGCAGCTCCTCTTCAATGAACCGATTGCTGAACGTGCTCTGGGCCCGGATCGCCGACCGCATCGACATCCTGCTTTGGCTAATCTGGTGCATGTCAGGTTGCGTGAACACTCGACTGGTCGAGATGTGAGTTGCCGCAGAGGGAAACCTCGTGCTATCGTCGCCGCCGCTGGTGGGCATCTCTTCGACGATCTCTTCCGGGCGGTAAGCGTTGGATTCGCGGCGTTTGTTGTGTTTGCCGCGGTGCAGTGGGCCGGCCGGTGGGAGCGGTGGGAGCGGTGGGAGTTTATCGGCCGGTTTGTCGGTCGTTGGGAAGGGTTTGGGCTTGGTATCGATTGTTGGTTTCGGCGGCGGCGGTGGTTGAGCGGGAGTATAAGCATGCTCCGGCTCCTCCACCCCCCGGACGCCGATTTGCACCGGTTGGGTCGTACGGACCCGACTCGTTGGGGAGATGCTCTCGAGCCGGATAGCGCCTAGTCCGCTGTAGTCTACGGTAGCAACGCCAGTTCCAGGGTCGATGACACGCAACCTGGCCACGATGGTTGCGGCGTGAACTTTCTTCTTTTTGGCTTTGAGCTTTTGCGTTTCCGGTAACGGCTCGGGTTCTTTCCTCGTATCCGGCGTTTTCTCTCGCTTTCCTTTCGCGGGCGAATGGGGTTTGGCGGGAGTCTTTTTCCGCTTGTGTTCCTCAGTCTCCGTCGTATGTTGCATCTCATCCTGCACCTGGATCTCATGAGGCGTCACCGGCCTGTCCGGGTGCTCGGTTTCCAGAACCTCCATCTTCTCGGCCGTGAGATCCACCGACGACATCATCGCAGATTCAAGCAATGTCGCACCTCTGGACACCGTCCCACCTCGCGTCCCACCTCGCGACCCCTCACCCGCCCTCCGCCTCTCAATCATCTCCCTCACTTTACTCAACATCGCCCGATCCTTATCCTTCCGCTCGCGCTCCACCTGCAGCTTCTTCTGGTTGATGATCGATTCTGTTTGGCCCGTCACCATCGAGTTGGGCAGGATACCCAGGCGTTCCATGCCTTTGAGGATTGCAGCTTTGCGCGCGGCCGCTTCTTCGGGAGGGGGGAGGTGGTCGCCGGCGCTCTGCTGGGGTTGGGTGGAAGCGGCACCCCTGGATGTAATGTGGGATGGGACGGTCAGTTTCGGTGGGCGGATGACGGTCGGGTCGAGTTTGCGGGGGGTGGTCCTCTCTGCTGGCGTTCTTTTGCGGCCTGTATAACTTACTCTCAGTGGATGTTCGAAAGGTGTTTATATTCATCGTCGACTCCCCTCCCCGTACCTCTCTGGCTTTTTGGTTTCTCCATCACGTTATGAAGGCGTTTATCTTGTTCTTCCCCCTGCGATGGCCTTGCATGAGCACCATCGCCGCCATCGCCTGCTGCCGTCTCTCCATCCGAATGGGCAAAGACCTGGAGGAAAGGCCGTTATCTTTCGTGATGCACGCTGGGTTTGTAAAATTAGTAGCGAAGATGACATACCGATGATCTCCGTGTCAGCATCTCCACCTCGGACGGCTGTCGCTCTCTGGGTAAGCTCACCGATGTACGTCGGTTTGTAATCTAGATGAACGGCTCAGCAATCCCTCGACACTGCGTGTGATGCTCCGTTCAGAATACTCCGTGCGACATCACCTTGTCAGACTGATGCCTTTCCCGCAGCCGCCTCGCCACACTATCCCGAGCATCGGCATCCGAAAAGCTGGAGCCGCGCGGGAGCTCTGCTACTACGGCGAAATCAGCGACTTCTTCCTGGATTTCTTCGATTTTGGGTGCGGGACCGCCTATGAAGCGACCTCCGCTATGCAACTCCTGTATTTGAGAAAGCGAACGTCAGTCTTTACTACGATGGGGCAGAAGAAAGTGGTTAGATAGTCATGACCACGCACATACCCTTGCGTATGACGATAACTGCAACAGTGAAATAAACGGAAGTCAGCTGACTTGCACCGTCGGCAGCAAGACTTTGTTCCAATCAACTCACACTTCGATCCCTTTTCGTTGGTATACCCTCGTCAGAAAATGGTGCTTCGTCCATCCCACTTTCCACTGTGCTCTCTCTCGACGCCGTCAAATCATCCTCCGACATCTCCAACAATGTCTCTCCCATATCCCTGCGCCCCTGGCTCTCCGCCAGAAAATCTCTCAACGAATCCGAGAATTGATTCCGAAGGGCTTGGAACGATCGTTGCCGGGGATGTTTTCCTGGGACCGATCCCGCGGCAGCTTGGTTGAAACTTTCGCGGGAATGTGGGCGTGTGCCGGAATACATGCCACTCTCGGCGAAGGTTTGGAGGCGGTAGTGGGAGGTGATGTTTGATAAACGGCGAGTGTGGGGCTGGGGCTGGTCCGACTCTTCTTGCGCCATCAATGCCTTAATGTACAGGTTTTGTGAGCCATGGCACGTCTCTACATCGATGCGAAAACGTGGGCCTTACGTCTTTGTGCATCTGAAAAATTGTTTCCACTTCTTTGACATTTTGCTGTGCCTTGAGGTCATCTTGCTCGTCTTCTGGTCGTCTAGCGTACAAAATGTCCTTGTTATTGTTGATTGCGTTGAGGAGTTTCTAAAACCACATTGGAACCGCTCAGCTTACCTCCTCTTTTCGACATGCCACGTATCCTTCTGTTGATCCCGCTCTCTATACAGCCCCCAAAAGTCAACATTGGAGTCAAAACTCTTCGAGTCCTCTACAACGTCGTCTGGCCAATTCCCTCTCTGCAAGATCCCGCGGATCGATTGCAACGGGAGGTAGTCTTGAATTTGCACCAGTACGAGCTCATCTGGGAGAGCAATTAAAAGATCACCACGGTGATTGACAAAACAGAGGGAAGAGACGGGGGTGTTGAACTGCAATTCTCTGCGTACGGGAAAGGAGCGGATCAGGTACGACTCAAGCCGGTGGTCGAACGATGAAGGTTACCTGATGAGGGTATTATCGAGCCCATCCCACACTCTGACGGTGCCATCCAAACTAGCTGAGGCCGTGATGTCCACCTCCTCGCAGCTCACCAGGTCTGTTATCTCGCCAGTATGATCATCATCTCGGGAATGGGTCTTCAAGGCTCCAGCGGAGTTCTGGGTGACAGGGACGGCCAGAACACGTTGAGTGTCCGTCGCGATGGTCAGCATCTCACTATGAGGGCCCCAGCTCATGTGAGATACGAGTCCATCTGGAAACGAAATGGTGCTTCCCAGAAGCAGGGTCACCGAGGCGGCAAAGGATGGGGTGTACCAATTGGCGAGTGTCTCGTGGGTAGGACGCCGTAGGAGTTTCAATGCCGAGTCTTCGGGGAAAGTGACTGCCCAAATCTTAATGATGCGGTCTATGAAAGGAGCAATGTCAGTTGGACGATGCTACCTTACGTCGGAGAGCATGTGTTACCTTTGCCACCGGTAAAGAGACGCAACTGCCTGTGGTCGTACTCCAAGGCGAGTAGTTCAGCTGCATGTGCCTAGCGATTTCACTGGCGTCAGTATCACTCTCGGATGTCCTTCAGGTCATCCAAGGGTACCAACCTGGGTTGGTCTTTCCTGTCGATCGGTTTGTCGAACGTCCATCAGGACGACCTGTCCTGCGTCAGTGCCACACCAGATCCCATATACACTGGGACATGGTTGTGACCCAGAGATTTTTGCGATGGCATTAGCGTTAGGTGGGAGGAGAGAGGCCATGCAGGAGATGCGAGCATGGCCGGCTAAGAAACAACATACCGATTAAACATTAGTGATTCAGAGTGTAGAGTTGACAAGCTTGGAAGAGCAAGTGCCCTCACCTTTGTGTATCCGTTCCTCGATGATCTCCGTCGGATTTGTGCTTGTGTCGTGTATAGCCATGTCACCGTTGGCCAGGAGAAGCCATGCCCTATCTTCCCATTTCCTGTATCAGCCATGACTGTATCTCCCACTGACTAGTACAGCAAGCCTTACTTTGCGTTATATCATATGCAGCAGCTATAGTGCTAACCTCCGAGATGATCGGGAATCCTACTGTCAGAACCGTGCCTGTGACCGGGGAGATTAGCCGTATTGACCCGTCCGCGGCTACCGACAATATGCGAGCGGGAAAGCGGGGATACTGGACGCGCGTCAGTTTTATTGCAGCGCATCTGCCAGCAGGACAAGCTTTCAATGATGAGAAACGAGCTCAAGTAATCAAGGCGACGGGGTCTAGTGAACCGCACCTCACGGGAGTAAATGTAACGTAAAATCGATGCAAAGTCCAAACGCTGATGCGATCTTTCGCGTAGTGCATGAAAGTTTCCTCCTTCAGCCATGAGATCCCCAGGCACTCACTGGCGGTCTGTAGACTATGCGCAGAGTGTTAGGACAATGTCTTGCGATGTACGCAATAGACATCAAACCTGTAGGTGCACGCCCCAGTCTCCGCATTCCACATCTTGACTGTCCCATCCAATGAGCAAGACAGAAAGAACGGTATCGCAGACTGCACTGATGCAACGCTTCCGGACGTCGCGGGAAGAGGAACGGTAGCTAGACCAGTCACGGCCTGCGTGTGGTCATGTAGCTCGTGCAACAGCCCGAACTGACGATTGAAAATCTTGACTGATTCAGGTGTGAGACCGCAAGAAATCGCCTCAGATCTTGCATACAACATACTTGTGGTGTCACGCGAAGCAGTTACAAAATATCCGTAGGGCTCCAGCACAAGCATTGCCGTGATTGAGAGCTCATGGACCTCTTTGAGGAGTTCCAGACGTTCCCCTGTCCCATAGTCGAACACCTGAAAGCGGTCGCTTAAGTTCCTTAACGTGCTCTTGGTCAAATTCCCATCGGAAGGCACGTACTTACATGTACAGCGTTCCCGGCAGCGGCAAGAATCTTGTTGTTGACATGATTGTAGACAGTTGTAGCAACCCAGCCGTCCTCTTCAAAATCGTCCATATGCAGTCGGATCTCGTCGAATTTGTATGGGTACAATCTTTGCGCAAATGTCAATCAGAGTGGTTGATAATGCTGCTTGCCAGGTTTACCTACACATCGTCGGTCTTCTTGAAGTTCCAGACCTGTGCTATTGCTTAGTTGCGGCTTCGTTCTGAAGTATTGAAGGACCCATGCCCGTACCGTAACATTATCTGTCCCAGTTGTAATCAACTCATTCTTGAACTCATTGTATTCCAAGCTAAGAGAACGAGCCTGAGCGTCTGCAGCGGCCACGTCTACGCAAATCTCCGCATACCTTAGGATCGGTTTGTTGCTGCTAACCGCTCCCAGCTCTCCGAAGCTTGGCGTCATCATCTAGTGCCGTCCTCTGGTAAGTGTACGTTGCGCATTCATTGAATATGTCATGACTACAAACTTTTATCTCCAGATGTGTAGTCGATATGAACAAAGCCCTGAGCTTCGCTGCGTACGTCCACTTGCTCAATCCGGCCAGTGGGGCAGATGCGTTCTTGTCCGGCGGGACCAACTGCACTTTCGATGTACGGATCCCATTCTTCCAAATACTCATGAAATTGGTGTCTAAGGTGGCAAATCGGTCTGGCGATCCAGGAATGAAGAGGGCATTCCGGATACTCGCTTTCGGATAGGCCAGATTTCGGCTGATTTGAAATCCATACGGCAAAGTCGTTGGGAGGGCGGCACTGGCTTTCTGCGATGACGACGTAGTCTGCGTGATACGAGCTTGCAGCCGCCGCTTCACTACCCTCCAAGGCAAGACCAGTGTGTCACTGACTTCATCTTCCAAAAGATCGTCGATGCTTTCGCTGCTGGTCCCCATATTCATATTCTCCATATCTCCGAATATTTGCGGTCCTTCGTCCGCTACGGAGGCCTCATATTTCGAACGTTTGGAAGAACGACGAGTCCTCACACCAGACATTTCGGGCTTCACTGCGACTTCCGACGGAAGAGGGATATCTATGCTAGGGCACTTTTTCGGGTAATTCGCAGAAGGTGAAGTGCCTTGATGGCTTGATGGATGGGGTGACCGCGTCGGAACTTCGACGTCACGCTGTCAAATTCGTCATTTGGCAGCCGTCAAAGTTGCGTATTGCCCGGGGGAGTTTTGAGCTCCACTGCTTACTCCACCAAGTCCAAATAACGCTGAAAAGGCTTCCGTTCGACTTCTACTTGCTTACGCGGCTACAACTTGCCCAACGGGCCATATATCAGGCGGCAGAAGGTTGTCAATGCTCTCATGCAATCTCAATCAACCGCAAAGTTATCAACAGCAAGCAAGCCACCGCGACAGATCGACGGCCAGAAGAGGGCACAGAGCAACAGAACTATGGGAAACTAGGACCGACTTGTTCTCAGCGCGCGAGGCCTTTTGATAGGCACTCCATTCCATCATTACCTTCAGATGTCTGCGGTGGAAGGCCTTCTTTTTCCCATGTATACGCAGGCCGACCTACGCGTCAGACTGCTTCTTTGTAGGCTCCCGCTTGAGCAAGATTCTATCTACAAGACCATGCTCCACAGCCTTTTCGGCCGTCATAAAATGATCCCTCTCCATGGTTTTCTCTATGGGCGTCAGTGTCAGTATCAAACATCGATTGCTGATCTGGGCTGTGCATCGCGCACCTATCCAATCCAATGGCTGTTTTGTGTGCTTATGATATATCCCATTCAAACGGGCCCGGATTTCCAGAATTTCTTTTGCATGAATGGCAATATCCGAGGCCTGACCCGATGCACCTCCACTGCGAAAGAAGATTTCAAGGGATGAGTTACAATGCAAACATTGCTGACCTGAAGATTGTACAACAAACCTCGGTTGATGTATCATTACTCTGCCATTAGGCAAGATCGACCGTTGTCCTGGCTCTCCAGCTGCCAACAGCAGAGATCCCATTGAAGCCGCCTGACCAATGCATACCGTTGCGACGGGGGATTGTATGTATTGCATCTGGAATGCAAGTATTAGCCTCAAGTCTGCTGTTGGGTCTATATTCGCGTGAGGAACGTACCGTGTCATATATCGCCATTCCCGCCGTCACACTCCCTCCAGGCGAGTTGATGTAAAAGTTGATAGGTTTTTCTGGATTTTCAGCTTCCAGAAAGAGCAGCTGTGCAACAACAACTGCCGATACTGCATCATGAACCTCCCCATTGAGCATTATTATTCGTTCTTTGAGTAAGCGGGAAAAGATATCGAAGACACGTTCTCCTCGGGGCTGTTAGCAAGAGTAGGTCAGGTTATCCAGTCATTAACGAGGATATTACATGTCAGACATACAGAGGATTCTATGACATACGGGATCCCGAGCCCTTGCGGCTCTTGCGTCCATCGTAGGCTTTTCGCGTGGCAGGAGAACGGACGGGCCGATATGAACTGCAACAGAGATCGTGGTGAGTCCTGTGTCCTTGCGGAACAATACCCATAGACCGCTTTGCATACCTTGTTCCTAGCTTGCGTGGGTCCAGTAGCTTGAGGTCTGCAGACCTGCAGCGAACGCTGTAGATGTGAAGCAAGCATTGTATTCCGCTGTCCTTCTGAATGTGCTTCTTGCCGAAAGTTCAGAAATGACGACGCAACCAGACGCAACTTTCACGCCTGAGACGCGACGGAGATGTTGGAGAAGGCCGGCTGGAAACGTTCACGCAAAGGCACTGAGGGCCTGGAATAGGCTATGGTTCGTGGCTTGACGTTGGCATAGGCCGTTCCGTTTTCGACCGGTCTCAGTGAGGTGTTGTTGGACAGGTGTCGTGTTGTTCTGCTGTCGGGGTTGAGGACTTGCAGAGCTTGCAGAGCGGGGAAGCTCCGTTGAGAACCTCTCACCTGTCAACGACACATCACGTTTTTCGAACGCTCCTCAGCAGCCCAAGTCTAGGGTCGAAAGAAGGCCCATATTCCGCCTGCTGGAACCTGTTCTCCCAGCGGCTCGATATACTGTAGCCTTCCATCTTTCGAGACCTTCCTGTTTTTCGTGGGCACCGAACTGAGTGGGGGAGGGCCACGACATTCCAGGACTCGGCCGATAGGTACTCTGCCCGATAGGTACCCTGCCGCTCTGTTCTGTTCTCCAATAGGGTGAAACGGCAACATAGTGCCGCTATGCGAGTCTACCAGGCGGAGTCGGGTGTATTGCTATCAACTAGGACCTTCACTCCTGACGACAGGTACATACAAAGATGGAATCCCTTCTTAGGCTGTAGATAGGAGAAGTTTGCCGGGACAGCTTGTGGTGCCAGTGCCATCGATGAACCTGCCCAAATGGACGTCTCCCAGACATATACGCCCGTTCCTCTCAATCCAGTGCTGTCCTGCTCGATAATCGAAATCGCATAAGGCTCACCCCAGCAAGGATCTCTAATCGACGTGCTTGCATTCATAATAGCATCGACACCGTGAGGGAAGAGATTCAATCGGTGGCAAATATTCCGTCTCAAGCTCAGATCTTATTGCTCGGCGGAGCAGCACCTGGAGTGCAATTACGAAGCGAAAACTTCAGCGAGATTGTGAAGGTGGGCTTGCCGATGGGAATGATAGAGATTGCCGCAAATGTCAGTGCCTTAAAGCCTCTTCCTGGCATTTAGGAAAATGCCGTTCTCTTCGTATACAACCGATTGCTTCTGGATCGGGAAACTGCCTCGGCAGCTATGCTTCCAGTCATCCCGGACATCGAGCCTCCTGTTCCAGTGAAAGGCAAGTACAACATATTTTTCGCTGCTTGAATATCTGAACCGCATGAGCCAATGCATTTGAACTTCCAGCGCTCATAGACATCGAACGACGGCAGTCGGTTGAGGAACAATGCACAGCGTACTTCATCGCTTTCAGATCTCATGTGGCATATAGCCAGGTAATTCAATATGAGTAGTTGACGAATGCAGTGCAGAACTCAGGGCAAACTTGTAGGCAACCTTGAGGAGCGCTATGTATCACGAAGCCATATGCGAGAGATCTTTGCAAGGTATGCCTATGGCCATACCTCCGAGGCTCATCGTAATCTAATCACCTCTCTAGAACAAAGGGTCCAAATTGACGGATTCAACATCGCTCTGATGAATCTCAAGGGTTACAGTCGTTCTGTCTGTGATGCCTTCGACAACTTTTATTCGCATGCTCAGAAAGAAATGAGCAAACACGCCACCCTGTTGCAAAGGTATGTCCGACATGCCCAATCCAAATATGAACCGGACCACCGGAGTAACACGCAAAAGCTTCCCAACAGATATGCAGGCTCTGCATCGGATACCAATCCATGAGTCTATAGCACCCGAAGATCAGCATCTCTCGGATTACGTTCCGGAAGATAAGCTCATCACCTGGGCCGAGAACTGCCGGGTCGCACATGGTATGTCCAGTATGAACATGTCCCTTGATGTCCCAGCTAATTGATGCATCAACAGATCTGCTCGTCAAGAAGTTGTCGTCGGCTACTGAAATCATCAAGACCGTACGCTCTGGGACAGAGGCAGAAATTAACGCTGCTTTGAGCATTGAGTACGTGGCTAAATGTCGGTTAGCTGGAAAACATCATTCTCATGCCTATCATAGCTTGAACCGCCTCGAAAACGATATGACAGAAGTCCAGAACGCACGAAGGCGATTGGAAACGAAGCATCAACGACTGGAACGAGGTTTGCTTGCTGTGCCGGCTCTGGCCTCAAATCCACACGATCGTTAACTGGTCAATCAATATAGACATCTCTAAAGTGGAGGAAGCGATCGAAGAGATTCGGTTGTCTTCTTCCATGGCCCGCGATAGGATGACGTCGCTTGAGCATTTGCATCAAATACATCGCGATGAATACCTGCCGAGTACGTCAGACAGTCTGTGTTCTTTCCCATGCTGCTTTGCCCGATGTCTAATATTAGTCCGCTCCAGACGTATCCGAATCCGATATACTGATACGAAACAAAACATCGAACATGCTGGATTCCAAGGTGTGCAGAGTGACCTCTTCTTCTCTTCTGTTCATGTGTACATGACTTACTCGCGTCGCCCAGCGTCACCTTTCAGAGACGGTGCTCATGCGCCTCCAAACCATATCGAGCATCCAGTCGAAAATCGCCACTGTGTCACCAACCATAAGTGACTTAAGCAACACCCTGAACTCCCACACACAGGCGTTTGCTCAGTTGCTACATGTACATAGGATGCCGGCAGCATGGGGAGCAACTCTCGCTGAAATCGTCCGGCGCCGAGAATTTGTCAGGGTCTTCATCAGCAAGGCGAGGGAAATGGCAGACTGTCTCGGAAAGTTTCGGATTCAGGAGGAAAAGCGACGGGACACCTTCAGAAACGAAATCGTCAAGTACATCCCAAATGGCCTGATCGAAGGTCTCGACGACAGACCTCCCTACTGCGAGGTTTCCTTGTCAAATACGAAAGACAAGCTACCTTCTGTCTCTCGGGAAGACCTCAATGATTTCGAGAAACTGGTATCAAGCATTCATGCTACCTTGGTCGAAAACGAGCCTGTTGACCCATCCGCAAGTCAAACGCATTCGAACCACAGCATATCGAAACTCATGGCGACCATCGTCAAAATGTCAACTCAGGTTGATGCTACTAGCAGCGACTTCGAGCGGATCCTCGCCAAGACCGGCTTTTCCGACCGCTTGGCACAGCTCGAAGAGGAGAACTCACGTTTACGCACGCATTTGGCACATTCTCAACTGGGCATCCGATCGACATCGCTGAGCCGAAGTCCCTCTTCCGGACCGACAGTTGTCGCCGCATATGAACAAGAGATCACCGCATTACGACATCGTCTCCTTGAAGCTGACGCTAAATGCATCGCGCTCGAGAGGCGAAGCCATGAGCAGGAAGACACAAGGAAACAACTGCTACAACAAAATGTGAAGGCTTCCCAGGCAAATGACGCCGAGTCACAGAATGTGCTGCATACTTTAGAGGCCGAAAGGGATAAGATGAAGGAGCAGCTCGACCGCGCACAAGCGGACGCTGCTGCAGCTCTGGAACGGCAGGCAGCTATGCGACAGGAACTTGACAAGGTATTAAATCGAGCGTATCTGTACACATGTGTGTCGGCGAAACTCTAAAGCCTTGTCTTCTAAGACGTACAATTTCCTCGATGAGGTCCGCGAAGGGCTCAATGATTGCAGCGCAGCCCTTCATCGCCCAGCAGTGGATGCATCTGGTGAAGCTGTATCACTTCCTGTTAGTCCATCAGGAAGAGCAACAGACGACATCCGTAAAGGCCTGCGTGCATTGCAGGACGACATCTTGTGTCAGGCCGCTGAATTGAGCAATATCAGGGAGATGATTCATGAGGATGAAGATCGTGAGAATTCTGAGGTGAGCCGCAACCGCAACGGGACAAAGTGGGTTAGATCTCACTAACCAGTCACGTGTGCTTGTCTAGTCCCTGGAGGGCGAAATCATCGCTCTGGCAGCTGAAGTTGCAGAGTTACGGACCAACTCTCAAATGGCCAATGCGCAGCTGAGTATGACGCGTGAGCAGCTCACGTCAACGGAAGCGCGCGAAGCCGTTTTGGAGGCCGACGTCCTCTCGCTGCGAGCCATTGTGAAGAGAGCTGAAGAGGATTTTACCACTGCGAAGAACTCTCTAAGAAACATGGAGGTAGCTCTGGAGGCAAAGAGTCGGGAGACGGATGATGTGCAGGCCCAGTTCACCATGGTTAGGAAAGAGTGGTCCCAGGGGGTGCGCATGCTGGTAACGAAGCTGGAGAAAGTCCGCGAGCTTCTGCAGGAGGAAGGGGGCGGTGAAGAAGAGGAGTCGTCCTATGTCATGCCTGACTCGCCTGGAGCTGGTTTGGGCATACATGGCGGCGAAGAGGAACCGTCCATCTTGTCGTCGCCAAACTCGGCCGTGGAAGAACTGCAATCATGTGTCGCAAGCGTCGAGGAATTGTATATCGAGCTCCGGGAATGGATGACAGCCCGCGCGCCGCCAGCCACGGAAACAACCGGCACAGAAACTACAGAGGTGCTTACGATCAGCACTGGTCTCCAAACGGTCGATATTGAGACTACAGATGAGGAATCGCAAAGCCCCGAGGATGGTTCGCGGCCATCATCCCCAACAGCCGGCCGCGTAGAGTTGGCGAAACTTTTTCAAGTCCACAGCAGGCGAGATAGCGGTGTCATCGTTGAGCTGTCAAACCGTCTTTCCGATCTCTGCAGATATTATGATGAGCTCGTCTCATCGATATCTGGCGAGAGTCTTCAGCACCAAGTTGTTGTGCAATGCGAAGCGCTGTCGAAATCTTATCAAGGTCTATCCTTGCTATTGGAGAAGATGGACCCTTCTGGGATGACCGCGCAGGAGGTTCAACAGGCATTTGACGATGCAGTAGGGAACGTCCCATCGGCGATTCATCTCATTCTGGATGCTGAGAGCGCCAAAGAAAAGGCCCTGGAGAGATGGAAAGGCGTTATCGGGGACGAGTTGCCGGCTTTGAAAGGTAACTCCCTATCCCGAAACTTACAACTCTGGAGTACACTTTCCATTGCATCACTGACTGAACGAAACACCAGCGTCATATCAAAAGTCAATAGCAGCATTGGCAGACAGGATCTCCTTTCGCAAGTAAGTACTTTCCTATAATGACGAAACCTCCGGTCGTTTTGTGGACTAATAGAGGGGTCTAGTTTCGAAATCAATGATCTGGCATTATTCCTACCCACCAAGCATCCAAAAGGTATCGCATAAATGCTACTCGCAATCATGATGTCGAACATTGCTGATGACTCTTTACAGCTTGGGCAGCGTTCAACGTCAACGCCCCACACTATTTCCTGGCTCCCGAGGCCAGCGGGCTGTTCGAAGACCGAATCAAGTGAGCTAAAATGGTCGTTTATCAGCGTATGCTAGTCACTCAAGCGGATTTCTGTTTTCAGGAGCCGAGATTACATATTAGCCTACATAACAGGCATCCAAGAGTGCATGGTGAATCACCGTGATCCAGGCAGCAATCCCTTCGGACTGGCGTCCAATTCCAAGTTCAGATTTTGCCTAGTTAGACCTTACCAGAAGATAGAGAAAAGGCGGTGAATGGTGTATCCATAAACGCAGGCCGTTTGAGACATCACGGCGCTCAGCAATAACATATGCTACCATACACTGCTGCCATTTATGACTGATTGCATCACGCGGGAACGTCCATGGATTGTAGCTCATAGTATTTACATGTAGGATGCAAGCTTGCAAGTTTGGATCCTGCCATATGCTTTAAATAAGAATAAATGATCGAATAGGGATGATAAGCTAAAGGTGAGGGGCAAGCTAGCATTTTCATGCAGACGCTACCCTAATGATGCCCTCAATAGAAGGGGCTCCTCTACATGAAGGAGTTCTACATTGTACGCCTCAGTGTGGTTTCACTTGGCTGGAGACTTTCCCTTCTTCGGGGTAGCCTTCGTCTTCGCAGCAGACTTTGGGGTCTTCCCAGCAGCCAGCAGCGCCTTTGCCTTTGATGGGGTGGCGGCCGGTGGGGTGGCCACAACGCGCTCCTTTCTCACACTTAATGTCTTCCTCTCGACCGAAACCGCAACGGCCGTACCCTCCTTCCCCTTCGCACCCTTCGTGGGCGTTTTTGTCACAACTTTAGAGGTCTCGATCGTCTCGGTCACCTCCATCGCATCCTCCTCCGATGCTCCCGTCTCCACTGCCTCCACGTATCCTTCCGGTGCATCCGGCAATGTTTGATATAATGGCAAAGCCATCGAGTTCGACGTTTTGATGTGTATCGAGTGAATGTTGGCCCACTTCTTAGGGAGCTTCTCGATAGCGGAAGGAATGGCGGCCATAATGTTTTGGATGACTTGTTCTGGCGTGAAATCCGTAGTTGCGACGCGAATGGTGCTATGGGAAACATGTCAGATTGGAGATTCCGTGTCGAACATTGCACAATGAACTTTGAAGCTCACTTTGTAACGCCGTTGTTTCTCCTCAAGTATGTGCTTTGCAAGGCCTTTTGAATCTCCCGTGCGAGGTCAACTTTGGTCATGTTCACTGGGGCAGGAATCCTATAGGCAGAGGTTTAGAGAATTTACAAAACAGGGGATCTCTATTCTCAGATGCTTACTGTTTCTTTGCGAAGAAAGTCTTGCCAAGTGCTTGTGGCAGCAACGGCAAAATCCGCTCGTCCGCCAAGAACAAAGAGTACGAGGACGCGAGTTGTCGTTTTGCTTCGTAGGGCTTGAACTTTGACCGCAGCTTGCTAAAGCCCAGTACCTGTTCGCCCCCGCATTTGCCAGTTCAGTATGCAGCCACGTTGCACGCAGTCCAGGAAAGTACGGTAATGACCTTCGAAATTCCCTGGACGTTCTTTTCCAAGAGCAACTTTTTGAAATCCCCCTGAGGATCCTTTGTGATCAAGCACACCTCGGCATCCTTGTAGAGGCCATTTGGCAGTAGACTATATGTGTTATGCCCGTTAGCGAAACTGACATTCTGCGTTCCCTTTCCCAGTCCTCGCAAAATCACGTTTTCTGCCTACATTCTTAGTGGGACATCGCGACGTTTGCTAGGCATTGCTTTCGTGGTCACAATGAGGTCGAAGCGAGAAACATTTTCGTCGTCTAGAAGAGCCGACTCGGCCTTCTCTGTAAGCCTCTTTGCATGGTAGGCAAAAAGGGCCTTAACCGCACTCGTGACCTAAAATGTGCGTAAGAGGTGAGGAACCCAGAAGTGGTAGGCACAAACAGCTGGTCCGCCGCCTGTCTCACATACCTGAGCTTCGTCGATGTTGACTGCCATAGTTCCGTGTGAAGCTTGCGTGGTTCCGTTGAGCGAGAGTACAGTAAATTCCATGCAATTGAGAAGGAAAACGAGGTCGTCCGAGTGCGGGGTGACACAACGCGCAGGCAGAACTAACACGCGCCCCAGCCTCCTCGCGCCACGTCTGCGCCACTACCCAACCTCAGAATATTTACGTACAAGGATATCTGCGGCTGCGTTGGGCCCAACTTAATCTCACGTTCATCCATTCTATGCCAGCCGCAGGATGTGGTTGAAGATGGTCTGCATGGCGGTCAATTGAACTGGCCAGCCGGACGATCGAGACGACATCCAGACGACCGCCTTCCCATCGCGACCGCCTTCTGGGACTTCCTACTCTCTCACCTGGTTTAAGCCTCGCTGGTATACATATATCGCTGCTCTTTGTAGGCCGCCATCAGTGTGTCGGATTGAATGCTATCAAGTCGTCGGATGTGTGATGGATACCACGCCTCTTTTGATTTGTATTTATGTCTTCCCAAGTGCTGGACTTCGATACGCTTGGATGAGATCTCCAACGGCCCAGGAATCAGTAAAGCGGTATTGGTTGTGACGGCAAGCCGCTTCCCGCTTTATCCTCCTGTCTCTCCGGTGCCCCCTTCTTGGCGACGTCTTTCAAGCAACCCAGGTCCGATTTCAAGGGATGCGGCTTCAAGTTGAAGGTACAGTAAATGTTTCTGAACCCAGTGACAGTGCCTGTCAAAACTTAAACGGATGGGCTAATTGGTTCCACAAGTGCAACACGAACGCGCTGAGCAGCCGAAGAGACACAAAGCATTTGCCAGCCTCCTCGCATCGGAGCACACATCAAGCCGTTATGATTCGTGTGGAACTTGCTTCTGCTTTGACAAGTTACAACCGAACTCGGCGACGGTAGAATGCATGTGAACGGCTCCTTCGGAAGTATTCGTCAGGGACTCAGGGTCCGTCATATTCCCGGGGATTGTGTACGGGGGATGCAGATCATCCCACCCGCACCATGGACAGTGGACCGATGTGTATGCGTACCGAGCTTTGTAACTTCGTATGTGCAAAAGTAGGCGAAATAAGAAATGGAACCAACGGACCCCCCCTTGCCGAGTCCGATGTCCCCGCTGCCAGTGTGCCTGCATATCGTCGCACGCCAGTCCCGCGGCAACCCCAAAGTCCAACAACCTGCCCCAAGCTCAAGTCGTCACAGCGTCACCCGCTGCCGCCTCAAAGCGAAAAGAAAACCGCTGCGCGAACCTCACATAACTTGAGGTCTCTTTCTCTCGTCGTTTGCAAACTCCCCCCATTTTGGAGATTTTCGACGTCCTGACCGAACGACACGAAGACGAAATCAGCAAGATGCACGGCTACCATCACAAAGCGGCCCCGTTGGCGCTGTTCCACCCTCACTTCACCAACACCTCCGTCGACTTGCTCGGCTTACACCCCGACGAATTCAGGTTCGAGAATGCGCCGCTTTCGACTAGGGCTGAGATGGGTACGTTGGGTGCTTCGGAAGATCAGCGGTGGGAAGGGGCGACCTTGAAAACTCGTCGGTACCGCCTGGTGATCTAGTTCAGGCAGGAGTTGAGTTATGGGCGAAAGGCTTTCGCCGTCCGGTCGCATCAAGTGGGCGGAAAGCAGGTGTTCGTGGGAAGGTTATTCGGGTTTGTGAACTCAGCGGTGCTGACCCTCAGATCTTTGAATCAACAGTAAAATGGTTTGCCGTTTACCTCACTGTCGTCCTCGGTGGTCAGTTCTTCATGAAGCGCTTCGTCGCGAAACCCATTTCCATCAAGCCGATTTTTTTCCTCCACAACGCCTTCCTCTCCATCGCTTCCCTCGTTGTCCTCGTCCTTTTCCTGGAGATTCTGATCCCCAACATTTACAACCACGGTCTCCTGTGGGCCATCTGCGACCAAGCGTCTTACAGCCACAGGATTGAGTACCTGTACTACATCAACTACCTGATTAAGTACTACGAATTCATCGACACCATCTTCCTGGTGTTGAAGAAGAAGAAGCTCGGTATGTGGAAACTCAGTTGAATTAGCAAATCTTTCCTTTTTGCATCGTGGTTGTCTCGTTTCTTATGCCATTTTTCTCCGAAATATAGAATTCCTTCACGTTTACCACCACTCCATGACCATGGCACTCTGCTTCTTCGAGCTGGAAGGAAAGACTTCCGTTTCTTGGGTTCCCGTCGTTCTGAACCTTTTCGTCCACGTCATTATGTACTACGTAAGTGCCTCATCGTCATGCATTCTCTATGAGTCGACGGGCAGAACGGTGACCCTTTCGGACTCCAGTACTATGCCCGCACCGCGGTATCGTCCAAGCCCGTTTGGTGGAAGAAGTACCTGACCACGTGAGTTCAATTCGCTATGCAGTGAAAGGTTCGGTTAGGGGCTAATTTATTTCCATCGGATAGTCTTCAGATCGTTCAATTCGTCATTGATCTCGCTGCCATCTACCTCGCCACCTACATCTACCTCTCGTCCACCCACCTCGCCCACATCCTCCCCAACTTCAACCTTGGAACGTGCTCAGGAACTCCATTGGCTGCTGGAATCGGCTGTGCCATCTTGAGCAGCTACCTCCTCCTGTTTGTCCAGTTTTTCATCAAAACTTACAACCGTGTCGGCAAGAAGGGATCTAAGGGCGGCAAGGCTGCCACTGCCGGTGTTTCCGCTGCCAAGCAAGCGCTTTTGGACGCCGCGGAAATCGACGAGCTCGTACCCGCGGTTCAAGGCGAACGGTCGGCGAGGAAGAGGGCCACCCGGAGGGCGGATTAGCGTTCTGTTTCGATGCTTATGAGTGGAAAGGTCGTTTGATAGAGTGTCATGTGCGCTTGAGAATGTACACAATCCATAGAGGCCATACGCGTGCCCCGGCGGCTTATGTCGATAGTTCCACTTAGACTGTCTTTTGTATCTTTAATGACATAGCTATTTAAGGCATTTCACAACATTCGTGTCAACGCAGGGTGAGCTTCAGGAATCTGGCATACTGTATCTGGCAGTAATAAGTTTTGGACAACCCGGTTTCACCCGGTTGACTTCACGCGTTCCTCGACCCCGAACCTGTCAAACTGTGCTCGCTGGAGCCTGCTTTACTGTTTTTGAAACCTCCAACCTCAGACCTCTATTAGCCAGCACCAAAAATATACGAACTTTTCTCGGCTGTGGTCCTCAAACTTTCTATGCTCGCTTCAACCTCAGTCGCAGCTAAGCTCGCGCAGCTCCAGCACGAGATTGAGCAGTTCACTGACAGCTCCACCAGTAACTACGTAGCAAACGAAAGCGAACTGACGTTTAGGAAATGGATCTGTCGAAAAGTAAGTTTTGGGGTGAGCGATTGGTTATTGTGGTCGTGTATTTCAGCATTTGCAGAGACAGATTGACTTTTACGCTTTCCCTATGCATTGTGGTAGATACTCATGCTGGTTCGGGAGAAGTTTGGAGAAGAATGTACCCTGCAGTGTTTTGGATCGTCTCAGACAGGTACGTCGCTGGTATACCAACAGCATAGTGATGTTTGCTCAGCAAAAAGCTACCCTGGTGTTTTCGTCCTCGCTACAAGGTCTACTTCTTGCCAACAGCGATATCGATGTGGTAGTTTTCACTCCCGCACCAGCACCACCAGAAACCACGACGCCAACTAGGACAACCGTCTTCGACGAGACGTTTGGTAGGTGATCCACGTTTAAATGCATCTGTCGATGCAGCTCTCGTGTTGATTTCCATCCCCACTCGTTCGTAGAGGATCCCGAACGGGAGCATAACCTTCGAATTCTCAGAACCCTGCGCGAGACTCTCCACAAATCCGGTCTCCCTCTCCAATCCAGTATCCGGCTTGTAGGCGAAGCCAACGTCCCTGTGCTGAAATTTGTAGAGAAGATTACTAGGATCCCTGTGGACGTCAGCGTCAACAATTCTCACGGCATGATCTCGACGGAAATCATACAGAACTGGATCAGAGAATACCCGCCGTTGAGGCCCGTGACCTTGCTCATAAAGCATTATGTCTGGCGCGCTGGGATGAACGATACGTACACGGGCGGCTTCGGATCGTACGTGATCGTCAACATGGTGGTCTTCATGTTTAAACAATTCCCGACGCTTCTGGAAGGACCTGACATCTACGCGAAGACCTTCATCTGCTTCTTGCGCTATTACGGCACGTTATTCAACTATCGACAATATGGCATCTCAACTATCGACAATGTGGCATTCAAATTGTCGCAAGATCATCGCGTATGGCAGAATCCAGCGAGAGCTGAATCTGTCCCATTCGTCGTGGAGGACCCGACGAATCGTAAACGGAATGTGGGTAAATCAGCTTCCAATGCAGGTACGGCCATACCTTTCTCTTTGTGATGCCACGATTGTCCCGCCCAACCCGGTTATGTTTCTAGAATGCATGTTCCGTATGTTCGCGAAGGACTTCGTCAAGCTTCAGACCGCCTTGGAAAACTGGGAACCGGCAGACTCGAACCTTTCGCCATCCAGTAGCATTCTGAGGTCGTTCTTCGAATCTATGGAGTGTGCCGCGCGACATTCGATGCAGGACATGGATGCCAATTTCCATGGCCGCAGCAGTTTTTTGAGGAGAATGGAGCTCTGTGTGACCGGATGTCAGGATTTCGGCACGGCGTTGGTTCGTTCTGGAGCATGATCAACAAGTCTTTTGGAGCTGGGAAAGTGCATAACGCTCAGGGGAGATCATATTTTCGAGGAATTGATCTTTCAGTTCAGTTTAAGCTTAGTTGCGGCGTATATATATTAGGATTTGTAGTGCTATTCTGTCTACATCTCGTCGCGGCAACATTTCCAATAATCCATTGAGCTACCATGAATGGTGATGTAATTGTTTGGTACCATGCTAAGAGTTCGCTCGGCTATCAACGACAGCGTTCTTGTTTGAAGTCGAAATGTTGGCGCAGGTAAAGTAGGAGACAACGAATGAAGTTTGATAGTGTGTGGACCTGCCGGTATACCACATTTAGCCCTGGTCTTGCCAATGTTCAGTCGAACCGAGGTCGTGTCTCGCGAAGGGGGACTGCTCTTGCCGATCATGCCCCACCCAGACGTCAGATCCCAGTAAGTCGTTCACGGTCGCTGCGGGCCAATATTCCTTTCCGCCTGACTTAATACGATTCCCAGGAGTTTGTTTCCAGGGTTGCGTATCAGTGCTCTGGATACGTACCTCTTCGCCCGCTCTCCATCCCCCACATCCAACAACACCGTCGCCAGCCGCGCAGTGTACGCTACAGACTCCGAGTCAATGTTGAAAGCCTCTAGCGCATCCTTCAGTGCTGCTTTGTGGTCGCCTAAGATCCCATGCATCCTAGATCGCAAGTGCAACAGCTCGCCATGCGACCCGTCTTCCTTATCTTCGCTTCCATTCTCACTTGCGTCCGAAGTGCATCGTCTCCAATCCTTCATCCACCCGTCGTCACCTAGAACCAGCCCGCATAGATCCCTGATGTTCTCTGCAATGATGTTCCTCTCCACCTCATTTGCGCCTTTACTATGCGCCCTCAGCCAATCCTGACAGGATTGCAACAAGAAACACAAAGCTTCTCCGTGACGTGCTCTCCACGTTATCCGTTTCCAATCCCTCAGAGAATCGTCTACGACATCGGCGTCCGCGAAAGCCACAGTTGCGTGCAGGTTCTTTGTTCGTAAATTGAGACGCGCGCGAGAGAATAAGGTTGGAAGGTGGACGACTGGGATGAGGATGACGTCGGGCTGGGTGGGTATCGATGCTAAGCCCAGCAACACAAGCTCTTGCGGTAGTGTGCACGCAGCTGTGTATCTTTCAAAGGCTTCGCAGACCGTCCCAAATGCCGCGGCTGAGTGACCAGCCTTTCCCGCAACCCCAGTTCCTGATAGCAAGTCGTTTCGATGTACGAGGGTTATATGATGGTTCGGCCCGTCCCTCCCTTCTCGCTGCTTCCTATGTGCCTCTGGTATCTTTCCACCGGTAGTTTCGTCCCTTACGCTGCGAATGGCCTTTTCGAGAGAGCCGTCGTGCTTGCCGAAAAATGCCAAGTAGTCATCTTGCAGTCGGGGGCTCTCAGGATATATGACTTGAAGCGTAAAGTTATCGTCCCTGGTGCTCATTGTCGTCCAGGTGTCGTCCAGGTAAAAGACGGGTGGGTGCTTCTCGCTGTTTCTGCCATCGCCTTCCGTAGTGCAGTACGCATCACGTGAGTACGATTTAAATCTTGATTCTTGGAAATCAGGCTCAAAGGCCTCGCAAAGTCGCAGCTTTTTGACTTCGCCCACATTCCCAATTCCAGACGTTTGCGCTCGGAGTGGAAACACAACAAAGGACCGAAATGTGAGTCTCGCAAGGCCCTCAGAACGGAGGACCTGTCAGCGGAGACATTTGTGTTTTTTGATCTCGAAAACTAATATAGTGTCGTGGGTTCCTTAGGGCCAACCTTCGTACCCAAAAGCGCCTCGCGGCTGCCGTCCTCAAGTGCGGTCAGCGCAAGATTTGGCTCGACCCAAACGAAGTCAACGAGATCTCCAACGCCAACTCTCGTGAGTGGATAGGGGCTTTTGCCTTTTGTGGTCTGCAGTTTGGAGCGATCTTGGTTGGGGGAGGAACATAGAGCATTGTGGAGGGAGGAGGATGGCAGTGGAAGGAGGTGGAATTGCACAGGACACTGTCTGACCTATCGACTTTCGAAAAATACAGGCCAGAACATCCGCAAGTTAGCCAAGGATGGTTTGATCATTAGGAAGCCCGTCGCTGCCCACTCTCGCTACCGCGTGCGTGAGCGCGCCGCTGCCAAGCGTCTCGGTCGTCACACCGGTGCGTATAGCCTCTCCGTCCTGCCTCGTACATGAGGAGCGAAGATGGGCTGGTTGCTGAAATTCTAGGCTCGATTCTGTTTAGGTCCCGGAAAGAGGAAGGGTACTGCCGGTATGTATCGTGGACCATCGAGCTTTGATATCTGGGGAAGGAGTTGTTAACGGGGTTCCCTTGTTTATAGAGGCCCGTATGCCCACCACCGTCCTCTGGATGCGACGCATGCGTGTCCTTCGTCGTACGTATTCTCGATTGCATGACATTTCCCGACGTTACAGACCAGTGTCTGATGTGTCGATTTCCCACCGTAGGTCTCCTCCGTAAGTACCGTGAGGCCGGCAAGATCGACAGGCACTTGTACCATGAGCTCTACATGAAGTCCAAGGGTAACGTCTTCAAGAACAAGCGTGTGTTGATGGAGTACATCCACAAGGCTAAGGCCGAGAAGACCCGTGTGAAGTTGCTCGAGTATGTAACCTTGCACAACATGAATCTGGGTAGTGGATTTTTTACTGACGTTGTGAATCAATAGGGATCAAGCGCAGGCCCACAGGGTCAAGGCCAAGGAGGCTCGTCTCCGTCGCCAAACTCGTTTGGATGCCAAGAAGGAGGCCATTCGCACTGGTGCCACTCCTGCGGCCAAATAAAGTTCTTGAATTTGATTTTGTCAAATACATTCGTTCTGCAGTGACTTTCCGTGTGGAGACTTTTCGTGGAGCGCTTGGGTGCTTTCACTAGTTCTTAAATTGCAAGCTGTGCTAAGACGGGAGGTACGACAGGGATGAAGATGAGGAATGTGGTGAGAACCACACGGCGGCAACTGGACGGTTCAGAGTCTCGGCCTCTACACGCCGGCCACCCACACCCACCTGACAACACGTGCACCAACGGATACTTCCACCAACGTTATTCTTCTACCACGCCGCGCAATGATGTCCATCCAAAACTGCTCCTCTATTGGAGTTCTCATTTTCTTGGGTAGGTGTGCAAAGCGCATTCAAGAGGCAGTCACGTTACGACCACCATGAGTACGCTCTATCTACAATGGCATTATTCCGTCTCGTCTATCTACAGCTTCCGTATTCTACCGTCACGTTCTCTGGTGCCATCCGTTAACTTATACGCGGGATCATACCCGTCAGAGTCGTTTCGTAATGCTGGATTACGTTGTGTGTTGTCTACGCCGCCCAAGGATGTGTATCTGCGAGTGAAGGCGTCAGAGCGCTTCCATGGAATGGAAGATTCCATAAATGGTGCAGTCCAGACGCTACCCACCCTTCATCATATAAGATGCAATATGGCACGTGAAGGAGTTCCATCCCGCGCCATATTGCTGTGTAGTCCCAGTCTAAGATTGGGTGTACCCGCATTATTGGTGGCCACCCCGGATCTGTCATTTGAAAAGGCTCTAGTTTCTCTGAGGAAGTGCAAGTAGGGAGGTGAGCTCATCATCCTTCCAGAGTTGTACAGCTCCACCATTCGCTCTGCGTACCTCCAAATGGATCCGTCCGCCTTGTTCCCACCAACATCGCCTTCGTCTGGGGATGGAACTCCAGGAAGTTGCGAATTCCTTCCTTCATCGGGCCATATATCTTCATCAGGTCCATGGTATATCTGCACATAAATTGAAAATGATGGTCAGCATCCGGTATATTGTCCATCCCTGTGCCGCAGAAAGCAGAAAGGAAAAGTACCTCCGCTCACAGAACTCCACAAACTCGTCTACTTCCGGAAAAGAGTCCGTGTGTGCAACATAGAGGGTGTTTATATGTATTGGCCCTGATTGGTTCTCGGCCTCGTATTGCTGTCGAGCCGCATAGAGAAGGTGCAGAAGGACTGTGCAGTCTTTCCCACCGTTGAATGACAGAGCTAGGCCGTCTGTTCTGAGAATGCAAGAATGACGGGAATTAGTGCCAGTTTGCAGGGCATGAACGCTTCCCCCCACTGACCTGTAGCGCCGTAAAGCCTCTAGTATGACCTCATACGTTTCTTTGATTATGGGTGCTATTGGGTCTTTACTTGCTATTACACGGCGGACGTCCTCCAGAGGAGAAAAGGTCTTTGCGGGCGGTGGTGGTGGAACATAGGCAAATGCGGGCCGTTCTGGGTGCCCTCCGTTAAGCGTCTCTGTCGGAAGAGTATGACTGCACATTGATGGCATGGGACTGAGTAGACGACGACGTTGGAGCGTTGGAAACGGGAAGATGCTGGTGTGCCGCTTTTTCCCAAAGCGCCGAAATGGGCGGTTTTGAGCTTTCCCGACGACGAAAGCGCGTGATGGCCGTTGAGCTGTTTTGAACCAGGTTTTGAACAGCGTTTGACCGCGTCGGTGACTCAGAGTGACTCGAACGCTGAAAGGTCGAAGCCCTCTTTCTGCGAGCCCCGACGAATTCGAAGACCTGCTCCCTATTCGACATTGCGCTCCCCATAGCTCCGCGAGGACGATGATTCGCTCAGCAAGACCCGTCTGGAAGAGGGCGGCCTGCACCTCAACTTTGCCGTCTGCGACTACTCGCTGTAGTCGGCTGCCCCAAGCGTGCGCTTTCAGCAGCGACGTCGTCGGAAGCGCTGATTCCGGCGGCAGATCGTCACCCACACCTCCTCTACCATCCCGAACAACCAGCAATGCAGCAGTACGAACGTCCCCAAGCACGAAAAGCCTCCTTGGAAACTTAATACCGAATGCCCGAGACTCAGCTCTCCGACGATCCGACTTCCCCCAAAACATCCGCACCGCACTCACCATCAAGCAACTCATGGCCGCCAACCTGCACCTGGGCCACGCACGGGCCGTCTGGAACAAAAACATGCTGCCTTACATCTATGGCGAGCGCCAGGGGATACATATCATCAACCTCGAGCATACGCTGGTCATGTTACGCAGGGCCATTAACGTGACCCGCGAGGTGGCCATGAACGGAGGAAATATCCTTTTTGTGGGAACTCGGCCAGCGATCCACGCAATCACCGTGGCCGCGGCACAGCGGGCGGACGCTTACTTTGTGACGGCTTGGGTTGGCGGGACCATCACGAACAAGGAGCGGGTGTTGCGTCGAAGTGTGGGGTACGATCCGGATAAGGTGGCGCAGACGATGATGGTGTCGGACGGCGGCAAGGCGGAAATTGATGCCGAGCTGGAGGAGCGCGCTGCCAAGGCCCGAAGCTCGCAACCTTACGTGCACACACCGGACTTGATAATCATTCTCGATCTCCCGAATAACGGCTTCGCAGTGCGGGAAGCGAACCAGGCCAATATTCCCATCATTGCCCTCTGCGACACAGACTGCAACCCGCGGCGGGTACAATATCCCATTCCCGCCAACGATGATGCATTGACTGGGGTCGAGCTGATTGCGGGAGCTCTAGCTTTGGCCAGCAGGGAAGGCAGAACGATGCGAGACAAGTTGCAGCAGGAGGAATACCAAGGGAGATGAGGTGCTCAAACCTGCTCATCATCACTGTTATTATATACACATGCTCTATCTATTCCGTATATACATACATTTTGAAAATATCCAAAAATTGAATAGCCGGAGCGCTGACGGTTCAACTATCTGTCGTCTGATGTCTTCTAACGCGCTCCTCAAAAAGCCCGCGGTGCTTTCTCGGAATGAAATCACTCAATCCCTATGAAACGGCAATTTTGGCTTCAGCATCGGGGACGTGGAGCTGTTCCAAGAGCTCTTCCCCACAATAATCTCGGTGAACTCACCCAAATCAGGTCTTCATCCCCTTTGAACAAGAGGAGTAAGGAGTCCACCAGCTTGGAAATGTCAATATCTCCACTCTTGAAGCTCTTCAAGCCATGTTGGAAGTCGCTAAAGTGGGCCACAGATAAGGCAGCCTTAACCTGTGAACCGGTGCTTAGCATCCCACTCTGTTCGTCCCTCCGCCTGGAGTAGAGAACATTTTCGACCATACCTTCTGGATGTAAGCTTTCGTGTTGCTCCGTCGTGATGAAGATGGCTGTTGATTTTCAATGCTTATGGAGTCTGTCGCCTGATTGTGGAATGGTTGACCTTCATCGTCTGCGGACAATGGCCGTTTGCGCGCGCTCTGGGCGTCCACGGGCACGGACTTGAGACCATCATCATCCTGCACTTCCTGCACGGATGCCTGTCTAGCTTTCGCACTGAGATGTGGATGCAGGGGTTTGCGTAGGACGGTGCTGCTGCTTCTCATGAGCGATGTTGGAACCGACTTGTACGCTGTTGTTCGCGTGATTTCCATCGTTGTTTTAGACGAGGATGCGGACTCTCCACCCATCCTCTCCACCGTCGTTAGGGAATTGATACCCTAAAGAGCGAGCGAGTCAGAACGTGAATATGGCTTCCAAGGCAAAAAGACAAAAGGATAATACCTTCAACTGCTGCCACATCTCGCTACTTTCTTTTGTTGCACTTCGGGCCCGCTTCGTTTTGATTTCCACCTGTGAGTGTTCCAAGCTTACCACTAAAATATCGCGATAAGCTGACGCAGTCATTAACGACCCGCTGGGCTAGTGACAAGGCACAAGGTTACAAACCTGTCTTCGTCTGCACGATGCTTTGAAAGACCTTATGTTCCATCACAGCAGCATTCCCCCTAGCTGCCACCTTGGCGTCTGCCGACTTCTTTGCAATGACTTTCGTTTGCCCCTAATCAATGGCGCGTCATCAGCATGCGTGAAGAGCGACGACCGCAAAACCACGAAAGCGTACCTGCTTCTCATCCATGTGCCGGAAGAAACGACCGAGCTGTCCTTGAACCTCTCCAAAATTGTTGTGCACGCGAACATGTTGGCGGACCCACACGGGAAGCTGACTGATGTTTTGACGAAATCGGAAGTCGCATAGTAAGATTGCTCCATAGTCATTCTTGTGCCTGATTCTGCAGGTGACGAGGAAAGCCGGTCAGGCTTCCTGCGTTTTGACCCCCAGACGCAAAAATCCTTCTTACACTCTGCCTAGAGCTTGATTTACGGCGCGAGCAGCTTGTTGTTTGTCTGCGGGTGCCAAAGGGTATAGACATGGATGAGATGTGCGAGGCGAAAGATCGGTGAACGGACAGACTACGAGGTCGGGAAGACATGCGCGCAGTCGAGGCGAAACTTACACCAGTCGCTGCCTGACAATGTTTGGATCTGGGATTAAATGTTGAATCGACGGTTAGAAGCTGCTCTGACCAAACTGATCTTGTATCAGTGTACCTGTGGGGTTTTCTTGTCTGCGTGTTGCTCGTCCAGATACTGCCGTTTCAGTTTGACTTTCGGGTCCATGTGAGATGGAAAAGGGATCCCACACACTACGACCGCTCTGCCTTTGGAATCGCTGAAATCCAGACCTAGCAAGATTTATCTCAGTGTAAGTGGCCAAGCTAGACAAGTACTACCATTTGCGCTCACCTTCGGAAGCCTTCCCTCTACAGACGGCAAAAAAGACCGCGCCAGACAAATCTGGATCGTTCAAGTGCCTGTAGAACTCTTCCAGCGTCTGATCTCGGATCAGTCCTCCTCTATAGCATGCCGTTCTGAAGTTAAACCGCAGATCCATACCTGTCCGAACTCTGCTTTCGCCTTTGGCTCAGTCACGGTGTGCTTATACTTTCGTATCCTATCCAAGATGCTCACGGATGCCCCTTGATTCTTCAGAGACGGAGAGAAGATAAGCTTCTTGCCAATGACGATGGGCAATTCATCAGAGGAAGTGGATGATGGTCACTTACGGGCCGTTCCCATGCTTCCATACAGAGTTTGAGTACCGTGTATGACGGGAAAAAGCATAAAAGACCGTCCGGAACGATCCGTACGAAGTTCACAATGGCGTTGCCAAGGTCAGTAATGTACGCCGGTGACTTTCGGTTCTCGTATGATGAGCTGAGCTGAAATTATCAGGTGTAAGCCAAGACTTCAAGACGGAATCGGATGAATTCCTTGTACCCACTTGAACACCAGCAGGTCCACATTGAACAATTCCAACAAAAACTTGATCCGGCTCGATAACGTGTGGATTCTCTAACCGACTTTGAAAAGGTATACCCATCTCGCAAGCAAAAGACTCCAGAGGGCTCTGTGGTGATACCCGTCAAGATGCATAATCGGAATGAGACAAAGGTTTGGAGTCGTAGCGCGAACCAACCAAAGTCCCGGAAGCGAGAATGATAGACCGACATCCGCGTTGCACAAGATCTTTCATGGCAACACCGCTGCTGAAGCACCAAAAGCTCAACTTTCGTCCAGCAGCACCGCGGCCTTGAAACCCATCGTCATCGCCCGCCGACGTATCACCCTGGACAAAGACCTGCCAACGAGGTTATTGACTGAGAACCCGTATCACAGGCGAAAGATTGCCCCTTACCTTATACTCGCGGCAAATGTCCTTCAAATCTCCTTGTCGCGAACCGTAGCCGTCCCTGAATACTACTTTCAAAGCGGTGGCGAACTGGTTAAGCGATGTTTTCATTTGCCGTCGTTTGGTCTCTGCAAAACCACTTTGTCAGAGATTAACTACTTCGAGGGGCGTACGTTTCTGGGATGAGGCAGACCTTGTGCCATCAGGGCCACTGCTGCCTCGATCACTCTGATGACCGATCCCACAGTCTCAAAGGTCACATCCATCGATGCAAAGAGATCATAGATGTATTCTCCAGGCAAGACGAGTTGATTTGATTTCGTCAATGGTAGGTTTGCTATTCTCTCCTTACATTTCACGATGATATCTGCAACCTCCTTGAGTGCCAGACCCACGGAATCAATACAACAAATTTGGGACCTACCCACTAAGATTTGAAAGTCCTCTTCGGAAACGTCCCGTGCTCCAACGGCGGGCAATGACACTAGGTCCTTGCAGTGGCGCCCTTCCAGGATACAAGCGTCGAGGTCACCCTCCGTAAGCTCAAAGCTTGTCGCTTCTCCACAACTGCTTTCCAGATTGTGCCCTGATGGAGTCCAGTCAGGGCGGGTGCAGAAGAGGGGAACCGTTGAGGGACATACCTTCGTCAAAGATGATGATACTGTTCTTCACATCGATGTTTTGACTTTTGCGCGATGTTTGATCAATCAGATAGTTGTAGGGTAAGAAAATGATATCCGCTTGTGACTGGCTCGCCCGGGAGAGGAAGTATGGACAAGCTCTAGGAAAGACCGGGGTTTGAGAACCCACGTCGGGAACTCCATCAGCAATCAAGACATACCTGTGTTCCTGTCCGAACTGTACTATCTCCTCTATGTCCAAGATCTCATGTTCACTCTGGAACTTTGAGGTCTCCACATTCAGATGATATTCGCACGTTTTCTGGTGCAAGTGCAGATCAGCGATGCGCAAGTCGGCGGATGAGAGAGTGCAACGTCAGAATTCTTACCTTCTGGACTTTTTGCTTGCATATCGCGCTTCGCGCGACATTCGGTACGGTGCTCACTTCTGGATGTATGCACATCTGCTCACGGCTGCCCAGCACGCAAACCCTTGGCCTATTCCTCGTTGCGTCAGCAATCAAAGTTGCCAGACGCGAACCTGCAGCCTATTACCTGTATTCCGACTTCCGAAGCTCGGCAACAGCTTGCGACAGCTATATGCTCAGTGTTAGGGAGTGCAGACTAGGATGATGCGCATGCGAAGGGGTTTTTCACCAACCTGACTGTGTGTCCGTGATACATAGTAGATCTTCGGCGGCTCGCCGTCATATCTTTCTTGGAGGGTAGCGTTTGTTGATAAACTTCGCCGACATGCACATGAGAATGAAAATCGAACGAACCTGTTCTCTCGCTGCCGGAAACAGCTGACACATAGTCTTTGTGAGTACATTCGCGCGCGCATCAAATCGGACCTTCTACCCCTCACAACGTACCAGAGCTCAACTGGGATAGCAGGTTGGCCCGAAAGGGATCGTTCGTAGGTTTCCCTCCATCATCAAGTGCGGACGCAAGCTGCCGACTAGCCATGAACGCTTCTCGCCACGCCAGCGTCGACGCCAGTAAGCACATGGTTTTGCCCGTGCCCGTGGGAGACTGTATCAACGCATTCCCAGATGTCTGAAGCGACTCGATGATCTTGGCCATGAGAGTCAGCTGGCAGTCATAGGCCGCGTACGGAAAGCGGACCGTAACTCCTTTGAGATTGTATTCGGGCATGGCTGCTTCGACCTTAAGCAATTTGAGGGGAATTGAAGGAGCCGCCTTCGGAGCCTGTTTCCACCTAGGGTTCGACTGAAGACCTATCCTTCCCGTCGTATCCACACAACCTCCATGAGCCGGCGCCACTGACTCAGACCAGAAGTGCTCTCGACGTTGCTGTAAAGCTCCTGTGTATATGTATACGTATAGCTGTACTCCGACAAATGCAAACTGATTGCGTGGGGAAAAAGGGAAGGCCTGAATGGAAAGGGACAACGCGCTGGTGGCTGTGAACAAGATGTTCGTGTCCGAATAAACCGACAGGATCGCGAAACTGCTGTCATTTTCGAGGGCTTCCCGGAAGTTCGTGTGCACTTCCTCAATCCCATGAGGATTCTTATCGAATTCGAAGCGCCCTTGGTGGTGATGCCTGGTGTGATTCGATGTTCGGACCTCATTAGACCCTCGGTCGCTACTTAAAGGAGTGGTACTTCGTTCGTTGGTCACCCCCAAGAGTATCTTGCGTTACAGCCGGCTACATCTTTGTCCCACATGGGCCCCTTTCAGGTGATGCTCGTTCACGAATGGCGGCGTAGACTTCGACATGCAGCTTCCCCCGCTAGCAATGATAACTGAGCGAAGTGGATCTCTTACATTGTATCCTGGACGATGATATGGGAGGATGTGAACAGCCGTACGATACTGGTTGTCCTGTCGGGAATCGGGATCATATACCCTGATGGGGACTGCACTAAAAACTCGGAACCACGAGAAAACAAACTAGAAATGCCCCGAAAAGTCGGAGTCGGCGGACTTCACCTGGCACCAGCACGCCGACAAGCTCCACAACCACCCCAACGCCCTGCGCAGCTCTCCCCATCTCGCAACTCACGCGTCGCGTACTCCGGAGACACCACAACAAAACAAAACAAAAATGCAAGCGGGGGTCGCCTTTTGATACAGAACTTGTAATCGTGTCACCGGCAAGCAAAAAATGTGCACCCGCCGAGGTTTGAACTCGGGCCACCCGCTAGTTCCAACACGCTATTTCTGCGCTAATGGGAAGCGGGTATGTTAACCACTACACTACGAGTGCTTACACACTCCGATTGACAACACACAACTATTATACATAAGCAATGCAAGCCACTCGCTCACTCCACTACGGCTGCTTGTTCGGAGTCCGTAATGGGCAGAAAAGAGTATGTACGGACATATAGTATGTGTGAATGTGCAAATTCTGAGCATTCAAGCATGATGAAAGCGGTGAGAGCCACAAGTCGATGAATCTCCTCATCTCCTGGCAGGGGTAGGCTCTGGCTGGCGTCAGTCGTTTCTCTCGACGCACAGTGTGCGATTGCTTGATGGAATGATTTGGTCAAAGCTCGTATAAGGCTCTTATCATCATGGTGACTCGCAGCGTTCTTCGAGGCTCGATGGCATCAGAGTAGCTTTCGGGTGCTTTGTTTCACTAATGGATGAGCGAAGAATTTGTCGACAAGTGTACAACGCAATAAAAAATTTCGGCACAGGTACGCAATTCATACAAGTTACAAGACCAGAAGGGAGGGCTTGTCTTGCGTTACGGGGAGAGACGCCTGCTTCCGTTGATGTAAACCGAAAGCGTTCAAAAGGAATTGAAAGTCCGACTGACTGCTGCGTGTGCGGATAAAGCGATTGCGGAGTATGCGGAACGTGCGTTGTTTTCAAAGAGACTGTGGGATATGGCGATACCGTCGTGCCTTTGCAGAGAGTTCACAGGAGTTGAGCCCGAACTATGCTTGAGTTCTGAAAACAGATGGTGAGGAAATGAAGAAGCGGGTCGAGTCCGGAAAGGAAGGCAGGAAAGGCAAGAAGGGAATGGAGGAAAGGCAGGAAGGGAACGCTTCACAATTTGTCAGTCCGAAAGCCAATCAGTCCGAACCCAAACTCCCTTGATTCATTCTGGTGGCTGTGCATGCCATTCGTAAATGAACCTTCGGCGCCACAAGGTGTCGAGGACTTCAGACATCAACCTCACGTCAGGGGAATGCATGTGCGAAGGCCAACAGTGCCCAACACAATTGCGGAAGAGGGCCACCCAGCCTTCCCCTCACTTGCAGTGCCGGTCTCCTACACAATGTACAGAAGAAACGTAGCGTTGAGCTTCGGTCGGGCTACCTCAGCACTACATTGCCCCGTCCCACGGCAGTTCACACCGCAATGTCGGAAAATATCCACGTCTCCAGTGACGAACGGTTCTCACTTCACTCGAATGCCATCCCGACCTCATCACCGTTCCCATCGCTTATTCGGCACCACAAGACGCTTCGGTAGCAACACCAGGCACGGGAAACAATCTCGATCGCAGGGCGATCACCAAGAACAAAGTGGGAAACAACAACAGCAGCAGCAACGAAGTGACTACGAGCCAATATATGAAAACCTTGATCAACATCTGTACCGAGTTGCACATTTTTGTGCGGCAGGGCAAGCGCTTCTATGGCTGAATGTCTCCGATTGGTGCTATCGGGATCTGCGCGTCTCAAAGGAGAAAGCCGATGGAAGGTCTGGCGTGGGAACGGGTGACATGACTGATATCTGAAAGTATACTGACGCAGTGTTCCACATTTACAGCAAAGAGCACGTACCAGCACCCGACTGGCAAAGACGAACGCTTGGCACATTCTGTCTAGCTGTCGGCGTATTATTCGCCGGTGGAGTGCATTTCTGGTCCGCTAAACGCGTACGACGGATCACACCTCTGAAGGACGGTTTCGTCAAGATCGAGACGAGCAATCTGGTGGGCAGGCAGGCGGTAGTGGTACCGTGTAAAGACTTGAGGAGTATACAATCTGCAGGTAAGGGCCTATCCTCACCTCGAAAAGTGCTCTCCTGTCAATATATTCATCTGCGTCACATGCGTCAGCTGCTGTTGCGAAAAGCACGACGGGACAGATAACTCTACAGAGTAACGCGCATCGCATGCCATTTTTGGTGGACAGAGGGGGCGACTTCTATTCCGCCGAGCTGTTCGATAAGCTATTCCACCGCGCTTAGGCCGCGGGCTATCATCGTATACCGAGCAGCACAACAGCACAGCTTTTCCGCAACGCTTCGTGACATTATCACACCTATTCATGGAATCTGCCGTCTCACGAACGGAATTTATGGGACCGCAAGGTAGTGCAGAGACTTCCCATTTATGTGAAAATATAATAATATCTATCGCACGCGCTACTCTGTTGAAGAGTGCTTCAAGGAAAAGAAAAAATTGATCACGTCCTCCAGTCTTTCGTCCAAAAAAGAATTCGCCACCATGGCTCAATTGTCGTCTTCCAAAAATGGGGTTGTTCCACAATTATGTTGTTGGAACGCATTCCAGCTTACCAAGCCATTCCATCATCCGCGCTGGGCCTCACTAGCGGACTAGTCGCAAACAACCCCTCTTGTTCATCCTTTCGTGCACTCAAGGGATGGGTGTTTCCAAAATCCCCGTCGTCCTCCCCAAAATGATACGTGGATCCAAGATCCTTCAAACTGCCCATCCTATCAAACACGTTCCCATCGCTGTCATTGTTACCATCATCGCCCGCCTGGATGTCCAACGCAGATTGGAAGACCGCTAGCGAGTCTCCCGACCCGTCCACGGGGCGGCGCTGCTGCTGATGCCGATGTGCGGGTAAGGAGGCGGACGTGGACGTGCTGGTCGTGTCGTTCACGCGATGGCTGGAACCACCGGCATGCCGAGCGCCAGCGAAGAGAGGTCCCGTTGGCGCGGAAATGTGGATGGTAGGAAACGCAGCGGCGGCTGAAGAGGCGTTGGTAGACGATGAGAGTACATTCTCGTGACTCTGTGATGTTTCGTCGTCGTAGAAGGTTGTTGATTTGCCCTTACCAGCTCGCGTGGAAGCGTCGCCGCCATAATGCGACTGGTTCCGCGCTGGTTGCTCAGAACGAGGAGCGCTACTCCCAGCAGCGCTCTTCTTTGCGAGCAGAGCCTTCACTTGGTCCTGCAACCTCTGATTCATCTTCTCCACATCCCCTTCCAAGCGCGTCACCGAGTCCGACCGGATGTCATCTCCACTACGGCGGTGCTGCTGTGCACGACTTGGCGAAGACGACCTTGACCTCGAGCTCGACCTGAGCCGAGTAGGCTCGTCGAACCATCTACGAGACGTGGTCGTAATTTTGGGAGGCTCATCCACGTGGGTGCGCTTAGTGTGCGAGTCGAAAAGAAGGGATTTGATATCCGGAGCCTCAGAATGCTTTTTGTACATCCGTTGTTGTGGTGAGGTCGTTGGGGTAGGAGAATCCGAGCGGTCACTTACACGGTGATCCCTTCTTGCACCACTCTGGAGCAACTCGTCCACTTTGGCAGCCAGTTTCTTATTCAGCTCAGAGACCTTGCCTGTCACTTTCTCTATCTCCGCCCCTTTGAGAGCCTTCAGCTGCTTTTGGGATTGCTCCGCGCTTTCTCGCACTGATGCCATTTGACTGTGCAACGAAGCAATCTCTCGTTCTTTCTCTGCAAGGGAACTCTGCAGAGAGACGAGCTCATGTTGCCTGGATTCGCTGGTCACCGTCAACTCGTAAATCCTCGCCTCGAGTCGCAGTCGTTCCGCTGTAGCTTCCGACAGCTCAATTTTGGCTCGGGAAAGATGATTGTCCAAGTCAGCGATCTTCGCCGACTTCGCCTGCAATCTCGTGCGCAGGTCCGCAGCTTGCGCATCCATTGCGCTTTTGGCTGCTGAGAATTTGTCGTTGACGGCGAGCAATTCCTCCTTCTTGCGGATCTTTATGTCATCCACTTTCTGGTGATCAAGTGCCAGCTGATGCTGCTGGTTCCGGACAGTGGTTTCCAACTCCTTGACCCGGAGCGCGTATTTGTGAGCGGAATCTTCTTTGTCCCTCAGAGCGGTGCGAAGAATACGTTCGGCACCGCGGAATTTGTCAACTTCCACCTGCGCCTCATCCAGATTCTTCTGAAGGGAGCGGAACTTCTCCGCCAAGTCCATCAGCCGCTCTTTGCTCTGCGCTTTTACGTCAGCATGCAGGGAAGCCTCCTTGTCCACGGCACGCTGCAGTTCGCTTATTTTGTCGATAAGATGCTTTCGCTCTGACGCAGCGGCCTCAATGTCGCGAGTTTGGCGGTCTCGAATACTGAGCAAGTCGTTTCTCTCGCTCTTCAGCGATCCCTCGCTCTGCACCAATCGTTCATGCGCGATCTTGAGCTGGTCGTGCGCACCCTTCAAATCCTCAGCTTTCAATCTCCACTTGTCCAGGTCCAGCTGGAGCGCGTTTGCAGTACGCTGCGAGCTTACGAGCTGCGTCTCAGCCCGAACCTTCTCCTCGGCCATCTGCGACAGCCTGTGCTCACTAGCGGCCAGCTCACGTTTCAAGTAAGTCTCGGACGCAAGCAGACGTTCCAGCTCTTCCAACTGCGTTGCACACTTTTGCGATAGTTCGCGAATATCGGCCTGATCCTCGCGATGGGTGTTCGACAGCTCGCCAATTTGATGAGAAAGCTTGGCGCATGTCGAAACACTCTCCTCCAAATCTGCTGACGACTGCTTATTCCTTGAGATCATTTCGCTCAGATCTCGTTGCGACTCCTCCAGAGCTTCACGCAAAGCCCGAATCTCCTTCTGATCATCGCGCTGCTGTCGATGCATGGCGCTTTTGAGCTTTTGAACGTCATCGTCTCTACGGTTCATAGACTGCTCCAGCAAATTGATCTTCTCGCTCAGCATCACCCTTTGCTCATCCGCAGCAGCATCCTTGACACGATGCTCCTCCTCCAGTCGCTTGACTTCCGCTTCCCTCATCTGCAACCGTCTGGTGATATCACTCTTGATCCTTAGGACGTCCTCCATTTCCTTCCGTTGATTCGACTCCCTCAGCCCGCTCTCTTGCAAGGCGCGTTCAAGCGCTTCGGTGTTGGCATCGAATCGGTCTTTGGCAGATTTCCAAACCATCGATTCTTTGGAGAATTTGTTTTGCCATTTGACTAGCTCCTGTTGCAAGGTGGTGTTTTCATCAGTCTTGATCGCCGCTGCTTTTTCGAGAGTGCGGATCCGGTTTTCTTCTTTCCGCTGGTAGTCGGAAAGCTCTTGCTGGTGACTGCGTTGCAGTGCTTGAACCTCGTTTAATAACTGAATCCAGGGTTAGTTATTGCTATCTCAAGACGACCAGACAAGCCTTGTACATGCAGGCGTACTTTATGGTAATCTGCTTCCAGCTGGATGTAACGAGACCGCTCGCCTTCCAAGAGATCAAGTAGAGCATTCTCCGTGCGGACCTAGAGACAAACATTCGAATGTAGATGGTGAGTTGGACTACAATGCCATGCCTCGCTGCGACATATGTGCCAAACCTTTGGTTCCTTCCGCAACTCCACATCGACATGCACGGTACTGCCTGATGACTTTGCCTTCACCTCAGTCGGTCGGCTAGTACTTCTGGTAATCCCCAATGCCGACGGAGAGGCCATCGTAGCACTCCTCCTTGCCGCTTCCCTCTCCCTGTCCCTCTCCCTGCCTCCCTCCTTCCGCTCAAGCTCCCTACCCTCCGTTTCATTAGTCTCCTCCAAGCCAACCGAAATATTATGCCGACTCGAAATCGGGATTTTGATACGTCCTCCGGAAGCGGTTACGTTGCGTGTTGAATTTGTATCATACCGCGTTCGATGGGTGCGACTTAGCGCCTCGTTAGTAAGGCGACGCTGTTGATCTAAGGCTTCTTGTCTCTTAAGGTCTAAATCGAGGAGTTCGCGAAGCTTGCGAGTGTCTAGATGGTGGGTTCTAGGCTCCGTTGTGTCGGGTATGCTCGTCCACGAGTGGTGAGACGAGTCGCGGCGGGTATAGAGTCCCTTTGGCCGTACTCTACTGGATGATGTGCGTATGTCCATTTTCCCTTGAGTTTCAGCGGGGGCGGTATATGACAGCTGTGTGTGTTTGTAGAGTGCTCTTTCCCTTTCGAGCTCTGCGACGCGGTCTGCACGACGACTGCTGTTCTCTAAAACCGTACGAGAACCTGGGATTTTTTCCGGGGACCTGCCCTGTGCCCCTGTTTGACGGTACCACGAGCGTCCTCTTCTCGCTTCCTTTCCGTCTGTCCCTTCCTCGGACGAAGGAGAGCCTGAAGTAGCGATATCCAACTTCCCACGGCTCGCGTCTCGCTTCCTGCGGTTGGCGGAGGCCAATATTTCAGACCCAGGGGAGGTCGGGACTTTCATGCAAAAAAGATGAGGTGGACGCTCGCTTCGTAAGTAACGATGTGTGTGGCCGCCGCAGATGCGCACTTCAAGATGATGGGAGTTGCAGTGCGGTGTGAAAAGTGCCGATTGACAGGATTGCGTACGTAATGTCCAGTCGGGACGCACGAGGGAGTTCGAATTGTATTGGAAGTTGGCTTCCGGTGCATTCGGCAAGAACAAACCCCCAGCAAACCGAGCGCGGAGATGGACGCGCAGCTGAACATTCGTGATTAGACGGTTGTGAAATGTGAAAAGCTTTTGATTAAGGGAGGCGGGCACTGTGATCTTCCGCCGCCATTTTTGCTAGCAACCGACTTGCCTGGTAAAACCGACTACTGTGGTTCAAAGCCGCTTGACCCACAATACACACTCGCAACCGCTAGGAACGATTATATAATGGAGGAGGAAGTGGACTACGAAGTATTACCCACCACTTCGGTGGCGACCAACATGCTCGCCGGTGCCCTGGCGGGGATTACAGAGCACACGGTCATGTACCCTCTGGATAGTGTGAAGGTAGAATGTCGGAACTACAGAATGGAAGCGGAATAGAGGAGGCGGCGGAGAGCAGAGGCTGGGACAGAGTGCGGGGGATTCTGGAGAAATGTTACGGAACATGGGGAGATTTAGTGGGATTTCCCCATGACCATCAGTTAACTTTGGTCTGATTCTCCCTAACTCAATTGAAACTCTCAGACACGTATGCAAGTGCTATCCCCCTCGCCGCAAGCGATCTACACAGGTGTTGCGAACGCATTATCGCGTATCTCGACTGCTGAAGGCGCATCCACCTTATGGCGGGGAGTTACCTCGGTGATTGTGGGAGCTGGTCCTGCCCACGCACTGTACTTCGCAACATATGAGAAGTGCAAGGAAGTCTTCTCATCGAAAGACAATATTCACAACCACCTTGCTCACGGTATGCTTGCTGTCGTGCTTTGTTTCGCGTTGGGAGTCGGTTTGCTGACATGATCTCTGTCTGTAGCTGGAGCAGGTGCATGCGCAACGATAGTAAGCGATGGGTTGATGAACCCATTCGATGGTGCGTAGACGGAGGGCGATTGGATGTAAATTTGCAAACATCTAACTCTTTTTGCACTATCCAGTCATCAAGCAGCGGATGCAGGTTCATGGTTCGACGTACCGGGGGGTAGTGGAATGCGGGCTGGATATCATGCGGAAGGAGGGTCTCGCAGCGTTCTACATATCCTATCCGACGACTCTGATGATGACTGTGCCCTTCCAAGCGGTACATTTCTCGACATACGAGTACTTCCGCAAAATTCTGAACCCGAAGGGAGGGTATGACCCAAAGACGCACATTGCATCAGGGGCGATCGCGGGCGCTGCCGCCGCTGCGATCACGAATCCTTTGGACGTAGCAAAAACGTTGCTGCAAACGAGAGGTGCTGCGTCGGATACGAAAGTGCGGCAGGCGTCGGGCATGATCGACGCCTTCAAGCTGATATATACGAGGAATGGATTGGCTGGATTCACGATGGGTGCAAAAGCAAGGATGCTTTCGCACATGCCAGCAACGGCGATTTGTTGGACCACCGTGAGTTCTCATATTTGACGCACTGGAGAAACCTACTGCCGATGGCAATCCATGCTTTAACTAACCTCTTCGTTTCTCAACAGTACGAGTTCCTGAAAATGGTACTTTCGAAACAGCCGGGCTTTGCAAACGAGCCTATCGTCACGCCCGTTAACCCATCGTCATGAGGAACTGAGCATTTGGAGGGAACAGGAAAGAGGGACATAATCGGCGTTTTCCTTTGCATCTGCATACCACCACCCGCATCACCCTTATAGATAGGTCATCACATGGCAGAGGGGTTCGGATCCACATTACATAGCACACCATAGCATAGACTAGTCATACGGGAAATGCGCCGATTTCGCTGCAGGGGCGGTGCTCTCCGGTCCACCCTGTTTTTGGGGATCCCCTTTCTCTCGCGGACGGCATCCCGGTTGTGGCAACCCTCTTCTCATTCTCTCGTTGTGCATATTTAATCGATGGGTTTCGCGAAGAAGGAAACGTGAGGTCCCTTCCATGGTTTCTTACAGGATATGCAATAAGCTATGGACATGGAGAGATCACCGAACGACAGATCATCGCAGACCGCTCTATACTAACGGTTATAAACGTGTCGCAACCTGAATACCGGTCATCTAACCCATTGCCCTCGGCACTAAGGTTAACGGAAATAATGCTGGGGTCCGCACACGGGTGGAACAGACACTAACTAACTATGTAAGTAGTCGACTTGTCTTGATCCACTTTCGCAGAGGCTACGCCGACATCATGGCCAATCGGTGCGGAAGGCTCACCCCACATCAACTTTTGCAATTACATCTCAACGTAGTGTCGCTTTGATTGTGCATATGGATATGGGCCTTCATATGTATCATTGGATATGTTTTCAAGCGGATTTTGACCTTGGGTTGCTAGCGATGTCGAAGTCTCGGAGTGTGGCAGTCTGGGTCGGAGGATACATCAAGTACTGTACCAGACGGTGTACGGTGTACTGTTCCTCATGAGGTTGGCGCCTCGTCGCATTGGATCCCCCGTTGAGAGCATCAGGTCCTCAGGAACTTGATCTTGAGATTCCAACCACACACGGGCGATGCATGGCGACTGGCGAGGAGCCAGACGCGTACTGTAACATTCGTCGTCGCGTCGTGAGGCACCAGGCATCTTTTTCGTCCCAACGCCGGCGAACAGCTTCATCGGTGCACATCTGGAGGCTTCGCAGGGGTCTGATGACCAGTCGGAGGCGCGTTCATGCTTAACTAGCCTACAACAAAACGATAAGAGAACAGGGACTGTAAAGCGGTGGACACAGAGTGGTATCGCTCAATAGTCCCGGCGAATGCAGCCCAACGAGCTTCCGAGTCCGACCAACGGACCAACGGTAGGCCGAGGCCGCCGGGTGTGGGGACTTTGAAGCTGAGGTTGACTTCCAAATGTCTCCGTCGTACCGGAGATCGCAAAAAGGTTGCCCACTGGGATTTGGGGTTTCAAGAATATTTAATTTTCTCAATGGTCAACACTTTTATTTTTTATTTGGAGATCCTTGACGCCAACCATGGGCTCGAAGCCACGTTGAACAAGTATGGCCTTGGGATCTGTGATCTCTTCCGAGTTTGGCATCAGCAAAAAGAACATCTTGAATGTGGATCCCACCTGCCAGCGGCCCTCGCCTATAAAAGAAACCCCAAGCTTCCTCTCTTCCTGTCGCTCCACACATTCAGCTTCCCATTCCCGTTTATTCCAGCTGCCACCAGGTAAGCAGATTCGAAGACCACTGGAAGAGAGGCCCCGTGTGAATATGCATTAGTGTTCAAGCTGAGTCTCGGACATCCATACTAGTATCCGCACCAACATGAAGCTTTTCGCAACCGCCGTCGCCGTCCTCCTGGCCGCCAACTCTGTCTCCGCCTGGCGACTGAGATTGTACAAGGACAAGAATTACATCAACATCATGGGCGACTACAGTGGCAACACTGGTTCCGGTGGGGACACGGGATGCTATGCTGTGCACCCGAACGATGCCGCCTCGTCCTTCCACTGGACTCCCTGCTATGGCGAAGGCCGCGCATCGGCCGCCGAACTGGTCCTCTACAAGAATGCAAACTGCGATGTTGACATTGGCCGGTAATTCAGATCATTGCTCGCTTCCTCGCTAATAATTAATGCTCATTCATTCAAATCCTTATGCAAAGTGCCGACGCGAGTAAAGAGTGGAACAAAAGCCTGATGAGCGCCAACGATGAACTCACGAGCTTCCGAGTCTTGCACCGGACGAGCTACCAGTGCTAAGCGCCAATACAATCTCTATAGACCAGAATACACTGTTGCGATACAATACATACCCTTTCATGACCATAAACAATGATTCCTATCGCACTATCTTGTTTCCATCTTGTTCTCCTGTTTGTTCAATACCTCGCGAGCCCTTCCCGAAATGTCCTCGTAACAACCTGCCAATTCTGTCAGGTTTGGTTGCCCAGTCGTTCCACGCAATGCATTACGGCGGCGGCTGCGCGTAGCAGTTTCGCGCCTGCAGATTTAGCTCTCACACCTGGGAGGTAAATCGTGAGGTATGATGCCGTTCGAAAACGCGTCAAGATGCTGCCCCTCTATGTACCCGGTGCGAAAGTGGGTGTCAGCTGGCACTCTTAACTGTTGGAGCACCGTTTGTGCATCAGCGACTGTTCAGCTCTTGATTTGTTCTGAGAGTCCACAACTACGAGCTACTTATGTAGTCCTCGGAGCTTCGTACCCTGTCCATCGGCGGACTCTGGCGAGTGGCTGCGAAAAGGCCAGGAAGAGCCAAGAGGAGTTCTACTATCATGATTGCGTCCAACTTGAAACGAGTTGGCTGAAACTGTCAAACCGTCAAAAGTTGTCGAAAAGCCCTCCGGTAGCTGTCGGAGCCGGAGCTGCGATCCTGTGTTACAATGGCGGACTACAGCGATCTCCTTTCATGCCAGCCTGAGAGGATTCCGGTTCCGATGCAGGATCTTAGCCAAAAGGCCTAGGAGGATTCGGTTCGTATGCAACAGCTTAGCCAGAAGCCCAGGGAGGATTCGTTTTCGCGTGCGAAGATCTTAGCGCAAGGCCGAGAGGAACGTTTCGAATGCTAAGATCTTAGCCAAAAGACCTGAAGGATTATTTTAGAATAGGCCTGACAGGATGCGTTTCACATGTGAAGATGTTAGCCAATGGGCCTGAGAGGACTTCTCCATACAAGGATCTTAGCGAGACGGACGGAAGAAGTTCGAGTTTCGTCATCGGACCTTAGTGGGAAGGCCCCAGCGAATTCTCTTGTTGAGGGCAGATTTAGACAGTGATACGAAGATATTACCAATGGTTGACAGGCAAAGATCTTAGCCGAAGGTTAGTGAATGGTGTGAGGATCTTACCCAAAAGACCTCTGGAATTCACGGATGGGAAGAGGGCTCTCACAGCCACCATTGTGCAAAGGATATGTGTAATTTACGAGCAGAGAGTGGCTCTATATGTGGATATTGATTGATAAGAGAGCCGTCTGTTGCTTGCATTCGCCGTCAAAGGTCTATATACGGCTGCTAGAGCTTCTTCCACATTCTGTCCCCGCCACGTCCATTCTAGCTCGGCCGACGTCGAGAAGGTTCGTTCCAGAGTTCGAACCTCTACTTCCTGGCTTCCGACCGAGTAGATTCCGTTCCACAGGTGGCGAAGAATGGCTACCTTCGAGGTATGGCGAATCCCGCATCGAGGGCGTCGTCAGTTGAGAGCCGCTTGAGCCGTATCGATGATAGCAGACAGTGCGATCCAAGACCTCCATCCTCTAGCCTCAGGCCGTATCCTGCACATCGGTGCAAGCTTTTCATCCGAGGGCTCCTTCTTCTGGCCCCTTCTCCGTCTCTTGCTCCTATGTTGCAAGCCAAAGAGTCGGCTCAAACGTTCGATGTGTGGTTTCTTCAACCTTGGAATGGTGCGCTATACCACCTTCCAGTTCGTCTATCCAACCTCCGTTCCGAACAACAGCATTGCTGGGATCGAGAAGCCCCAACCCCTATTTCGATGGCAATCCTAACTTCCCCATCTCTCCGGGTGCTCCGACCGGGTATGGATCTACTTTTCCTTGGCCACAAACTCCATCATCCCAATATCCGCACCACCCACAGTTGCAGCCCCGTTTCTCTGGGCCACAAGCTCGCTCACATCGCCGACCTCCCTCTCGTGTTTCCTCTCATATCTCTTCGCCAGCTCCTCAGGCGACTCTGAAGGATTGCCCGTGGCCAGCACACTGCCTTTTGTGACAGACTGGCCTTTCCTGGCCAAAATGTCCTCGATTGTGCCTGGCGGGTTCTGCGAGTCGAACCAACCCAGATGGTCGGCCATGAGATGCAGCTTGTCGCACCCATCGCAGCGGATGATAACGACGCCCTCGGTGTATGCCTTTTTGGACATGTATTTATGCTGGCGGTGGTCGCAGACTTTGCAGGTGAAACCGATTATCATTCGAGCTTGCTGCAGCTTCCCAAGAGTTTGCGGCTCTGGGACTGGAAAGTCGCCTGGCATCTCATTTTGTGCTACTATCTGACCCTTTGAGTTTTGCGATGTGGGCTCCTCGTGCCGGTGAGTACATGAGCAGTGCAATTTCCGACTTCCGGAAAAGCGGAACAACGTTTGACGAGGAAGCTTGTTGAGCGCTGAACCAGGAAGCATGAGCTGCGCCGAGCTTATGCGAGGATACGGCTTCAAAGCAGATGCGGCGGAAGTCTGAGAGGGTGCTGCCCTTCGTCCCACTCTCAATATATTCAGTAGAGCGCTCATTGCTGCGACGGACAAGAGTTTCTCTTTCGTGCGAACCGATTCTCTCCTAGATTGACGTTGACGAGGCGAGACAGATGAAGGTAGCGTCCAATATCAAGCCACTGCTGATTCTATATATATACGCTGGGGATGGCGATTTCCTCACCAAATGGTGCAGCGGAAAATTCTCCGCTTTTTCTTTGGCATATATAGTTTTTGTCCCGGACCGTCGCGACGCTGGTCGTGCAGATGATGTCACGCTCCAGATTCATCACACTTCGACAGCTTCGACTTGGGGCCCCCGATGAACCTTTATATTCTCAGAAATCGCTAGCAACACTTTACAGAGTGTCCAAGTTCTGGCGCACCCTGCACGAGATATTCGTTATTGATCAATATCTAACACCTGTCTGTTTGTTCATCGTTCCAAGATGGTCGCGCACGACGGCACGTTCCGCATTTTGGTGGTGAACGCCGGAAGGTGAGCTATGCGATCGCATTTGGTCATCGTGGAGTTGCTTCCCGGTTCATTCAACTCAACCCCCTTTTTTCTGGCGCTGAATAGCTCGACGGTGAAGTTCCGGCTCTATGAACAGACCGGTTCCGACCGGAAGCTCCTGGCGAAAGGGTCAGGAGCGAAAATAGGTTCCTCGAAGTCAACCGTCAAAATCGAGGTGCAGGAAGACGCCAAGGCAGAAAGGAAGGCCGATACTCACGAAAACACAATCTCCGCCGACGAGGGTACCACCCATGATTCAGTCTTTCGCAAAATCATCCAATCTCTCGCCAAAACCTCGGGTTTGCTCGACCACGTAAAAGTTGTCGGGCATCGAGTCGTACACGGTGGTGCCAAGTTCAGCGATCCGGTGGTTCTGACGCACGAGACGGTATCGGCGCTGGATGAGCTTTCGGATCTTGCGCCGCTCCACAATCATCCTAGTGTAATGCTTATCAGGACCGCCCTGAATGTGGCGGATCTGAAAGCCGCGAAGCAGGTGGCGGTTTTTGATACACAGTTCCACAAAACGTTGGAGGAGAAGGTGTGGAGGTACCCGCTGCCGTATGATGCATGCAACGAGAGTGGTCTGCGGAAATACGGGTTCCACGGCATATCCTACTCCTACGTCTCCCGCGCCGCAGCCAAACATCTTGGCAAGCCACTCGAGCAACTGAAGCTCATCATCCTACATCTCGGCAACGGCGCTAGCGCATGCGCCATCAAACACGGCAAGAGCATCGACACCTCCATGGGCTTCACGCCATTGGAAGGGCTAATGATGGGTACACGAAGCGGCGACATTGACCCCAGCGCGCCATACCATGTCTCCTCTGACGCGTTCTCCGTCACGGAGAAAACACCTGCTGTCCCGGCTGCGCCAGACGGACCCAAGATCACGAAAGTGGAGGACGTTTTAAATCACAAATCGGGTTTGATTGGGATATGTGGGGAGAGTGACATGGGCAAGATCGTGAGTCTGGCTCAAGGGAAGGTGCTTTCGAAGGATGATGGTGATGAAGAAGCGAAGCGGAGGGCACAACTTGCCGTGGATATGTTTTGCGTAAGTAATCAGTCTTTCATCATCTGTTTCGATGGCACTCCTGGTTAAAATCATCTCCCCCTACTCTCTAGTATCGCGTGCAAAAGTACATCGGAGCATACTTCGTCGCGTGCGGCGGCGCTGACAGCCTCGTATTCACGGGCGGAATTGGGGAAAAGAGCGCGTACGTACGCTCACAGATATGCCATGGGCTCGAGTGTCTAGGCTTGCGGATTGACGAGGCGCAGAATGAGAAGTGTGTCGTTGATCAGGACAAGGTGGTTGAAATAGGCGAGGAAGGCAGTAGGTTGAGAGCGATAGTGGTAGCGACTGACGAGGAGGGCGAGATCGCAAGGCTTGCTGCAGACCTTTAGCTTGCCAGAAGTCTGTCTATATAGGAGTAGATTCTAGATTACACACGGGGCTTTCACCGCACGGCATCCACCGCGAGGGGAAGCTATAATTCAAACTTGTAATACCATCGTCTCCACAACAGGATCGATTATAATATGTCCTGACGCGTGATGCCTGCCGCTCGCCTTGGGAGCGACTGACAGGTCCACTGCAGTTTGCTTACATAGCAAACATTAAATTCATATCGACTCTTGGCTACACTCATTGTTACGCCGTCCGGGTGAAATACGACGCGACTGACGTCTGCTGCATCTGCTTCTGTCTGCCAGACGATGGCGTCGTTGTCGTAGACACAGATACCTTGGAAGTCGAGATGCGAGTACTGCGGCGGATTCCTTCCCTTGCGGGTGGCAAGGCCTTCTGTGGATGGGATGAGCAGTGAGCATTTGGGTAGCAGTTGTGGAAGGCTGTTTACCTCTTCAACTTCCTCCCTACTATCGTCCTCGCCAGTATCACTCGCACTGCTCTCTTCCGTTTCAGACTCATCCCCAGGCCGCCGCCGCTTGATCTTCTTCGCTGCACGCCCTCCACCAGCGGATCCCGACACTTTCGCAGCGCCAGGGTCAGCGGCCGCCCGCTTGCGTGTTTTTGGGACGGCGCCTGATCCTTCCGCACTCAGCAGACCAAACGCGCGTTTCAAAGTTGCTGGAACAGGAACCGTAGCGGCATTCTTCGCGGTGCGCGTGCCTTGCGTCCCCAGCATCTCCTCCTTAGTAACCCAGCGCAACTCTCGCGGCTCGTCCTCACCCGCATCGGGCAGATCCGCAGCAAACTCGTCATTGTCATCAACTACTGTCTTCTTCTTCCCTTTCCCCACATCTTTCCCTTTCAACTTCTTCCCCTTGACCGCAGCCGCCTTCTTTCCTGCTGTGCTCTTCCGTTTCGCTCCTCCTACAACCGGGGGCAGCGCTGTCGATACTGCGGGTAGCGGCCCCGTGACGACAATATGCTCGACATGCATGCTTCGTCGGATATGTGAAAACAAATGAACCGCAGACCCAAGATCCTTCCGCGACTGAATGCGGGTGGACCCCTCAAGGTCATCCTTTTCTTCGCTTTTGAGTCCGTCACCGGGCAACAGGTCGAGCCCTGCATTGCTAAGCAGCCAATCATCGATTGACGCTTGACGAATCTGGAAACTTGGTGACACTTGCGATTCTTCCACGTCGGGGCTTTCAAGGATCACCATCGGAAAGTCCCAAAGGTTCGCAAGAAGGCCTGTATCAAGATCGTTATACACCACGAGTAAGGTTGAGTGACACGATCTGGCGCCTACCTTTCTTTGGCCCCCGCATCAACAAATACCGAGACGGCCCCTGTTCCGGAACGTGTTCAAGGATACAAACGGCACATGCTAGGAAGGTTTCATTTCAGTTCTTCGCTCGGGATAGAGCAAACGAGGCATGTGTACCTTCGATCCGTGCGGCCTTCTTTACAGCTTTTGCGGGGTACCGGGTCACCCCTGCATCCTCGATATCGGTCAGCGGTGGGCATGCATGACAAATGTCTTTCGTTCCACAATATCAGCAGTTGACGACAACTCAGTCTCCGCTGAAAGTGATGCACGAGCTCTCAGCCACAGACCTTCCATCTCCACGGTTGGCGGATCTTGTCCCTTCGCCTTGCCGAACTTCTCCTGTGCCAAAATCTTGATCGCTTTCGTCTGGGAAAGGGTGGACGTCGCGAACCCAGCCAGTGAGCGGAATTTCTGGGAGTTGTTCACGATCCTCCCTACCTCTGCATGCGCATGACAGAATGCTTTGATCGGGCATCGTCCACATTCAGGGTTCTGTGGCGTGCATATGGTTGCGCCCAGATCCATCAACGCTTGATTGAAATGTCCTGGCCGGTCCACATCTAGTACGTTTTTTGCTAGTGACCTGCTACAAATTTCAGCTTGGGAAGACATCAAATTCCATAGAACCAACCCAACATACCAATGCGTAGTTATCGATTCCTTCAATTTGGGATCCGCGGCAAGCGCCCGCAAACGGGCTACAGGAGGAAGCAAATCAATGACTATCGCCACGGCACGCGGTAGGCAATGGCTGTACCGATTCCGGATGCTCACATAGCACGCGCACAACATTCCCATCCACCAGAGGCGCAGAAACATTGTAGGCAATCGATGCCACGGCGCCTGCCGTGTAAGGGCCTATCCCGGGGACCTCCTTCTCCATTGCGGTCGGGTCGGAAGGTAATCGTCCGTTGAACTTCTTCACGACCAGCTGCGCTCCTTCATGAAGCCGGCGAGCTCGTGAATAGTAACCTAGTCCGGCCCATGCATTGTGCACGTCCTGAACATCAAATAAGTGGATAGTCTGAGCATTTCTTCCCCGAGATTCTGCTCCAGCTGACCTCTCCATCGGCTTCAGCCAACATGAATATCGTAGGCCACTGTGCCATCCATCTACGTTCGCGATGGAGTTAGGGCCCGCTGTTCTGCCGGATAAAGGCCGAAAAATCACCAACCACACCTCTTGTAGAACGGGATCACGGTTGCCACTTGGGTTTGTTGCAACATAATCTCAGACACCCAAACTAGTTTTGCAACTCCGTTAATTGCTCGCGCTGGCAGGTACGTGTTCAAACCTACCTTCGTAGGCACGCTGCGCCAAATCCTGTTTCTGCGGTACTTGTACTTTCTCGCCAAGTCCCTAAGAACGTCCGCTGTTGGCATCATACATTCTCTCTCTCTGAGACGAATTGAGACGTACGGACAGACATGTTTGCTCCCGATGGAAGGCGCCAAGGCATGATGCGCTGCTCGGCGTCGTACCATGCCAGCAGCTCGTTGCGAAGAGCCACCTTCTCCGCGTCATCCAGAAACCGATGGCGGGCAGTTGCGTGGGAGGCGGTTGCATCCACACGAGCACGTTTCAGCGTAGCGATGGCCTCGTCTAGTAATCGAGAGGCGTCTCTGCAGGTCGCGGGATTCGTCATGACTGGGTGGTGTGTCAAGATTTCGCTAAGGTGCTGTGTAGAGTTCTGCTGCCCTCCCGAATTTAGCAAGGAGAGCCTTTCAAGGCGACGTCGGTGAGTGATGATGGCGTGGAAGCTTCGCCTGCATGTGCATGTGAATGTGCAGGCCTGCCTGGTCAACGATGCCCGCGCGAAAGTGTTCGGACAAGGGACGAGCCGTGCTCTTCTGATGGCGAGCTCAGCGTTTGCCTGCACATGTTAGACGCGACCCGTCATTCCTGTGGCCACCCGTCTGAAAGTTCAACACCTCCGCGATCCACAAACTGTATACAGTACTACTCCATCGGGCTCAGCATCGGGCTGTCGAGAGGTCGATGTGGAACGCATTGCAACGCAGCAGTTTGCTTGCGCTAGAGGACATGGAATGTCCTACTTTACGACACATGAAGTGATCGTATACCGACTCGTACGTCCTATGGTTATACAGTAACTTACAATGGCCAGAAGACGCACGGACGGACCACGGATTTAGTTACAACTTGCAGAAGCCGGGAATTGCCGGCGTCCGCGGTGTTGGGCAGTTTGGGCAGCCAACCAACTGGAGCGAGTGATGATTTTCGGAACCGGTCTTCCGGTGCCGCCGCGTTCGTGAGGCGCCTTAGGGAAACTCGTCCTCTTAGTGAAGACGGGAGATTGACAAATCTGTCCACTGGGACTTCCTAAGGACGCCATACGCTCCCATATTACACTCGGTTATTAGCACCCTCGGTAAACGCAATTTGCAGCAAGGTTCTTTCCCACAGACACTTTTAGAAGAGATAGTTCTAGTACCATACGCAAACAGGAACCCTTCCTGACAGGACCCACGCTTCACAGCTTGACAAACCTACGTCTGGCAGTCTTGTAAAAACGCGGGACATAGGGACCTTTCAATTGCCTTCAGACAGTGATAGCAGAGAGCTTGGTTGGCCTTGTTACGTGGCTTAGGGTTAAAACAACGGTCCCGTACTTGTGCAACGGTCGCCAACGAGTTTGCGGACGTCGTCCGAAATGCCTGCAAATCAACAGCTCTTCGATTCGGACGCATCCTCTTTGTCGGACTTGAGCGACTCCTCCGCTTCGTCGGCCTCTCCCCCAAAGAAACCTGCTGCAAGGAAGACCAAGGCCGCAGCAAAAGGAAAACGCGGCGCCACGCACAACAGTAAACCATCGATTGGCGCCAGTAGCGAAACGGCAGGAAAGGGAAAGAAAAATGCGGGAAAAGGTCGCGGGGCCGCCGCATCATCGACTAAACCGGGACCAAAGACGAAAACGACGAAAGCCAAATCGAAGGCATCCGGCGGCGCCTTGCATACCGATGGGCAGCTCTACTGCATATGCAGGACTGAGTACGATGGCAAACAGTTCATGATAGCCTGCGATAGGTGTATGGAATGGTATCATGGAAAATGTGTTGGCATCAAGCCTGCATCCGCCAAGAAGAAAAAGACGTTCATCTGTGCCGAATGCGAAGTCCCAGCACCAGAAGAATCCGACAGCATGGAACTGCATTCTACGCCATTAGTAGGGAAGACACCTGGGAAGACTACGGGGAAAGGTCGCAAGGGAATACCAGGGAAATCTCAAAAGTCTGTGCTGGCGATGGGCGCTGCAGGTGCGGCGCTATCCGAAGACGATATCTGCGTGCTCTGCGACGGAGAGTGTACTTGCAATGGTGCACCAGCTGTCGTAGAGGCTCCCACAGTTTCTGCGACGTTACCTCCCGCGGTTGCATGCAAGGTCCCATCGAAATCTACCCCGGCAGCTGCAGTAATACCCACTCCACCAGCAACGGCATCCAAAGCGAAAGGTGGAAAGGGACGGGAACATCTACCTGAAGATCCTCCGAAGACCGTAGCGAAGGCCAAAGGCAAGGCGAAGGGAAAAGCCACTGCGAAGGCAAAGCCCGTAAAGAAGAACTCGTTACGGAAAGGCGTTTTGAGTCCGGAAATAGCGTCTGTGGTGGTAGCTTCTATCCCGCAGATGCCAGTTGGGGAGGCGAGGATGAACTCTATGCTCGATTTCGACGAGAATATCTTCAGCTCGGATGAAGAGGGTGACCGTACCGTGTTTGCACGTCGCGAATCCACGCAATCCGATGCCGACAGTGAACAGCTCGCATCGGGGAATTTTGGCGACATGTTGGGCGATGGGGACGATAGCGACGGTGAAGGCGGAGACGCCGGGTCGGAGCAACATATACCATGGGGTTCAGACCAGAGACTATTGGGATGGAGCGATTCCGATGACGAAGATGAAGAAGAGAGCGAACACGATGTCGAAGAATCGTCTGGATCCACCTCATCGTTCGAATCGTCGGGCTCGGATGAAGACAGCGACGACGAGGAAACTGAACAACCTCAAACAGTCAGCGATCCACCCGGCGGCGCGCTCAACGAGATGGAACCAGACGGCATGTTTGTGGACGATCTAGTGGCCACTCGGTTCTCCTCATTGACGGCTATGGACGAATCCGCAACCGACGTTCCTGTTAAAACCGAGAGCGCCATTCCCCTTCTCGAAGACGAGGTGATGATGTTGGACGATCCGATGGATCTGGTGCTCGACACGGTTACAGACCTGGACTTGAGCAAACTGCTCAACGACTTCAACCTCGATCTGGACTCTCTGAACGATTTGAGCGTGCTGACGACCACCGATATGTTCACGGGGGACGTGTTACCACCCGAGTTAGACTTCTTTGGTGATGCCACCATTATCAAAACCGAAGGTAATGCAATACAGGGCATGGATATGGTGTCCGACATCAGTCAGATCAAGCACGAAGCGACCGCCGCAGACCTGTTGAACGTGCAACAGTTGCCGGCACCATCAGCACCGTCAACCTCCACTGTCACCACGCCGGTCACAGTAGTCCCACCACCTTTGCCGTCTCAACCAGAAGATCCTAATGCACCAAAAACCATTTCATTCGACTTCAAGAGAGACGACGTCAACGCCAATGGCGAGATCGTCACAACGACAAAGACAATGGTTTTCTCGTATCCCCCGGATGACAAAGGCGGGCCAGTCAAAACGGGCGGTGGGAAGGTGAAGCGGAAGCCCACGATGACTATGAAACGGCCGGCAACAGTAAGCCGGACGGCAAGCATTTCGGACGCTGGCACAGCAACCGCAACCAACGACGCCAGTTCCTCGTCGAAGCCTTTGACGGCTGTGAAGAAACCGGCAGGAAAAGTTGCTCTGGCTCCAGCCGTGCAAGCCACACCAGCCGCTTCACCGTCCACCGCAGCCCCAATTGCGTCCCTTCCATCCTCTGCCGCCCTATCGGCTGCAATCTGGTCTGCCATGACAAACTCAAATCGCAGCGCATCTATTACACCATCATTTGCATCCACCTCCGCATCAATATCACAACCCACCTACACGCAATCTCACACATCAACTGCAGTACCCGCATCATCCAGCATTGCCCCATCATCACTCACAACCGCAACATCGATACCCAGGCCACTTTCCGTCGCGAATAGCAGCACCTCGGTAACGTCAACATCCCTGCCGGGGACCAGTAAAGGGCCCACCCTTGGCCTTTCTGGTGCTGCCTTACCATCATCATCCGCTACGAAGCCCTTGTCGAAAGCAGACCTGCAAAAGCTCATGGAGAGCGTCGCTTTGAGTGCCAAGATGAAGGCAGCTCAAGCCGCGCTGGCCGCCGCATCTGCCACGGCGTCCAAACCATCCGCGACATCCGGAACCACCCCTTCATCCACGTCTATTCCGTACACAACCTCGGCGTCGCTGGCAGCTGCCACGAATTCGATCTTGCAAGGTGGTTTGTTTAGCCGTGGCTTTGCAGGGGCGGCTGCCGCTGCTGCTAGCAATCCGCAGGCGTCGAGCACAGCCGCGGCCGCTGCGATCAACCAGAATAAACCTGCAACAAGGACATCGACTTCTACTCCCACTGCATCATCCGCTTCGATGAGTAGACCATCAACTCCAGTGACGCAACCGCTGTCCACAACCGGCCCACTGACGATGCCTTCGCTCTTACCGTTCGATTTCCCGAAAACAGTCGAGGAGCTAACGAGGATTTTCAGTTCTCCGAACGTCGCTGCTGCTGCGGCGGCTTATGCTGCCAGTGTCGCCAATAGCCTAGCTGCAGCAGGGAACTCGACCGCGGCGGCGGGAAAATATACCGCTCCAACTCCTGCTGCATCGCACCTGACAAGGTTGCTCGCGCCTAGCCCACTGAGCTCTTCAGCGTCATCAACACCGAGTCAGACGCCGTTAGCATCCAAACCTGCGATGGGGATGAATGCAAGCACCTACAACGGGGTAACTGGAAGTATTGGTGTCCCTTCTCCGTCGAGTCTCACAGAAGCGGTCCTGGGTCTGCACAAGTTCAACTATTCCCCAACGATATCGCCGAAACCAGCAGCCCCGACTCCCAATAGCAGCTTCCAGTCGCAGACACCCACGACCAATTCTTCCACGCCCTCCAATCCAAGACCGGCAGCCACGCCAAACGGGTTGCCTACAGGATTGTCAGGCAGCCAGAAATCAAGCCCGGCACCGCTCAACTTCAGTTCATCAGCATCGTTTTCGTCGACGGCCGCATTTGCGGCGTTGGTACAGCAGGCTTTAGCAAATCCAGCAGGTCTGCAAGTTCAGCAACCTCGGAAACAAGAGCATGTTGCGCCGCCTGCAGCGGTCGCATCATCGTCTTCCGTAACGCCCATGGTCATCGACGCGGTCCAACCTGCTGCGGTTCAGGCAGGGAATATGGCGACCACGGGCCCGGCGCCGATCCCCACAGCTGCTCCGAAAATCGCGATTCCCGCTCCGGTGCCGGTTCGTTCCCAGAGGTCGCAGCGTAAGATGTCCGCAGAGTCCATGTCGCTCGATGACATCCTAGACATCGACCAGTTCATGAACGATCCCGATGCCACGACACCCACGAACGGAAGCGGCTCACCAGGAGCATCTTCTGGATCGTCGACCGACGCGGCATCCACCGCTCCAGCCCCAGACCCCGACCGATGGCGCAAGATCCCCATAACGGCCTTCCGCCGCCGCACGGAACGTCGATTCGCGATTGAAGGGGCAATCAAGGAGTCTGCAAAGGCCACGTTCAATCAGACCCTTGGAACAGGGATGGCGGTAGTGGATGCTGGCGGCAGTGGCGCGGAGCTGGATATGGCGACTGACCATATGGACCCCTGTGGCGGGCCATCGCAGGCGCCGAGACACGGTCACGGCAACCGGTCGAGTTTGCGGAGGAGGCGTCAGTCGGTGAATGTTGAAGGGCTCTCTGGTGCAGGACAGACTATGGGTGTGCCGAAGAAGTCGAGCAAGCGGAGGAAAAAAAAGTGATGGAGTTTTGGTGACACGTGGATAGGACGGTTAGAATGCTTAGTGTACCGGGGGAGTATCCTTCACAGCTTGTGGTAGCTTTTCCCTTTTCTCCTCGTGTAGAGTATGCAGAAGAGTTATATACCCATTAGCCCTATAGTTGTAACAATCCATAAGCAGATGTTCAATACTGGGTGCCGCCGTCAAACTTCGTACAGCCGTTGCGGTATCCACACGTGGCGCGATGCCCCATGCTGCAGGGGATAACAGTCTGACGTGAGGTCAGTAGTACCACCTGAAGTGTGGGTGCCGTAGTAGACAGTCGGATGTGTCTTGGGGACTCGGGAGGCAGATTTGCCGTTCGGAAGTTGTGATGGCCGTCATCTTGAAAGTCTTGAAAGCTTGGACAGCTGGAAAGTGTCAAGCAACTTGAAGCAAGCCACGCGCCAACGTCCAGATCCCTCCATTTCGGTTCCATACGCTCGCAGCATTATTCTGGTGCACACCACCCAAGCCATGACATATCAATATACCGAGGCTCAGTCGGCAGCGTCGGAAGCAGCAGCAGCCGCCGCCACTGCCCCAGCGTTCCCCACCAAAACGGTCCAAACGACGGTTAATGTCACCGTCCCAGCTGGAAAGCCTTCCAACCTTCTCAGCATCCCGACAACCATCATTCACACGCAGTTTGCCAATAGGATTATGATAACGATATCGCAGGTCGGAACTATTGGGTGTCTGGTGAGTAGGCACGGGGCGTAGGGAGAGAATTCCAACTCGTGAACGGATATGATCGCACACAGGATGGTAACTCTCCCCCACTAAATTACCACTCCTTTCCACAGCTCGAAGCAACTCGCGACACGACGACGGCAGCGACGGCAACGACAAACCTTTCTGCGTCCACCAGCACGCAAGCCTCCTTCGTCGGGCCAACTTACACTGAAACCGCTTCCACACAACCCCTCCCGCCACCACCACTGGTCGGCGTTTCCGTGCGGCCACTGCTGGGCACCGCACGGACATCTGGCGAGGGTCTGCTGCATCAGGTGTATGCATCGCATATCCTGCAACGCATGTGCGCAGCGCGGCCGGGGGAAAAGAGAGGGTTAGTGTTGGGGATCGCGTTGGAGAAGCTGCCGGCGGCAGCGGCGGAGGATGGGGACGATTTGGCTGACGGGGAGGAGTTTGACGATGAGGAGGGTGGGATTGGAGCAGCGGAGAGAGCGATGTTTGAGCAGATTATGACGGCGTGCGCTGGGATCGGCGTATGGTGAATGGATGAGCTTCTATCCTATAGCTAGCTCAGCTGTGCGTTGAGAGATTGTTATCTCTCGAGTGGTTTGACCAGGCGCTACCATACGCATATCTTAGAAATGAAGTCTTTGCTGGTCTAATCCAAAAATCGGCCATGGTAATTCATAAGCAGAAGTGATATACCCATGTACGTGCGGTGGATGCGCTGGTGCCCTCATGTCTACGCTCGATACCTCCATCTACAAAATAACTGCCTGCCATGACGACGAAATCTACCCCGACAGTCCCTTTACCCCACCGCCTTCCGGTTCGTCCGCTTCCTCGCCAGCAACCTCACTCTCCGTGAAAATCACCTCGCGTATCCAATCGAGCTGCTCCTGCGTGAACACCGACCCAAAGGCCTTGCTAGCCTCAGTCCCTATGGCCACATCTGCTACCGCGTCTTCCACGTTTATGCACTCCCCCAACCGCTCAATATCCTTGTCCAGTCGTTGCAGTCCGTTGCGCGCCTGCAATTGCGCTACTGGTGTGTCAGGCCGTCGGGAGCGCTCGTACAATTGCCTGGCATGTTTCATCGCTCTTTGCGCCCACTGGTATCCTACAGCCGCCCCATTCCCACCACCTTCCTCCCGCTTCGCTGCCGCAGCCGCGCACGCCTCCAACATGCCACTTAACACGACAAACGCCTGCGGATCCGCCGGCCGGGCGGCTAGATACGCCCGTAGTCTATCCACACATTCGCCGGGCGCCGAACCAGCGCGCATCAGCACCTCTGCGCGAAACAACAGATGGCCTGGTTCTTTCGACAAGTTCAGTCCCCGGGTCGCTTCAGCGGCGTCGGCGGCGCGGTTCAATTTGAGCAGACATCGTCCGGCGATCTCCAGGACCTCGGTCTCTTTCAAAGGTTTCCTTTGCGGTTTCGTTTTTGATGATGAGCTGGATGGCCGTGCGTCCCCCGTGTTGTTGGAGTCCCCGAGATCTCCGCCCCGATTGATTTTCAGATACATCTCAGCGAGTTCGAGCGCTGCAGAGTAGTTCTGACCGACGTAGTGGTGCTCCATGCTACTGATAAGTTGATTGGGTCCTAGCTTCAAGCTATACAGAGCAGTCACCGCCGGTGCAAGGTCTCCCGTCGCATTCGGTTGAGGCTGAAACCACTGCGGAGAATTATTAGCGACCCGTTCACTTTCACTTTGCGGACCCTTTGACCTTGCCCGCACGGCCACCCTTCACCCACCCTAACGGAGCGGAGTTCGGACCAACAACTTCCGGAAAAGATAACTCACCCCGTCGTACGTAGCCCGCATTCTGTACTCGCGGTCGATGAAATGACGCTGCTTCTTTGGCGCCACCTCCTCAGCGTCGACTATGGATAGCAGCCATTCATCCTCAGCTGTGAATTGGAAAAGACCATGACTCTCGGCTGCACTTGGCGGTGGTGCACCGTTTGTTTTCGAGATTGTTTCGGACGAAGACCCTGCTGACTCTGCTGGTGCAGTATCTGTAACAGCGGTCATACTGAATGCGTCGTAGCCGATAGCTAGTACTTTTGGGAAGTTGAGAAAAACGACCTCCTCAAAGGCTGCGAGTCGAAAGTGGTGACCATCGCGTTCCCGAGAGCAAACAAAGGGTTGAGATTAAAACGCGTTTAAAAGGCGCACATGGCTTGGACGCACGGGAGTGCAGTTGATACTGGGGTTTGGAGTTCGCGCTTTCGTCGGATTGGTACTAGCAACGAGCAAGGCTACTATTCGAACACCTGGTAAGTATACAGCGGCGGACGACGACAGAGGTACAGGCAGGACAACAGAGCAGGCGACGGCCGACATGTAGGGCGACGAATCGACGAATCGATGGATGGATGGATGAATTTGTGCCGCGGTGATGGATGGATGGATGACGAATGAACATGTCATGGAGGATCAGAGACGAATTGCGAAATGGAAACCGAACATAAGAGGGAGGATGCAGAGAGGAGGGCAGGAGGAGGCGAGGAGTAACGGCAACGGCAGAGGATTACTATGAACCCGGATTTCCTAATTCTATGTTTCCGTTCTTCGCCGTTCCAGCGCTGTCGTACCCTTACTCTTTCGACAGTTCTCCAGTTTGACGAGCCAATTTGCAACCATGAGCAAGGTTCCCGCCGTTCTCAATGCCACCGAGCAGGAGGTCCAGTCCATGTTGGCTGCCCAGGTACTTATTTTGCGACGACGCATACCCGATTGTGGGGGAAGATGGATTTGGAACTTGGAGTTGACGAGGGATCTCTCTGTATACTAGACCCACATCGGAACCAAGAACTTGGACATCCAGATGAACCCCTACGTGTGGAAGCGCCGTAACGACGGTATCCACATCATCAACATTGGCAAGACCTGGGAGAAGCTTGTCTTCGCCGCCCGTATCATCGCCGCCGTCGAGAACCCCGCCGACGTCTGTGTGATCGCCGCCCGCCCTTACGGTCAGCGTGCCGCCTTGAAGTTCGCCCAGTACACCGGCGCTCAGGCCATCGCCGGTCGTTTCACCCCCGGTACCTTCACCAACTATATCACCCGTACTTTCCGTGAACCCCGTGTCCTTTTGGTGACCGACCCCCGCACCGACCACCAGGCCATCAAGGAGGCCTCGTACGTCAACATCCCCGTCATTGCCTTCTGCGACACTGACTCTCCCCTCAAGCACGTCGACGTTGCTATCCCCACCAACAACAAGGCCAAGCACGCCATTGGTCTTGCTTACTGGTTGTTGGCCCGTGAGGTCCTCCGCATCCGTGGAACCATCGCTCGCTCCAGCCAGTGGGACGTTATGGTTGACATGTTCTTCTACCGTGACCCCGAAGAAGCTGAGAAGGAGGCTGAGGCTGCTGCCGCCGCCCCCGAGAAGTTCGGTGGTGAGGCCGCCGCTGGTGACTGGGGAGCCGAGACTACCACCGCCGCCCCCGCTAACCTTGAGTGGGAGGCCTCTGGAACTGGTGTCGCTGACGTTGCTGCTCTCGCCTCTGCTCAAACCGGTGACTGGGCTGCCTCCACCGGCGAGTGGGGTGCGGAATAAGCGCTGGAGTCGACGAATTTGGCGACCTCACGACTACGATTCCCCGACGCACTGTATAGACGGATTGGCTTGTAATTCAAAATATGACGACGCCGTGTGTGCACAGATTCTTATTTATCTCATCATCAGCTGTTGCAAATAAACATGTGAGGATCGCCGACTATCGCGGGCTTCCTGGTTACTAGTCGTATTATGAGGGACTAGATGAAGGGATGTGATGGGGAACAAGAACATGGAGAAAGGATGTTGGAAGGGCAGATGACTATTATGGTCGGGATGGGTATAGGAGTTGGTCCTTCGTGGGATTGGGGGTGGTCGGAAGGCACTGGAAACACATCGGTTCCCGGGTGGACGAGTTCCTTGGGCTGATGAGTGATGGTCGTGTTCGCGCTGTTGGGTTGGTTGTGTGAGGTGAATGGGGCCGGCGACTTTTGCTCATGGACTATCAAACCGCTGTCTATTACAATCCAAGTCCGTTCTGCCGTCCCATGAGAAATGACATGCATATCAACTCCGTTTGAACAGCCTCCGCTTAGCTTCCTGTATAGACACATTCTCCACCTCAGGCTGCGCTTGCAGTTGCTCCTGCACCTCAGATGCGGCGTTTGTGTCGTTTGGCCGGAATATGAACTGGTTCTCGAGTTCACCTATCGGACCCTGTTGTGCGTAGGAAACAAGTCGTCAGTTTGCAAAACGCGTCGAGTTGCGATGGGAGGGAACGAATATTCGGCTACGAGAGAAGGGAACGAGTAGGACTTACGATGTAGGTGAGCCCAAGCCGCTGCGCTAGCGCTTGGGCGTCAACGTCTGGTTTCGTTTTCACTGCGAGATCGCCTTTGTGTGGGAGAAGGAGAGCGAAGGGCGGTAGTGATCAGCACCTTATGGCCGGAAACGATCGCCGGACAAAAGTTTTCCACCTCGATCTTACCGTTTTGCACTGGTGTGGGATGGTTGGGCATGCTTGCAGGGTTGCCCTCGTGGTGTGGTGTCTGCACAGTTAACCCCTGCACGAGTTGGTGCAATTCAAAGTGGTTTTGACGGAAACAGTCGTTTTCGCACTTAGTGGCGTTAGAGTTTGGAGCCCGCGATATTTTGGGTTGGAGGACGGCGACAAGGTGAACCTCCCTCAAAACCCCCATTAGCACGCTTATGTGTCATGATCATGAATATTCGAAAGGCGATACTTTGAAAGGCTCTCTACGGACTCTACGGCTATGGTTCAGGGTAACAGACGCCTAAGGGCAAGAGCAAGACCTAAACACTCAAGAGCAAGACCTAAACATTGACTTCCGACTGCTTGACACCTTTGGCAAGGCGATCCTTATACCTCTCAAGCGCCGTCTCAACGTCAACCTTGAGGAATTTGTCGACCTGCTGCGGCGCACGGCCGACAAAGGTGGAGGGGTCCATCAACTCATCCAGACGAGACACGATGGGCGCAAAGTACGGGGTCTTCTTGATACGTTCGATGAGATCGTTCTCACGCCCGTGCTCCTTGACTTCGCGCGCTGCCTCGTGGGACAACACGCGGATCTGTTCGTGGCATTCCTGCCTGTCACCTCCACCCTTGACCATGGCCATGATGATGTTCTCGGTGGCCATGAAGGGCAGCTCTTGTGCGATGCGGCGTCCAATGACGGAAGGGTAGACGACGATGCCCGTGACGATGTTGTGAAGGACGGAGATGATGATGTCGGCGGTCAGGAAGGCCTCGGGGATGGAGATGCGGCGGTTGGCAGAGTCGTCGAGGGTTCGCTCCAGCCATTGCGTCGCGGCGGTGGCGTGGGTGTTACCGACAAGCGTCATGAGATGGCGGGCGAGGGAGCAAACTCGTTCGGAGCGCATGGGGTTACGCTTGTAAGCCATTGCCGAGGATCCAATCTGGTCCTTCTCGAATGGCTCCTCGAGCTCTTTCAGGTGTGCCAAAAGACGGAAGTCGGTTGCGATCTTGTGCGCCGACGCACCGAATGAGGAGAGGGCGTTCAAGACGTCGAGATCGACCTTACGGGTGTAGGTCTGACCGGTGACAGGGTAAGCAGCAGGGAAACCGCTCATCTCTGTGACGAGATCATCCAGCTGTTCCACCTTGTCGTGGTCTCCGTCGAAGAGGGCCAAGAACGAAGCCTGTGTTCCCGTAGTGCCCTTCACACCGCGGAACCTCAAGTCATCCCGAGCCCTTTGAATGTTACGCAGGTCATGAAGCAGATCCTGCAGCCACAGGCAAGCACGTTTACCGACCGTCGTCAATTGCGCCGGCTGGAAGTGAGTGAAACCCAAGGTGGGCAGAGCACGATGCTCTTTAGCGAAGCTTGCCAGCTCCTGGACTACGGCGGCCAACTTGCCGAGGAGAATATCCAAACCATCGCGCATCATGATCAGCTCCGAGTTGTCAGTGACATAGCACGACGTGGCACCCAGATGAATGATGCCTGCAGCGGTGGGCGCTGCGACACCGAACGTGTGAACGTGGGCCATGACATCGTGTCGCCTACGCTTCTCCTCAGCGGCGGCCATAGTGTAATCGATAGGCTGCTGGGCGGCCTTCTCCATCTCGGCGATGGCTTCCTTCGTCACATCCTTGAGACCAAGCTGTGCTTCAGCCTTTGCGAGAGTAATCCAAAGCCGCCGCCATGTTCCAAACTTCTTGTCGTCAGAGAAGTTGTATGCCATCTCCGCAGACGCATAGCGGGATGTTAGTGGGGATTGGTATCTATCGTGGACACTCATTCTGACGTCCTATCGAATCAAAACTACATAAAACACAGAGCGCGAGTTAGCGTTGGATTTCACTCACACTTTACACGACAGCCCACCTTTGATGTACTTTTCGTGTTTTCGAGTCTGATGAGGTGAAGTCCGTCGGGAGTTCTCGGCGTCTTTTATTGGGAGAATTGTGACTGAAACGTGAGAATTGTGGAGTCCGAGTGAAAGTGAAGTGAGTGAGAGCCACGCGCGAAAGATCGCATCAAAGAAGTCAAAGATCCCATCAAATAAATCACACGTGAGCCGGGACTGCAAGATTTTAATGGCTCTCCTCCAAGTGCTGTTTGTACACAATTGCAACGACCTGCAACAAGATATGCGTATCCAATTATGCTCTGGCATTGCTTTGTCCTTGAAGAAAGCCTAAGCAATGAGCTGATGGATTCGAGAAACAAATGACAGAAATGGAGTTGGGATGACCGAGATGGCAATGGGAAAAGCAACCAGAGCAGGCCCGTGGGAAGACCGCGCACGAAGGACCGCCATATCATGATCATCTTCCGTCGTACTGGTACTGTAGTTGTGTGGATGAACGTAAGAAGGGTGAAGGCAGTGGCTGACCATAAAGTGATGCTGGAAGCCCACGCTTGGAGCGCTTGGGGGATTGCAGGGGGATTGGAGGAAGGCGCTCAGCGCTCACATTCGGCAGACGCGGGTCCGTCGCGAGGGCAGTACACAACTCCGCCGACGCTTTTTCCACAGCTCCTTTTTTCAGCATTCCTTTGGGGAATGGCGAAACCACACACACCCAACTGACCTGAGACTTTGTGGGATAACTAAAACAGGTATGAGGAGCAACACTAGCTGGTCTGTTGGACAAAGTAATTACTTACCGCGGACTTTTACCAAGCAGAACTCCTGGAAAGCGCCAACCCCCAAACAACGTGCTACTAGCAAGACGTTTGCCAACAGCGTCAGACACGTCTTGAAATTCAGGCCCTCCAACCATCAGGTATGGCAAAGGGTTGGGGAAAATTTCAGCCCGGGGACTCTCAAACTGACTTGGGGAAGGCTTCTCTAGATGCGTCGTCAAACCCGTAAACAACTCTCAGAGCTGCGTACCGCAGCGGCAAAGGAACGGGAGACTCATGTGTTCTGTGACATATGGAATAGAGTAACAGATGCTCCCTGCACAAAACCTCCCCTTCGTCGCCGCAGTGCTGCTGCAAAAGTTATTGGGCAACAGTACATGGAATTGAGCCCAGAGGTACGCTCCTGGCTAAAAGCTTCAGAAGGTGGCTTCTCCCTCCGACCACCGGCCAATGAACTTGAGGATGCTGTCCCGCTGTATGGATGCCGGAAATGCATGGTCAAGGTCCGAACGGCGCGGTGCACTATCAACTCACTTGAGGCTGATTGTTTTGGGCCGGCCTCGCGATGCGCTGACAAACTCCGACGGCACTCCCCCCAGCGGTGACGGCGCTCCTCACCCCACCGGCGGGGACACTCCTCCCCCCAGGTCCCCTGGCTACACTGCCGGGCCCCCTCCCACAGTGCGCACTCAACGTAGTTTTGACCCGCTGCCCATCTCAGAAATGCGTCGATACAAGCGCCACCTTGAGCCTGAGTTTGTGTTGGATGCCCCCACCGCCTCAGCTCGCCGATCCCGGACCACATCGGCTGCCAGTGTTATTCAGACGTTGATGCCAAAGCCAGCTGATGATCCCGTGGAGGGAGCATTCTGGGGTGCCATTGTCGCTGCCGAGGAGGAGACTGCGGATGAAGATGCCGTGGGTGAGGAGATTGACGCCCAGATCAATGTTCCTGATCCCGCAATGGATGTTGATGCTACTCAGCGTGTGGAGCGAAGTTATGAACAGAGGCTCGGCCTTCTGAACCTCCTCCCGTTCAAGGATCATCATGGGCATCTTCAGCACCCTGTCGGACACATGGAGGAGTTCATTGTCCATATGAACATAAGGTGCGATGGGCTGTTTGACGCAAAAATGAAGTTGCTCGGGGGCCTCAAACCCGAATGGCAACCAGGAACGATGGATAGAAAGCGTCGCCATGTCTTTGTCTCTATTCTTATGGATCTGAGCTTCCGTTATAGCCGTGATAACTACCTCCAGCGCTGGATGTCAGCCCAGCTGGAGATGTCGAATGTTAGCACTGACCAGCAAACAAAGATCGCTCGAGTTGGACTTGCGCTGGTGCCGCAGCATAAGACGGTTCGCGCAGAGAAGCTCATTGCTGTTATGCACGACGCGCCCATACCATAATCTTACCTACTGACAGCCGCCAATGTCAAACGCCAATGTCGAACGCCAATGTCAAACGCCAATGTCAATGTCAATGTCAATGTCAATGTCAATGCCAATGTCAATGCCAATGTCAATGCCACTCCCCCTCTCTCCTCTCATTTCGCCAATCCTCCCGCAATATCGCCACTCCTCCTCTCTCCTCTCATTTGGCCAATCCTCCCGCAATATTGCCACTCCTCCTCTCCCCTCTCATTTCGCCAATCCCCCATTCGCCGCTCCTCCTCTACCCCACCCATCTGTGAGCCAATCTCCGGCCATTTGTCAATCCACCCAGTACTTCTCCACAGCCAGCAGCTGTAGCTTGCTCTCTATGCCTGCTACGCTCGCTCTAGGCTAGGGAGCAGAGCTGGCGCTCACTCAGTCCCCTCTTGTTGTTGTCTTTGGTCTGCTGAGTTGTTTATCTATAAATAGCCGCCCCCTCTTCGTCCATTCCCTTCCTCCCTAGCAGATCAACACCAGTTCTTCTCATCTCTTGTTCTAGTCCTTGTCTCTTGTTTTGCCAATACAATCTCCTGTTGCCCATCGCTCTCGTGTTATGGACGAGGCGCCCATACCATAAGCTTACCTACTGACAGCCGCCAATGTCAACCGCCAATGTCAAACGCCAATGTCAATGTCAAGGTCAGTGTCAATGTCAGTGTCAATGTCAATGTCAATGCCACTCCCCCTCTCTCCTCTCATTTCGCCAATCCTCCCGCAATATCGCCACTCCTCCTCTCTCCTCTCATTTTGCCAGTCCCCCCTCGGCTTCTCCACACCCCCCACTACTTCCCCATAGCCAGCAGCAGTAACAATGCTCTCTACGCTCGCCATGCACGCTCTAGGAGCATAGCTGGCGCCCCCCCCATTCCCCTCTTGTTGTTGTTGTTCTCTGATCTGCTGGGTTGCCTATCTATAAATAGCCGGCCTCTCTTCGTGTTATGAATGGGCGGAGCCGAGGGAAATAGAGGCGACTTGTGGTGCAGGTTGTTGACAGGTAATGGTATTCAGACCGAAACAAGAACTAGAACAAGACTAGGAAGAACTGGTGTCGATCTGCTGGGGGATCAGGAAGTGGGGAGCTCAGGGGAGGCGGCTATTTATGTTTTTCTGGGAAGGCTGGGGAAGCGTGGGGAAGCAGAAGGGTACGGAATGAGAGGGAAGCCAAGAGAAGCGCCAAGGGTGGGGAAGCATAGAAACAGAAGACTGGGGATGGGGTGGCTACGCTGAGGCTGTGGGCGGGTACGTGGGGAAGTATGGAGAAGGGTTTGTAAGCGCCGAGTGTTGGGAGGTGTGGCTACGTGCGGCTGCGTGGAGAAATGAAGGCAGTGGCAGGTGTGGGGTAGCGCGGCTGCGTGCGGCTGCGAGGTTTGGCAGATGTCAGGTTTTGACAGGGAATTGACATTGACTGACTGTTGGGATGCTGTCATGAGGTAAGCGCATGGTATGGACGCGTCGTCTATAACATCACCCCCTCCTTTAGCCACGGCGTCCGGATGTTGTTTTGATGTTGGCAGGCTTTGGTCGGGGTTTGTCGGGGTACTTTTGGTGGAACTGGGCAACAAGCTCTTGACAGCGGGCAAGGTGTTCCACTGGCTCCCATGTGTTCTCCGAGCTTGGCCAACCCTGCCACTTGATGAGGTACTGAAGGTGCGTGCGTCAAATACGGGAGTCGAGAATGTCTTCCACAATCCATTCCTCCTGTCCTTCGACTTCTTCTGGTGGGGTGGGTTCTGGCTCAGTTCGCTCCGGAATGGTGAAACGTGGTTCAAGAAGGGAGACATGGAAGACGTTGTGAATTTTGTAGGATGGGGGAAGCTTGAGGCGATATGCGACCGAGTTGATCTTCTCCGTGATTGTGAAGGGGCCAATCTTACGGTGATCAAGTTTCTGGGAAGGTCGGAGAGTCTTGAGATTCCGCTGTAAGAGCCAGACACTGTCCCCGGGTTTCATGTCTGGGCCAGGTGCCCTCTTAGCATCGGCAAAGCGCTTCATGCGTCCTTGGGCCTCCTTGAGCTCAGTGGCAAGCTGTTCATGGATTTCCTTGAGATGGTTGGCACGAGCTTTGGCTGCAGGATTAAGGGATTCGGTTGTGGTGGCGGAAGCCAGACTGAATCGAGGATGGAACTCCATAGTTGGCGTAGAAGGGGGTTGTCTGGGTGGCGGAGTGGATGGTGTTATTGTAAGAGAACTCAGCAGAAGACAAGAGTTCCTTCCAGTTATCTTGTTGATAGTTGCAAAAGCAGCGAAGGTATTGCTCAAGAATCTGATTGGTCCGCTCGGTTTGTCCATCGCTCTGGGGATGGAACGCCGATGAGAGGTTGACCTTGGTTCCCAGGAGAGCGAAGAGACGTTTCCAGAAGTGGGAGTTGAACTGTGGGCCACGGTCAGATACAATATCGTCGGGGAGTCCATGGAGCCGGATGACATGGTGCCAGATCAGATCTGCAGTTGACTCAGCGGTGGCAGTTTTCCTGCACGGTACAAAGTGCGCCATCTTGGTGGACCGGCAGATGACAACGAGCACAGAATCAACCCCATCACTGGTGGGTAGATCTGTGATGAAGTCCATGGAAATTGACCCCCAGGGGCGGTCAGGGACCTGCAGGGGTTGGAGGAGACCGTAGGGCTTGTGTCTGCTGGTCTTGGCTTGAGCACATACGTCGCAGGACCTGATGTAGGACTTGACAAAACGCCACTGGCTAGGCCACCAGTAGTTGCGTGAGATGAGCTCCAGGGTCTTTGACATGCCGTAGTGTCCTGCCAAACGCGTGTCATGCATGTCCCGGCAGATCTCAGCACGGAGCTTGTTGGTGGGGACGTAGACAAGGTTGTCGTACAGCAGAACCCCATTTTCCTCGGAGAATCGCTTTATCCGTTCTTGGTCTTCTTGAGATTGCTGGGCAATGGGGGCCCTAAGCTGTCGCCGGATGGTTTGCGCAAACACATCGGATGCCAGGGCAGCTTTGATTTGGTCAAGGAGCGAGGAGTCCAGTGGGGTCAGATAAGTGGCGGCCAGGCGGAGATGGTCAGGGGTGAGGATCGTGGTTTCCTGGGAGCGGAATGCTTCTTCCCCCTCCCTTAGCTCGTATTCAGAGCGACGAGAGAGGGCGTCAGCTTGGTGTTGCTGGGTACCAGGGCGGTATGTGATGACAAAGTCAAAATCAGCAAAGAAGATTGACCAGCGGGATTGGCGGCGGTTGAGGGTACGGGTAGTCATGAAGTACTGGAGGTTCTTGTGGTCACAGTAAACGATGACCTTGTGGCGGGCACCAATGAGGTGGTGTCGCCATTGAGCAAATGAGTCTTGGATAGCCAGGAGTTCCTTGTCGTAGATCTCATAGTTGATTTCCTCAGGAGTAAATTTGCGGGAGTGAAAGGCCACGGGGTGGAGTTGATCTGTGTCGTCGGGTTGAAGGAGGACGGCGCCAAGGGCAAAGTCGGAGGCATCGGATTCGACAATGAAGGGCTTGTCAGGGTCGGGGTGAGTCAGGATAGGTGCGGAGGTGAAGGCTTTCTTGAGGGTTTCAAAAGCTAGGTGTGCAGCGTGGGTCCATTTGAATGGCAAGTCTTTGCGAGTGAGCGTGGTCAGGGGTGCAACGATCGCAGAGTACCCTTTGATGAATCGCCGGTAGAAGTTGGCAAAACCAAGGAAGCGCTGGATGCCTTTGACATTCGTCGGGGGTTCCCATTCGGTAATGGCAGCCGTCTTCTTTGGGTCCATGGAAATGCCTTGCTGGGAGATGATAAACCCCAGGAACTCAACAGAGTCACGGTTGAATTCGCATTTTTCCGGTTTCGCATACAGCCCGTGCTGGCGGAGCCGTGAGAGCACCTCTCGGACGTGGTTGGGGTGGTCTTCTGGGTTTTTTGAGAAGATCAGAATGTCGTCAAGGTAGACCACAACAAAAACGTCGAGAATGTCACGGAATATGTCGTTCATGAGGTGTTGGAATACTCCAGGGGCATTGGTGAGCCCAAACGGCATGACATTATACTCGAATAGGCCGTAGCGACATCGGAACGCTGTCTTCCATTCATCCCCTGGCCGGATCCGAAGAAGGTTGTAGGCTCCCCGGAGGTCAATCTTGGTGAGCCGGCGTGCCCCTCGAAGACGATCCATGATGCTGTTAATCAAGGGCAAGGGATAGCGATTCTTGATGGTGATATTGTTGAGTCCACGATAGTCGACGCACAGACGGAGGGAACCGTCCTTTTTCTTGACAAAGAGGACTGGGGCACCGGCGGGAGACTTGGAGTGCTTGATGAACCCCTTAGCTAGGTTCTCTTCAAGGTAGTCACAGAGTGCCTGCATTTCAGGCTCGCTGAGACTATAGATTGGGCCGAACGGTGGCTGTTTGCCCTCTTCTAAATCGATGGGACAGTCGTAGGGTCGGTGCTCTGGGAGGGTATCCGCGTTCTTCTTGGCGAAGACGTCCGCAAAATCTTGGTATTCTTCAGGAATGATGGCCTTCGGATCTTTTGGAGGAGTGGTCGCCAGGGCTTGGGAATCTGACTTGGTCGGATTGGCGTAGGCAATGAATGCCTGGTCATGCCTTGCCGCCACACGGAAAGCTGGGGCGCTCATAAACGATACGTGGATCGGTGTGGGTGCTGGGTCCAGTGTGTTGGGTGTCTGGGCTAGGGAGACTGAAATCTCGTCTTGATGGATACGGATCAGAGGTTCAGGGGTTCTTGAGGGCTTCGGGCTAGGTTCTGTTGGCAGGGCATCCCAGGAGGCGTATTGTCCAAAACCGCAATGGCAGCGGACGCAAAGAGTGCGAGTCTTCCAGTGTA